ATGATTGGGATCTGGATGATTGGGATCTGGATGATTGGGATCTGGATGATTGGGATCTGGATGATTGGGATCTGGATGATTGGGATCTGGATGTTTTGGATCTATGTGATTGGCGTCTGGATGAGTGGGATCTGGATGAGTAGGATCTGGATGGTTGGGATCTGGATGGTTGGGATCTGGATGATTGGGGTCTGGATGATTGGGGTCTGGATGATTGGGGTCTGGATGATTGGGGTCTGGATGAGTAGGATCTGGGTGACTAGGCTCTGGCTTTGGTGGCTCTGGTTTTGTCTCTGGAGGTGGGTTCGGCTTTGTCTCTGGTGGTGGATCGGGTTTTGGGCTCCTTGGGACTGCGCTCGTCTCAATGCCTAGGTCATCAGCTCCGTTATCGCCTGGAGTCCGCCTGCCAGCTCTACCAGCTCTACCAGCTTTACCGAAGCTGGAGAGGAGACCCATTGCTAAGCTGGTGCTGAACAGATATGTTAGTAGTATTTGTTTGGAAAGCCTGAGGTTTCGGCTCGCTGTGTTAAGGGGGTACGCGTGGGAGTTGCCACTGATTTGGCCAGAGTGAGTACTGCAATACTTATAAAGTAGAAGTGCATTTTCGCTGACAGAACCATTTGACCTTTATGTCCCTTGCTAAACCTTGCAGACTTGACCTATCCTCCTCGATGCTAAGAATAACCTGTTCGGGAAGTCCTGCTGGTGTTCATCGTCTTGAGCAATATCTAACCTCTAGTCATTTCCACTTTTCCATTTATGCCTTACGGGCGCTTCCGCTACACTAGCAATGGGTCGGTATATGGTGGTCGCTCTGTGATAAGGTCTTGCTTGTCCCGATATAGTAGAGGGCCTGAATGGCGGCTACACACTGTATACAAGGTTTAGCGCCGGCGAATCGCATCCATATTATTGTTATATCTTCCATGAGGTAAGACGGACTGTTTTTCTTTGGCAAGACGAATGGTGCATTTGCATTTGGTAGGGCCTAAGTTACTCGTAGGCTTCTCCAATATTCATAATAGAATAGGTTCAACACAGCCCTCATTGTGTAACGACTTGCGAGAACTTCGAGGCCAACACGGCTGGCCCGTCAGAAATGCTAGCCTGACCCACATATAATTCAACACGTCCAACAAGCAATGACTGTAATTAGTCACAGACTCACTATGCCCAACCAGTATATTTCCCCTGTAGAAGCCCCATTGCTCCGCTTAATGGGGCCCGTTCCCATACAATTATCAGAACGTGCGAATATTGATGGCTGCCCGTGACAGAGGGCCGTAGCTCATACTGGCGTAATAAAGATTTCTGGAAGCTAATGATAGTGTCGGCGTAATGAATATAGTGGTAAAGAGGCAAAACAGATTCGGTTCCTCGGCAGCAGCGACAACATCCATGCCATGGGATCTCCACGGAAAAGTAGCATCTAGAATTCAAATCGAGAGGTCAACTCTGCTTGTAATAGAACCGCCAGGCTGTGTCTTCATATTCTATCAAATTAGAGGAAATCAACGCAACGATCATTTTGTATCTCGACCGAGTCATAAATCTCTTTATAATGCCCAACCCAAGCTACACATCCTCTGTAGGAAACGATTCGGACTCTTATACAGAACGTACAGTCTTGACAAAACAACATGCTTCCAGTCGAGATTCCATAAGTGCGGTAAGGAGATTAAGTGTCCCCTGTACAGCATCTCTCGCTCATGTTCCTAGTAGTCGTCGTGGCCGTGGCCGTGCCCATGGCCATGCCCATAGCCATGTTCATCACCTTCATCTCCATATTCTCCTATACGTTGGTCAGTCAGACAGAGTCCGTATTGATTCATGGATCTAGTAGTACTCACCTTGGTCATCCTCGCATCCTTCATCCCAATCTTCCTCTTCGCCACAATGCTCACCAGACTCATGATCACCACCGTGACCGTGTGGATCATGGTGACCTCCATGGCCGTGCATGTCGTGCTGGCCTCCATGGCCATGGGGATCGTGCTGTCCGCCGTGACCGTGGGGATCATGAGCATCATGATCGTCGCCTTCTCCGCCTCCGTGAGGATCGTGGTGACCTCCATGGCCGTGGTGGTCACCTTGGCCATGTGGGTCGTGATGGCCTCCGTGTCCGTGAGGATCATGGTGATCAGCGTGCTCTCCGTGTTGGCCATGAGGATCGAAGGCGTCTGCCATTTCCTCGAACCCATCGTGCACCTGCTGCATACCATGATCAAACTCGTGTGAGTCCATGACGGAGGTACTGTCGTAGAATCAAGCTGAACTTCACAGTAATAAATTTCTGGCTTAGTGTGATTCAGGTACAAGAATTTGAGAGTAATGAAGTGTGACGCGGACGAGATGGTCAAACAACGGAACAAGGCGTCTTTTATAAGCTCAACGCCCATACATAATCGGGGTAACAGTGGTAGGATGGTTCATGAATTTCCACTTTCAGCCATCTTCTCGTGCTGCATTACTGTATTGGCATTGGCCGCGTCTGGTCTTACACTATTCCTGGCTGTAGTAGCAACCTGCAAATGGCCTAGTCTGCGACCTTTCAAACACGGACTGCTTATTTAACTCTTGGCCCTAGGCTATACTTCACGGCAGAAGCCTGACTTGCGAGCTCTCCTATCGTCTTGCCGGCCTGATATACTAGACCTATTTCGTACGTCGCTGTCACTGTAGCCCTGGAACAGCAGCCCCTTCCTACCCAAGTTATGCTTTGTCGGTTTCTATACTCCGGTCAGGCCCGCTACAGCTGGTATAGCAAGCATTTTTAGGCACAAATCAACGTCAAGGATTTCATTGCGTGGAACGGTACGACTCCAACCTTCCCATCAGTTGCAGAAGATCTATGTTCCAGGTATAGTAAGGTGTTTCCCGGCTACCGAAAATAGTCTGATTCGAGCAGTGAAAACGCTCATGCAATAGTGCATCGGTGACGTTCGTGTTCTCATCCTGAATCGAAACCGTCTCTGAGTTCCAGTTGCCGGCAGCATTGCTGAACTATAATTGTAGAATAACGTCGTCAATACATGAGGCTTTGGTCAGTCAGAGACGACGCCGCCGTCGACTCAATAGTAGTGAGCGCAGAGCACGGGAGAGCTCGGCAGGGTGCTGACCATCAAACGAATATTGCTCATTGACAGATGCTCAAAAAATGTCGCTGTCTACATTATGATAAGTGTAGAATGCCGCAAACGCTGGGTCGAGACTCCAACGAGCGAGTAAGCGATTTGGAAAAGGTCTACAGGCTGTAGATCGTCGACACAAGAGATGGTAACATAGCCAACCATTCTGCGACACTGTGTTGGCTCTCCAATAAGGACGAAAGAAGAAATAAAGAGTAGCATAAGGAGTACCTTTGGTAGTCGCCCTGATTTTGGTGCAGGTGGTCAGGGCTCCGGAAAAAGGATGTGCCTATAATTGGAGTTACGGGCCGCGTACTTAGCTCCCGCGCTTCCGAGGCTTGGTTTTTGGGGATAAAAATGACGTCACTATTCATCATAGACTGCGCTGCTTCACACCCTTTACTCTTTATTGATGTTTTCCAGCCATCGGGCATTCTCATCGGAGTCTGCGCTGGCAACCTCAGAACCCTCATGATCAAATGTCTAGGAGCTAGCATGTTGTCGCACGACATGTCCACGGCCAGGCAATCATGAAGGTGCGAGCCCAGCAGCCAGATTGCCGAGGAACCAGCAAAATTCAGGAGCTATAGATCACCACCCTTCAATCCTCACCTAGGCAGGCCTGTCGCAAAAGCTGCTGGCACGATATAGCCTTCTTTCCGGACCTCCGTGAAGACTGGGGTGCTCTAAGAGCACGGGCCGAACACAAGATTGAAGATTGTGCAGACGAGAATTCCACCTTTGGCGATGGGCATTAGACACTGCTCGGGCAACTCGAAAAGTAGCAGAGGAGCAGCCGGTGTCCATGGCTTCAGTATACATACCTCCTTATCTATATTTTTCCATGCAGATTTGCGATGTTGACCTTCTCTCTCTTCATCGCGCGGGTGACTCGGAAACGATGAGGCGCACGTCAGCTATGGCTCCTTTGCTATCATTGCTTGGAATTTGTATGATATCCGCGCATGAGTAGTGCAAGGTCGTGGACAAATCGAGCCATTCGGAGGCTGCCGTCAGCCTTCCTTTTGACGGAGTAGGCTCACCTTCGAAATCATCGAACGAGCAAAGACACGACACTACCAGCCAACTTGGGCACAAAGTCCGCGAATCCTCTGGCAGCAGAAAGCCAAAGAATCTCATGTTTCCCGCTGAAGGTGCAAAAAGCAGGGATGAACAGTTCGATCCCTCCAAAACCAGCATTTTGGGCAGCCCTGATCTTGTCCTTGAGTATGTGTGTTGGGTGCTAGCCCATTGGCCCAGTAGATATTGCCAGCTTGTGAAGCTTTGGGCTGAAATGGAGGATCGCCGTCTTCTGAACGCTCGATGCCCTTGCTGGGCGCGGGGGTTTTCTTTCGACTGAGATCGCCCTTGGTGAGGGGCCGGTAGGCTGATAGGGCCCAGAGGACAGACAAACCAGACCGACGATCTGAGTTGATCTTTTGCGAACCAAGGCGTAGCAACGAGAAGTTGGGGGTACGGGCCTAAGGTAAACGACACAAGCGAGGCATCCTGGGGGAGAGCCTAAAATAGGTCTTGGCAAGTATGGATTAGGACCCTAGGCCTCCAAGGCAGCCGGTCAGTCGTTATCGTTGGCCATCGAACTCATCTGTGCTCATCGAACCTAGCATGGTTGATTCACACCTCATTAAGCTGATGCATTTACTGGTATAACTGAACCATGACTATCCTAGTCAGGTAAGCTGCCTCATGAATTGAAAGCAGGCTAGGACCTATTTTTATACGGGGCTCATATTAGGATCCCAACGCTCCAGAGAGGTGCACTTTGGAACTGAAGTTGCAGTCCTGGCATGCCGACTTCAGGCATCTAACGAGGTATCTGCAAGTTGAAGGCACATCACAGATTTATGCAGTTTGTAATACTTTCTGCATCCTTCTGGATATCGATTGATGACAATCCTTACACTCCAAAAACAAGCCGTACTCAACAATCAGAGTGGGCATACCCATACGATCCTTCCAACGCGTCAGCAGGGACACTCAGCGAGGGATTCGGTAGAATCATGTACACACAATTTAGCACGTTCGATTGAAGACACGGCAAGTCATGCCAGATGAGCCGTGGAGGGATGAAATCCAAGAATACGCCGTCCTCCTTCAAGCAGTTTCTAGTGGAGACCGATCAAAAGTCGTCAAACTCCTCGGAGACTATCTCTTGCGAACCCAGGACGGGAGCTCCGAAGTTGACCCATCACTTGATGAGCAGCAACAAGAAGAACAACAGGGTCTATATGAGGATGATGAGGGGAACTATGATGAAGACTACTATGAGGATGAGGACGGACAGTACCATGGCCAGTACGGGGATTATGGAGAGAATGAAGGATATGGAGATTACCATAATGATGGACAACACGATATTTATCCCGACGACCACGAAAACAACGACACAACCTATCCAGTTGCAAAACAACGGAAAAGAGTACGATTCGCTGATGAAGAAGGGACATATGCTTTGGAGAATACTGAGCCCAGCCGCCCCGAAGATGGCTACGAATACGACAGAAATGGTGACGACTACCACGGGGCGGATTTCGATCCCAACAGCTATGATGGCCCTTATGATAGCGACTTGTACATGTCTGGCGCGTTGGCGTATGGCGATCACCAGAGCGATGGATTCAATCATGCCTATGACCAGAATTATGCTCAGCAAAACGGTGACGGCTATCTGGGTCAAGATCCCGGATACGATGATCAGTCTTATGGCGGCTATGATCAAGAGACATATCCTGGCCAATACGAGCCGGACTATCACAGGCAATATGATGCTACCAGTTCTCTGGGCTCAGCGGGCTATGATACAAACGACGCCAATTATGCATATAACGACAATGTAGGTGAGTTCCATGACCACTTTCCGCGCACTGAGCAGAGTGTTGACTATGGGCAATAGGAACCCAACTTGGAGGGAATTGGCGATGAGGGTGACGAAACAGCTCTTATTGGCGATGATGATGAAGCTGTTCGAGACAGCTCTGCCTTTGATGAGCTGGGGATCGAAGATCAATGGGACGAACATCTGGATACAGCAGATACGAATGAGATTGATCAGATAGGCCCCGGAATGGAAGAGCAGGAAGAACAAGTAGGGCAGCTTAATCCCGACCTTCAAGATTTTGGAGATGAGAAAGGCTTCAACAATCAAGATGAGGACTATGAAGAACAAGAAGCTCAAGCAGGCTCGGCCCATATGCACAATGGAACTAGTGTCTCGATGACAGGCCCTACATCTGAAGAGGTCTTTGACCAAACATACGAAGGCCACCTTGGATGGAAAGACACCACGGATGAAGCAGACCATGACCCAAGGATTGCCACAGGACAAGTCGGCGCAGGCAATAACCAGGATCGCCTAGGTTACCCACCAGACTCTCCTTCAGAGTATTCGGTGGGCTCGAACGGAGGATCTTGCAACACTGAAGATGATGATAATTCATACGCAAGGGACCCCGCAAGTGTACTGAAAGATACAAACGTCCCAAGCAGCGAAGCATATGCTGGCTTGTTGGACGAGCTCCCTCAGGATTCCGGAGACTCCGAGCCAAAGTGGAATCTTGATGAGTTGATTCCAGACACCAATCGTCTTCAGGATCAAAGCAGGTTTCCAGAAGATCTGGACGAAGATTGTGAAACAGAAGCATATCCAGAGGCCGGTGATGGATACATGACCCGCAACCCCTTAAGACACATTTACGAAGCCGAAAGAGCCGATGCGAACCCTGTTCGGCCTTACTACGACGATGCTCCTCTTCCTTTCAATAGGCCGCAAGTCATCTGGGGTGAGCCTTTGGATGATGGACTCGATGCAACGCCGCTGTACTACGACGAGGACCTGCAAGACGAAGATTACGAATCCACCACAGATAGCATTGACCCTCACTATAACGTGTTCCAGCTTGGCTCGAGATTCTACACTCACTTCAACGATTCAACAGACGATCCAAAGATACGAAGGCATATGTCTAGACGCGTCAACCCCAAGAGAACTCCCCTATATCCTCGCTCCTTCATCGACAAGATTCGGGAACGATTATCTTAGCACATTCAGTATATCTTCTTACTGCACATTTGTGGTACCACAATGATAATAATAAATGTCTTCTTTCGGGGCTGCAGTCTTGCAAATCCACAAACTCAAGAGTCCCTTGTCGTTCGCGAATATGCCTGCTGCAGAATCCTAATTGCGCCTATATGCAAGAACAGCAGTTTCAATTAGCAGGGTATCGTCATGCGGGTCTCTGGGAGACCCGAAGCCTCTGCATGGCTTAATAAAAGCTGGATAAGTGAGCGCTTGCCTCGTTCCCATTTTGGATACAGTGCACAAATTAAGTTCGGTCTTGTCAGAGTTAGAAGGCCTGAACAAGCCGACTGGCTACCTCCAGGGGCCTTATAACGACACACTTCGTGTATGATCATTCACAGCCATATCGAGCCCTAGCTCGAGACGGGGGGTATTGATTGGCACAAGGTCAGTCGCAGGACCCGGAAATATGACATGACCATAGCCTGAGTACGAATAGTATCATATCTGCAGGCTATGCTCAAACTTGACTGCAGGCCCAACCGAATTTGGGTAGTAAGCACCGCATAAATCCGGCCGAAGAGACATTTTCATTGGGGCTTAGATCAAAGGATCAGAAGAGCATGTTTCCTTCTCCTTAACTTCATCCCTTGATATCACCTTAAAATCATACAACCCTACCAGCAAGCAACAGTTGCCAGTTGAGGGCAACCAAGAAGCCGAACTTCCCCCCCCCCTCCCCCAATCTAGTCCTACAACTTGATATTCCTAACCCTGTCCCATTCAACCCGCCTCGATGGAAGAATACGGGGACTACTACGACGGCTACGGTGACTACGAGGACTGGGAAGGCGGCTATGATGATAGTTACGGCTATGAGGATGAATATGATTACGGGAATGGTGAGGACTATTGGAATGAGGATGATTATTGGGACGACGACGACTACTGGTATGATGGAGAAGAGGGCGGAGACGGTATGGGGTATGATGAAAGTGAATATGCGCACGCTGGTGGCCATGGTGACGAATATATGCATCACGATCAAAGTCACCACCAAGGAGGAGGAGGAGGCTATGGACAGCATACTTATAACAACTATGCCTATTCACACGGGATGGACCATGGGCATGACGGATCAGGACATTACTACGACCAGCAGGATCCATATGGCCAAAACATCTACGGTCATCAAGCCATGCATCAACAGCAGCAGGGCAGCTATTGGTAAGGTGGGATTGTGCTTCACATCTTAAGCTATTCGGGAGCTGACTGTTCACCAGGGCTTTTGGGCATGTATCAAGTCGAAGCCCCTTGACGCCTCAATCTGACGTCTCGGCCATTACGCCTTCATCATCGGACATGTACGATCATTCTCAAGCTCTTCCATCTCCAGACGTTGCACCGAGGTTGTTGCCGGCCCTGCCTGACTCTCAATCGATGCCACAAACTTCAGCGATATATTCATCATCGCAGGTCTCAGGTCATTCTCAGCGAGCCCGATCATTCAGGTCTTCGAACTCGCCGGTCGCCGCCACGCCACAGCCGTACCCTTCCGAGCCAGTCTCTCGCGCGGTCGGCATCAACCGGGCGCAGAATATAGCAGTGCGCATGCCTGAACTGCCGTCCAATAGTCCCCCACGACGGCCAGCCCGCTCTCCTACAAATGCTTTTCACAGAATGTTCTGGGACGGACCAGACCAGCCGAAACCACCCAACAGACACCTTCTTGTACCAAGCAGGTCTCCATCACAGCGTACTCCAAGATCTGCGTCCAGTCTTTCGGAGGGCGGAAGCCCCCGGAGGAGGCTACGTATACCGCGCTCAGTGGATGGAAACTCTCCAACGCTCAGTGGCAGTCCTAGACCCAAGGCAGCCTTTGGCTTTCTGGCTCCTTTGACACCCTGAGCAAATTCATATGTATGGTTAGCCAATAGTCTACAATATCTCGATGAGCACGTTCTACACCAACTTCCTTTCAGAGTACTCAGCAACCTTCTGGAGCTGAGCGCATAAAGATACCAGATCAAATGATGTCTGTACAGTCGTACCCCGTTCCTAAAGGGGCTAGCAAATACTTACTTGACTGGATCAATTCGATCGTTAGGCTGGAAATGCGTGCACCTTAGCAGACTTTGCAGAATACTAATTTTGGAGTTTGGCACCTCCCAAATGCTTGATGGTATCTAGTCGGTTTAAGGCGCTCCTTGGCTGCGTGCCTGAGCATTACCACTCGCTTATGGATATTCAGGCAGTCCCAGTCACTGACCTACCTGATTGGGGCCTTTCACCCACTGAAATATACTGATCGGAGCAAGTCAACCGTCGCACCGTGCACTGCCTTCTGCACACTTCGCCTCGTCGCCTTCGAAGTGGGTATGTTGACCCCATCTATCCTTCATGGCAATCTACATATTTCATTTTGGGGATACGCTTTTACACCTGCATTAGCATGTCTCTCATGGCGTTTTGAACCTATTGCTTTCTCAGAGCATAACCTCAACACTCTTTTTTACAACACGCTCATTATCTCGAAAGTATGAGAGCCTCCCCTTTCATAACACTGCTTTCGGCACTTTCTGCCGCAGGCTTGATGTTTGTTTGTCTCTTCGCCGGTTACAGCCCTACAACGCTGTCGAGTGTCGATATGTTCAGTGTGGGTTGTCCGACAAGTCTGTCACAAATCTAGTCATCTCTGACAAGAAGCAGATGAATGTTTCGCGGATTGCAAACACAACATTCAACAATAGCACCGGCAATGGCTGCAGCTGTGTGGAGTTTGTGAATGGCACACTGACCATCAATGGGTCGGCCGTGACCGATGGCCATACGACAGTCGAAGTCTACGATATTGGGATCAGCGAATATTATGCCGTCTACACCATGAACTACTGCGAAGGGAATTATCTACCTCATTATTACGACAAAGGCGCGAAGGCCGTTCTCACTAGCTGCAAAACACCCTCTGTATCACGTCGCTTCGACCTGGTCTCCATTATCGAAGATGCCCTTGAAAATGTCGGGGCGTCGCTGAATCAAACCTTGTCGCTCGACGACTTGGATTGGCCAGACGGCATCACCAACGCATTCGGCTACGTCTCGTCGGCCAGTACAGCAATGATTGCCTTTTTCCTCATCGGTATTCTGTTCCTCCTTCTGGCAACGTTAGCGGGGACCATTGCGCTCTTTCGACCGAGCAAGAATATCACAGTGATCTTGTTGATGACCTCTGTTGTAAGTGCCATGGTGGAGCCCGCCATAACTATCAAGGTACTAACAAGAAGCAGATAGCGTGTATGACTCTTGCGATTACTGCAGGTCTTGCAACTGGTATAATTACTACGGTCGTCAACGGGATCAATTCAAACGGCGACGATATCGGAGTGTCTGCATCGCAAGGCAACACATTCATGGCCCTGATATGGAGTGCGGTAGCACTCCTCTTTGTGTCAACCTTGACCACCACAGCGCAACTGTGCACCGGGGGCCGTCGTGAGCCTGGCCGTCGACGCAGGAGGAGAGAATATGACGGTTACGGCTACCACATGCCAATGAGTATGGGCTATGGTGGACATATGCCTCACCACATGTCTCACCCAATGTCTTCTCGTTCCATGTCGCACCATATGTCACAGCCCTATCACCACCCCAGCTCTCGCTACGATCCATGGGATCTTTACGGCTCAAGAAGATCTTTAGTACCGTCTCACATGGACGACCCCTATGGAGAGGACGATTTCAGGTGAATTGTTTTAGGGAATTTACAGAAGCATGGCGTTTTTGGACTGGATTGTTGTAAAAAGGCTGCGCAAAACTAGATGGAGGGATTGTACATAATACTAGTAATCTACGCTAATACTGGAGTTCCAGACTCATTTGTTCGCCTACAAGTACTAGTATTCTTGATAGCTTGATCATGATCGCAAACCTTGATGTCCTTTCCAGCAATCAACAACAAGTAGCTTACAGTGAGGGAGGTGGCAAACGCCTTGGACTAGACGCTGCACTTAACACGTAGCCACCAGCTCGCATTGCAAGTGTCACCATAACCTTTCACTGCCGATGGTAACGACCTAAATCCATCTACGGTACGGGCCTAGACATGCAAGGCTGACCACGCCAGGGGCTGAAAAGCACGCTTATATACGTAGGGCCCTCCTAGGCCTATCACGATGGGGCCTGACGAGACCAATCATCAACCTTGGTTATGCTTGTCGCTAGCTGAATATAGCAAGATAGCCCCCATTCGACGGCCTTTCTTGGCAACTGGCTTGACTGGTGGGAGCCTTGCACTTTAGAAGGCCTTAGAAGCCGGCCTGTAAAGTCTTATTGGATCAATACTGTGGGAATGTCAAGCACGAGTGCTTGTGACAAGCTTATTTTTACCACCAAAATCTGTGGGGTGGCCTGCTCGTTGACGACCTTCCTGTTCTGCCACAACGAACCTCCGCTTTGTAAACGGTGCACCACACCTGTGTCCCTCGTTTGAGTCCAGCCACGAGATGGGTGTAACGTCGACCCCTCGCAGCACGGTTCTACCTAGACCTTGACCCCTAGTATCGTTCACCGAGTCCTGACCAACATCACTGTATGCGAGCCCGTACCCGCATGGCTGCCCAGTCTAGCTTCTGCAAGGACAATGAAACGATGTGCAGATGCTCCTTGCTTCGTGGAGGATCGCAATGCAACGCTATTTCCGGACCCCGAAATTCTTGCGACTTACTTGCCCCTAACGTTACTGCTTGCAAGGGATAGGATCTTTAAGGTATATTGGAAAATTGCTTTCTTTTTGTGCGCAACTGTATGACGCTAGACACCAAAACACCTGGGCCGGAACACCTAACATTACCATGACTGTGCATCCGATCTTTGCCCAACAGGCTAGTATTACATTCCTCTGCCACGGCCGGCCATGCCTCCACGGGCTCCCATCGCACCTCCACGTGCGCCCATTGCACCCCCTCTTGCGCCCATGGCTCCTCCTCTCGCACCGGCCATGCCACCTCGGCCTCTCATGCCCATAGCCCCTCCGCGTGCACCAGCTCCAGCTTGCCCGCCTTGAGGTCCTTGAGGCTGCAGTCCTGTTGGGTTCATGGCCATGGGCTCGGCACTTTTCAGGAGAGATGCTTTCTCGATAGTGTCGCCGACTGCGGCGTACTGGTGGCTGCCAGTTGTTCCTGCCGTGTCATCCGGCTCGACCGTGATCCTGACACTGCTGATCTGAATATGCGTCTGGACGATTCCAACAAAGAAGCCGATAGTGGCTATCACTGCCAGCCAATGCAACGCGAGTGCGTTGGAACCTCGACCGATCGTGAAGACATCAGGCTCTCCTTCTTGATTGTGGCCGGTTGCGTACTTCAAAGCGGCAAACATCTGTGAATTGGCGACTGCCACAGCCAACGAGAACACAATGGACAGACCGATACAGACGATCATGACCAGTCGCATGATATCAAGCTGCCTGTTTCTTCGAGACTGTCTGTAGGACGATGCTGGGCCAACCCAAGGTCTGTTCATGATACCGTAGAGAGCAAGCAAGATGCAGCCGATAGCAAGAAAAGCTCCCGGAATTGCCGGAAGAACAACGAAAACATTTCTTTGCAGTTGTGAAGCCACCTCGTACAATACCGGGTTCAGCTTTGCGTTCGGTGGCAGAGTTTCGTAGCTGTTGGCGTCGTTGGTCCCCGTTGACAAATATCGGAGGCTTGAATCTTCGTCCTTGCCCACTGTAACGGCACAGTGCTCCGACTGGCCGGAGAGCGAAACACACATTGCTGTGTATCCCACGCGCAACCTCGTCGAATAGGTGCCGTTCATGGCGCTGAACTCTACCAGATAATACCTTGACGTTCCGCTCGATGCCCCTTGTGCACCAGGTACACAGTCAAGAATCACGAGACCTGAATCAACATTAACGAGCAGCCAAGATATCGGTGTCCAAAGCACCCACATTGGAAGAGCAAGGCTAGCGCCGCAAGGAAATGGACAAATACTCTGAGCCAAATGCTGTCTGTGATGAAGTCAGAATCGTTCTAGGACGGATGCCTCTTAAGCCTATACCGGCTATGTTCTTTTTCCAGTACTGTGATACAGCTCCTCCCATCGCCGATACGCCTGCTCCCATACCTCCTCCTGCTCCTCCCTGTTGATTCATTGTGTAATGAGTGTATATTCGAGTGCGTTCAAATTTTTAAAGAGGGTGCGAGAATGGCGAAGGAAATGCGAACTGACAGAGTCAAGAGAGCGTGTATGATGTGGAATAAGACTGTGCTTGGAAGTTTTCGAAGAATTCTAAGAGCGACACGGCCTACTGAGGATTCAAATATTTAGTATTCTTTCGTCAAAAGGGCCTACCACTTGGGGCGGAGCAGTCCAATTTTGGTGCTCGGTCATGGGCAAATCCGTATATAGCATCTTCATGGAGAACAGCATGAGCCTCAGATGCCTGTATGCTTTCCGGCCGTGGCCTCGACGCAGTTGCAATGTCATTGGCTTCTAATTCAAGTCCTATCGCGTCTTGGCGTGCATGCTTCCAGGTTGGTATCTCTCTTTGCATCTCGATCCCTGGCCACTTAAGGCTTCCCCTAGTTGGACCCCAGCCTCCAAGTATGAGGCCCATACTCTGACCATACGAAGGTAGACTGTTAGTCGCGACCCATCAAGGCCGCCGGACTTCCATTCGCAACTGCGTTGATCGACTTCTATGTCTGGCGGTGGGACACTGTATGTCGAACCTATGCCTCGCTGGCAGCTGGAGTTGCTGAGTGGGTGAGGGGTCAGACAGAGACCGAAAAGACGCACATTCACACGGCCGCCCCTGAACCATGTCCTCGATACTAGTATCTTTGATAGTCCGGCCTCATAGAGCACAGGCGCCTATGGTTGCCCCGGCATGAGCCTTTTCCCGTCTCCATCAGTTAGTGGAAGCAGTAGGTAAGCACCTGGCGTGGTCGCAAGAATCTGAGGTGTCAAGAGGCTCGATATACGTCGAAGATTCTTGCTTGAAATGGCCTGTCGCAGTATCGTCTCCTTAAATAATGCGATTAAACCTCGCAAGGTATAGTCCACCCCGAAGTGTCAGAATTAACACTCAACAGAGATCTCTTCAACCTCCTTGGTATCAGGGTTCCATTGAGACTAAGTTGTAACACCAGGATCTAAAGTACAGAGTGCGCAAAAGGCGCATGATATAGGCAGTTCATTCACTGCCTGTGACCCTGCACTGCCAATCGTGTCACTTGGATACGAAGTCTTGGTCATCTCACGGTTTCCACATCGAAAGGGCGACCGGACCACTCTGGGACTTCACGCTGTCTTGTAAGAATTTCAGAAGCACCGTCGATTGCACATGCAAAGAAGCGGCACGGAACAGGAGCGGCTTGCTCAGAAAATATAGCACAAAGAGTGAAGCAAAATCCAAAAGGCTAAGAGACAAAGAGCCAGAACCAAGCCATGATTGTATTGGAACGAGAGTCATTCGATGTCTATCAACCAGAACGCTGATTCCGCCATACAGCAGCAATGAGCACCTAGCAGTCCTCGTGTTCGCCTCCGTCATGGCACTCGTCGCCACCTTCGTCTCCGCAGTCATCTGGTGGAGGATGAGTGTGATACGTTGGAGGAAGATATTACAACACTTACCATCACCATATTCGTGATGCTGCCCGTGTTCATCACCGCCGTGGTGACCCCAGCCATGCTCGTCGTCGCAATCACCGCCATGCTCGCCATGTTCATCGCCGTCATGGTGGCCCCAGCCATGCTCGTCTTCGCAATGGCCGCCATCATGGTGGTCGCCGTCAAACATATTCTCGGCGTGGTGGCCCATGTCTTCCATGCCCTCCTTTACGTCGTGCATTCCATCTTGTATTTCGTCCATGGCGTGTTCGAAAGGCATCTTGAGCGGTATAAAGTGCTCTTAATAAAGTCTTGATATCAGTTTGATTTCGGTGCTTGGACTGAGGTTTGATCGATGATAGGTTATGCTGTGTCTGGTCAATCACGGCCGTCTATCTACTTATACCATCTGAACTGATTTGAGTTCTCGATGCTGAAGACAATATGTTCCAATTTTGAACTCTTATGACATAACAAACCACTTTTCACGCAGTGGCCTTGCTGTGCCGATGTCCATTATGTTCCGGCGCCTTATTCTTGGCCTTATACACAGCCGTCGTCCCTGAAACCCAAGTCGACAACTGATATCCTTCGAAATTCCCGCGGACTTCATGGCGCGGTTGGCTGATTACAAACCGTATGCTCGACGTGTGAGGGAACTGGAACGCTACTGTACGATTGTGCCAGCTTTTCAAGCCTGACTCTACGAGATGTTGTTGCTCACAAACCAATAGTGACTCTCAGGCCCTCAGCCTTACAAGTTACACCAGTCCCTTGGGATGGTTGATCGAGCACCACAGTCTTGTGCTGATAGGCTGCCTGATGATCATCGATATCAACTCCTTGGGCGCCGCGCAGCATTCAGCGACATGCCAAGTTCGAGCTCATTCAGGTCTCCCTTTCCCAATGACTTCATTAAGTGCGAAGGATGGGTACTAATGTACGAGCCCTTCATATTGACGGAATGCCAGATTTAGCAATGGTGGCACATCCACGCCACAGTCTGGCCAGATGAACAACGAGGACACCGGATCACGCTTTTGGAAGCCCGAAGCCAAATTATAGATTCTCTTAGGATACTACATACTGGTCTTCCAAAGCTGTCGTTCTAGCCTACAGGTCTGCAGGCAATGTTATAATAAGCGCCGTCAATATAAGACTCAGCTTTGCCTGATTGAAGGGACATGATCCTGAATACTTCGCTTACCGTCCAGACCTTACGATACACAAAGCAACATGGGTGCTGGCTTGTCTTCCGCAGCCCGATCTGCTAGCTCTGCTGCATCAAAGGCCGGCTCTGCCGCCTCAAAGACTGGTGGCGAGACCGGCGACTTAGCGAAGGGCGGCAGTTCAGCCATAAAATCAAGCGCAAAAGCAGGCGGAGACACAGCTACAACTGGGGCAAAGAAAGAAGGAAGCGATTCCCTAGGAGATACCGCTGGTGGTGCGACAAAGCAGGAGGGAAAGGATGCGGCACAGCACGAGGCAGCTGGTGGAGATTTGCCGTCAAAGCATGATGGTGGGAACGCGCCGCCAATTGATACGAAAGATGGCTCTCCCGGCGCGTCTGCGCCGCATGATCTGGCAGGAGGTCCACAGGGAAAGTCCGAAGGACCATCAGAACATCCAGAGCAGCCAGGGGGAATCAAAGGACATATCCAAGGACATGCTCACAAGCTTGGGCATAATCTCAAAAACAAGGACTGGTGGAAGGACAAGGGTAAGGGGGCTGCCAAGTTTACAGCAGGGCAAGCCGCCGGAGCGGGTCTTTTCATCGGCGGTCAACAACTTTTCGAAGCTGCTGCGGGTGGGGGTCAACGGGAAGGAGGGGAGACGGGTGGCGAAGGTGGAGGTGAAGGGAGCGGCATGACGCCGCAGGAGCAATACCAAGAAGAAATGAAACAGTATCGGGCGCAAATGGCCGAGGCCCAGCAACGGGGGTCAGGGGAGCAGAGCACCGAACAAGATCAGGGGACTGATGGACAAGACCAACAAGGTAGTGAACAAGTCATAGGGGAGGAGGGAGGAACACAGGGCGCTGGTGAGGAGGCAGGCCAGGGCATAGGCGAAGAAGAAGCCAATTACGATAAAGAGATCCATGAAGAGGACTATAGTGAGCCTATGGAAGGAGGGCAAGGTGGGTATGGCGGCGGCGACGGATATAGAAGTGGTGCCTACGCAGGCGGACCCTATGGAGGTGATGAATATAGACAGGTCGTCTATGAAGGGGGTTATGGAGGTGAGGAACATAGGCTAGCCGACCACGAAGGAGTCTATGAAGGTGGTGGGTACGAAGGAGGCGCATACGGAGGGGAAGAACACAGGCAGGCCGACTACGAAAGAGGTTATGAAGATCCGTACGGAGAAGAACCCGGTGACCAAGGATTGAGGGTTTACGGAGGAACATATGACGGCACAGGGAGTCATGAAGAGGAGGGGGCGGACGGACACGGTCAATATCCACATCAAGATTATGGTGAGCAAGGCTATCAAGGAGGAGAATACGGGCAGGGAGGGTATGTTGGAGGCGGGCAAGGTTATCAACGAGCCCGAGGGTACGGAGGAGAAGGGTATGGCGGAGGAGGATATTACGGAGAAGGTCTCTTTGGCGGGGGAGCCCAGCCATACGGGGGCCCCACTCCTGCGTACGGGGGATATGGGCAAGAATCACTTGGTTCCGGGCATTGGGGACAGGAAACGGACACGGGGGATGGTATACCAGGCATTGGCTTTGGTCCTCAGCAAGTTTGATGGAATGGCGCCCGTCACCCCTGAGTGGAAATTGAACTCGCATCCCAATGCGATCAGAAGGACCGGGGCATGAATTTCTCGTATATTACTTGTTTTGGTGTCAGGTGTACAATATCAGAGGCTACTTAGCCTCTAGCAAAACGCTTCCAACTAAATACACCGCTTCTCTTCAACATATTACCTTTGACGACTAAGAGGAGATATCCCCGGATGTTGCTTATTGACTGGTCGTCGACACGAATTCCATTTCTGGGCTCAGGGGGGTTTTCGTACAGTCGCTAAATCAGTATGCTGGCTGACCTGCATGAGTCGAACCATGTGGTCCGGCATGTGTTCGGGAAGTTGCAGACAATTTCCCTCCTCCAGAAGATTGTGCAGGCTGCTCAGTCTCCTCACCTTTACCCTGGCAACGGGTGTCGCCTGTAGCGAGGTATTGGTGGATTCCAATCAAGCTTGTATCGCAGATGGCAAATACTGTGTCGGACACGCAGAGAAACTGGCCAGCGTATTTGCAGAGGCCATCTCCCCATGAGGTAGACAGTGGTACCACTTGCGGAGCAGGCATGGCAGCCGCAACACCGCAGAAGACGGCTGCTGCTAGAATAATGTTTGAAGTAACGACGGATATGTGCATCGTGGGCGTGATTCCTTGGTGGATAGTATACGGCAATTGTAGTGTTGAGTGTCGGGCGTTGTGTGAGTGAGTAGAACTTCGATGGCAAATGGAATCTAGGCGTCTCGTACACAAGTTCTGGTATATGTTCAAATGGTGGTTTGACCATTAGTATGGCATTGGACAAAAGGGTGTTGTTTGGCTTTGTTCCTTCGACTAGGACCATCCATGGCGGGCGCATATGGCCTGTCATGATATTTCGTAAACAAAGAGCCTTGCATGAGCCGCTAGGTTCTCACCTTTGTAAGTAGCACAAAACGTGATTTGTATTTGTGTTTGTGCCTCGAGACACTGTTCGAGTTGGCCAACAAAGACTGTCAAAGAACCATCTGATCAGCCAAACCATGCGGCTTCAATGACATAGTATGTTGGACCTGGTCCCCACCTCGTAAGTGTATGGAGATGCGTACAATTGAAATGAAGTCTTCAGACCACGCTTCGAGTCTTTTGAGGCCCCACGAGCAAGTGAAGTCGCCCTTAGTGCTAGTCGACAGGCCTTCACCGATCTCTTCACTTTCAACCCAGTCATATGTCGCTATTCACTCACCACCATCTGCAGGGTTATATTTGTAATTCTATGATTTGTGGTCAACATTCTAAGTTGGATAGTCGCTCCATCCATATGGCCTACCGTTCGGTCAACGTAGGGCTGGTCACTCGACCCCATTATAAGCGGTGCATAGTGTTCGATTCCCTCGAGGGATAGTTGATCAAAAAACCAGACTAATGTCGAGTTTATCTTCCCGTTCTGACACTTCGACCTTCAATAAGGTTGTCGGGTCGAATCGTAGATTTTTTTGGCTTTTTTGGACTTTTCGTTTCTTGCAACATGGTCTTTTCGATTTTTGTTGTGCGGCGTCACCCCGTTCGGGTGCGGTAGAAAGCAAGACCCGAGTCAGTGAAGTCACCATATCACCGTCGTGAGGCGTCAAAGTCTCTCTCATAAACCGCGTGAAGCACACCAGGCCGGGCGTCAACGTCAAACCTGCAATGCTGTTGAGCAGCGGATAGATATACCTTACCTTAGATATCCTCGGTATTGCCTGGGGCGGCCCGGTCGTCGGATAGGGGGCAAGGCTGCCGGAAAGGCGGGGGCCGCACAGCTGACTAACCGAGTTTGTCGATTGCATCGGATGTGGTCATCGGACTTTCTGATTATCCACATCCCGAACCGAAACTGCCACCGAGCCACCCACCACCTCGATAATGACATAGAGTCCGCTCATTTGGCACGTCTTTAAGACCCAGGCTCACCCATCCCGCATTTACGCTCTCATCCCATAGAAAGTGTGCAGTCACAAGCAGCCGAAGAAAGCTCGGGATACTCCCGCAGACCGAGGAAGGCGAACGCAGATCATCCATTGCCGACTACCGGGGCCCGGACACCAGGACTCACCTCATCTACTCCGTAATCTACTACTAGAAGCTATTATCAGACAAGGGTTCCAAGGGATAGCAAGCTGAATTCGATATACGATATCTACTCTAAAGGTGAACAGCTTGTTTCTCAAGACGCCGAACTCCCCATTCGTTCGACTCGCGACAAGGTCCAGCCTTCTCAGGACTTCCCCCAACAACTTCGACACGCTGCTCCACCATACGCCGTACTCAGGGCCTCCAGTCCTTTCTTCGACAACGCGAACCTAGCAATGTCCCATCCACAAACCTACGACTTCCTAGTCGGCACCTTCAACACCCCGCATCTGTACACTATACGCTTCACACTTCCACCGTCCTCCTCAACTACACCCAAATCCCCTGCAATTCTCAAAATCCTCCACCGCTCCTCCGCCATCGGCTCGCATTCTTGGCTTCACCTCAGTCCGCCCAAATCCCACGGCACCCGCAATCTCTATGCCACCGCCTGGACCGACCCGCCCACGGTGGTAGCCTACGCCGTCCATTCCTCCACGCAGATATCCCTACTCGGCACCGCCCAGACCAAATCCCGAAGCGGATACGTTTGCGCCAGCGATGTGGCAGTGTACTCCGCCGGCGGCGCGACGGGCGAGGTCTTCTCTCTGGATCCCGAGAGCGGGAACTTTGTGCGGTGCCCTCCATCTTCCCGCCCAACGACGAACGGCACTCTGTCGCCGTCGTCCAGCACGAACGGCCAGTCAACATCTCCCTCCTCCAAGTCACTCATCCAACCCTTGCAAACGCTGTCCTTCATCGACGCCTCCACGCAACGCGACGACGGCAGCGTAATGGACTTTGGCGGTCTCCGCCACGGCGCGCACAGTGCCGATCTCTCGCCCGACGGCTCGGCCCTGTACGTCGCAGACATCGGACGAAACTGCATATGGACCTTTTCCATTTCTCCCGACGACGGCAAGGCCAGCTTAGCCGAGAAACACATCTCGCCGCGTGCCAACGACGGACCACGACACGTCTGGCCGCATCCCTCCGGAGGCTTCGTATACTGCCTGCAGGAGCACACGAGCATGGTCGATGTCTTCGCCACGAGCAACTCGGGCGCGAATCTACATCACGAGCAAGGCGTACGAATCATCCCTCCCGACCAGGACGAGGGTGATTTCTGGGCCGATGAAGTCCGGACAAGTCTGTCGGACGGCCATAAGCCGAAGTATCTTTACGCGAGCACGCGTGGCTTGACAAGCGAGAAGAAAGGGTACGTCGCCGTCTACAAATTAACCGAGCAGGGGAGAATTGATACGTCGATCCCATCGCCCTATGGCGAGCGCATGAATGGTCATAAGGAGAATGGCAAGGACGAAATGTACCACGGACTGCTGTGCATGTACGAGACTGCGACAAGTGGCGGGTGGGCGAACGCGATCCAGCCTGGTCCGACCGTGAATGGGGTCGAATATCTAGCTTTGACGGACAGTGAGGAGGGGTGGGTATTCGTCTTGAGCTGGGACGGGCAGGACATGAAAGAAGTTGCGAGGGCGAAGCTCGATGAGGGTGCCGGTGCGGCGACGGCGGTGTGGCTGTGAACGCAACAAGGAGCAGTACACATTACAGGCGTGGTGTTGGTCGCAGAAAGTCCGTCGGATCGGTTCAAGGTTCCCATGACTGCAATACTGAATGCCATCTAGACTTGCCCAAGGTCTATGGGAATTTCAGTGCCAGCTCAGGTCATCATGCTAGACACGAGAGATGAAATATGCCGTAGAGGAAGCCTTACAAACCAATAGACACTGCCATGAGTGGCCAACTCTTTACAGCCAGAGACTGCGATGCTCATGTCGAGCGGTTGTGATACGTTGTAATAATCGGAAATCCATTCTGTACATTAATAACCTCATTTTCCAAGTATCTACAGGACGATCTCAACGCCTCCCAGGCTCAGCATTAGGAAGCAGGCTAGCCACACCTGATTTGCTGAGCCTGTCCCATTCCCATCAAGTATTCTTCTCCTGGGCTTGAGCATTTGTGTTGGAGCCAGTGAGAGCCGAACCATTAGTCCTCGCCCGAGATCGATGCCTAATGATCTCAGTGTCTTGATCCACTCTGCTTCTGCTCGCATGCAATGCTGCCATCCTCGACTCGTTGTCACTCTCACTGCTGCTCTCTTCATCCGTAGCAGGCTTTTTCGTTGCCATGGTCGGGGCAAATTTTGATTTTCGTCGCAACTTCTTGCCGAACAAGTAGAAACAAATTGGAATCGGCACGAGACAAGCAGCGAGACAGCCTAGAAGGGTACCAGCCCATTGAATTCCGAGGTTATTGAACATCTGGCGTGCGAAAAGTGGAAAGCCGGCGGCGAAACATGATCGAAGAAAGGTGTTGGCTGCTATGGCAGAGGCGGCACTGCAGTGCTGGTCAGTATCTCCCAATCCCTATTTCAGAAGGTACATGGACTTACAACATGAGATAAGAATCGATGATATAGTTGAAGCACTGGATGAAGATGGCCAAAAGACCGAAGCCTGTGAAAAGACCGGACAGAGTTGGCACGATCCAGTGAACCGATTCTTTGTATCCAGACCAGCCAAACCAAAAGAGACCAAGGGAGAAGAGCACGCCGCCAATCATGACAGGTGGCAAGCGCCATTCAGGAACTGGAATACCACCATTGGCTTGCAACTTCTTGTTGTAGGCTCTCGCATCGTAGATGATGTAGCCAGCAACGATGAATATGCCCACAACCATGCCGAAAAAGGGCAGACCTGCCACACCGGGGGTCATATGATGTACACCTTGGAATACGAGAGGATAGGCTGTGAGGAAGCAGTAGAGGAGGCCGTAAATGAACGACATGTAGAGTGTGATGAGCAGGATGATAGGTTCGGAAACCAGCAGTCGAATAGGACGAGAAAAATTCTTAGTCACGAGTTCTCGGAAATCGACCTCAACCTCTTCCTGCTTCGCATGGATGCCCCAATTCTTAGTTCGGCGGCGCAATTCCTTGGCTTTGTCGACCAGAATTACTGGGGCGTAAGTCTCCGGTAGGAAAACGATGTTGAGGCACAAAGCGAATGCGCCCATGATGCCTGGCAAGTAGAGGTTCCAGCGCCATCCCAGATAGGACTCGTTGATGAAACCTCCGATAAAGGGCCCAAGCATAGGCCCCATGAAAACCATGGAAGAGAAGATGACAATGGCCACGCCTCTTTGTCGGTTGTCGAACATGTCAGAGAAAGCAGCAGCAACCACAGCTAGGGGACATGAACCGAAGAATCCGGTGAAGAAGCGACATATCATCAGAGTCTGAAGGTCCTTGGCTACAGCACAACCGAAGCAGAAGACCGAGAACCCGAAGACTCCGACCAGAATAGGGAGTTTACGACCCTGCAGTTCGGAGAAGGGTCCCCAAATCAGAGGCCCGAAAGCATATCCAAGCACATAAAGCGATGTACTCAGGACTGCGACTTCGACGCTGACACCAAAATGCGCGGCCACGGAGGAAGTTGACGCGGAGAAAACCGACGATGTGAAGGTACTGCCCAGACAGGTGTATGCGAGAATGGCGCCAATAAAGAATCTGACAGTATTCAGCATGTGACACTCCCGCGGCATTTTCAAATACTTACTTTCTCTTGAATGGCCAATTCTGTGGGTGTGTAGGATCATCTTTTCCGTCAAATTCGACCACATATTCTTCTTGAGCAGGTAGCGTGGGAGGATAAGGCTTGCCGCCTCCAAACGCTGGCAGAGGCTTCGTGTCGGTGCGGGATTTGAGGCTCGCACCCACCGTCTGGACTTGCTGAAGGCGATGCGTTTCGGTTCTGAGGTCTTCAATAGGATGTGTTCTGGTTCGAGTCGCCAATTCGGGGGCGGAATAGCCTGCCGTCGCTATCCTACCCATTGAAGGCGTTGTTGATGTACTCGATCCCGACGAACTGGACAGTGCCGACTCTCTTGATACTTCGCTGCGCAACGAACGGCGTTCTTTGCTTTGCTGGGAGAACGTCCTTGTAGCCTGCACCTCGGCCCTCTCCACGTCACGATCTACGACATCCATGTTGACGGCGTGTGATGCGTTTTCCTGGCTATTTCTGCTTGTCTCTTGTTTTCGATCGGTGTGCGATGTCACCCGTGCATAGTCCCGAAGGCTTCAAGCGCGACGAATGGATGTTGGATGGTGATGAGGCGGGAGGAAACCTCTGCAGCGGAGAATTAGCAGTCGAGGATTCGGCAGCGTCGCGTTGTGAGAAGGTAGGACGACGGGTGGCCCGATGTGGTTGGTATTCAGATATGAACAAGAAATATACTCAACGAGACTTAAAGCAATGGGAACGATATACTAGAAAATATCTCGGCTCATGGATAGGAGGAAACGAAATCCTTGGGCTTACATGAACGAAAGTGTGAGTACAGTCTATCGGTGGTTGAAAGTCGAGGGGAGCAATTGCCAACTGCAGGCACGACACTGGAGGGAGGTGACATAACACATGAGCACAACCAAACAGCCAGCATCCGCACTCCCCGCTAGAGTTTCGTAGGTGCCCAGTAGCAAGACCGTTTTTGCTTCTAGGTGTGGATATTGGGGCATGATGGGTCTCCTCTAAGCATCTTCTTACTCGTAGGCATGAGATTCATAGCCCTGGAAGATCCTTGCGACACCCGATAATCGAGCCAATAGCGGCGGCTCTCCCTCAGCTAATTCAGTGGCTCTCCTGCAGGTGCTGATTCAGCAGTATCACCGTTTTCCGCTTGCACGCCGCTTGATGATGGCCCCTCTCGTTATCTCTGGAGCTTCGCCTTTGGTGCTCCTGACTCGCTGACTACACAAAGCCAATTGTTCGAAAAGAGCTCGGTAGGAATGGATGGCACACCTCACTCCTTCTGCCACTCAACGGATACTGCCGGCGCGGCGAAGCGATGCAGATTGCCCGTCTCCAGACGATAATGGTCGGGCGATGCTGTGTCCAACGTCATGACGGTCAGCCGTTTCAAGACCCTGCTCTGCAGCAGCAGCAGCAGCAGCATTTGACCAGAATGGTTGTGATACAGATATTATGCTACAAATCCTCAACCTCCTGTCAATCCAGTCTCTAACCTGTTCCTTCTGCGAATTTCCGACCACCTGCTTTGGTCCCCTGCCTCCAGGACACTGATCTTTCGTGTTAGTCCGCTCGGGTGCCCCAGGACAACGGGTTCCCACGCGGATTCTTCTTCATCGCTACGTCCTCTTTTGCCTGGAATCATTTGTACACTCTTCCAACGCACCAATACAGCCGTGAGCAGCAATGTCAAGGTCAAGAGAACTCCAGCGACAATAAAGGCCGCCTGCATTGCACCGTATCTTCTCTCCACGCGACCACAGATACCGACCGAGACAGCCCCGAACACGAATTTCAGAGACTGGGTGACTGCCATGCCAGCGCTGACTCTTGGATAAGACGAGAAGTTTGTTCTTTGTTCACGGTACCGCATGACGACTGACTTGCGGACGGGCCTTCCGGTCATTCCTGGCTGAAGGTCGGAAACGTCAAACGTCTGCATCATCAGAGCGTAACATTCACCTATTGCCAGTGCCGAAGCCCATGCAACACACCCTGCAAATACACAAGGCACCGCCACAGGAAATGACGGGCCTCTTGATGTCAAGGCATATGCGATAGCCGACAAAGGTAGGAAAACCATGACCAATGCCCGGCGAATTGTGTGGGAAGTCCATGGAAGCGCCTTCTGAAATGTCATGCTATCGGTCCGTGGAGGGTAGTATCGAGCGCGGCTGAACCACGAAGCTTTCTGAAATGGTATCGCTAATGCCGACCCAATAACCAGAGAAAGTACGCACAGTCCGACGTCGACTGGACGGTAACGGTAGAGAGTGGATGTGAGTGCTCCCAACAGCTATGCAAGTCAGCTTTGCTGCCGATCATACTCTCATAAAGACTCACCATCAGAATCAAGGTGAACTGAGCATATACCCATGCGGCGTATATCGACAGAATCAGGAAGCCTGGCTGTTTCACCATTTTCCAGCTGAGCTGGAGACCTGCTTTGACCTCCTCACCCCACCAATAAGGCCCGTTCCCTGTCAGGTGCAGCTTGACTTCCCCGCGGGCGACTCTGCTGAAACTTCCCCCTTCACCAATTATCTCTGCAATGGTTCGGCGGAAAGCTGATCGGCGTACTTCAGGGGCGATCACATTCAGCAAAAGAACGCCCATCAACAATATTAGTGACACCCAGAAACCCCAATCCACCGAAGCTCCGCTTATGATGAATGCTCCGATAACGAACCCCAGAGCGATGGACCCAGTCGTGCACCAAGACCATATGGCCAGCCACACACCCATTCCTCCGCCGTGTCGACGGACATCATAAGGACTTGCCAAGCCTTCGTGAGATCTGCTGCTCTGGAGCGAAGCACCAAAAACGTCCAAGAGGGTACCGAGATTGTTGATGTTGGCGAATCCGAAGACGAATCCTGACAACCCGCGGGCCAAGAGCAAGATCACCCTGTATCTCTCCACGTCCGGAGATCTGAAAGAGATGACCATGATGCCTTGAGGGATTTGCAAGCATAGCGCCAGGATGAGAGCTGCAATGGTATACGGTTTCCGACCATGTAATAGCGGTAGGGGCCAACACACCAGAGTAGGGATGACAAGGCCGCAGTAAAGGGACACGTTTCCAAATATCACTCGACGGTTCAGGTCGACAACGACGTACTGGATAGCAGGGACTTCTCCAGCGTATATGCCGATTATGAGCCCCATGCACGCGGTATTTATGCAGCTCACCAGTGCTGCAAAGCGCTTTCGAGAGTCGGGCCAGTTCCGGGCGACAGGTGCATGGTGACACGTTTTGTGGACATTTACATCGTCAGGCTTTTCCTCAATGTCGACGTGCCGGGCTCCATTGAGGTCAATCTTGGAATTGGACACCTAATCCGGATGTGACATGTTCATGCTTGCTTGTCTGGAATTGATCCCAAACATGTTTGAGAAATGTCTCTCATGTCCCAGTCGTGGTACTTCCAGATCCCCACGGCTTCCGAGCAGGCTATCTTTCTCTTCTGCGTCTTCGGTGTTCAAATCGACATTGTTCAGCTGTATTATTGGTGCAGGCCGCAGACTCGGCCTCTGCCCGTCGGGCACTCGCATTGAATTGCTGCGAGAACGTATCTCAGGTAAGTCGAGGAATCTCGTAGTCCGACCATTGCGGCTAGATGATGTCTGAGCGGATGTTCTTCGATCTCTGGACAGTTTTGTCTTTCTCTCATCAGGCGGGTCCGCAATTGGTTGTGGAGGGACCAAGCGCAGGTTATCCGAAACAGGTTCGTCGACATCTTCTTCGTCTGGAGCAAGTTCTCTCCCCGCGCGTCTACCTTGCTCATGTCTAGCTGTATCTTCGGTCGGTGGCGAAGCAACCGGCTCGGGAGATGCTCTTTCAAGGTATGTATTTACTCTCTTTGCTAGGCCTTCACTGGGTCGTCGAGTCGGACTCATCGGCCTATCCTGCTTCGCCTTCTCTGACTTGCGTTGTCCTTCTGAGATGCCAGCTGTCTCGGCAATTTGCACGGCTTCGGCGAGAAGAAGTTCTAACTCCTGGATAGTTCGAGCAATATTCTCGGGAGAATGTGGCTGGCTCATGTCTGACAAGGTGTCGGCTTCCGCTACACTTGCTTTTCCGTCACTGAGTTGGGACTCGCTAGAGAAGTCGGATGACCCAGCATTTTCGCATGATGGTTTCGCGGAGGACGCTGCCAGAGTCTCGCCGTTCTTGTCAGTATGCCCTCAATATGACAAGGACAGCTGAATATTTTGTCCCGACAGTATTCGCCAGGAGAGTTCTGTATGCATAAACGATGTGATCAGGGAGAAATTATTAGGTTGGCGGGACAAAATTCAGACAACGAAAGGACAGTTCTGCGTGTGGTTTTGCAAGGAATAGAAATGGTGGGGAACGATATGATTTGCGTGACAATGGCCCAAGGGCAAACGTCCTGTCTGCAAGGAGATGAGGATTTGTCCTTGTCATACTCAGTAGCTGCCAAGTTCAGACTCAGGCTCCTGCTGTTGGAGATTTGAAGACGGCAGACAAGCAAACAAGCAAACAAGCCTTGCTAAGCTTTCGGTAGACCTAGCCACAGAGCGCCACCTAGCTTGACTAGGAGCTTAGAAAAGCTTCTTCATGGCGGGATGAGGTCAGAGCGGGGGAAACGTACCTGGTATTGTAACGCTCGGCAGGTCCAGCTGGTCTGAAACTCCTGAGTCGATGCAAACGACAGATCTTTGCTTCAGTGAGAATCATATTCAGAGTAACGACGACGCTTCCAACGGTCCAAGAGATAGGTATATTTGATCGTAAAAGGCCCAATCACAGCATGATGAGTTCTTATTGTGCAGCTATCCTAAGCAACAAGCAGTTTACCCCTCCGTTCCGGTTCCCAATTGGTGATTCCTTTCCTGCGTTTGCTCCGAGCTGCCAACGTGTCTTCCCTCCTGCTCACCTCTTCCCTGCCCTCCTTGTCATTCTTCTGTATTACCCCTTTCTCCCTACCACTTCTATTCTCGCTTGAGGTCAGGTCAGCGTGAAGATCGCAGTCCGACACTCCCAGCTTTCCTATTCCTTCATCGATTTTCTTGAGACGTCTCTCTTCAATCTTGATCTCAATCACCCTTTTCTCCTCACCCGGCCAACATGTCCTTCTACAACGAAGGGTACGGCCAACAACAATATGGCCAAGGACAAAACTACAACCACCGTCCTCGCGTCTCGGAACCATGGGTCACCGAGTGGGATGCTCGAGACAATCGCTGGATCTTCATCAACTGCGAGACGGGCGAGCGAAGTTTCGAACATCCTCAGCAGTCCTACAGTGACAGCTACTGGGGTAACAATGTTCACGAATACGATGGCCAGAACCAAAGAGAATACTTTGAACAAGAGCCACAAAAAGAATCTCATACTGGCCGAAATGTTGCCCTTGGTGTTCTTGGTGGAGCGCTCGGTGGTGCGTTGTTGATGCATGAAGGGGAGAAAGTCGGTTAGTACCTCTCAGATGTATCTTCCCACGACGTTTCAGTAGGCTAACAGTGCTTCAGAGAACAAGTGGGACGAAGACAAGTACCGTCTGGAGAATGATGTCCGCCAAGGAGTTGACAATGTGGAGCAATTCCCAGAAGATGCTGCTCGCTGGACTGGAAGAGGACTTCAAAACGTGGAGGACATTCCCCAGGACATCGAGAATAAATGGGACAACGCAGTCCAAGACGTCCAAGACGTTCCAGAAGATGTTGCTGGCTGGGCCGGTGGAAAGGTTGGAGATGTGGAGAGGTTCGACGAGAACATGGACAACGCCTATGATCAAGGTCGAGACCAAGCTCGCTATGACGATGAATACCGTGACAACTACTGAAGGGATACGGTCATGGCCATGAGCTGCACCTGGTGCGATCTTTTACGACGAACGCTGAGCTTTACAATTCATCGTGTACAACTCAACATATGATCACTAGATATCCACCATCACCAAAGCCATCGCAGCGTCCTTTAGACGGTTGAGAGAGCGTGGCCTTGCGGGATTGGCGTTTGCTACAATATGGAGCAGTTCACTGAGAGAAACCTTGCTTGAAGTAGATACGAAGCTGAGATAAACCGATGGTCATGGCTGTCCCCAGCTGGGGGTACCATACCTCAGACTCCGCGGAGACGTGCTTGGCTCTTTCCTCGTCAGCTCCTATGTCCATAATTGAGTCTATCAACTAGCAGAGCTCAGGAAGATGGTCAACAAAGCTGAACAACGCCCTTTGCAGCCTAGGCGCAAATGTAAGAGTCAAGAACAATGAACACCACACCTGGGCATTCATAGTCCATTCTATTCCATTCCAATCTTGCACCACTAGACCATGACAAACGCACAATGAACTGTGTCATCTACTTTCGAAGGCGCGTTTCATCACTGTTGAGGTAAGAACGACGGCAATATGCAAGGTCAGTGTTGGAGCAAGCGCTGCCTCGCAAGGCGGTTGGCAAAAGGACGAAACAATTGCCTCTGCTCTGCCTCCTTTCTCGCATCCAAAGCAGTGACCAATACCTGAAGACAAGTATTTTATTCTTCCGGTGATTCCATTTACCATTATATCTACAAAGGCAGTGCTTTACCCTTAGCTACATAGTCGATCTATATCCTTTTTCTCGGATCAGCATTAGGGATATTCTTTCCATACCTTACCGGGACATTCTTTTGGAACCACTCTTGAATACAGATTGACAACCACCTGTTGTACAGCTCTCGCCTGCAAGATGTCCGGAAATCACAGCGAGCCAGCCCAAATGGCCCACTTGGAAGAGACAAGGGCAGAAGACGAGATCAACAAACTGATTGCTGTACTGCGCGATACGGTACAAGCACACGAGGACTCGGCGAGCCCCACCCCTGACGACAAGATGCCCACCGCTATGCCGCAAGACATGCTTCCACAGACAACGAACTCAGCCCACGTTGAGACCCACCACGATAGTCAAGACTCGAGGTATAGGGAAGTCGCCAACGACGACTTCGAAGAGGAATGGTGGGAAACATGCTCTGAGTCAGACTCAAGTTCAGGCTCTGATTCGTACTCAATTGCCAAGTCTAGTGAGGAGGCTGAGGACGACGACGACGAGATGTGGTCCATAAGTGCCGCGGAAGAGATTCATCGAGAGGAGATGGTCTTGATGCCTCTGGCGAGACCACAATTAAACCTGTTCATCAACGGCCATTTGCGCAGATATGCCATGATCAATTGGCAGATTGACTGCATCGAGGCCCGTGAGGGCTGGAGAGATCTTGAGGAGCAGGAGATTCAATCTCCTGAGAATATGTCTCTGCACACAGGAGAGACGACGGTGACTTTCGCACCAGTAGACACCTGGGGGGCAGAAAGAGAAAAACAGAACCAAGGGCCAGCCGAGCACCGGTGGTGAGTGATGAGGCTGGATGTGAAGGCGTAAAATCATGCTGACCATCACTTGTGAATGAGTCACGGCTGAGCTGAATCTTGGGTGATACTTTTGCAGTATAATGATAATCATAAACTGGCCATTTGATATTTTGTTTCATTCTGCATGTCGTTGGGGAACAAAGAGGAGAGTCTTGAGATGAGACGACGTCGTACCTAGCAAACATGCTGATTGGAGAGCCAACTTGCAAGGGTGTCGACCAGGGTCAGCTCAACGATGACGTCGTCTCGTCTTCAACTTTGTACTACAGGATATTGACATGGACAATTCTTCAAAGATACCTAGAGTATATCACCATACATGTCCTCGGACCACGTTACCTACTGGTCATCCATGCAAGCATTGCTTTCGGAGTGCCGGCATCAACGAGAATGGAAACAATAAAATCCGCATTAGGGGGCGGCGGTAATGGCGCTGATGGCGACGCGCCCGGCGACGTCCAGCTCCCTGGAGGCAAGGACGGCGGCGACGGCGACATGCCATCTCGTGAAGAGATGCTCAAGACGATCGAGTCGCTGCAAAAGGCGCAAAAGGCGCAGACGACGGCCAACAACCTCAAGTCGAAAGCGATGGCGATGACGAACTCGACGCAGCGCGAGAAGATGCTCAAAGAGGCCTTTGACAAGGAAATGGAGGCCCACGGGCACAGCAAGATGGCCAAACGCCTGCAGAGCGGGACGTGGCAAGGGCTAGGCTTCGGCGGGGGCATCGGCGCCGCGTCGGGTCTTGGTCTCGGTGCCGGCGTGGGCACTGTCCTCGGCGCGATCCTCGCCGTGCCGAGTACCGGGCTGGGCATGCTGGTGGGCAGTGGAGTGGGCGCCATTCATGGGCCGTGGGTCAAGTTGGGAGGCGGGAAGGAGGAGCCGTTTGAGGACGCGGACCCGGAGAAGGTGGTTGATGCGTTGGAGGAGGAGAGGATGCAGCAGCAGCAGCAGCAGCAGGGTGGTGCGGGGGGTGGTCAGGGTCAGCCGCAGTCTCAGCCACAGTCGACGGAGACAGGGGAGAAAGCGAGAAGGAAACCCCCGAAACTGGAGGTTCGGTCGAAAAAGAATGCTGAGACAGAGACCGGGGCAGGTAGAGGGCGGCAGCAGCCCGATGCGGCGAGTGACAAGGGCGCTGTGAATGTGAAGGAGGGCGTCTCAGAGGAATCGAAGCCGAGGAGGAAGCCCCCGAAACTGGAGATAAGATCTGGAAAGGCAGGCAGTACAGCAAAGGCATGAATTGGGGACGAGTCGCCGGACAGGGGAGAAGGCTAGTGAGGCTCCAGGTCCGGCTCGATCGTTTCACGTTGGTTTGCGAGTTGCATGTTTTCTTGCATCACTTCTTCGAGCATTTAGCCATTTCGTGATGGATTCAAGCATCGGCCACTCTGCTTCTAGTTTATCCTCGCTCGACATTGTTTGGAACCACCATGAACCATCAACCGGGGCCATCCGCGATTGCGTTACAGCCTCGCAGTCCCCCTCGTCACCGGTCTGACGACGAAGCCAACCCGTGGAAAATGGACTTTGACCGGTCCTACTTTAGGCCCATCACCTATCGTTTTCGGCCGTATGACCACTTCCTCGGGCGTGATGGCCAACAAAGTCCCTATCGTCGGACTGTCCCTGCCAGTATCGTCCGGGGCAACACTCACCTCAGCTCCCGCTACCAGTCCATTCCTCCGGTCAAGGGAAGAATGTGGTCCGGCAGGCGTGGGTATCAGGGGTATTTCGTCCTCAACAATGGAGACCGTCTTCAACCGGTCCATCGTACCGGCAATCCCGCCCTCATCCTCCTTTTCAATCCTCGTCTCCGTACTGGGTAACTTCTCAAAGTACTCCTTGGCCCTCTCGAACCAGGCCACAACTCCCGGATACCTTTCCTTGCCCCACACTCTCCCCAGCCCCTCTCCATCTCCATCCGCCGTGCCTCCGCCCGTTAAATTCTCAATGCCCTGTCCACGACTGATCTTCCCAGCCCAATCGAGTTGGTACCAAAGCGCAATGTCCGCCGCACTCGGACTCTCCCCGTCAAAGATCCATTTTTTACCGCTTGCCGTGAAGAGAGGCTCCAACAGACTCAATTGGAGATCCAAGCCGCTCAGATTTTGCGGGACTTTGCGTTCCAGTTTCTCCGCGTCGAGTTTGTGACCGATCAGATTCGCCCGGTCGGTCCCGAAGTGCGTGCGCCACACGCTGGCTGGAATCAAGCCAGTGGTTACCCGGAACAAGGGCCTGTCGGTCCAGTACGATGCAAACCCGCGGATGAGTGGGCGGTAAGTAGTTGTTGGACCGGGATAAAGGGAGCCGTAGCCCTCGGAGGGTGGGAAGGAGTGTTCAAGGGCTTCGAGGATGAGTGATGTGTCGATGTAGATCTACCACGGGCGCCCTGGTCAGTGAGAGCAAATGGAGGCTCACGAAACCGTGTGGAAGGCTTGCTATACCTCTCGACCTATGGCAAGGACGGGGATCTTGCGGTATGTCAGATTGAAGTTGTCCTTGAGAATTGGTCGTGGCATCATGGATGGGACGATCACGAATGCTGTGACGCGATGGCAGTCAGCCTGCGTACATTCAGAATGGAATCCCTCATCCGTAAACCACGCTCAATGGGCTGGCAACTCCGCGCCTGAGTTCTTCCTCAGGACAGGGGTCTCTTACTGTACGGTATCTGCTTCAACTTCAACGCCAGTCTGACCTTCTGCGTAAACGGAGAAGCTGGAAGATGTCAGCAGTTAGTTCTTGGTAATTCCCCTACTGGCTTCATTCCTCTTTGCCAAATGAGAAACGATGATCGGACGACTTACAATCATACCCAAATAGCGCCACTAGAGTCTTTTGAGATCGTCGGTTTGCCATCGTCTACCGTCGGCTTCAAATCTTCTACTCGCTTGATGGTAAGGAGGTAAACTCTCCCCAGTCGAGAGGTTCGATGTCGTAGACTAGGAGCGAGCAGATACGGATTCAATGCATTGAAGGCCAACCACTTATGTTAAGCCCGAGTTTCGTCCACTCCGAGGCATTGGCACACTGTCACCTACGAGGAGTAGAAGATCGTAACATTTCCATGGAGATGATAGAAGTAGGTCGACGGTGTGTTCGGGCCAATGGCATCTCCGCACTCGATCCAAAACAACCTCGGCCGCCACGATATAGTTAAGTACTGCTGGTACCTACCTTGCCTAGTATTAATGATTGCGATCACCAACTTAATATGCATTCAATACCCATCGTGGCCCATGTAGTGTTCATACCGCGCCCTTCATGCTGTCCAACACGGACACACTTGACTCCTGTCCGTCCTCTTTGGCAGATTCCTAGACCAACTCGATCTTACTGCCCCCATTCAGCAACGGTACTCGGTACAAGGCATACGGCTTGACCCTTCTATCCACTCCACCTTGCTGAGCCGGACCCCTCCAAAGTTGATTCTCCGTGAAATACAAATACTGCCCACTCGTCGAGAATGTGTCTGTCCACTCGATCCTCGGATCCCGCACGTACGTCTGCACCGTACCATTCACCGGATTGAACGCGAAAATCGAATCCGTCTCGACACTCCCGCCGTACACGATCCCATTGCTGTCGCTTTCTAGCCCGTCACTCACCCCCTTCTGGCCCAAATCCATGACGGACGCCTGCGCGAAAAGTTCGCCCGTGACACTCGTATCGCGCAATCGAGCCGTGGGAACAGCGTACAAATGCCGACCGGAGACGACGCTGAAGTACAAAGTCTCGCCGTCGTTCGAGAGCGTGATTCCATCCGCACCAAAAGCGAGCCGTGATATTGGCCGGCCGTTGCCCGGGTTGCTGTACACGGGCTCGCCCCAGACCGTCACGAAGAAGCCTGGCTCGGGACGGACTTGGGGGATACTCTCGAGATGGCGCCATGACTCGCCCGTGCCGAGGTCGACGATGATGATCCCGTTGCGCCCTTCGGACGAGGAGTCGGTGATGTACGCTATGCCCTGACCTGAGGCGGTGACGGACGGGCGCAGGTCGAAGCGTACGTCGTTCGGGTAGGAGTCCGCATACGAGACGTTCGGCGGAAATAGAATCGTTTGGAAGATTGTGTTGTTGGTCAGATTGACACCGACAAGTTTGGGCCCGCCGTAGTTGGAGGTCGTGAGGGTGCCATTAGGGGTCAGGGCACGGCCGGTATCCAGGATCCAGAGACGGTCCTTTGGGTCAATGACGACGCTTTGCACGCCGATGAGGTAGTTGGAAAGGCCCTTGGCTTGCGGCGGGTATTTCGTGTAGTCAATCGCACCGCCAGGAGGGCTGTTGATTTGGGAATCCGGGTATGGAGTTTCTGTACTGTTGGAATTGAGCTCGGCGACTTGGTATTTTGTATTTGTCGCATCGAGGCCGAGCGGGTAGTTTGAGAACATCCGTCCTGAGGCGGAGACGGCGATTCCTGGACAGTAGGTCAGCTAGCCCGGTCCTGCGAGGCGACGAGGACCCCAGTAGTGCCTACCTGTTGGCCACTCATCGTAGTAAAGATGCATCAACTCCGGAGTCGGTCCAACACCAATCGGGTCTCGAGAGACCTGTTGTGCGGAGACAGCCTGCCAGGCGCATACGGCAGCGATGATTCTTACCGTGAACTTCATCCTGCAGCTCGATATTCTTGTCCGGGATGACAATGATGGAAGAAACTAGACGAAAGCAAGTCGGCAGGCGTTGAGAAGCATTGAGTGAAGCTATAAGCTGCGAGCTCTTCTTGAGTCCGAAGTATCACGAATGATGAGCTCATATGCGGGAGTATGACCGTTGTGACCTCAGCATCTATGCGGATGAACCAATAGTTCCACCCAAGGTTGGAGCGGACATGGGTCAGAAAGGATATAAATCCGGGGCAAGTTGACATGGTGTGGCATTCTAATTGGTGTACCTCGTGCCTGAAGTATTCCAGGATTTCTATTCGGGATAGTCTGGCTGATCATATAAGGAGGAGCACTGAGGAGAGGAGAGGAGTACAGAACTGCCGGTGGTGGTGACGTCGGGATGTGCCTCGCTCCCCATGTTCCCCGTCACGCCCGTTCACCCGTGTCTAAGTACAATATTGTGCACATGTTGAATACTCCTTGGCTGTTGTATCTTCTTCACACCTCACGACTTCTCATCCTTGTCATGCACAATCACCCTGATCCCCTTGCTTTCCAACTTGACTCCCGCCGTAAACAGATCCCTCGTTGGCGTAGCGTCACTATCATCCGTTTCGTACATCTCCAGATCGTACCTCTGCACCATCGCCGCCAGGCTCATATAAAGCTGCGCGTAGGCCAGATGCATCCCGATACAGTTCCTTGAGCCCTTTCCAAACGCCACGATATACTTGTCCAACCTTGAAGTGGTCTTGCCCTCACCCGCTTGATCCAGCCAGCGCTCAGGTATGAATTTCCTCGGCTCCGGGAATACCTTCTCGTCAATGAGCACCAAATGCGGAGTCATCGCGACAGGCGTGCCAGCTGGTATGACCCATTCTTTGTAGACGATGTCCTTCTCGCAAATACGCGGTAGACGCGACAACATTCCACCCGCCATGCGGACCCCCTCTTTAATCACTGCCGTCAAATACGGCAAGTGCTCAAGGCTCGTCCACGGCGCTACCACGTCCCCCTTAGGTATCTCCACCGTCGCCAACTCTTCCCGCATCTTTCTCCTCATCTCCGGGTTCTTCATGATATGGTACGTCGTAATCGTGATCGCCCAAGCCGTCGTCTCCGATCCCGCCGTCGCAATCAGCACCCCTTCGTCAATTAGCCTTTGATCACTCAGTTCACTCTCGGGTAAATCAGTCGACAAGATCTGCGCGAAAATAGTATCCTTCCTCCGCTTGTCGGAGCGGATCATGTTCATGGTTTCCGGATCAGCTTTGATCTTCTTGACCTGGACCCCGACACGCTGCATCCAGGACTTCATGAAGCCCACCGGCGGCACCAGCTTGATCGCAACAGACAGCGGCATGGATCTCACGATCGCTCCGATGAGCGGGAATGAGCGCACAATCGCAGCGCTCGCTCGCCCACCCGTGTTGACAAGTTTCCACGTCATTGCCCACTCCGGATTATGGATGTAGTCGTACGTCCACCCGTAGCTGCACTGTGTAAGCACGTCGGTGGTCAAGGCCAAATAAACGGCCTCCAGATCCAACACGTCGCGGCTCCCAGTTTTCGCGACCTTGTCCAGCCGTTCGCACATGACGCCCAATTTCTCCTGGATGATGGGCATATTCGCGATGATGCTCGCCTTGGAAAAGAATGGGTTCAGCGCGCCGCGTCGTTTCCTGTGAACCTCATGCTCAACTGTCATCCCGCCGGCCGTGGGCACGGCGAAACCGCGCGTCCACCACGACCACTTGTCGAGTTTCATGCCGTACAGCTCGTCGAAGAAGTCCGGGTCATGGATGTGCACGTCATCTGGGTTCGTGCGGATCACGGGCCCGTATTTCTCGTGCATTTCCTTGATCTTCCAAATATAACGATGGCCCTTGAAGACATCGTAGTATGTTTCGTGCCAGTAGGTCGCAACTGCGAGTTTCGAGCCTGGAAACTTGGAAAGCGGGTGAAACCAGATCCGGTAGATGGCCAGAGCTACGTCGTACGCGATCTTGGCCAGGAGCAGGTAGCCCACAAGGCTGCTCCATGACGTGGCTAGGCCGAAAGTCATGTCTTCGGGGCCCATGTCGGCGATGATATGTTGTCGACCACGCGATGAAGAGTGTAGAGGAAAGGTGGCCCAGAGCTCAATAGTAGTAGTCCTCTTATGTGAAGCCTACGGGTTTCACACTTCAGGGGCTCGTTGACCTATGTATTCGTACATCGGCATGATCGGCGTTCCTTCAGGATGGGGCCAAAACAGATTCTCAGGCTGGGGCCAGCAGTCAAAGCCTACCAACTCACGCAACTATATTGAATGTCGGCAGGTGCAAAAGCTCCGGTGGCATGCAAGTCGCACTTCCTTCAGGACATCATTTAGGCAATACCCAATCACCGAGTTTGGATTGACAGGCCGCGTATGACCTTGGGTGGACATGGGAGATCATGCGAGTAAGCAGTCAACTACTCCTTAGGGATTAGTTCCGGACTCTGGCTGTCCGTCTATCTCGCTCATGACGAGGCTGTCAAGACGATGTCGCACAGTTGATAAAAGACACCAATGCATACGTCGAAACGGGGAAACATCCTTCTCGTCAGACGTGAGGGCAGAGCAGAGCAGAAACCAGAGCCCTCGTCAAAAGAATAAGCACGAATAAGCCCTTCACCGTCTTGCGAGCAGAAACTATGAATCGTTCCATTTCAACGCCATACAACAACAAGCTCGTGGGGAATCGCTCTTGCGGTGAGAATCCTGCAAGGTATTGAATGCTTTCACTGATAATCTCACAAGAACCAAAAGGTCTGTGAAAGTGTCTTGGGATGGGAACTGTCCTTGAGACAATGATAACAACTTCAATGCACCTGAGGTATTGGAACGTTCAGTCTTTCACAATATCCTCAGCCCGCAGCATTCAATCACTGCCGAGTGAACAACCGCTTTTCGTCCCAACCAGAGGTACACAAATTCTTCAACGAACTTTTTGTCCGATGCACTCCAGCTGTCCAAGCCCATCGCTGCCATATCTTCCTGCGTGACCTCCACTTCAGCCTGCTCGCCTTGCTTCGATAATAGACCTCGTGTCTCTTCCTCTTCGGCAGGGGCCGTCTGCTCCACCGAGTTTTGGTCGACTTGGCTCTCATCACGATCTTCATCATCATGATATGCTTCCTCCGGATCCTGTCCATCAACCCGCGCGATGGCGGCAGTGATCGTCCCGAAAATGGCCTCCGTGATACGGTGGAAGAATGCAACGAGAGCAACTTCACGAGTCTGGTCGTCTTCTTCATCCGGGACTAACGAGTTATCTTGCTCACTCTCCGCTTCCTCTGAATCCGTCAACCCAAACCGTCTGTCTCCAGCTGATGCCCACCAGACAAGGGAAGTGTAAGCTGCTCGTGGCCAGGACGGCGGCTCCACGACCGCCCTGTCCTCAGCGTACGCCGATGAAGACGAGGAGGTCGACCAAGTGTCATCGTTGTACCTTTCATCGACACCGTTGATGGCAACTTGACAGGGCGGATACCGACGGAGGCCTTGCCGTAGATGCACGAAACGATGGTAATCTCGTTGGCTGGCTCGGATGCATGTTCTGGGAAATGACTTGCTCAGCTCTGGTGTTGAGTGTACTATGCGGGGAAACGCCTTTTTTGAGGCGTTTTTGGTCTCAGACCGTGGCATCAGAACCAAGACGTCGTATAGTTGAGGCTTGGTGCTTAGCACATCGTCTGTCGTGCAGGCGATCCAGCTCTTAGTTTGTTCCAGCTGTGGAATGTCCAGCACTCCAACTGTGAAAAGAGGCTGAAGCCAGGCTGCCGGCGTCTCTGAGTCAGGTAGTCGAGATGAGAGTGACCTCGAGATAGACGAGATAATAGACATGTTATATACTGTTGCAAATTAGCCACCAGTGCGTGCGCCGCATGGAGGATGCGCACCAAAGTTACAGCTGGATTCGACAGGAGTATCTGTGACTATTAATATACGCTTCCGCAGCAAAGAGGCTCGGTAAAGTGGAAATATGAGCGGACCAAAATCCTTGAGCGCGTCCAGCAATGTGATGGCAGGATGATGCGGCATCAAGCTGTGGTGTGGAGGTATGAATGTCGTCGCCGTGCTCATGGACCTTGACTTTCGGTAGCCATTGGTCTGTCGGCCGTTGACCTCGGCCGACGGTTGAGCTTCTTTGTCGCTAGGCGTGAGCTTGTGCTTGTCCCAGTACTCTTCCAATGCAGTGGTGTTCTTCAAATCATCTATCTGCGCCCTCCCAGCTGTTAGCCTGGACCGCCGGCACTCTCTGAACTTCGTACCTAGCAAGCTCTTCAAGAACCACGGCATGACGCCAGCTTCGCCCTATGCGACCATGCTCCAATGGCACGAGGACGCCCACAGCTAGCATTCGAGCTGCTCGTTCCGACTGTTCATCGGGTTTGTTGACAAAGGCGCTGAGACCTGCATAGTCTTCATGAATGAAATATCTTTTGTTTCCTCAGTATACGCATCTCTTGATCCACCAAATCCCACTCACATCAAATCCTCCTCGACATTGTGGAGCCCGGAGGGCAGCGACTTGAACTCGACGACGCCTTCGATCTGGACTTGGGCTTAGGGTCAGCATCGAACGGGAGAGATGGCCAGGTGCACGCGGACCGCCTTCGATTGATCTATGCCATCCTAGCGTGTATCTGGTGCCAGGTTAGCAGGCGGCATATGTATGCAGGGCACTGGTACATGCATACCCTTTGCGATTGTCAAAGTTGACGAGGAACAATGCGGCGATGGGCGGAACAGGAGGGTCGCTGCTGGTGTCAATCCTCAAGGGAGTTGGCACAGCCATTCTTCACCTGCTATCTCATATCATGGAGTATGGGCTGCGACCACCATCGACAACTACTCAAGACACCGAGAATGGCGCATTGGGACGGAGTGTGTATGGGGCGCGGCTCACCAGGCACCTAACAAGCACCCAACAAGTGCCAAGGTACCTAGCACCTACCTAGCTCGCTAGGTATGGTTGAACTGCGGATAGAAGCTCGCGGCTCACCACGCGTCTGAGAATAGAGTGATGCCGCCCTATGCTCACCGACCGCTCACAAAAAAGTGGCTGCTTGGGTGGCGATGCCTGGCTTTGCATTCGACAGCGAAATATAAAAACCGTGAAGCCGTCATCAGTCACCTTGCCACAAGCGTCCGCAGGTAGTCGTAACTAATTCACTAGACTATGATGACAATGTGTAAAGTTGAGTTATAGTTGTTTCTATCACTGACATGAGAAACCAACACTCAAGTCTGAGTCTAAGGAATGTTCTGGTCACTGAGACGACTTGTTTTCATTTCACTGGACCATCGATACACGAGTTTGACAAAGCTGGGTAGGAACAGAACTTACCTGATGGTGCTGGCACCCATTGGACACGACAGACAGACGCTTCGGCAGCGAAGTGCTTGTGGACAAGAGTAGTTCGCACTTTGCATTGTTGCGTAGGCCCTTCGGTGAAGACCGTGGTCGAAATTTGAGCCAGTTTCGATTGGAGCTCCTGCATGGATAAAGGTGGTCTGGTACGCGACTCTGACCTCTTCCTGCCAGTGCTTGTGCGTTTTGAAGGTCGAGCAGCGCCGGAATTGAAGCAGGACAAGGTCAGTGCAGAGACGATGAAGACGTGCAAAGATAAAAGATGAAAGGTCCGCAGAGAGAAATGATGAAGAAGCACAGAGAGAAATGCTGGAGAGCAGGGAAAAAGAATGACGGAAGTAATGTAGGATTACTGGCAGTCGCGAGCACTGGCAGGCACGAGAACCGGTGTCCATCTCATCCGGGACAGGTACTGTTTTGCTCTATGCTTCCGGTGAGTGCTCCTGATGGCTGACATTCCCAATTTGCAGGAGCATCAAGCACAAGCCTATCTAAATAAGTCCTGTCCTTGGTAGTAATGCTGGAGATCTAGGAGGACCATCCTTCTATCGTGCAGAACGGAGTCGAAGGTAGAACGCCGATAGGAAGACCGAAGAGTTGAGTTCACTACCAGGGTAGTCAGTGACGGGGGGATTGCGACAACTATATTGGGTATCATGCTCTATATGTCTTTGATTTTAATTCTGTCAACCTAGACCTCTTCCTCCAGGGAATACCTCGTCTGACTGCCGTTCGTCTTCTTGAAAACGTAAGATATGCTACTGCCGCCTGTCATGTCCTGGCTAAGACGAAGAATGTGTTCGAGACAGTCGTCATCAACGACTGCAGAGACACGCTCAACCAAATCGCTGTCGACATCCGGTTGTGAGAAGATTGAGGTGTCGAGGTGGACATACTTCAGCAACTCCTCCCGCTCGGCCTCCACCTCACACTTTGCTGGCGAGGTTATCGATCCTGGCTGGTCTTGAAAGTCAGACTTCATTTGCTCCAAAGACGAGCTGTTTGCCTTCTTGGTCGATACTTGAATCTCCGGTAGTACTTCTTGAGAGTCCTGCTCCAGAGGTTCACCGTCCTCCCCAGCAACCTGAGTCTTCTTCAGGGCATGTTCACCATCAACACCTTCCTCGAGCGCTGTACCTTTGCATTCACATCCGATCAGCTCATGGGTGCGGAGTCCAGCATTTTCATCCAGACGAAAGAGATCTTTCAGCTCTTCTTGACTGAAGGTTGAAGTCTGACCTTTGCCCTTCTGTTTGGGCGCCAAGCCCCCTGATGATATCGTAGAACCACCCTGCATGATACTATCGGCCAATGCTCTCTTGACGACTTGTCGCTGCCAGATCTTCTCTTCCAGACCACCCTTGATCAAGAAGCGGTAGATCTTGCAGTGTCGCTTTTGTCCCTGTCGGTGAATCCGTGCAACAGCTTGATCGTCTGTTGCCGGGTTCCAGTCCACATCGAAGAGGATAAGTCGGCTGGCCCCGATCAAGTTGAGACCAACACCACCTGCCTTTGCACTCAACAGAAAGGCGAACATCTGCGAGGACTTGGATCGGTTGAATTGGTCCACAAGATTTTGCCGCTTCGAGGCCGCCACTGAACCATCCAGACGTAGGGAGGGCAGGTCGGAGCTCTTCAGCAATTGCTCAATTAGGTTCAGGGTGGAGGTATAGTTCGAGATAACGACCACCTTTTCGTCAGTAGAATGCCTTAGTTGCTGTAGTAGCTGGTCGAGTAACCGGATCTTGCAGGAAAGATGGTTCTGATATAGCTTCGATAGCCCACTTGGAAGCATATCGTTCAACACTGTGAGCGACGATGATGGCGTAGCGTCATCGTTGCCATACTTCGGATCCATGAGGGCAGGGCTGTTGCAAAGCTTTTTTAGGATAGTAATGAGTTGGAAGGCCGTTTCATTGCTGCGAAGGGCGTTGTGGAACATGGGCGACTGCAGAACACTCCGGTATATCATCGCTTGAGCCTGAGTGGGTTTGCAGAACAGGACAAACTCTGTCTTGGGCGGCAGGAAATCAGCCAGTATATCAGCTGTCCTGCGAAGGATAAACGGAGACGTGATCCTGGCGAGCTCGTCACTAGCCTCCCGTCCACGTTCAAGATCCTCCTCGGATGCGTCTGGCTGCCGGCTTTTCATGATCGGTTTTTCAAAGTCCCGGACGAAGCCCTTCTGCGACCCTAGGCAGCCATCGTTCACAAAGTTGACCATGGCATAAAACTCGCTAAGGTCATTCTGGATTGGCGTGCCTGACAAGATGATCCTCCTCTTCGTGTTTAGCGACTCAATTGCCTGAGCGCTCTTGTTTTTCATGGTCTTCAGACGGTGGCCTTCATCGCATATGACTATGTCAATCGGATGGCCTTGGCCGAGATCATCAGCTACCATGCGTAGCCTCTCGTACCCAATGATCATGACTTGATAGACCTTGCCATCAAAGTTGATCACTTGTGTGTTTTGATCCTCGAACTCGAGCACACCCAGCCGATCCAGGCCGAGCCATTTCTTGAATTCCCGTTTCCAGTTACGAATGAGGGACACCGGACAAACGATCAGTGCCTTCCGGACGACAGGTGGTGCTTTATGAACGGGATTCTGCCGCAACAGAGTCCATAATAGAGCAATTGTTGTCAGTGTCTTGCCCAGCCCCATGTCGTCGGCAAGAATACAGCCTCGGCCGTCAAACTCCCGAAGTCCCATGACACATTCGTAAAGGAATTTGACGCCTTCTTGCTGGTGAGGTCGTAATTGTTTTCCCAGTAGAGGGTCCAAGACGACGTCTACCATCTGACGACCTTGCGGGGGGCTCTGCGGTCTCTTGAAAATAAATGCTCCAGCTGCCTTGGGATTATGACGAGGCGTAGGCATTTCAGATGGACCTTGAGGCATGATGGTGGTCTCTTTCAACGGCTGCTTGAATGCTGCAACACGTGAGAATTGTTGTAGGCCTTGTTTCTGGTTCTCTTTCTTCTCTTTCTGTATCTGTGCCTTCATTTGCTCCTTCAAGCTCAGCTTTGGCTGCAGGATCGTGGAAGGCTGCGTCGGTTTAGGTTTCGATGGGGGTATGTTGTGGACTCTTTGGGAGAGGGCCTTTGGATTGACGACGGCAATGTAATCATTTTTAGTGATGCATGAGTCGATTTCGACTTGTTTACCGCCAATAGAGAGGTTAAACCCAGGTGTGAGAGCTGCAGCTACGGCCGTTCGACCCATACTTCGTCCAGTGTTGTTGTAGAGCGTTGCATAGCCATCAGCCACTACCAGAACTCCATCGTCGGTCCAGGTCTTGTTCTTCTTGTTCGTTGTAACACGCCTGCAATAACGAGTCAGCTCCCACATAATCTTAATGAACGGTTATCTGACCAGAGCACCGAGTAATAGGTCTGGTTGCTGGTTGGCAGCCCAGTTGCCGAGGGCGCTTCAGGACTCGAAGGATTGTGGACTTCTTTTAATGGTGGCCTGTAATTGCTAGCGCTGTTGCTTTTGGTGTTGTTATGGGAGGTGGCTTTCGAGATAGACTGCTCTGTCTTGACTGCGGCGGGTTCGTCCTCGGGTGGACTCAATTTGCGCCGTTTCGCGGCTGGCCCAGCAGAAGCATCACTAGCAGTGATGGCATCGGGCTTTCTGATAGTCAGAGGCTTGAAGGGCTTGGAAAGCATGACACAAGCTATAGCCCAGGCGTAGATTTTCGTTGCCTCACTCAAGACGTCTTACCAAGGACTTCCTTGTGTCTAGAATTACCGATCTCAACCAGACGCGAGACGCGTGACGCGTAAAACAAAAAACGCCAGATCACGTGCTGTGATAGGAAAGGTGATCACCGAGATGTGCCTGACACCAGTCGTGACCAGTACTCCGTAGGTACAGATAACCATCCTTAGCAATATACCTGAAGCGCACTGACTCGTGAGAGACTCAGGACGAAACACGGTGAGAGCGCTATACAGTTTAGCTGGCAAGCTTTTTATAAGCAGGATGCACCAATGCACATGTCACTCTTTAGTACGAGGTATGTTTCAATTAAGTGCGTACATAGTCTGTCTGATTGTCGGCACACCACCAAAGTCCATGCCTTTTTTACCTCTACGCAAGAGGACTGCCCTTCATTGCAGCCTGTCACTCGAGCTGCTGCCATTCGCAGCCCGAAGGTATATGATACAGCACGTTACTTCCCATACGTTGTGTCCCAGAGCCACAGACAAGACGAAAAAGAGGAAATACACCAAGCTGGGCGAGATCATGCTCCTGTAGAGGGTGAACATGTCCCTGGTAGATTCTTTTTGAAGAGCGCCCTGGCCGTCATTCCTAGCAAAGTTTGGTGTCTGGACGTTGTCATGCGGAAGGATGCTCGATCGCGGCTGATTCTTTTCCTTTTCTGATTCGAGCTGCCCGTTCTTTACTCTGAGTTCTCCATGCAGCGTCTGAACAAGCGCCCTCAGTTCCTGTATCTCATCCATTGCTAGGTCGACCCTCTTCTGGAGAACCAGCATGGGAGATTTGGCGGAGAAAGGAGCTTCGGGTGGGGGCGTGCAAGGGGAAAGTGTAGGTCGACGGACGGGGGAGTCAGGTGCATCAGATCGAAGCTTCAGTGGTGAGAGTGGATGTCTTCGACTCAAAGGAGACATGTTGCCCCAGTCGGGCTTCATCCGCCACCTAGAAAACGGTGTCGCCGGCCCCGTTGTGGCGCTCAGGATGTCAATGGGCGAGGTAGGTGACAATGCCATTGTTCTCATCCTGCGGGCACCCAGAGGAGTTCCACAGTGAGCAACACTGCTGTTCAAGGGTGTCTCGTATTCGCCGTCACATTTCCATTTGATGGTGCTGAAAGTGCTGCGCAGAAGTTTCAGAAGCACATCGTCGTTACCAGGAGCAGTGTCAATAGACAGAGTGAGCGATGGCATGGGCGAAATTGGTGGGGTGCCGTTTTGCCTGCGGAGTTGGCGCAGAGCGTTCTTGATGACCGGTTTGAGGCACGAGGAACCCCAGTCTTCGATTGCTTCAATCCAGGCTTGAAATTCGGCGAAACCATCAGTGTTATCCAGGACAAATGTGGCAATCTCAGCCATGCAGTAGCGTCCCTCTCCGTCGACAAAGTGATAGTTGATCATCGCAGCGGAGTTCTCCATCACACAGGAGAAGGATATTAGCCTGTCGAGGGTAGAGCGAGGGCTGTTGCACCTTCGGAATAGTAGCTGCAACGCCCGAATACAATGAGCTCCTGCGATAGCGCATTGGTTTCTGGCTGCTTCAATCCCTTCGTTTGTTGTGTTGTTCATACGTTCGAACACCAAAAACGGACAGTAAACTGTGGTACCAGGTGAGACACAACCAGAGGTGAAATCGACAATGGTGCCGGTTGATGCAGTGCAGTGTGGAAGCATGGAGAGTTCGGTCTCGTCGAATGCAGCGGTCGCAAAACCAGTGAGTAGACCGGGACGGGGAGCAGGAAGTTCGAAGAGGCTTTCCTGGGCTTTGACAGCGCGTGGTGGCAGTGCTTCACGACTCATTCTTGGTGCGTGGCATCTGTGAAGGCCCTTTGATCCAGCAATAGGTGGTAGTACATTCGGGGGGAATATCAATGACCCAAAGCCTTTTCCACTCCTCACTTGGCTGCGCCATTCACCTTCTTGTTCCGTGAAGCGGCTCAGGACTTGTAAAGTTTGTTTGAGTCTATCGGAGAAAGGCCGCGACAGTTCTGATAATTGCATGCCTTCGGTGAGGACAATTCGAAAAGAACCGAGGACCATTGTTCGGAAGTCTGCCCATCTGAGGTGACTCCCATCAATAGCTCTCAGAAAGGACACCGGTGAGCCAGGTGGCGAGCTTGAACCGTCCGTCGAAGCCATGGCCGTCTCGTTTGGACACGTAGCGACCTTGTCGGAGATCCAACAGGTGAACAGAGCTCGAGAGTGACCTAGAGCGTCTTCCTCAGATGACTGGCAGGCGGACCATAGAGGGAAGACTGAGGCTGGTGGAGGACAAAGGAGGTGAGAGGAGCTGAGGATTATTGCTCAAGTAATATGGGCGAAGCACGTGGCCGGTACGAGCTGTGATGGCCATGTCGGCGGCTATGCAGGAGCAAACCCATGGGAGATAGGTCAGAGGCAAGAGACATCAGGCATAGCCTGGATGTGAGCATCTCCAAGTTCACCAAATCTCTGTTGGCAGGAGACGATGGACTGTAGGTTAGTAATGAGCCACAAAAAGACAACAGAACCAAGACACGGGAAGCACACCCCTGGCGTCAGAACCTCAGAGGTGAAGTTGAACATGCCCCGTGCCAATCGGCGCGTAAATCAACTCGTTATTAGACGAAAGGCCCAATGATCTAGCACTAAGCTCACAAGCAGAAATACACATGGCCTGCATCATCGCACTAGTCACAGAGAAGGCGAATCGTTGGTGAAACTTGCGTAGCCGTTGCGGCGGTTATTTGTCGAGTCGAGCGGTTAGGAGCTGGTTCGAATCTGCAAGTCTGAATGGCCTTGAAACGACCAGGCCAGTATCCCGGGCAAAAAGACCAACGCAGAGCATCAGATTATAGGAGAACATACTTCTGTTGGTCGCCCAGAGGCCTCCCCGGTGGAATTTGTCTGAAATAGTCCTGACGGTTGTAGTCAAGGACAAATGCTGAGAATTACCTGGCAGGTTGGATCGTGGCCAAGTGCAAGTCGCCTGCACATCCTGCGCTCTTGTAAATGTAGCAACTTTGCCGAACATCACGATGACTCAGCGTTCGGAGACGGTGAGCAAAACCCAGAGTTCTTTTACTATTAGTTGTCAACAGCCACATCATCCTCCGTAAATCTCGTGAGATCCGGCCATGGCTACCAGGGAGCCACAGAAAATCTGGACGTCAACCTCTCTAATGTCCTGTGTATCTCCAGCAATCCTCAATCTTGAATCCCGTGACTTGGACGAAGCGACTTTGGGAAGAAGAGGGGAGGGGGAAATTTGCGATCGTTGCACAACCTGGGTGATATAGCTACAGTGTTCTCGATTCTCACAAGGAAAGACATACCCCTGTTCTGTTAGTCAACCGATATCATCCTGTAAATACTTGGCATGCTGGCGGACTGGTGCTGCAGGAAAAGACTGAAAAGCACGACAGGCACATTTGATCGAAGCAACCAATTGTTATAGGCTAACGCGTGCCTAGTCTTCGACTATTCCATATGTCGACTGATTTTGATCTTCCATCCTGCCTCTGAATCGCGTTCTTGTGACTCGATCACTTCTTGCCGGATCCCAAGTTTTCTTGCACTGTGCCACCAACCGTTCCATCTGCAAATCGTCAGAAGACCTTTCGAAATCAATAGAATCATAACAAGGGGCGGGTGCACATATCAAACGGTATTTCAACGCGAGCGGGGGACGAGAAAACTCACCGGGGTTGAAGTGCTTCCCTATCGCTCCATCTGATGCAAAAGGACCTCCGACTTTCTGTTGACAGCAAGCGCGGTTAGTGGATGGACAATGAGGATGAAAGGGGAGAAACGAGGAGCGTGGAAGTTCATACCTCGCCCACGCTGCCAATGGCTCCGTCAGGCTTGAATTGTTTGCCAACCGCCCCGTCCTTGTCAAAGACAGCTTTTCATGTCAGCGCATACACAGTAAGATATCTTGGTTATACCCACGCTTCTTCTCGCCTTGCATCTGTTGAGCCGCCGACTGAGCTGTGCCTCCGACCGAGCCCTAAACATTCGTCAGACGCTGAAAGAAGAATGAGGGATCGATCTAGTTGTATACCTCGGTTGTGAATTGCTTGCCGATAGCACCTTCTTTGTCAAACGGACCACCTTTGGAAGAAAAAATAGGTCAGCCACGATCGAAGACATTCCCAGGATGAGATCGAGTTGGGAAGTCTAGCGGGGTTCTCATACCGATTTCTTGGGCGGTACCACCTGCTTTTCCCTGAGGAGTGAATTCTTTGCCCACAGAGCCCTTATTGGCGTCGAGAGATGATTTGTCAGACATTCCTATAACACGGTGAGCGGTGTTGTTGGGTGTTGGAAGGGCGTGATGGGCGAGGCTGACTTATTGAGGACACGGAGAGTGGTCTTGAGGTCTGCAGTGAGATCAATGACTGAGTCTGCTTGATTGAGCGCGAGATTCGAAGCATGGTTGGAGTGTGTGGAAAATGTTTGAGGTTCAAACTACAGAAGATCGATCACTTTTGTATGAGAACAATTTGTTTATTGTTAGCTCCGTGATGGCCTTCACTGTCATCGACGACATCATGAGGCTGATCGCGTCATATGCTGACGTCAGGGCGGGCTCGTAGTCTTGGAGGTCTCCTGAAGGTAATGAGTGTCATAAAGTGGTACGAATCACCATCTGAGCCACAGTGTAACAAGGGAATAACATTTGGATCCTGGTAGAATTCGTTACATGCCAGGGCATGGCAGATTTGTAGACGACTTGTAGGATAGTTCTTGTGCTTCTATGAACGCAGTGGGTGCGCGGTACATCTCCCCCGAGTACGTTCACTTTGATCCTGGTCAGGGCAAGCCCGTTCATTGGTGGAATCGATGGCAATCTGTCCTGATCCACACGATCGACCAGCAATTTGCGGGGTGATAGGTTTTTGTTTTATGGGTAGAATCTCTTTCTCCTTGCTCACAGAATGACTTCTTCGCTGCTCATTTTCATGTATTGCCAACCTGTTACATCTGTGTTCTGCCAGCATGAAGCAGAAAGGAATGTAGAATTTGCTGTTTGCGCATCGGCATTGGAAGCCGTCGAAACGACTGTGTGAAGAGATTGTCTTCACCTTTGGTTCTTCAATGAATGGCAGCATCTGGGATGACTAGTGCTTGCTCCTGCTAGAAGCTTCTGTGCAGGCAACAAGCCATCCAAGATGGATGATGGTCGCCGCTCCGTTCGTGGTTCGTTGTTCGAGGGGACGCTGGCAAGGTCGAGCGGGCAAGCACGACGGCTACCTGCATATCACTTGCAGCATCTACGACTGCGCTACACATCCTGCTCGTTTCCCTTCCTCACCCTTACTCACTGCCTCATGACTGCGTGCTCATTGCTTTGACTCAGGCTTAAACGCCATTCTCTTGGAATTTTGGATCGCGAATTGGTGCGAACCCTGGTGCTTCATTGTTAATTGTCTTGATTTGTGAATTGGTTCTAGTTATATCGGCATGCTGAGAGAACACGCACCTTTTTCGAAGCTCAACCATATCTCCAGACTATGAATTGCCTCGCATCTCTATTCCCTTGATAAGACGACAACCATCATTCCACTGTTTCCCACGATCTGCCTTCGACAATGACTTCAACGCCTTCATCTTCCACCCGAATCAACGCAATGACCATTGAAAACGTCTTTCCGACCCCGCCAACCGTCGAGAATGCAAGCGACACCCTCTTCCGTCTTAGAGGCACCCTTTCGCCTCCACCGAAGAGGATCCTGGCTCAAGAACGTGCTCAATCCACGCCTCCAGAAATCACACATTGCAATCAATTCGGTATCTTGACAAAGAGTGCAGATGGGCAATTATCAGACGTGGCAAGCCTGGAAAGTTCATGGCAGAGACTACATCTGTCGAAGAAGAGAAGCCAATACTACGAGGGGGCATTTGCTTACCGCGAGCCAAACAACACTGCAAAGGAGCGCGTGGTCAAAGATTCGGTGATCCTTGCCGAGATTAAGTTGAATTGCTGCGTACGAAGCGTCCAACCTTGTCAGAAGAGTGGCTAACCATTCCAGCTTGAGTCAGAGAAGGAGTTTCTCATCGACCTCTCTTTCCGCCTCTCCGAGATCTATCAACGTCCAGCGTCATGCATTATGGTCATGGTTACTACAGAAGTGGCAATGCTCCTAGGAGGAAATTCAGAGCCAGCATATCATCTCACCATTACAGCTCTACCTTCAGAAATCGCAGCGACAAAAAACAAGCGAAGCACACATCTTATCCAAGACTTCATGCTCGATACCCTCCAAATTCCTCCCAAACGTGGAGTTGTCCAATTCCAGGCAGTGGCAGAGGAAAACCTGGCAACTAACGGCATCACCACGCTGCAAGAGATTGAGCAACTTGAAAGGCAGTCGATCGAGGAGGATGGACGTTTCAGCAGAGCTATCAGTCGCCAAAGAAGTAGAAGGAGCAAGAAATCAAGCGCGCCAGCGTTTACTGAAAGGGTCCGGGCTGGCATTCCTTCTTTGAGGTCGGCAACACCTTCACATCAACAATTCGGCACTGTGGGAGCAGGCGAGTCCAAATCGACAGAAGCAAGTGGTCCGGGGCGGAAACGTGTCAAAAGAAGGCAGAGTATACTTGCATTTTTCAGGAGGTGATTGGGTAACTATTGTGATTCAAATTGTAGTTTTCTCAGCGTGAAGTCGAAGGCGCCAACCACGCGTCAGAGTAAGTGTATGACTAGTGAAGCTCAGAGTCTGGGATAGTGAGCTATCAGGCATTGACCTTTGGCATACAACAGAATTGCATGGAAATACAAAAGGCTTCCATATGTTTGCCTTCGATACTTTCACCGCCTGTACACAGTATCACATGAAATGATTGCCTCACCTGCGCCTTATACTCACCTTCGCGCGAATGTCGCGTACTGCCTGCGATTGAGGCAGGTGCTTTCTTCCAAACACTCACATCTCTTCTACAACGCTTGATGTCTTGGACGGTCGTCAAAAACAATTCCTCTTCAGTATTTATTTGCCTGATTGATGTCTTGGGCGGTCGTCAATAAGAACAATCCCTCTTCAGTATTTATTTGCCTCGTCGTCACTTCTGTACCCATCTCAGAACGTCTTGCCACGATGTCGAAGCCTACAATGACGGATCACGAATGCATGAAATTCTATGCGGTCCTAGGACTACCTGCCGACGCAACTCTGGACGATCTCGACGAGCGGTATCTCCAACTGACTTCACATTGGAGCTCGCCGAATGCTGCAAAGTCGAAAGATGAGGGTGTGAAAAAGCAGAAATTGGTTGACGAAGCATATCACCTCCTTCTGCCTAGATTCATCGACATGCGGAAGGAGATTCCTGGTCAGGTCAAAGAAGAGTATACCATCCGACAAGTCATGAATGGCCAGGACCGCATCCAGTTACCGAGCACGGATGAAAATGATCTTTGGCTCCCACCACCGAGCAGTCGCTCCTCTTCCGAAGGATCAGCACCACCAGGCTCAGACGGTGCCGACAGCGATCCCGGCAGTCCACCTTCGTTTTGCATATACGAGGTCAAAGGCGACATTCTCGACGCTCCAGACAGAGCAGTGGTCGTCCGTAGGTGATTTTATCGCTCCAAAGTGTTTGGCTGACATCTCCTTCGCAGACTCGGTGAATTGTCAAGGTGTTTGGGGATATGGGTTTGCAGCCGGACTGAAGAAGGCAGTAAGTATATCGCTGAGTGAAGGAACGACTGTCTGATCTAGTATCCAGTTTCCACAAGCTTACAAGGTGTACCGATCCCATTGCCTACAAGCGCGAAATCCTTATGATCTGATCGGAACGTGTCTTCTGATCCCGCCACAGCCCGTGGACTATTCGCAAAAGATGCGACGCATCCTAGATAAGTCGGATTCAACAAGTACTCTCACCCCGAAGGCCACGGTGTTTGAAAGACGTCGCTGGATTGCATGCTTGTTCACGAGCGTCGGTTATGGCAAACCCAACATGGCCGCCAACAATCCTGGCAGAGATTCGACAGAGCGTATCCTGAAGAGTACTGGTCATGCGCTGGAAGATTTGAGGACCCAGCTAGAAGATTTTGGGCCTTCCAGATTCGATCAATGGACAAGTTGGGAAATGGACGACGACAAGCCGGGAGAGGTTTGGAGCGTTAAGTTCAACAGCGGCGCGTTCGGGGTCAGATGGGAAGAAACGCTTGAAGTCCTACAAGCAGAGTTCTGCAATTTCGAGAGACCCTGGTTTGTGGTGGAGAAACCTGAGGTCACCGAAACTGAAGGAATCAGCGGTATTGAGGAAGATGAGTCCGAGCCAAGTCGCGGAACCGACCGCCCCAGGCTTCGACTATCACTCAAAGTCGATGGTCGAATTAGGCTACCGTCTACACCGGCAAATGGGGCTGCAGAGGAGTAGGAAAGAATGCGCATCAGCGGGTGTCTGAGCATGGAGAGCTTTACTAGCAGCATGGTCTACTGAGGCAAAGCAAGCCGAAGGCCTCTCGACTCGGAGCCTCTGCAAGTTGGTTGTATAGCTTCGACAGAAGGGTGCTGATGGGGCTATCATGGGCTGTTGTTGTGACAGTGGCGTCGATGAAGACGCACGCTAACCTGTATTGAGATTAGTTCCAATGGGCTTGGCATGCCTTGAGTTTTCACTTTGAAGTCCTGAAGTTTCACCGCGTGATAAATAACACCAACCCATTTTGTAATCTGGCATCGTTCGAAGGACCATGGACGAGCCAAGCGTTGATAGTCGTCCTCAGAAGCGAGTCAAGCTGGACGACGATCAAGTTCCCGCAGTAAGCCAAGACGGCCAGGATCTTGCTGCAACTCAGAACGGCTTGGATGTCGTGAGGATGGCTGACACGCTCACCGTCGATGACAGCACCAAGGAGCTGCAGGTAGGTATCACTGCTTTTGTTGACCCTGTACGAGGTGTCTTCAAGGGGGTCCTGAAAAAGAGATATACCGATTTCCTTGTCCATGAAATCTTGCCGGATGGACGTGTTTTGCATCTCCAGAGCATGGACGCGGACTCTTCGCTTGTCTCTCCCGGCTCAGCCCAAAACGAGCCAAACACAGGTGACGCCAACAAGGACGCGGTCATGACTGAAGCTACAGTAATAAACGATGAGACAGTGCAACCGTCAGGTGGTCAGGGGAAAGGGAGAGCCGAAGAAAGAGCCGAAGACGATCCTGAGGGAAACAGCAAAGACGTGAAATCAGATGTGAGTCTCAACATCAATCTACCGCGCAGTTACTAAAAGCCTTAGGTGTCCGACGACGACCGAGCCAAGCTGGTGGAGTACTTCAAAGAAGAAGCTGTCGTCCAGCTAATATCACTCTACGAATCGATTCTTCGTCACCCGAAAATGAAGACTCGTGATCATCCCACTGTCCGCGCGGATTTCACCTCGGATCGCAACGTCCGATCACAAATTCACCAGGATATCCGTCGTATATTTCACGGCAAGATCGACTCTTCTACCGACAATGAAGGAGTGCTGGTCCTCACCGCCGTGGCGAACAACAATCGTGGCAGAGACGGACGGCAATGGAGCAAACCCCTCGACAAGGGCGTACGGCCAGGAAAGCTAGGATGGCTTGACCGAGGAGGCGAATTCGTCCATTTCACGTTGTACAAGGAGAACAAAGACACATTGGAGGTCATCTCTTACATGACAAAGCAGATCAAAACGAACAACAAAACCTTTCAGTTCGCGGGGACGAAAGATCGACGAGCTGTCACAGTGCAGAGATGCAGCGCGTATCGTGTGGAGGCTGAGCGCTTGGCGCGATTGAATCGATCTTTGCGATATGCCGCGGTTGGAGATTTCAAGTATGAGCAGCACGGTCTCGGACTCGGTGATCTTAGTGGGAACGAGTTTGTGATAACCTTGCGCGACTGCAGCCTCGCAGGCTCAGAGGATCTGGCTGTCGCCGACAAGATATTGGCAGCTCAGACGTACTTGTCCGAGTCACTTCGGCAGCTCCGGGAAAAAGGGCTCTTGAATTACTACGGCCTACAGCGTTTTGGTACCTTTGCTCAACGAACTGATGTCGTGGGTGTGAAGATTCTTCAAGGCGATTTCAAAGGCGCATGTGACGCTATCTTGGATTTCTCGCCCGTGGCGCTACAGGACTCCGAGTCATTACCGCCTGGCGTTCTGGTCGGCCAAGATGATCGAGCACGGGCCGAAGGTATCAACTTCTGGAAGACGACTGGCAAGGTTGGCGGTGCTCTGGACAAGATCCCGCGCAAATTCTCCGCAGAAACGGCGCTGATCAGACATCTGAGCAAGAATAAGCACGACCATCTCGGAGCCTTGATGTCTATCCAGCGAAACTTGAGGCTGATGTACGTCCATGCTTATCAGTCCTATGTCTGGAATCTTGCTGTAGGCAAGCGATGGCAATTATCTGGCGAGTCTGTTGTCGAAGGTGACCTCGTGCTGATCCAGGAACATAAGGACAAAGAAGTGCAAAAGGAGGCGGAGGAAAAGGTAGATGCGGACGGAGAGATCATCATCCAACCAGGGGACGACGACCGGGCATATGATCCCGACGACGTATTCGAGCGTGCGAGAGTGCTCACTGCCGACGAAGCTGCCAGTGGGAAGTATTCGATCTTCGATATCGTCTTGCCATTACCAGGCTATGATGTGCTCTATCCGGCCAATGCGTGCGGAGAGTGGTACAAGACGTTCATGGCAAGTGAAGATGGAGGACATCTTGATCCATACGATATGCGCCGCAAGCAGAGGGATTTCAGCCTGAGTGGTGGATATCGTAAAATTCTGGCCAGGATCGGCGAGGATTTCGATGTGCAGGTGCAAGAGTACGTTGATGAAAACACTCAGTTCGTCGAGACGGACATGGACCGGCTCAAGCGCAAGACTTCGAGGGCAGATGGAGCCAGTGGAACTGTAAAGGAAGGCGAAGGCAGCGGAGCTTCTGATGGTCAACAGCCGAAACTCGCCGCTGTGCTCAAGTTCCAGCTTGGCTCGAGCCAGTATGCGACGATGGCGCTGCGAGAACTGTCGAAGGGAGGCATCCGGGCTTACAAGCCAGACTTTATGGGCGGGCGATGAGTGAATTCTCGGATTAGTGGATCAACACAGGGCCAGACCTTGACTGCATTTCCAGGACATTGCCGCCGGCTGAAACTCTTTACAATGGACTGGTGCTGCAAATTACGAATTGGATGATCTTCTCTATCCAACTTGCCAGTCTAATCAGTCGCCAGCCGGCCTGATCATGACTGAGCTTGTCCCAATGCAACCAGTCTATGCAAATCAGCACAGTACAAACATGCTCATCTTCACTTGGGGATATCCCTCATCATGGACGACCCTCAATTCATTCATGCCACTCCGACCATTTGATAACCAGCCTTTCTTTTCCATCTTCTTGGATGCCCCTTTTTCATTGCTCTCTTCACTATTCTGCATGTTGATTCTGGCATGGCTTCCTCAAAATGTGGTGCAGGCATTCTTGCCAGGGCGGACCACATCCTTCTAGCGGAACCAGTGCCGGAACCGTTAAGGCTCTCTGGTCATAGTGGAAGGATTGGATCGCAGGACGCAGACACATCAGGACTTTCCTCCCACTCGGATCTGCGACTTCGTCGTTGTGTACGGACTCCACCCATTCGTCGTTGTAAGCATCCCCAACACTTGGGAATCGGAAGTGGTAGGATATGAGGCTTCTTGCTAGCCGAAGGCGCACTTCCAATCATAGACGGGAAATTCTGCGTTCTCATGGTCAGCTTCGACAATGTCAATACCAGCGAATGCAACATACCTTCTGCAACCCCGTCCACCATATCTTTGACAGTCGCTGTCTTCTTGGCATCGGCGGTCTGTCAGAGAAGTTCATGAATACCCAATGGAACACAGCCGCTGCAGCGTAGCATCGGAGTACCATCAAGGCTGTGTAGTTACAGCTATCTGGAGGAAGTTGACCACCTCAAGTCGCTCTTACGAGTCTCCGCTGTTAGGGTCTCGATTTGGTTGGTGAGTTGTTCCGTCAGAGCCTGAATCTGAGTAGAAAGGCTTGCTACTTGTTGTGCAACGGTCTCTACTTGTTGTGCAAGGTTGTCTACGCGGCGGTGCGTACTCTTGTTTGTATGTCGGATGGGCAGGAGGGTGCAAATGATGCTTCCAGCAATTGAGATTAAGCCGCAATAATTGACGGAAGGTAATCGGACATATTCATTTAGTAGGTAGTAAATAAGCTGCTGTCAAGATAGATGTAAAGAGATATGAATGAATGAAGGAAATGAGACAAGTTTGTCGTTCACCTCGCTGCCTAAGTCGTCCTCTGCGATTCGGCGTAACTGCCTTTCACGAAGGTCAAGAAAATAAGCAAGATGACATCAAGGGCCATAAGGGCCATGGTTTCCACGATATGAAAGGAAGTCGTGGCCTGGGAGCCTACGACACCCATTCGAGTGGCACTCCCGATCCCCCTTGACGTGGTACTCGTTGTCTATCAGGAATCCCTGGTATACAAAGTTATAGCGTAAGTCATTGACCCACAGAAGGCCGTTAGTACATGAACATAACTCCAGCGATTTACGGCTAGCAGACTCCCTATCTTAGAGCTGGAGTCGAATGCTCCTTGCCAGACGATGCCATTCTTCCTGGAAACCGGCTCGAAGGTTCGCCTCATCCTCGATGCTGCCAATAATGCTCGTCTCCCCAACCCATGGCCAGTGGGGGAGTCAGCCGCGGCCCTCGCGTACCACATCAAAAGCTGCGATACACCAACCATTGGAAAGAAACATATGATTTTAGACATCGGCGCCGGCTCAGCGGACGAGATCACGATATTCTGCAATGGGCCTGGCGTTGGTCTGTGCAGAGTTTGGACATTGTGGAGGCTACCTTATCAGGCCCGCGGAAGGTGTAAGCGTACCCAGACTACTTGTATCTTTTCAATATTGATTTGAATTGTCATGTGAAACGTACGCAACCGCATGGCTTCCACGGCATCAACGACAATGACAGCTTCTCTGCCCACTTGAATGTTCTTTCGTAGGTGGTCCAGTCTCAGACCGCAAATCCCTCCACAACCACCAATGCCGCAGCAACGAGGGTCGAGCGTGCATCTGAGGTCCGTCCACCACAGAAAAGTGCTGGACTGAGACAAATATACACCAAGCTTCCTTCCGGGATTGATGCTTCGTGCGCCGACTTCATCCATTCAGCTTTGAAGCCGTCGCCCTGTTTGGGGAACCTCCACAGGTAGCTCATGGAGCTTTTCAGCATTATGAGTTTGAGATGAAGGAGATCCAAGAAGACACTATACATTATTCCCTCCCATCGGACCTGTTGTTCACGTCGTGAGTAGAAGCTATAATCAGTGCTAGACTCTGATGAACCGGCAGTGAGAGAAGCGCGTTGGGCCTTTGCCAATGTGACGCAAAGACTGTCGAAGACTTCGTACAGCATTGCTTGACAGTGTTGTGCTCGTTCAGGTAAGGTCGGCTTGACCACGGATTCGAGGTGCTTGAGACGATTTTCAAGCTTGATCTTTGCGACAAAATCCGGATTCACTGTTGAAGTTAGGAGTTAGTCGAAGCAATGATATCTCGGGGCGTGACTTACATTGTTCGCAGACTCCCATTAGTTTGCACATTTCAGACGGCATGGGCACGTCCCAACGTTCGTCAGACCATAAGAATACCCACCGATAGATCGCCGCGGCGGCGAAAACACGAAGGAGTAATTCGACAGTCATTCCTGGGCCTGAGTATAACGTATTCAGACCGCTTTCCAAGCTCCTGCCTTCTCCTCCTCTGAGTAATAAGCAGCTCAGGTCCTTGGCGGAGTCAGTCATACTCGAAGGTGTGAGCCTGGCTGGAGGCCGAGCCAGCAGAAAGCATTTGATGCCTTGTTCTGTCTCCTCGCGTGCCTTCTCCAGAGTATCCCTGATGTATTCGTAATCAGGAGGGTGGTCGTGGATGTTGTTGTGAAGATACCCGCGGATATATGAGAGAAGCTTTTCCTCCCAGGGCTCGACTTGCATGTTGATACGGCCTGACGCAGGACTCTGCTCTTCCATATTGTCCAAATGTCTGTCTGGAGTATCGTCATCTGGGGAATTTTGTGTGCCAAAGGTCGCTGTCGAAGATAAGCCGGATTCGCTTTGCTCCTCGGAACAATTCGACTCTAGCTGCCTAGTGGTACTTCTTCTTTTACCTAGGCGCAGCTCCAGGGTGGGTGAGTTGGTGTTGTTTGACTCGTTGACGTCCTGCGACTCATGTCTTTTACGTTTCCGATTATCGGAGTCTTCTCGCAATTGCTCACGATGCTCCTCCCAGGAATGAAACAATTCTTTTTTAGAAACTTTCTTCTGTCTAGCCAACGTCGTAATCTTGTTGGCGATATGTGACTTTGCGAGGAGGCTCTGTGGCATGAGGTTCTTGAACTCTGTGTAAATAGAGGCTACCGTAAGAGGGATATCCTTGCCTCTCAAGGCATCGAAGCTGTCGACGAGTGCTCTTGTTTCCTCAACCGTCCAGGAATGTCTATCTTTCATCTTGGAGCCTGATGCCTCGAAGCAGAACTTGAATTGGGGGAGGGGGTTGCAGGTACAGACAGACCTTGGCCGAAAGGGAGAAGTTGTTCTTTGTTTGCTTGAAGTGGGCTGAAATGGAGAAACTGTTCTTTGTTTGCTTGAAGTAAGGCCACCTTGATGTTATTGCCATATCACCTTTAGCCCCACCGACTTTTGGCATCTCTCAGCATGTCACTCCGGTAATAATAAAGTGAGCACATTTCGAATTCAATGCGACGCTCTTCACTTGACCTGAGCACGTGAGTATCACCGCTCGAGTCGTGGTGGGCATGTGGTAATGGTATTGACCATATTAGGCGGCTCTTCCCCCAAGGGATTTCTCTTTTTTTTCATATCTCTAAGTCATCGAGCGCTTTAAGTTCCTTCAGCTTTCGCCTTCTCCTCTAGCAAAAGTTCTCTGCTGGGAGCGTCGCATTGGAGCAGATTCGCGTCGGCCCCCAGGAGCACATCAAGCCGACTGCTTTCTGGTCCATCTACTGCTTCAAGCTTCATTGCCTCTACCGATCCCAAGCCTTCAAGATGCCGGCCTGTCAGAGTTGCTCAAGCTCTAACGTATGCGATCACTTACCAAACGAAGATGCTTTCAGCTAACTCTGATTCAGACACGCTGTACCCTCAAAGAATCCGAAAGTGGTGGGACATGTGCCAGATGCAAGAGGCTGAACCTTTCTTGCTATCCTCGACTTCCAAAATCTCTGAAGCGAAGTGTGGACTCTACCATGGATCCGGAAGAACCTACATTCCTCTCCCAGTCCCGAAGAACAACTCGAAGTGCAACTGCCAAGAGAACGGCTACCCGCGTTTCACCACCACGACCTCCTCCTTCCCCTCAAGAAATACATATCAGCGTGGACCTCGGAACTGTGTACACCAAGGCGGCTGTTAGACTCATCTGGGGTCATGAGGGTCCCAGAGATATTACGTTGCAAGAGTTGGAGCCTATCACCTGGCTCAATAACGACACATCCGTGCTTACTCAAGTCGCAGTCGAACGTGCTTCGCCGTCATCAAAACTACCTTCCCGCTTGCTCTGGGGTGATGAAGTAACCGAAGCCATACGAGAAGGACGGATCTCAGAGAAAGATGTTGAACGCCATTTCAAGCCATCTTTATTCGATTTGGAAACGTATCCGGCGACTGAGATTCGACATTTGCTGCAGGAGATTTCAACCTACAAAGGTAGAACTCGATTTCACCAAGCTCTCATCGAGCGCGGAGAAGACCCGGACGCCAAAGAGATGCCACAGATCTATCTCCATTCCGATTACACAGCTCTGGCATACACGCATATCCTCAAAGTCATCGCTGAATCTCACGCAACCCTACAGTGGGATCCTCAAGAGATCGAGACTCAGCCAAACTGGTCTCCACCAGGCGATCCCACCATTCGCGTAGGGCTCCCTTTGCCGGTTGCGTCCACCCCCGACCAGATAAACCTGGTCATGGCATTAGCAAAGACGGCAGGGATCCCGAATCCTTATCCAGAAGCCGAGCCAGCTTCTGCTTTAGCATATCATCTGATAATGTCACCCATCCATGAGGCATTGGGAAAAACCTTTCTCATAGTCGACATTGGGGGAGGATCCGTGGATCTGAAAGCTTGGACCGTCGACAGTGTCAGCCCCCTTCGAGTGCGCGAAGCCGACGTAGGGGCGACTGAATGGTGTGGTGGCAGCTCTGTCAACAAAACAGCAGGACAAATTGTTAAGAACAAGATACTATCAGACACTCTGATCGCAGAAGCAGTATCTGATTCTCGGGAAGAGAAAGAGATCCTATTGATAGTAAATCAGTTCCAGCGCGAGGTCGAACGACAGTTCGAATCTGTCAAACGAAAATTCGATGGGAGTCAGAAAGCTGTTTTCAATCTTCGGGGTCTCCCAGATGCTCCAGAGTGTGGAATGATTCAAGATCGCTTCACTCTGGATGCAGACAATGTGAAGCGAGCCTTCGACCCATCAATTACTAAGATCATATCTATGATCGACAGTGCCATTGCCAGAATTGCTTCACGATCGAGACGTGAAGGCACGACTGGCCAGGTTGACGAGATACTTCTAGTTGGAGGAGGGAGCCAGAATCCCTATCTACGGAGTCGGCTGCGGCAGCGATACGACACAAATTTCTATGGCTCAGCGCGCTACCGCATTCCAGTAAGCCATCCGACATCCGCGGCTACTGGCTCAACCACCGTTTCAAGAGGAGCATTATTATTGGCTGCGGATAAGGATCTAGTGACAGAAAGAGTGGTCCGGCGCGGGTATTGCGTTGGCCGCCTCGAGGAGCTGGGGAAGAGAAGGTACCCACGGGAGAGCCTACACACGAGTGAACAAGACGGTCAAAAACGGGTATACCTGTCCAAGTTCTTGATTCGCCCACAGCAGATTATCCCTGCGAACAGACCGTTCAGAGAATCTGTACGAGGCTGGAGAGGGCTTCTCATGGATTGCGCTGACGAAAATGGACGCTGGGAGATCGTAGAACACCTTTACTACTCCGACACCATCGCGAATGACGGGCTGTGGCTCGAAAAGCCTGGCCTTGACATTCACGAAATGGACAACCCAATCGTATTCCATATCACGCAACAAGATTCTAAGGACTTCATCGCTACCACAAGACTGACTCCCGATGGCACTAAGCAATGGTTTGAGATTGACTATGAAGTGGGCGTTACAGTCGAAGGGCACACAATGATATTCGATATCATCGTACCAAGAAACGGCAAATTCCCAGATGATGGAGGATATGGCCCGAATCCCATCCGGAGACAAGGTCAGTACGATTGTGCTGGCGCATTTCAACTCTTCAACTCCACTTGAACCAGGTCATGCCTTCTGTGATACTGGCGAATCGGGACAGAAGATATCATGCGCCCCTTGAGAAAGCACAGTTGGTAGTAAAATTGCCCAACACCATAATACTACGACGACCTTGGGAGGAAGGAGGATTGCCGGGATGAGGGCTTTTTCAGAGAGATCTTCGGCTGCCCGATGATATTACGGAACATATGCGCCATGGAAAGGGGTCCAGGTGTTCTTGTACCTACCTAGATAGATAATACTACCAGGGGATGGCTGCATGTCCCAAATGTCAAAGTTCGGCATTCCTAGTCACCTAAAGCCTCAGTATAAGCTATGTAGTTACTGCTCCCCTTAGGACCCTTAGGCATTCAACACAGATCTCTTCGCCGTTCTTTGATACTGGGTGTCCTGTGAACAAGTCTAGCGCTCTCACACGCCGTGACATATACTTACGCCGCCCGGAGAGAGATCTTGGCCTCGGCACCGTCTCCGTACATCCACGGTAACGACGACATGAGCGAAACGCGAAGTCTCGAAGCATATATTGAGGCGGCCAAGACCCAGCGACACCTCAGATCATCCGTGGTCTTCGATGTATTGAAGATCTTGAACTGTACAGTTGTAGTGTCCGTTCCCGTGGAGCCCGCCCCAACAAAGTCCTCCAGCGGAGCCCGCACGTGAAACTCAAGGCCGAAAACATACTCCCAACCACGTTAGGGTAAGAGTATTAGACACGGAATTCCATTGTGGTTACCAACTACGGTGAGAGAAAATGATTGTGATAATGGAGCTCAATAACAATAAAAAACACCTGCTCGTTCATCAAGCATTCCAGTCCGGCCAGTCAATGGTATACTGCCTTGTAGAATATGCCACAATCTAAAAAGATTCGCCATCCCACAACGGGCAGGTTTGGGGGCCCATATTTGCCCTACAGTATTGTAGTCGCCGGGTGAGATCGAACCCCCTCCGGAAGACTGTCACCTGTAGAATACAATCCGCCGCGTGCATCGTCCCGCTCCCGCCATCGCAGCAGTAACAGTGGCCCGCCGTGGAAACAACGGATTAATATTTCACCGCGAAGGAAAAACTCTTTTCCGAGAGACATATCATGTGGCTGCACATTTGTGAACCAATCGGCCTTATCGCTGGGGTTACTCTCATCCAATGGATAAGGCCAGCCAATCAAGTATTTATCCGAGCCAAGATGGCCCGCTGAGGAGCTGCATGTAAAGGCATACTTCAACTTCGCTCCGCATGGTTAAGTATAACCGTGGATGGCCACATATATCGGATCAGATAGGAGTATCCTGTCCGTCGGACCGATCAGACTGTGCAATGTTCTTCGACGTCCATGACCGCCAGTCAAACCCCGTGTAAGGATGTACGTGCTGGACTTCGTCCCCTGCAAGGCTGTCTAGTCCAGAGGGTGGCCTTTATTGTACGTAGACAAGTCCATCAGCACCCTACTGATGCGGACTATGTCTTGCATGGTTTTATGAAGTCTATGGTCATAGCACGCCAGCACGATACCTCTGTACTCACTGGCCGTATCTGCCGACCCGCATGGCGTCCGCCCGTCATCGGCCGCGAAAATTCGACCAAGTTCGAGCTACCCCCAATGAATGTGCGGAGACCACTCCACAAAGTGAGGGGCTGAGGCCAGGGTCCGCTTCTGGACTATGTCCGATCGTTATACACTCAATGAGCGACTGAAAGGTAGTCGCCGTCAAGATTCATGGACTTTCAGTGGTGTTACAGGGTCTCAGCCTTATCACGTGACACTGCGTTTCCCGTACTTGGTGTGACAGTCCGACCAAAATCACTCTCGTACGACTGAATAATCTTGCTTGTATGGATATTAATACTTACATGCTGGTTTGTATGTTGGAGAGAGCCTATCAATCACATTAGTAACGTTGCCGTGCATTAAGTAGTGCCCACCCGACAGGACTCGGGAGATCCACCGAGGGCGGCTGCCCGTACTTGCATACTCGAGACCCGAATCAATATTGATTGTCATACAGGATGATTAAGCATGGCCAAGGATCCCTAGTCACAGAGCTTCATCCTTTATAGAGCGAGGCCGTAGCCTGGCTACAGTCCCGGGACACCAAACCCACTTCCTCTCGACCAGAGATTAGCCACTCGAGTTGTCCTGCCACGCTGTTTCGAGATCGGTACTATCTAGGAGCGGCCAGAGGAGGGGTGAGATATCGGATGAGACATCTTTCATGGCCGCCGCTGAGCTGTGTGCTGTTTGAAGAGCCGATACCAGCCTACCATCCAGTCGTATCGCTGGAGATGGATATGCTTCGTATTGGCTCCGGGCCTCAGTAGGAGGAGGATGATAGAAGATCGCGGATGGCGCGGTACGTGAATGGACGTATATCATATACTCAAGGGTGTTGCACACCGTCCCTGTCAGGAAATGTTCCTTGCTCTTTCCCCTGGCGTGAAGCTCTGGACTCCTTCGAAGGCGTGGAAGACTATACTGTGTATGTAGATTTGGGTGTAGGTTGACCTCCGTTCGCATGGTCAGCACATCCTTCTGAAATACACCAGTATGGTGATGCAGGTCGGCGGAGGATAAGTTCTTTGGAGTCGGTCTGGTGGGCGAATGTACGAGGATGTCTTCCCCGGCCTCGGGAGGAAACGGGGAGAGTCGCGGCTCCAGGAGAGCGTTATGCAGTGCCAGGGAAGTACAGTACGTGGTATGGCAGCTATCGTTGTAGCTAAGAAGCTCTGTAAGCTGTAGGTTATGGCGTGTTGCCGAAGGACCAAATGTTCACTGCATTGTATAGACAGTCCGTGCAGGAGGTGTGCTCACAGCGGAAGGGTGTCAGCTCGGAGGCGGGCCGGTTCGGGAAAATGGACAATTCCGGCTTGTGAGTTCCCACCCTTCTCATTTCGCCGTCGGTCAGGAGTTCCATTTGGTCCGCACATTAGTTTGACGGGCTAAGCGGACACGACTGCCAGCCCTTGGTGACCAAAGCTCTAGTGGCCCCCTTCGGGACACTTGGCATGCAGCATGCGATAGACATCAAATTAGCCAGACCGGCCAGAATCAACTGAGACGTCTCGTCCATGTAAAAGCCTGGACGGGCCTGCTCGTTGGCTAGTGAGTCAGATATCGTAATGAGCCACGCAGAAGGCACCCCTTACATGGGTGTGGCCAAAGAATTGTGATAGAGGCATGGCCAAGGGGGCATTTTCTGACGAGAGATTTTGTCATGCCGGCGACTAGTACTGGTCATCGGACCACGCAAAAGGCTCACACTGGGCCGACGTAGTTGCAGGACTGGCAACCTGCTGGCCCTAGTTTGCATCAAGCTACTAAATACTATTAGTGGATACTCTTAGGTCACCGGCTTTGGGACTGCATGGCCCAGACCTGAGGCGCTGTCGCTCGTTGGAAGCCATTCTTGTAAAAAGCACTTCGCGGGGGATCCACATTTTATCTGTCTGTTTCGAAAATCCCAGCTTGCTGGAGATTGGTGAGACCTTACTCGCTCGAACATTTGATCTAACTGTCCATAACCTGGTCTTACGAGCCCAACTGCTACACCTAGCTACGATGTCGAGTTGTTTACTGGTAGGGGCTCGTTCTAATGTTCGAAATCTTCGCCGTCACTATCAGAAAAGTCCTGATATCCAGCGAAATATGCTTCTGGACTCCTCTCCGTCACTCATAGATTTAGGCCGGGCCGTAGAGAATACGTGGCTCAATCAGAATCTCATACAATTGATGCCGACGTAAGACACGGGCTGATCAGACCTACCCGGATGCAAGGGCTTTACATCCGTCACGACTATTGTTTCTTAGTGCGTGACAAGTAACGCAGATGACTGCCAACCGGCATAGGAACAAAGCCAGCAGTGGAGCACGAGGGGCTGTGTGGCAAGCTTGGTTCATGTTCTGTACTGTAACCTCGCGTATTGCCTCCCATTGTGTGTCGCAACCCGGAGTTCGTGCTTCGTACAATAGCTCCGCCAGGATCCTGGCCGACTGCCTGAGCAGCCATCACCCAGGATGCCAGCTGCTCAACCCTAACGTCCGAAAGCTTCAAGCCTTCAGATCGCCACAGTTATTACGAAGGCCAGAAGGGCGACGACACATGATGTTTAGAGTCACCGGCCAATTCTGATTAAGCGTCCATCTATTCTCATTATAGTTCGTGGTATGCTGAAAATAAGGTCGATCTCTTCATGCAAGGAGACCCTCGTACGCCAGTGCAGCTCTATCCAGATTTTATCCAACCAAAACTCGAAGAAGTCTTCATCATAACAAATCCAACTCTAGAGATCAGGACTCCTGTCCCTCTCATCTGCCCCGCCTCTGGCTGCATTCGTCCCATTGATCTCGAGGATGACCTGAGCCTTGCTGACAACTACTGGATCCTCCAAGTCCGGCGGTCTCGAATAGCTGCAAATTGCAGGTAGTACACATAGATATACCTGGCGTTGACTTTCAGTATCTCTGTCGCTCGAGGAAACAGGCTCCATCCACTTGGGGTCAAAGTTGTCACCCATTGTGAAGATCCTTGCTTGGTAGAAGCGACTGCTCCGAGCCATTTGGAGCCTGACATTCAAGGCCTTGTGGAAGGCAAGATGTATTGCTGTCTCCCACTGTAGAAGCTGTCGAGACCTATATTCGAAGTCCCGTCTCTTTTCATTGTCTTGACCATCACCTTGACTGATCCAGACCTGGCTAGCAGGCTTCATCTGAAGACTGGATAGGATGTTGTACAGCTTCTGCTGATAATGTATCGCTTTCGCGTCAAGAGTCGGCTTCACCACTTTTTCGATGTATTCCAGGTTGCTCACTATCCTGAGCCGGCCGGTAAGATCGTGGTTGTCTAAGAGCAAGTTAGTCTTTTAGACTAGTGTCTGAAATGCGTTCTGCAATTCACATACAACGGTCAAACAATTGTAGGAGCTGCTCATAGAAAGACGAGAACGCAGCTGGTGACTTCTCCTCGAACTCGTTGAACACCCATGAGAAGACCGCGTTAACAGCAAGAGTCCGGAAGAAAAGGACCTGAGTAACACTTGGATGTGCGCAGAGGGTTTGAAGATTACGCGTGAGTTGCTGCGCCTTTGGCTTCCCTCTGCCAACAGGTTGCTGTTCCTTTGTTGCATACACTCCGTCCTTGGAGCAAGTGCATGATGAGCAGTTATGGGGACACGAAGTAACCCAAGCTCTTGAGACAAGGCTGATTAGTAGGGATCAGGTGTTCAAAGATCTCAAGCCCTTGCTTTTTGGCCAGCGTCAAAGCCAAAGTTTGCATGTTCGGCGGCGCATCGCCCAACTAAGGGCAAATGGCCGTCTACCGCCTCGGGATCCGAGACGTCAGAACCTCGCTGGCAACAATTTCTTCGAAGCCTGGGAACTGCTCTCAGACTTCATGGGCCACGCCATCAGGCATGTGTATCGCTGCATCCACCAACAACACAGAACCGATTGGCCACACTGGAGAGACTGTCGCAATTATAGAGACTTTGACCCTGCCACCAACACCTTGATCGAAGTGGCTATTCCGGTCCCAGTTGGGTCCACTTCCAAGCAAGTCACATGGATCCTTTCGGCTGCACGGGAAGCAGGAATTCCCAAGCCCTATGCTGTTGCTGAGCCTGCTGCTGCGTCTGCCTATCATTTTCAGAAAGCTTTTGAGCGGTCCAGACACGTGCAACTACCGATGGGGAGACTAGTTCTGATCTTGGACATCGGGGCCGGCTCAGCAGACCTTCAGGCATTCCTGGTGCAGGGTATAAGCCCACTGCGTGTTCAAGAGGTCTTCGCCGGAGCCACCGAATGGTGCGGTGGTACATTTGTGAACCAAATTTGCAGATCAATGATGGCTAGAGTGATCCGAGACCCTGCTGTTGTCCTGGCCTCTCTTGCTCAGCACGGGTATCATATGACGATGGATGAGCTGCTGGCTGAAATTGAGGAGGTCTTTGACAAGCAAAAACGAACCTTTTCTGGTACAGAGCATGTGGTCTTGCCCATTCGTGGGCTTCCGAACATGCCAGCTTTCAAGATGAGCTCCGAAAAAGGCATCGACCTGGAGCCGGAGGAGGTGAGGGCCATCTTTCAGCCTTCGTTCACCACCCTCAACGGAATGATGGTCAACGCTCTCCAAGAGATCACCGCAAAGATAATGTCACTGGGTTTGAACGGCCAGAGAATCGACGAGTTGCTGCTGGTAGGGGGTGGGGGCTTCAGCGAATACGTGCGGTATTGGCTGACAGGGCTTTGTCAGACCACGGGGCAGTTCATTTGTGGGTATCCTATACCTGTGAGGATGCCAAATGACCCAACGGCGTCGAGCTCGACCAGCGTCTCGTTCGGATCCCTTCTTCTCTTGGCTGACAAAGCCTTTGTGTCTGAACGAATCATCAGACGTGGCTATTGCTTTGCCTGGGACAACCCCGTTGCTGTACTCACACAACCTCTTGATCCCCAACAACCAACACTGATCGACCCGCATGACGGCGCTCAACGTGCTGAGAAGGTGACCAAATTTCTCATTCGAAGTGGAGAGACTGTGCCTCTACGACACGTGGTATTCGAGCGTGGTTGGAGAGGGCTTTTCCCGGACGAAGCGAAGGACGATGGGTGGTGGTTTGAAGAGCAACTATTCTGGTCCGAGACCATAACTCAAAATGATCTCTGGGTCCACAGGCCGGGCATCGATCTTCATGGCATGGAACCACTGGTTTTTAATATTCCCAGGCTACCAACCACCAACTTTGAGGAAAAGACTTCTCCGGACGGCCGCTTGTGGTACCACATCGAATACGAGATTCGTCTTTCTCTTGACGGGTTTGACATGGAATTTGAGCTGATCATACCACGATCCGGCAAGTTTCAAGATGTGCCGGAAGGTTGTGGTGAGGATGCATTTCGGTCTCGGGGACGTTATGATTGTGCCGGAGTATTTTATCTCTTGAATAGAGCTTGAGTTAGGTTAGGACATTTCTTTTCAATTGGAAGCTGATCTTCTCAAATAAACTCCCTTGTTTGAAGATTTAATGATGGCCAGAGGCAAGGTAGGTTGGTTGAATCTATCCTATCAGGAAGCTGAAGGGCTAGCACTGAAGAGTGGCATTTCTAGGTGTCATTCCGACTACGCAGTAGAAGTGATCTACAATCATCGGCCATCCTCCGCTGCACCGTCCCCGTCCGCACAATGTCACTCGCAGACCTGGTCATCTCATCCATCGGTTTGTCCGCCATGAAAAGCGGAAATGCGGGTTTGGCAGCCTTGCTGACAAAGCCAGTCCTTCTCTCCAGAGATTGGGCTACCTAGGTAGGTAGGTAACATATATGGCGAGCGGTCGCTGACGGCAATGGCTTGCATACCTCCATCATGTGTGATTTATACAGATCGTTGGCATACTCTGCCGGAGCCCCTGGAACGCAGGTAATATTATAACTGTACAAGAAACTTACTCGGCCGTCCTGACCCACCACCTTCCATCACTATCTTACCATGTTATTTCCAAAGATGACTGAAGGCCGCGCATATCCACGGGGAAAGCTCTTCCGCATACATCGAAGCTCTATTGAGAGTCCGCTGGTCAACGTCCGGCCCTTACTGTCATTTCCAGACACTCGGTACAAGATCCCGCACCAGCAATTGCAGGAAAGTATCTTCCGCTGCTTTCTGTCCAAAGAAGATAATGACAATGCATCCACTCCGTCGGGCCGGAACGAACCAAGAGATTCTCACAGTGTGTCCGGACTGACCCCTGGCTTCGTCCAACTTGTGCATGGTCCCGTCGCTCTACTCTTCTCGGCGGATTCACCACGCGAAGATATCACATGTCCTGCTGCAAGACGAGTTGGATAAACCCCGGCTCCATGTCGACACGCGTCCGTCTCACTGAGCCCATATCCCTTCCTGTGCGCTCGCTGCTCTGCTTGCCGGACCCGCTCGCCGGAATGTGGATCGAAGCGTCCCGGTCAGCAGCGCGGCAATCGAGCCCGAGTTTGACGGGGCGGTTTGCACCAAAGAACCTTGGTGCGGACTCTCTGCGTGACGGCGGCGATAGCGGCGCTGACAGTCTGTCAGCGGTTCGGCGTGGTTTGCCCGCTCAGGCCGGTCGAGTTAGTATAGGAGCTTGCTAGAGGATTGAAGCGCGTATCTCTTCGGACCGGCTGGTTACATTCTCAGCGGCCCGGTCAGCGGCGGGATTGGAACAGGGGATGGACAAGCGGCGCGGGTTGGTGTACAGAAATTGCCCCATGTGAGGTGCCTGAGTGGGAGACGGGGCTTTTTAGGTCCTGGTCGGAGCTCATTTGCCTGAGGGACGATACTCCGATTTAGCTGCATACAGCTGAGCGCCAAGACAGTCTCACTGATCTAGTCGAGGCACATGTCCTCCGGTAGCGGGTTTGTTCCCCTGGCTGCGTCGACCGGGACTCTGACAGAGGTCGCGAAACCACTAGCAGATGAGGTAAATGTTGGCTGACTTCTTCGGTAAGAAGCGGTGGATGTCAAGGTGTGTCGAGGACGGAGGCGGTACTCAACTTAGGTGGCGGCCGCGGCGGCCAGTCTCTAAGCCAGCACGGTCAGTCATGATTCCTTCATTGTCGGTGTTGGATTCGGAGTCTCCTCCTGTCATGGCACCGCCGTATATATTCGTCCGCAGAAAATTGTTTGACCGAGTCGGACGGGTACTATAGAGTGGCATCTCTTGAAGTTGGACTCTCCTCAGCTTTGAGTTGTGACCGTGGATCTGGCGAGGCTGATTGTTCTCTGGCGGCCTTCTTTCTTCCGTGGTCAGTATCCGCTTCCAAGGCAAGACTAATCTCCGAGTTGACGGGTCAGACTTAGCCCGCTGGGTTCTGGCATCATGGACGGGGGCCGTTGTCAGCGTGATAGGTGAGGCAGAATCTGTGGCGCAATGATGAAAATCGCGAAACAAGAAACAATGGGAACTGAGCGGGAGACTCAGGGGAGATGGACGGCGGCGGGAGTGCAAGGTACCTCGGATGATCTCGTTCCGCGTTCAGCTGGAATGAAAGCTGTTACAGGATCAATCGAATGGAGTCCACAATGCGTTATGAGCTCGAGGAGGCCACACCGTAAACCATAAACCATACCGTGAGGTTTCGCGGGTTCTTGGGTTCTGCGCCACCGAATCCTCTTGGGACAAGCCATGCACCCACGTCATGGAGGAACACAATCTTACCTATGTATCTACTGACTCGGCGGGGACCAGACAGAGCTTGGTGAAGCGTAACGCAGACAAACCTTCGATAGCCCAACTTCCCATGGACAGCACAAGTACGCGGAGACTATCTTCGTGGACCACTTCAATCTGGGCCGCAGAGCCATATATTGGCTCAGCCTTGACTCGCGCCTACGTATAAGCCAATTGTCTGGAGACCAGGCCCTGGCCTTCTTCGTCCGCCCCCAGCGCCGAAAAAGCATAACGTTGAACAGCATTTGATGCCCCCTTTAGTCGGCGTCGGCGTCGGCGACAGCTTGTCTGCTCGGCCACATCCAGTTGCACCTCGGTCAGCCGACTTTTGGGAGCGGCCACCGTTGTACAAAGCATACCGTCATCGACAGGCGCAAGAGAGTTTCGCGATGCACACCGTAGTAGCTTTCCGCACGGACGGATTGCCAACGGCGCTGTCCCACCTACCTCTAACACTGTGCCGAGAGGCGGTCAGTCACTAAGTCGTTCGTCCTATGAACATCATCGCCTCTGTCATACAACACCGCAAAATCCACGGTAGGCACGGGGCGGAACACCTCTTTACGTACATTGTCACCGTATGTCTGAGCAAACCTGCACTGGCCACAGTGGGTGACAGCATGCAGGGCAATGGCGGCTTTTTGAAAGTGAAGCAGCACCACAATCGGTGCACGGCAGATGACAAGTGTTGTGTCCCAAGGACTGTTTCTGAGCTTGCAGAGTATCCGAGGGAACGTTCGCGAAAGCGACGGGCCGAAGTCTTGTGAATGTGTAATTGTCAAGGCGATATCCAGGATTGAGATCATGCTAGAGCGGCTATCGGGAGAACCAATAAGGCCAGTGCTACTTGGTCTGGCCGGCTCGCAGGAGAGGACAAGTCGGGAGATTTTGCCTGCCGTGGCCAAATAATCGGGGTTTCTGCACCCAACATTTAGCTTCGATATGTGTTGAACAACGAACTGGGTGGAAGGGAGCCTTCATCTCCCTTTTGGCTTGCGTCTGACTGCTTTGTCCCAGACTGGGGAAGGATTCGCTGCTGAGATCAGCTTTTCCCGGGACGATCTAACCTGGCTGAAATGATACGAGTATATTCTATGGGACCTGTCCCAGGAATCGCACATGAGGATGCGGATTCTCCTTCCTTTGCGATCTCGCGGTACTAGGACCTCCAATGACAATGTACGTGGACGGGGTAGCAAGGCGGCTGACCACCGCCCGGATCTAACAGAATACGTACGTTAGTAACTACAACCCTGTTGGAGCCGGGTGATGGGGTTCGAGATTGAGTGATGTTCAGGGGTTCGACACAGGGATCAGCCTCTGAGAGATTATCAGATCTCAGAAACCCGGGGGCAATCATGGGGGCAAACCTAGCGAATAACACATGCATAATTGTTCACTGCTGGGCATGAGAATGGGATAGTCCTTCCAGGCTTCCACGGCTTGACATCATTTGAAGCAGGAGTATTCGTCTTCTCTGTGCCTCTCCGAACCGCAGTTTACAGCACATGCAGTCCAGTCGAGAACAACGGATTGCCATCATTTCCTCGGTAAAGGCGTCCTAGAGGATATTCCCCGCACCCATCAACAGTGAATTCAGGCGCTACAGGCTAGCTGCAGAAGACCACCCAAGGTGGAAGGTGGTCAAGAATCGAACGGTGGGACATGTGGAAGAATAGTCAGCACGAGGCAGTGGACAGACGCACACACAGACCTAGTAGACACATTTCCTTCAAGTATTCAAAAGAATTGCACATGCCACCGATAATTGTGTGATATCTGTGCTTGCTGAATTGATGAAGCTTCTATCCATAACCGCGAGACGGTCCGCTACAGTCCAGACAACTTCGACCAGAGACGCCTTGGACACCTGAGGCAAATCATGGTATCATCATGTACAAATCAATGTCGGAACGGAAAGGCTGGGACATATGCACCTTCACAGCGGTATCCCAACAAATTTTCCTCCCCGCATTTTGGCTCTTTGGAGGGTGTCGATGTAGGACAACTGCAGCAAACTGCAGCCATCTCACGGAGATCGGGAACAATGGTTTGTTTTTCGGTGGGGTTTGTGTTGGTCTTCGATTCGACCCATCGACAATCGAACGAATCTTCTGAAAGAATGTCGATCATCAAGTCCTTAAACTTCTCAACTTGTGACAGAAGGCATCTCCGTACACATCAAGTAGCTAACCATGTTCCGTTCATTTGTGAATGCTAGAACATCATGATGCAGTGCCCGCTCCAACCGTCATTGCAGGAAGAGCCCTCTGCTGATGAATGCACGGTCATTCAGTGTTCAGCCGAGGCCATGAAAGTGAAGCCACCATATTATTCCCACCGCGTGAGCAATAATAGCGAAAATGTCCGAATACCCACTGTTATGGCATAGGGACAGATTGAAAGGTCAAAAGTTCTGAATCAAGTGGGGGAGGCGGGCACGTCAAAAAGCGCGTCGTCAAAAGTTTTCCTGCTCTGACTGGACGGCCCGTGTGCATTATGAAACATTTGTCCTGCGGCTCATGCTGGAATGCCTGCGGACTGCCTTTTGCTGCAAGTTGTCGCATGTGAGAAGCGTACAACTTCGTCAATGAGCATGTGGCTTTATGCTATGCTTGTTCTCGACCAGTCTATGTTAGTGGACAGGATGGAGCATCTCATCCGTGGCTCCTTTTTTTTTGGCTTGATGTTGGTGGGTGTGGAGAAAGAGATCAGTCGTAGCAGAGGGATATTCGCCCGTCGCGGGTCAGTCACGCAGCATTGTTTGTGGCAAGACGCGGAGTGTGCTCAGAGCACACGTTCGAGATGGAGAGATACAAGTACATGTACTCCAGATGAGGTCCACACGGATATCAACTCTTTTTTCTCGACCCTTCTTTTCATCATGGCGGGTACTTTTTCATACTCGGAAGGATACGAGTCAAAGGGGAGGGCTCTGTGGCTGCCGGCACGCAGCTAAAGTGACGCAACCATGCAGTGGAACTTTGAGGCTTGCATCACGCTGGGACCCATCATCTGGGGGCGGCGCTGCGTCGGTGTCAGAACTTGTTTGTCAGACGTTGTACTCGTACCTGTAGGACTCGGGCAGACGGGCCCTTGCGAACGGTAGGTAATAATAATGTTGTTCTCAATCATCAAACGCGTCTTCAACGCCGATTATCTCGATCTCTCGACCGATTGGAAGGATCTGCTCGTGAAAGATAAATTTGGACGATGAAGCAGCGACGACGGGAGCCATGACTGGAGAGGGTCTAGCTCCGGGCCCCTCAGGCCCCTGGTCGCGCCCACGAGGCCTGTTCCCGGTGATCAGCAGCTTGCTGTTTTGGTGGTGCGGATTTCTCGACAAGAATGCACCCCTTTATCCCTGCCGTCGGCGTCACTTTGTGCAGGGTAGGGGCCTTGACTGGAACGCAGGTTGGCACATCACCACATGCAGCTTTACCAGCTCAATTCATCTTTTCATGTTTGGATCGCCAGCACATGCGGACGATTAGGGCAGGAATCAGAAGGACTGTGCTTTGTTATCTGCGTCACTTTGACAGTGATGGAGCGAAGAGGGGTGTTTCGGACGAGAGCACGGGTGACACACTGCCCGCCTAACCCGGTATATGCATGGCAAGCGATGTTGAGAGCAAACCTGTTCACTAGACTTGGACATCGTGATCCGAGCACAGGACAGAGGTTAGCATTGAGGACCGCGTATCGATTGAGGCGAGAATCACTGAACCAAGCCTCGTATACTCCGTACGGAGGCAACAAAATTAATAACATCCATCACGAAATGGCGATGGAGTAGCTGTAATTGGGTGATGAAAAGAATGGTTCGTGGGGGGTGCGATGGTATCTGGTTTAGGCATGGGAGAAGCATCATGCCAGGTTCGCCAATACATTCCTCAGCCTAAGACCAACAGAGCACTAAGCTCCTCACTAACGCCCGTGAATGCAGCTGCCACTCTCGCTGCAGAGGGTGAGAGGGTGCACTCAAAGGCAGCTCTCCTGACCTGACCACACCAAGAACCACACCAGACCTGATCTGATCCGCCTGCGCCTACCATTGATTGATCGATTGATTGCAAAACCTCCTTCCACTTCCAATCTTTCCCTTTACCCATCACCACAAACCACCACCTCATCACCGTCGTTCCTCTCTTATTGCATTTTGTCATTTTCCCCCAATTTGCATTCATCCATTGCCCAAATCTTCGTTCTTCTTCTCGCCGTCTTCTTTTTCTCCATTCTCTCCCTTCTAGGGATCCTCCGCCTCGCCTCACAGCCGCCTCCTATCTTCAAACGCGCCCGCGGCTGTCACATTCGTTTTATGAGCTTTATCCGCCCATGAAGACACCGCTTCTTCAAATCCTTCGCTTCTTGGACTCGGTCTTGATCAGTATACTTTAATCGACCTTCGTTTCTACCTCTCGACTTAGCCATTTTAAACCCAGTCTCTCAACTGTCCCCTGACTTCACCTCTTTTTGGCTCTAACGTGCCTGTACCGACCTAAGGCCTCACGCACACATTGATCCGAACGAGGTACGTTCGTTCTGTCGATAATGCTCGAGACATTGCCTTTACAGTGTACTGATGTGCTTGCAATAGCCCGAGCTTTTCGAGCCCTTCCCTCGTCCTTTCCCCTTCCGAATTGTCTGGAGTGAGAAGATTGAGACACGAGCTGGCTCCTGATCGCTGGTTCATCTGGTGCAGACACAACTGAGAGAATCATGGCTGCTTTGGTTCAAACTCTACCAGCTCAAACAACCACCATGACCATGATTGGTCGTCCATCGTCTTCGGGAGGTTATGCTTCACAAGCCTCACAGAGTCAGATGCGGAATAGCCAGCCCAGTCGATACACCAATATGTCGTCGACAGGCTACAGAGGCGTATCGGGCGGTGGCCCAGTGGCTCCTTACGCCTTTACACAGACGCCCCAGCTTGCCAATCACAATGCCAACGCCCGTCAATTTGCTCAAAACTCAGGACGGTCGATTTCTTCTCCTCAGTCTCAGCCCACGTCCCCGACGAGCATACCTCAAATCGATCTCGGTGGTCGGACTTTGTCGTTAGGCCTACCTGCAATTCCTCCGACCGGGTCTCTGATGAGTATCTCTCCCAAACTATCTCCCCCCGCGCCTTCTACCACTCCCAAACCATCTCCAGACCGATATCGAAGGAACAACGGTCGCCGTGCTGATGGAGAAGGCAATGCCAATCGAGCCATGGGCAGTTCAGCTGTACCTTCTGGCTCCGGCATGGCTGCGGTCGGTGCTCTCTACAATCACCCTGCTCAATCGAGTAGTACTCCATCTTTCGGCTCCCAACAATCTTATCGTGGACCGACACATGGAAATGCAACACCGTCACAGCTCTCAAGTGCCGATGACCTTGCATTGGGAAAGACCAACAATACGGAGCTTGCTGCGAGGTATCGTAGGCGCAGTTTCGGGAGCATCGAAACGGCCGGGCTCAATCACGCATCAGATCCTCAAGGCACCTCGTCACCACACCCAAACACTTTCCTTCCCTCACCGCTGGCTCAACCTGTTGGCATAACCGTACAGAGACCTCCCCACAAGCATACTCCAAGCTCAGACAGCGTTGCCTCATCGAGATCGAGTCACTCTTCTCGGCCCAACTCGGTGAGTGCTCTTAAAACTAGCGAGGTTTGTTCTAACCTTTCTCCTAGGCTCGAGCAGAGCACAGGACCACGATCACGCCTGTTGCAAACCCTTCTGCCACCGCTTCGCCGAGATCTGACCAGAGACTGGCTGCTCGCTCACCTCCGTCTGGAGACTCGAGCATTCGCCAACCCTCTCCTCTTTCACGACCTGTAAATCTACAAGCCGACGAGAGTGAGGAGAAGCCAATCCCTCCACCCACAGTGATGTCGCAACAGCAGACCACTCCTAGTCCAGCCGTGGAGCAGCTCGCTGCTCTGAATCAGACAACCGCACCCAAGTCGAAGTCGAAATTACGGCGCGCTTTCTCCTTTGGAAGTGCTGCGGAGCTAAGAAAAGCGACCACACAGGGCAACCATGAAAAAAGCTTGGGCACCAAGGCTACAAATGCGGCGAAGCGAAACTCGAAATACGAAGATGAGCTCGAACCTGAACAGGCGAGAATTGCTGAAAAGCAGGAAGCCGCAGGGTTAGGTGAGAGTATCTATTCAGGACAAGGCCAGTTCTTCACAGGGTCGACAGATAACCTGTCCATCTCGTCAACGGCCTCTTCCGCGTCCGTTATGCTTCGTAAAATGGGCAAAGGCGTCAAGAAAGGAACCCGGTCGCTTGTTGGATTATTCCGACCGAAGTCAGTGGTAGGAGTTCCTGCCGCTGACGGTCCCGTCAATCAGGGGAGCTTGGCACAAGTGTCAATGGTCACTGTTGAGGCTGAACGAGAGAAGGTCAACGTCAATGCGAACCCTCATGACCAAGTGGGTGGTGGTACAGGATTCCCCAAGCTCGAACGAAACTCAGTTGAAACCAAGCTGTCCTTTGACAGTGGCACTGTGTCCAGTGAAGCAAGATCTCGACGAAGCATTGTTGGGGGAGAGAAGGAGCGTGCCGAGGTACTTGCTGCCGTTAAGAAGGGAATTTTGAAACGAGCCGATTCAAACCAGCTGTCTCCGAAACTGAAGACATACGACTTCAAAGTGCCCGATTTCAACCTACCCCAGATTCCTCATGTTAATGACTCACCAAAATCCAGTGCTCCAAGCACACCGGCGGACGAAACACCCAGATCCGGGCACCGCCGTACCGATTCGATTACCATTGAAACCAACGACCATGACGACTATTTCAGCTCCATGACCAGATTCGCAAGCGTAGAAGCAAAAGAAAACCCGATGACCCCTCAAGGCATGCTTCGAAACATTTCCTTCAGCCCTCGCCTCCAGTTCTATGATACCTGGCCAAGCGCCGAGTATGACCGACGTGGAGAGATAGCAACTTGTAACCGGTTGACCCCAATGCTTGCCCAGCAGATCAAAGAGGAGCTGAACACATTCAAGATGGTGAGGACCCCACGAGAGCTGTCACGTGGTGCCATACTAATTCTCTTAGGAAATGGAAGTTCACGAATCCTCGAAGGTCTACACACACTTCTTCTAATGGCTCAGATTCACCCTTGGATATCAAAGATAATACAGTCAGGACTGAGTTATGGGTCTTAGACACACTATTAGAGAGTCAACTTATCAGCCTCCTCACGATTTCTACGACTTTGGCCAACACATGTGCATCTCAGCATCTTTTCGTCGCTAGACATCAGCACGAAGACTTATTTTGGGCGGCATTTGACGTTCGACCCTGTGTACATCTAGACAAAAGCGCCTTCCATGTTGTATCGTTTTGTTTCTTGAAAACCATTGAAAGTAAGGTGTTTGGCGCTGGAAGCATGTCGCCTCGGGACGGTACCCGCGTGGCAGGAAGTGGATTTGCTATGGCATCTTTCCAGGCGCAGAGAGGGCTCTCCTTGGTCCACAGTTTAGGTCGAGACAGACAGAGAACCTTCGGGGTTGACCGGCAATTTCAACGCGCCTGACGGGTTTGAGTGCTTGTAGCGGTATGTCTTTGGTGGGTGGAATGCGAAGGAGTTCAACCGAACCCGCCTGGCTTCAGTCATTGTAATGATGGGTCTGGCAGAGTCTTAAGTCAGGTTGCAGGAACAGGCAGGCTCTCCTGCTCAGGAAATTAATTCATCTTGGAGAATGTCGAACCTCTGCAGGCACCAAGCCTCTTTCCTCGCCGACTCTTTCCTATTAGTAGCAGATTCATGTGGCCGTGATCATGATTGTTGCTATCCGATGTCACTTTTTCGTGGCATTTGACGCCGGCTCAGGTATTACTAGGTCGGTGATTCTGGCGTCTGGAAGCGATCAATATCTGCCACAGTACTAGCCGCGGCCTAAAGTGTAGAGTCAGGTAGAGTCAGTCACAAGGTGTCGCATGGGAAAACCGTTGCTACGACATAATGTATAATAATTTAGAATGAGGGAGTCAAGTTCCGTATAACTCCGTCCATTCCGCTCTAGCACTGCACGAATATACACGAAAATTACACAGCTATCAACAACATATAAGGCCATTTCGACTTCATGTCTACCACACCAGTGTCTAGGTATAACTAGGCTTTGTCCCCAACGGCACCGGAGGCGGCGAGGCCACTCCGCCGCTACCACTACCTAGAGAATTGGCATTCCCGTGCATGCCAGCGGGCTTTTTCGGCGGAGGTGGAGGTGGCGGTTTGCGTGATATCGACGCGACCAACTCGGGGCTTGTCGCTGGTGGCGGTGGTGTAGCCGTGGCGTTGTTCAACGGCGGCGGCGTTTCGGTAGTGGGCGAGGAGTGCTTTTCTAAAAAGGAGTTCAATCGACCGGCCACATTGTACTTCTTGTTCCATTGATTGGCCTTCTGGCCGGCGGTTGATATCGTGTCCTGATGCCGCTCGCGGAAGGAGTTGGCGGTGCGGGCGGCGGCTGCAGCGTCCGCGGGCGTCACGGAGGAGGGGTTGGCGTGCATGGTTTGCGCAGTGCGGAAAGCGGCTTGCTTCTCGGCCCACGTTGTTCCAGCGGGCTGCGGAGGTGGAGTGGACTGGGCGGGCGTGCTATGGGGCGGTGTCGTGGTTTGGGAGCTGGTGTTGACACTTGTGTTGCTGTTCATCCGGGCGAAGCGGGATTGAAGCTCGGAAAGCTGGTCTGATGCGGGTTGGGGTTGAGGTTGAGGTTGTGGGGAGGGGCTCTTCACGGTGCCGACCTGGCTTTGTTCGTTCTGCCACGGGTTGGAGGATGTCTGGGATCCGATACCCAACCCTGGGACAGAGATGCCAGCGTTGCTTAGTCTGTTGGCAGCCGCTTGGTTGATGCCGTAGTTGGCTGAGCTTGGCTGCGGAGTTGGCCGGTGGTTTGTAATCGACTCATAGGCTGGGGGTGCTGCCTGTGGAGGCGGAGAGGCTACCACGGGAGGTGGTGTCGGGGTCGAGGCAGTGTTTTGTCGAGATGGTAGTCTAGGGGGTAGACCGGGTTTTGGTTTGGGTGGTTGTACAGCTTGCATTCCGATCTCAGTGGGACTTCGGTTCACCTCGCGATGCACGGGAGGAGGGGGTAGATGGTCAGTCCTCAAGCCTGTACGATCTGCCCTGTACGGCAGCGGTGGACCAGCAGGCCTTTGGTCTTCTTCTATTTCTTCCTCAGTTGGACCGTTTGTAGTTCGGCTTGCGCTCTGAATTTGTTCTGGTGTCAAGGGTGCTCCCCATCCACTTCTCTGCGGCGTTATCTCGTTCGGTAGGGCGGCGCCGCCGTGATAGTTCACGTTTTTGGGCGGAGGACCAAAGGAGGTCGGATCTTTTAGAGTGGCTAGCGGACGTGATACGTGGTCGACCGCATCTTTCTTGTTGGGATCTCGCCCCTTGCCCATCCATCCCGCCTGTATGCACTGATTTAGTCCCGAGGTTGCTTTGTGCAGAGCTGATTCCTTGAATGACTGACCACTTGATTTATGCCCTTAAAATCACCTCGCCATGATTCCTTCCCTCCCTCTTTGCCTTTCGGGTGCCATCCATCTTTCATAACATTGCGGAAACTCATCTCGTGAGTTCGGAAGTGGGGTTGGAGGCGTCTGCTTGTGTAGGGTTGATTCGACCAAGTGGAAGGACGGTGCGATATCGCTACGGTAGGATTCTAGCAGCGGGGGCTTCAGTGAATAGTAGAAGGGGGTACGGAGAGCTTCACGCACTCATTGTAAAGCGAGGATGTATGCGGTTGATGCAGGTGAGTGGCTTGTTCGCTGACGTCGCAGCCCACTCGACGCCAAGGGCGATTCTTGCTGCAAAAGGCCTAGCGTTCTCGAGTCGATCAGGCTTCAGCCTTGTGTGATTTCATTGGTTCATCAAATGCAAGGATCTGAGGGTCAACTGCTCACCATGATAGTGCCTAGATATACTCCGTACCTAGGTAGCTAAACCTGAGGGGATAGTTGCGATAGACGCTTGGAATGCCACTGATGGGATTCTCAGGGCGGAAGATTTGGGGAGTGTAGCATTCATAAGTTCTGTTGGCAATATCTATTCTGACTATTTTGCAACAGGATTGTTGAGGCGGTGAGTAGATCATACATCTTGTCACGAGTTCAATCTGTTTTAAGTAGTACATAGATGTCAAGTAAAAGTCGAAGCTCGGGTAGCCAGAGCTGCTGCCTGCATCGCACAAAATTGTCGCCGCCATTGGTTTTCCAAGATGTTGGTAAGAAGTATGGAAGGCGAGGGTTCTTATATATCATCCAGGTATCAAATGTCTTGCTAGCGCAACACCTCCGCCCTCTCCTCTAACCTACGCCGATGCAACTAGCGTTGAGCTAGATTGTCCGACTTGTGCCAGACCGCGAAGGGAACCAGAAGAGCGCTCGAGTTGTGACCATGCAATCTCATTTGCTCCGCATGCATGACATTTCCTGGACCCATGACAGAGCCTCATAGATAGACCTGCCAATCAATCGAGCGATTTGATGCGTTCGTCGAGTGGAGCGTCATCGTTCGGCCAGGTCGAGAAGGAACATGTTGTTATAGGAATGCTCGGTTAGAGAATTCAACAACTCCCTAAGGCTGCAAAGGCAGAAGGGTTGGGTCGGAGCTCGTGGCCATCATGGCTTCACGGTTCAAAGATCAAGGGCTTGAGAGTACCATCCAAGCATGATTCATTCAGGCGATACGTTGAGGGGAAGGATACCTCACCTTATGGGTCGTCAGACAGCACTATCCGGCGGTCCCGTACAATAGGCCATGGAAGAACAATTTAAGGCATTCCTCAAGGATTTTGGCAAGCATGAAACACTGCAGCGGGAAACAGGCGCATGTGTCACTTCACGGCAGCAGCACGGACAGTGAGGATTGCCCACTGTATCATGTGACTGATGTGCGGTGAAGAAGGGTGAAGGCACTCTGATGCTGGTCAGATCGCATCAGACAGAATTTCTGAGGAAGTCCGTTGTATCGACGACCTCAGAGCAGATGACTCCGACGGCTTCAAAGTTCACATCCAAAGGCTCGTGCAGGACAGCAAACATGCAGGACGGGCGGATATAAAGTTGCGGCGGGACCCCCTACCCGCATCACAGTCTGATTTGCAAGGCTGTGATGTCGGAGACCCAAGAACAAGCAGGGCTACCGGACAGTTAAAAAAGGCTAGATTGCTTCAGTACGGTTTCGGTGTCTGCGCAAACATGAGGATACTTAACGTAGTACTCCGTAACCAGGCAGGGGATTCATGATACCACCAACGTCATGGAGTGCTTAGCACCTCGCCCACTTCAGACGGGCAGAAGTGACGAATATGGCAAATGGCTAACATGGCTGGTCTGAATCCTTGGATGGCTGCAAAACTGGCTTGGGATGATGATGCTGGTGTCCTTCAAAGTGACCCGTCGTGCCCGTTTTGTCTCAGGCAAGCCATGCCGGAGGTCGGCAAGTCGGCGCCCACAAGTTCCGTGGTGACGAGCTGTGGCCAATCGATATGGTGGCACGTGGGCCGTTAGTCGAGACTTTGGAGAGTGTCGGACTTGCCATTGACGCCATTTTTAGATCTCCCGCTTGTGGCTTCGTTTCTGTGACTTTTGTCCGGTCAAGACTCGAGAAGCATGTCGCACCGTGCCTTATTGTGTAGAGACGGCTAGGGCACGGAATCATGGGGTGTCAGTGCGTCACAATATATATTTATGTTCTTTCTCCGGCACGAGTCCTGCAGAGGATGGGTTCATCTGACTCTCCGGAAAGGCTCCGGATCTCTGCCTTGGGCGTGGAGGCTCGTACAACAAGCGAAGGAAGAGGAGGCGTCACAAGCAGAGCCAAGGCTGTACTCGTAAGGACAAGGCGCAAAGCGAAGCCAAGGTACGAACTCGACTGGTACTGTGCATACCACCCTAGGCACGACGACACAAGCGCCAGAGATGGCGTTCGGATGTCCGCTCGTGCTGGTTCATATCCAGGTACGCCAGGCTGGCAGTCGGAGTACGGATACGGTGTACTCATAAGAATTTAACCACGCAGTAACAGGCCTGTACTAGAAATTTAGAAAGGCACTACCAGCTCTCTAGGTCTTAGTCGGTGTGCTAGACGCTGGTTCTGACCAATGCTGATTCTTATTGATTCTTGTCTAGCTGTTAATATCTGGACACTAGACTGGGTTGGGCCGTGGCAGGCGAACAGACCACACACAATTCGTTCCTTGCTCACGCTTGCTGCACGCCCATCAACGGCCATGTCCCATATGAGAGTGGGTGGCATTTGCTATGGCGTGTATGGATGTTTCCCACTTTCCTCAAACGAGTCACAATCGACAGCCGAGACCCTCCTGCATCCTGTGCCTTGGTTGCAGCACGCTCTGGCACGCGGGCCCATCTTCCTCCAATCCTCGGCTTGCAGTGAGCTTCCATGGCTTCCCACCTTCCTGGTCAAACGCAAGATTCCATCGACTCCTACTTGCCTACGGATACTCCGTACAAGTTAGAAGACTTTTGGTACCCGTCGTCCTGGCAAGCCTCAGGGTTTTGTTCGTTAAAGCACCTACGATCGCCAGTCCTCTGACTCGTTCCTCCCTTAGGACATTACTTTGAACCAGCCCGTCTCAATTTATCTGCTGCGCCCCAATTGATCTCATCCTCCTCGTATTTCATCGGCTCCCAACCTGCGTCAGATCTCTCTGCTTTAGTTTCGGCCCTCGACGGACTTCTGCAGAAGGCTGGCCTGAATTCACACAGACAGGATCCTGCGACTGACCGTGTCTGCTGACCGCGACTGCCCCGGCTGCCCTGCCACCCTTTGCCTGAACCCTCCTTCCCCTTACATGTCGAAATCTCACCCTCGTGCAGGGTCCGATTCAACCTGGATCTCAACACTTTTCTTCACCACTTCCTCTCGAGGCCTCGTATCGCCCGAAGAAGCATAGAAAACAATACACCCTCGTTTTCGCCAGACACCTCACATTCATTGCCCTCGGGCTTCTCCCTCCCAACAACAATGGCCGGGCCTCAGGGCACTTTTACAGCTGCCAGCGATGGACCTGGAAGCGCTGCCATGGCGAGTATCGCCTCTTCGTTCGCGAGTGAATTCAGCCAAACCACTGGTGGTGATGCAGCTACAACCAGGGACCGAACTTCCGCAACATCGACGGGGACGACCGCGAGTGCAACAGGAGCTGATGCATCAACCTCTGGCACCAACACTTCGCCGACCACCTTCGCTACCTCTGTGACGACAGGCACGGCCGGTGCGAGCTCGAGTATGGCAGACGGCACCAGCGGTACAGCGTCCAACGCCGCGAGCAACACCTCCGGAGCAGTCACTGTATCGCAGAAATCCTGCGACAGTCTTTCTTGCTCTTCCGCCCTAAAGGCCGCTGTGGCCGTCCCGATCATTATCGCTGCTATTGCAGGAATCTTGCTGTTTTTCTATCTCGTCAGAAGGAGGAGGAGGAGAGCTGCTGGTGCCGGGGTGTCAGAAAAGAAACCGAAGAAGGCGGGCAAGAAATGGTCGCGACATCTACGAGCATTCTCGTTCGATGCCGAGCTACTCATGGGAGGTCGATTCTCAAGCACCAACAGCGTTCGAAGTCGAGATCCGAGTGTCCGGAGTGCAGGCAACAACTCCCGACAAGGTGCTGCCAGTGCCGAACCAAGTTTGCACAGTATCGAAGAAGTCGCCCCTCCGTACCGAGATGCCGTCTCGCATGGTCAACCGCTTAGCCCAACGCAGAACCGCTCGGTTGCTCCTATTGCAGCTGGAGGCGCCGCTACCGACCCAATACTTCGCGCTGCTTCGACGGCCACAGCACCTCCACCTTACCGAGCAGTTGCTCACCAAGGCCACTCGCAGCCGGCATCGCCTATTTCTGGTAACCCGTTCGCGGACTCAGCACCAGTCAGCCCAATCGAGGATTCGCCGTTTAATGACCCCCCTGGAGAGAGGCCAACATTAAGTCGAGGCTCGTCGCTTTACCAAAGCGTCAATACTGAAGATGGAGCGCCCTCGGATGCCGGGAGTATACAAGAAGCCCAGATAGGCAGACGCGTGTCTGTCAGGAACTCGGGTGCCGCACCCAGTAGTGGTAGCTAGCACACAATGTAAACTTTTCGTTTGTCTGATCATGGCGTGGAGTTGGGGCACTTGCACCGTCGGAATTACCGTGGAAATGCCCACGTTTCCTTTCACAGACGGAGCCGGAAGAAAACAACGGGGAATGGGTATGGCGATATGTTTCTTTGATGCAGTGAAATGTGTTTTGAGACGTCCGGACTGATCGAAAAATCTGTATGCGAGCTGAATGGGATGGAATGGAATGTGAACGAGACGGATTGATCACTGACGAGTGATGCCCTAGAAAAGGCTTTGGCTAGGAAGGAAATGCCTATCAATGCATAATCATAACACCTAGACAATTTTCCCATTCTCCTATGATGTCTTTGCTGGCTTTTCTTATTGTTCTTATGGTCAGAGAGGTTTAATTCTGTCACCCCTTCCAGGTTTTCCCTCAACCAAAGTTACAGCTGTCGACAAATGCAACGTGGGACAGACATGCAGGAACGAGACGGCCTATGGCAGGTCAACGCTGCTCGAAGAGTTATGCCGTGTTCTGTGCCTGTGCTTGGATGGCGCCACGGCTACCACCGTCACATCAACACAGGACGTTGGGAGGACAGAAGCCCTGCCACAGCCCCATTTCGCCATGTCCATATCCGTCTTCACTGCCATACGTGCGCTGGAGTGGTGAAACTTGTTCATGCCGTTTACCTGCAGCCGGGCCGAAGGGCTTGGTTTCGTGGTTTCGTGGTTTCCTACCCGCACCGCACTGCCTTGTTACACAGCCGCGGTTGTGTGAGAGATGCACAATGACAGTACCTAGAAGGACGGGCTGGTGTGTGACCTTGCATTTGGGAAAATGCACAAGTTGGGACGTCGCTTGGTTTGACAGCCATGTCGTAATAAGCTAGAAGACGCCGTCGAATCGATGCTGGGTCGCGGCCAAGTCGTTGACCAGCTACAAGTAGAAATTTGGGCATGTCGGGGGAACATGCCTGGGCCCCCGTCCGGGAAAACTTCTCATCGCAAGCTGAGACTATATAAAAAGTTGTATGGAGCAGCGATGTCTAGAAGGCAGGAATCAACGTTGCGGACAGGATTAGCATGGCGATGCAGAATTTCGGTTTTATTTCTTGGAAGCTGAAGAGTGAGGTCGACCGTATATGACTAAATTGGTATGAGGAATGGGCCAGCGTCGATTGTGATGCTTCGAGATTGCGGTTCGGTGGCGGCATGAAGAATAATCCGCTCGAGATGGTGCTCTGCTGACCGAGAATATCAATCTATGCCTCGGGTCGCAACGCTTTCTCGCTCTTCGAGATGGCTCAGTGCTTCCTACTGAGCAAAAGTTCGCTCGCGAAGCAGGCAATTCCGGAAGCGTCCACGCCCTCCGAGGTTCTTTGCTGTACGGCTGATGTCTTATCACTTGTGTTGAGCTTGGAACCCATCGAGTGCGATTTGTATCTTGGTATAGCCAGTCCCGGCTCATACTCTTGACGGCTGAAGATAAGTATAAGAGGCGGCGTCCCCGTCTTGCAGCCTTGAAAATGGTCGGATGTACTGATTCCAGATTCCAGTCAGCTCTTGGCTGGTAGACTTGAAACAAATCAAGCAGAGCTTCTGGCAGAGACAGGCGGAAGAGTCATGGTGGTTAGGTCGACATCCGACAAAGACGTTCGGAGGTAACAGCCGCCATGAGACTTCAAGGCTCAGTGGATGATTGACTTGAAACCATTGTATGCCTGCTCCATATCAAACGCCAGATCTCGTGCCTGCTCCTCGCTCAATTCTTCTGACGTCTTCATCTGATTGAGTGTGATGAGCCATTGAATGATCTTGCCTCGATGCTCAAAATCCTGATCGGTCACCTTGTTCACTGACTGAATGACATCCGAGAGTAGAGGATGCAAAGCGCTCTTTGAGACCATGTTCAAACGTAGCGCGTCCAGGAAGGTAATGAAGTTCTCGGTCGCTGCCAGAATAAGACTGCCTGATGCCGTCGCTGTTGGAGCATTGGAGCCAGGTGTAGCTTTTTGTACGGTCAGCACCTCATCTGCTGTGAGTCCGACTCTTAAACGTTCTTTTGCCCGTGGACACTCAATATCCCACTGCTGCGTGAACGTGTCGAGATCCACAAACTGGCGAGACACATTTTCGTCGTTGAGGATTGATCGGTACTGCTTTAGCAGCTTCGAACACATATCGGAGTATTCGGTTTCTGGCAGTGCATCTTTGATGTACGCCTTCTCGAGGCCGTCAATTGTGCGAATGATGCTGTATATCTCGGCCAGGGAATCGATCAGGTCACGTTCCGTCGCGGAATCCGCAAGTTTCACTTCTTCGTCGAGGTTGATCCGGGCTGAGAGGGCATTTGTGGGTGTATAGCTGTATGGTGTCGGCGCGTATTGAAGAGGACGTGATGATGGAGTGCTGTACATGATGTGGATGCTTGCAAGACAAGCAGTTGGCCTTTGGGCGGTTGGTAGAATGGGCCGCAATGTATGGAGGCACCCAGGATTGAAAGGCGCAGGTACGCGAGGCTGAACTTCTGACGAGGCTGAATGAGGAGAAGATCCGTGCGGAGTAAGTCATGGTTAAACATCGGCTTGGCACAATTTTTCCAAATGCAAGTTTCAATCTCATGCATGCGCCCTGGTACTCCGTAGTGCTTGAGGGATACAGCCCTTCCCACCAACCTGAGCAGGACAGTCATCCTGTTTCATTCAGATAATATGGCAAAGCAGTCGAAGTCCACGAAGAAGTTCGAAAAAAACCGTCTCAAAGGCACAATCGATAGGAGAAAGGAGTTTGCCAAAATCAAACAAAGACATCAGCAGAAAGAGAAAAAGAAACAGCGGGCGACACAAAAATCGCAAGCGGAAGATGATGAGGCTGAATCCCAAGAGGAAAGTGCTCCGCTTGGTGGAGATGACATGAACGGAGATGAATTCTTTCAAGAAGCATTGGATATACCCCAATTCGATACAAAGGCGCAGGCCGGGAGTAAAAAGGGCAAGCGCAAGAGAGACGCAGACGGTGACAATGATGAGATCCCATCAGCTTCCGAGGATGAATTATCAGACGATGATATGGCTGGCCATAAGGACCAGCTGGCCTCTTTGGCTGAGAAGGACCCAGAATTCTACAAATACCTACAAGAGAACGATGCAGAACTGTTGGACTTTGACGAAGACGATGAATTGGCAGAAGTGGACGACCTGAGCGACGAAGAGCCTGCGACCAAGAAGCAGAAGACTCAACCAGCCGACGACGCAGCTCCAGACGATGTGACTCTTGACATGGTCAGAAAATGGAAAACTTCCCTTGCTGATCAATTTTCGATCAGGGCCTTGCGGCAAGTCGTCCTGGCCTTCCGAGCTGCTGCTCATGCGGACGATGAGGAAGACAAAACCTACAGATACAACATCGCGAGCCCCGAGGTCTATCACGAGGTCTTGATGACCGCTCTTAAGCAGGTCCCTGTTGTACTATCACATCATCTTCCCGTCAAGGAATCTGCTGGTGGAAAAGTACGCGTGCCATCCGATTCACCGAAATTCAAAACGCTGGCACCTTTGATCAAATCGCACACATCATCATTGCATTATCTGCTTGGACGTTTGACAGATACAAATACGCTAAGGTTGACGCTGCAGTCATTCGAGCCTTTGTTACCCTATTTGCTACAGTTCCGCAAATTTCTCAAGGTCATCATAAAAGCGGTCTCCGCCATCTGGTCTGACAACTCGTCTATCGAAGCGACGCGAATTACAGCTTTCTTGGTCATCCGGCGACTCATGGTCATTGGCGACGCTGGCATTCGGGAGGTTGTTTTGAGATCAACCTATGAAGGAGTCGTCAAGGGCAGTCGAAACACTACCATCCACACACTTGCAGGCATCAACTTGATGAAAAACTCAGCCGCAGAAATCTGGGGCATTGATCAAAAGGTCAGCTACACTGCTGGCTTTTCGTTCATCCGCCAGCTAGCCATCCACCTCCGCGGAAACATCACCAAACCAACGAAAGACTCATATAAGACAATCTACAACTGGCAGTTCGTCCACTCTCTAGATTTCTGGTCACGTGTGCTTTCCACACACTGCAACTCTTTGCTCGAGGCTCAAAATGGCAAGCAGTCACAACTTCGACCATTAATCTATCCCCTTGTCCAAGTTACACTTGGCGTCATGAGGCTGATTCCTACGTCAACATACTTTCCGCTTCGATTCCAGCTCATGCGCTCTCTACTGCGCCTCTCGCAGGCTACCGAGACATACATCCCTTTGTCGGCAGCTCTCCTGGAAGTGCTGAACTCTGCAGAGATGAAGAAGCCGGCTAAGGCGGCAACTCTAAAACCATTGGACTTCGCCTCGAACATCAGAGCCCCAACATCTTATTTGAAGACAAAGGTGTACCAAGAAGGCGTGGGAGAACAGGTCGTCGAACTTTTCTCCGAGTTCTTTGTTCTATGGACAAAAAGCATTGCCTACCCTGAGCTTCAGCTGCCTGCAATCGTCATGCTCAAACGCTGGTTGAAGGCAGCTTCAAAGTTTGGCGGAAATAAGAATGGCAAGCTGAATCAGGCTCTTCTCCTGCTGGTGCAGAAATCAGAGGCAAATTCGAGGTGGATTGAAGAGCGGCGGAACAAGGTCAACTTCTCCCCGAAAGACCGCACAGAGGTCGAAGGATTTCTCAAGGACGTTCAGTGGCAAGAGACGCCACTCGGCGCCTTTGTTGTCACACAAAGAAAGCTGAGGGATGAAAGAAAGAAGGTGCTTGACCAAGGAAGGAAGGATCAAGAAAAAAGAGTTGCAGCCCACAAAGAGGACGAGAGTGACATTGATGTTGCATAGTCATTGGGCGCCAGCATCATCGCGACAATCAGGGGGTGACTGAACCAGTAACGTGAGTATCTTGTCGATGCTCTGTGTCCCCAGTTCACCTACAACGACTGGGCAGGTCATGTCTCCGTCAATAGGTCTACCTCCGGTACAACCTCAATGGGTCGATAGCATTACGAGAATACCATCTTCACGTTAACCACAAATATGAAACGGCACAGCAGAGGCTGTCACCCATAATGGGATCACAGCCACGTTCTTCCCAAGCTTCTAACGGACGTTATTTCCCAACGAGGAGCCATTTCTCTTGCTATATATATACAAATACACGGAGCTTTCATGCCCATGGGCACTTGGCTCTGTCACCCGCTGTCAACCATGTTTCTTCGCCAAGCGTCATCACATTCACTGCCTCGCCAGTGAAGTCTAGAAATGGCGGCGTTGTTGACACTACGGTTCTAAGGCTGTGCTGCCTCATTGCTGCCTCCAGGGGAGGCTACATGGCCTTGTCACATGTGGTCTCTTTCCACCTTCTCACCTGCCTTGGAACGAGCATAAAGGTCGAATAATTCCTGCTACCTTCTCTGATCAACCATACATTCCATGCTTGTGAATTTCAGTCAAAATGTCGCCAGATTTACCACCTATCGAACCTGTCCGGCTTCCTCAGCATCTTAAGAGCACTTACCGACAGTACAAGGCCGACACAAGCCGTTTTGTCGGGTGGATACTCGAGACGTTAAGCAATCACGGGAGATGGTTTGAGAAGCACGATAAGACGTCCTCGCAACATAGAGTTTCGATCAGGGAGCTCGTTGCTTTAGCCCGAGAGCTGAGAGCTTGCAAGATCCACGTCCCGAACCGGATAATCGAGCTTTTACAATCGATTCTGCATAGGAGACGACGCTGTGCAGAATGGTTTCAATACAGTGCCAAGGCGGTAGTGGAAGTGGTGCAGAATGAGACCCATCAGCACTTCATCGAAACCCTCGAAGAAGTTCTTGAAATGTTCACGTCGGCACTTCATGTTTCTCCAGTTTCCAAGACGACTATTTCACGAGGTGTAGCGCATCTACAGCCCACAGTAAGTGACGAGGCTGAAGAAGCAGCAGCTCTAAGCGCCGCCTTTCAGGGAATGCATTTGGACCAGCAGGGAACAAACTCAAGTACCGAAGACATCGGACCAAATGCGCTGAAGCTCGAAGCTGGCCAGGCACTCTCGGGAAACTTCAACGCCAAAGACGACGAAACGGCGTAAGAAGAAGATATAGAGATCATATCTTCTCAAGAGGACAAGCTCTTCCGATGCTTTTGTGTACTGGAGGACCTCAACAGAATCAGAAAATATGTTAAGGAACTATGGACGAAACAAAAGCACGGGAAGCTGCCTCTGATGACTGCCTCATTGGTGACAGAACAAGCTGTAGGCTTGGCGAGGAGACTTGCAGACGACTTCGACGATGCTTCCAGCGCAGAAGACAGGACCTATAGGCGCATGTTCGTCGAGTTCTTTTTCGATCTAGCTTGTCGAACGCAAAGCCCAAGCTGTTCTGGCACGACCCACTACTTCCATGACGGCCTCGAATTCGACGTAGAAGTCATGAGCGAGATTGTGGACTGGATCTTCCTTGAATCATATGTCTACATCACAAGACCTCAGACTTTGATGAAAGCCAAGCCACTCAAGGAAACCCCTTCGCAGGCTCAAGACTTCCCTTTCGGAGTGACGGCCAAACACCTCCCAGGAACGACTGTTTTTCCCTTAGACGGAGAAATCTACGACCAGTATTTCTTTTCCGCCACTTCAGCCCTCTTCCGCGAAAAGGGACTCGGGTTCACGGACAGCATTACTGAAAGTATCCAGTCCCTCATGAACGTCGAAGGGTCATCGATGGAAGATGACTCAAGGTCGGTGTCTCTCGCTACGGTGTTTGCTGTTCAAATCTTCATCGACATCCAACGTCTGCTTACTGATCAAGGACTTTCGCAGAGCGCCATTGAAGTGGCGAAAAGTGCAGGATTTGGTTTCATGACACTGCCGACTCACGTATCTCTTGCACGAACAAGGGTTTGCTTCAAATCATTGACGAGATGGACCGACGTCTGACACAGATGTGGGACATCTGTAGTGATGAGACCTACAAGCGTCTTCTTGCCAGGAATCCTGTCATGGCTGGCATAGCTTGTCTGCACCTGGTGTGGACATGCAACAGCTGGAGCTGCCAGTTTGTAGATTCTACACCGCTCCTGTTGAAGGGTGCGCACATCTACAATGCAGCAAGGCAGGAAGGCGAGTTGAAGCAATCTTGGCCCGATCTCGACTTTGTCATCTCGTTGCATACTCCTCAGTATGTCTTCGTGGGCGACTTTCCCAGATCATGCTCGCAATATCTTGGCAGATTTGCACTAGCTTGCGGGAGTAGTCTTACGAGAAGATGCTTGGATGTCGACAAGGTGAGGCTCTTCAACACCCATCTGACTTGGCTGGCGTCCTTCCTGTTTGACTTGAGTCACGTTTCTCTACCAGCACGCGATCGAAAAGCAGAGCAACTTGAGCTCATGGTTACTGCCATGAACAAATATGGGCATGGGACAAAACACATCGAGATGACGAAGGACAACTATCGCAGCCTTGGCAATGCTTCACACCTCCGAAAGGTGTGCGCGAACGAGCTTCAATCTGGACCCATGTCCCTTCTCGGCGGCTTAACGCAGGCTCTCGGCGATTTGTTACCGGTGCTGTACTTGTATTGCTTGATCATTACCCGCCGGTGCTTCGACCTAGAAGCCTTGTTCAGGAGGGAGATGGAAGGTAAGGTCGCCGAGATGTCAAAGGCTACGCAACTTATGAGCATCAACATGGAAACTGGACTCGCCCGAGTGTTCACCGACCTCGATAATTACGATGTGGTACAACGAAAACCGCCACATAAACGAGTCCCCATGGAGCTGTTGTTTAGGACGTCCCTGAAGGTGGCCTCAAAGGCTGATGACCGAATCAATCGAAAGAGACGGTGACACAGCATTAGCAGCCATTAAGAGGAAGCTTCCAGGGTACGAGATGCCGTCTCTTGATTTCACGAGCACGGGGAACAAGGGTCGAACGCCGAAAGCATCGCAAGAGGGCTCAGGCGATGAATCTGTGGAAGGGCCCCTGAGCAAGGTTGAGGTGGAGGAATACTTGAGAAGCAGAAACCTGAATGATAAGAATTTCAACTATCTGTCACAGTCAAAGACCTCTCCCTTTTCGTTATATTTAGACTCTCGGTGACCGCTGGCCTGATCAGGTCGTGCTGCCCATATGTCCTACGATCGATCTCCAGTGACTAAGTTCTACGGCTAGAGTCAGATAGGCGGTCCCCGAATACCTAACATTTACTGGCAGAAGGAGGTGTTTGAATACGGCCCATACCCCCAGGTGTCTCCATACCACAGAGGGTCCATGATGGCTTATCATGGTGGATGGCCGGCTCCTGACGAAGAATGAAATCATGACTGCTTTGGGAGTAACGGCCGACTCCGGGCACGCCGATAGAAGTGGTGAGAGTGATGTTTCGAAATACCTTCTACCCAGCACAGAGATAAGGCACCGCATCTTCCTTGGTCGTAGAAGAGAAGGTCAGAGAGATCAGTGGTGAGACTCTGATATTGCCGCGAGGTTGTGCTCGTTGCTTGTCTCGGCTGTAGGGATTTTCCGCTCCGATTGTGGCGGACATTTCGACGGTCTCGAGACAAGCAATAACAATCCCAATTAAACACGCAGATTAGGGAGGAGTAGGGGACGACCTAGATAGCCTGGATGGGGAGTTGCTTTTGTTCAGAGATATCACAGTAACGGTATTAGTCACCCACGCTCAAATACCAGGTACTTGGGGTTGTGTGGTAGAAGGGCACTGTCTTGGTCGGTCAATCTAAGGTACAGTACTCATGATTGATGATGCGGCAATTCCAACACTCACGCCACAGTGTCTTTGCTGGCTCTTGTGTATCACCTTTCTTGCCATTGAGAGGCCCCATGGGTACTGGGGGAGGCTGCTGTAGGGCTCGGAGGATGAAACATATCAGAATGGGAGGACAACGCACGAGGCTTAGCTCACCATTGCCGGCCATCTTGGCCCATCTTTCTTTCGATCTTTTGTCGAGGCCGCATCCTAGGTGACACCCAGGCCAAGCTTCCAGTAGATGGAGCGAATTCCCCTGACTTTTCCCATCTTCGTTAGCACAGCAGTGAGACAACCTAGCTAAGCTTAGTATCGTCAGCATTTCACAACTCAGCCGTGCTCGGCTCAATGATGCTTGTATGTCAGGTGATGTTTCGCATAATGATTCGACGAAAGGAAGTCTCGGGTCTGTCTCCTTCTCAGGGTGTGCAGGGGTTCCAGGGTGCGCTCGGGTCAGGTGGGGGTGCTTGACGTCGCCCCCGTCGCCCCCGTCGCCCTGTGATGCTTGTGGATGGTGTGGATGCTACGCTCGTACTGTGGCTTGCTGCATCGTCGGTCATGGGCCCCAGTCATGGTCCCTGCTCGCTGCCTGCACTGTGATACATAGTACCATCATGTACTGTACATACGTCAGGAGCCATTCATTGCTCCTCCACTGTCATCCACGCCCATACAATTCCCATCGCCAGCATCTCCGAACCGAGAACGTGTCCGCTCTTGACACGGGTGAGATCAGCCATCTTGGTACTAAAAGTTCGCTTGGTGATGTAAGGTCACTGCACACATCTCCTGCTTCTTTCACTAGACCAATTTCGACAATTATCTCGATAAAGAATCAAGCGCAGCGGCGAAACAAGAGCTGTGCTTCTGTGAAAGGACCTTGCCGACCAACATCACTGTCGCCTTAAATTCACCACTCTGCCTCTACCCTCAGCCTCTTTCATCACTCTCAACCAGAACACAACACCAACAGAACTTGGCAAGCAACACCTTCAACCTTCAACATCATGGGCGACCCATCAGGGGACATTCCGTTCCCACTACGACATCGCAAACATAGCACCGAGGTCCAGCGGGATTTCGTATCTCAAGTGCCCGAATATCATCGCAAACGATCTCTCAGTTTCGCACAACCTCAACCTGATGGCCTGGATATAGGGACAAGCTTGAGCGTAGGTCATTGCCTTCCGCCACTACCAGGTCTCTCGCACCAGAAACAGTGCGGCCTCGTCACACCAGTCCCGACCCAGGCATCACCCCTCGTGAAGCATATTGCAACTAACGTATATGGGAATCAGGAATTCTGGGCTGGTATAGCCATCCAAGAAGAGTCCAGCACATCATTGAAGGTCGGCATGGCCATTCACGATGGCACCTACAGCGTCGATTTTGCCATTCACCGTATCTCAATGGAAGACAAACCAGACAATGGGACAGATTGGGTCGCAGATCATCTCATTACCGAATTACACCAGTACAGGAAGGATCACCTCTGCAAGCTGCTCGGTGCAGGTGTCACGCTCGATCTCCACACTAAGGCTCCGACTTTGTGTTCGCGACTTTGGGCAGAGTTGGATATTGTGCCCATTGTACTCGAATCCACTCCACTTCTACCCATCAAACAGGCACATACGACCAGACGCATCAATGTTGATGAACTGGCCGATTCGGCCGCCAGAAAATGCTTGACGTACGTCTTACTGCTTCTCCTACGGATCCCCCAAGCTGACGTTTGTTTTCCAGATTCTTTGGGCCTACAAAGCAACCACGACTCTCAATCAACTATCAAAACCAAGTTGAGGTAGACTTGGCTGGTATGATCCAGTTGGCCACGCTTGATGAATACGAGAAGTCGGTCCGACCCCCGACCTGGAGAGCGGTGCAAAAGCACATCAAAGATGTCAAGGACCGAAACCTGCGCATCGCTTTCTTCAGTGCCACGCCCCAGGGCGGAGGCGTCGCGCTAATGCGCCATGCTTTGCTGAGATTCCTTACTCAGCAAGGTGTGGACGTCGAATGGTGAATCCATCCAAAGCCCTCTTTCAGTCACCAAACCCGGTCCCGTGCTAATCCCGCAACAGGTTCGTCCCGAAACCAAGACCTGACGTTTTCCGCATCACCAAGACAAATCACAACATCCTGCAAGGTGCTGTTCCCCCCGAGGTGCGCACCACAGATGAAGCGCTTGGCAAAATCAAAGAGTGGATCAGGGACAACGCTGAACGCTTTTGGCTGTCTGATGAAGGCGGACCACTGAGAGCACCGTCTGAAGGGGGTGCAGATGTCATCATCATCGACGACCCTCAAATGCCCGAACTCATTCCCATCGCAAAGAAAGAGGCACCTGATCGCCCGATCATCTTCCGATGTCATATCGAAGTCCGGGATGACTTGGTTTTGAAGGACGGTAGCGCGGCGCAGCATGTTTGGCAGAACATGTGGTCAAGTATCAAGCAGGCAGATGTCTTCCTCAGCCATCCAGTACGCTCATTTGTCCCGCCCGACGTCAAGAGGGAGACATTGGGCTGGCTGCCCGCCACGACAGACTGGTAAGGAGTGGTCTCGTCCCTCTGTCGAAGTTGGTAACTGACGGCACATCTAGGCTCGACGGTCTGAACAAATCAATGGACAACTGGGATTTGTCGTACTACATGCATGTCCTGAGACAAACTTGTCAAGCACAGGGCCTCCCGCAACTTCAATACCCGAATCGTGGCTTCTTCACTCAGATCGCTCGATTCGACCCGTCCAAAGGCATTCCCGACGTCATCAAGAGCTACGCCAGGTTTCGAGAGCTGATGGCCGACGAACCAAAGCGAAACGTCCAACAACTGGTGATATGTGGCCATGGCTCCATCGACGATCCTGATGGAAGCATGATTTATGACCAAACAATGGATACTATTCACGAACATCATCCTGACCTCGTCGACGACATCCTGGTGATTCGACTCGGCCCAAGTGATCAGATCTTGAATGCAGTCATGTCATTATGTACCGTGGCCATGCAGCTCTCGACAAGAGAAGGCTTTGAGGTCAAGGTTTCCGAGGCGCTGCACAAAGTGAGGCTGAAACACTCTATGGTTCGGGTGATCTGATGCTAACATTCATGGCAGGGCAAACCCATCATTGCAACGCTTGCGGGCGGTATCCCTCTTCAAGTCGAGCACGGCAAGAGCGGGTTCTTGGTCGAAAGAGGTGATCACGAAGCTGTCGCCAAGTACCTCTACAACCTCGTCATGGATGGCGATCTGTATGACACCATGAGCGAATATGCGAGAACGCATGTCAGCGACGAAGTCCATACCGTCGGTAACGCCCTTAGCTGGATGTTCCTCGCGTCATCCATGGCAGGTGGTAAAACACTGAAACCCAATGAGAGATGGATCAACGACCTGGCTCGGGAAGCCGCTGGTGAACCATATTTGGACGGCGAGCCATGTCTGCCCCGGCACCTTTCAACATGACTCGGTCGTGTTGCGGGCGGTTTTCGAGGGGAGGCGTCAGGGGCGGATGGAAAGACCGAGACGACAAAAATTGCCAGCACACTTCCTTTTGTCGACAATTAGAGAGAAGAGATAGAGTGGACATCTAACCAATACTCGGGAAAGAAGGAATAAGACTGCCAAAGAGGCCTGTAAGAGACATCCCCGGGACCATACTTGGTTGTCAATGGTTTGAAATTTGGTAGATTAAGGGCAAACGGCTAGGAGACAAGGCTGAGACCACGTTAGAAGGGCAGCCTTGTGTCTGCGTCACCAGGATCTTGAGGAAGTCCGGCAGCGACCGTGACATGCAGTCCCCCACTCCGGATTTTCATAAGACGGAACACAGACACCGAATACCTTACTCCCAACAACGAGCTGCTGCATGACCCGACGCTGAACACACGTCTCTTTCGATCGGTGGACATATGGAGATCTTTGTACAGTACGTGTATGATGGCGGGAGAGATTCTCGCTTATGCTCGCTTTTCTCTTGACTGCAAGGGCATTGACCAATAACGGGTCTCTTATCGACAACGTGACCCCCCAGACCTCGATTGAGGCCGCCGCCGCCATCACCACCGCCAATGCAAAGCCCCCCAGGCACCTGCCAGGCACGAGGAAGGCCTCACTAGCCCTAAACAAACATGGGCACTGCATGCAGGTGGTTGCAGGGTTTCAGTGATGCCGCCAGTCCGAACCCACGTCATCATCACAGTCGACGGGCCTCTTAGGTGCCCGGGGACTCCCACAGTATGCATTCGTCGACGTCGTCAACTCCGTGAGCTCCGTACAGTAGGTGCCCCCTCATCTCACTCGCACGGGATACCGGGAGATCCAAAATAGCGTTTCTGTCGAGGTTTGTCCATGGATAGAAGGTGCTTGTACATTGTAGTTGTACTTCTGTTCACCCTGGCGGTATGACATTTTGATTGTTTGTTGCTGACAACACTGTCTTCCTGGTGGCTTTTCTTTTCACACCCCTTCAACCGCCCCCGTCAGCTTCAGCGTCACCCTGCAAAGAGCTGCAAACCGCTTCGACTGACGACAAAGGCTGGCTTCGTCATGTACCGCAAACGGAACGGCAGCCTCGGGTTCTCCTTCACACGGTTCGCGCACGCGGCGGTGCCCAATTTCTTCGCGGACGAGTCGCCGATGCGGACGGCCGACCTCCAGCAGTGGCGGCGGGACATGTGCTACATGCACCAGATCGCGTCGGCGGACCCCTACGCGCTGGACGAGCGGTCGTTCTACGTGGCCGGGGTGGTGGACTCGGAGGGGGTGAGCCAAAAAGTGTACAAGGCGCTGCGGAAGCACCAGGTCCTCCGGGAAGACGACGGGGCCGTCGACACGCACAGGATCGGACCGCGGTTCCCGCATCAGTTGGCCATGTTGAACATCGTCAGGCAGAAGGACCTGGTGGGCATGCTGTTCTGGTGGGAGGAGGAGTGTCAGCGGCTGCGCAAGTTGGACGCCGAGGAGAAAGAGTTGGATGCGTTGGTCGGCGAGTCGGAGCTGGAGTTGAGTCAGCCCGCCCACTCGGGGGGTGACGATGGTCACGCCACGGCGGCCAAGGTCGCCCTGGATCAGTTGAAGTTTGCCAGGGAGCGGGTCAGGATGAAGAAGAGGCAGAGACCCAGCCAGAGGCGCGTGGATGTCGAGGAGGATAGGGATGATATTGTCATGGCGTACCATGGCCGGAGTAAGAGCGTGCCCAATATGGCGGGTCAGGGCTTGGTAGGGCTGACGACCGGGCCGCATGGGAGAGGTGCGGGTGCGGGTGCGGGTGCGGGTGCGGGTGCGGGTGCGGGTGCGAGTGCGAGTGCGAGTGCGAGTGCGAACGGACCAGGACCAGGAGTAGTCGGGCATTATACTGAACCGGAGAATACGGGCCCGCCGCCAGGGTATCTGCCCACGATGACATGAAAGAGACGAGAAGTGAAAAGACGACGGCATACGCTACGAAGGAAGAGAGGGAGACGAGACTGAAAAGCGTCGAGGCAAGGCAGGGACCTCTCTCGAAAGATCGATGGGAGCACCTGTTCAAAAAGGAATTGAAGGTCTCATGCCATGCAAGCATTTGCCTTTTGTTTTCAGACTATCCTGTCACTGATGGCCTGTGGCGTCGGCACGGTGGTTTTGAACGACTCCCTCGCTTCAAGACGATCGCTATACCTCTTCAGATGCGGATACTCTTCCTGCCCGGGGTGCTCGGCGAACCGCACGCGCAGGTATCCCAGTACACAACCGGCAGCAACATCGGCGAGGGTGAATCGCCCGTCAACGAGGAAGAAGTCCTGGTCGGGTTTCTGGTTCTCATTCTTTTTGTCTTTCTCTCCGACCCATGCCGCCAACTGCTTGAGTCCGCCGTCGACTTTTACGACGTTGTCGGGCGGTCCAGTCTGTCGAGGGCGAGGTCCGTTGTTTCTCGAAGAACATTTCGCGACCGCTTAGCCCGGCCGAATCGTCGGGCCCGTGGACTAGACGGATGGCAGGGTAGGAGTGCACACGGTGTGCCGCGCAGACAGATGGTTCCGCCGTGCTGTCAATGCTGACGAGAGGATAAGGGAGTTGGGACTTCGCGGTCACCCATTCTGGGGCGAGAGATTGGCAGGGCGGTGTGCATGGCTATGTCGCGTGTTAGGGAGGAGCTGCAAAGAGGTAGAGCAGGTGGGACAAGTACCGCGACGAAAGCTGCGAGGGTGATGCTGTTGGTGTGGAGGATCGACTAGAACCCGGTGCCGGACGCGTGTTGCCATTCTGCTCGCGCTGCGGCCGTGAGGCTATTTTGAAGGATCATACACGCCGAAACACATCTTCTCGGGGAAGAAAACATAGAAGAGAGAGAAAATGAAGTTGTCACCATGTCGGGGTCTGCTGAGAAACCCCGTGTGAGGTGCTCATGGTGGTCTTGAGACAGCTGAGGGGGAGGAGCTGCTTCAAGCTGGCACAGCTACGGCATGTTCAGGAGAGCTGTATAAGTAGCTAGGAGGTTGATGAGCTCGATCGCTCTCGCGTTGCAACTCCATCAGTTGCTAGGAGAGAAGTAATTGAGATGCGCTGGTGATATGTTGGTGTCCAAGATGGACATGCACGACATGGTGTTTAGGTCTTATCTTATCGTCGCCAGCTTGACGCGACCTTCACTCGCCAGGTCACTCCCAGTCTTGAGGGATGCTGAAACACCTCTTGTCGCCATGGGAGATTGAGATAGCTGTACCATTTCGACTGGCGAGGGTCAATACAACAAGCTTCTTACCTTGGCTATTAATAATATGCCGGCATTGGGTGATACAAGGAGCAGAATATTCATTGCTCGTACTTTTCTCCGTTATTGGCATCTCGGGAATCTAGCGATACCAGTCTCGCATTTATTTCCTTCCTTGGGAAGGGCAGCCAAGGTCAAACTGCAGGCAGACTTCGTTTCCATTCCATGTCGGAACAAGCAAAGGCCAAGCGTCGTACAAATTTCGAATTCTTGCACTCCAGTCGACATCGATAGCACCCCATCATGCCCGTTGGCTGATGGCCCGATTCTCTTGTCAACACGCTATACCAAATTCGAGGGCCAAGTTGCGACAGTCTAACGTACAGCCTGTTGTCAAGACGGGCTGACAAACACACCGACAGGGACTGCTCTCGTACGTTTTTGTGGAGCACGCGTCATGATATCAATTGACACGAGTACGTCGACCACATCTCCCGAGTCATTCTCTCGCCGACCCTATCAACAGTCCTTTTGACGTCCTGGTGGCCTTAATGTTCCTCCGGTCGCAGTATGGGCCTACATTCCGGCCAAGATCGCTTGACTACACAATATGTGAGGGTCATAGCCATGCTTAGTCGCTCGCTTCTCCTCGCCCTCAGCCGCCTGCCATGTCTCGCAGCAACATGCTTCTTGGCCCTTTTAGCCAAAAGGTGGCCGGACGTTGGCATCCCCTGTGTGCTCCTGAGATGGGTCCACTTTACTCTACGGCCTTATCCAGCCCATGGAGATCGGGGAGACGGTGAGTCTGCCAAAAGGTCTCATCCGTTCAAGGCTATCATGTTTAATTTGAGGACTCCTTACCTCGAGGTATAAAGCGGGCAGACGCGACATGCCTCATGTTGCCCATTGACTTCCTCATATTCACCGACACAAGAACAGTAACTAGCAAGACTCGTTCACCCAAACCACCTACTCCTCCTCCGGTACCTTCACAACAACACCACTCCCTAGGACAATTGACTACCTGAACCGCCAACATGTCGTCCCACCAGCCTCATTACATCTCCCCCAACGGCACGGTCTACATTGCCGGCGGCCAAGACAACAACTGCACCATATCAGTCTGTCCCGTGGAGCTCAGTGTCTATGGCTACCGTCCCTCCCTCGGCCTGAGTAGCGCACTCATAGCTCTCTACGCCATCTGCTGCATCATTCAAGTGGCCTTTGGCTGGCGATACAAGACCTGGGGCTTCATGACTGCCATGTTGCTCGGGTGCGTTGATGAGATCCTTGGCTACGTTGGTAGGATCATGATGTACCAGAACCCATTCGAACATCCGGGCTTCATCATGCAAATTGGTTAGTCTTTTCTTTTCCCCCCCCATTCATCAATTTTCCCACATTATCAGTCAATACTAACCATGTCCAGTTCTGATCACCATTGGCCCCGTCTTCTTCTCCGCCGCGGTATATGTCATGCTCTACCAGATGTGAGTGACTTCTTTCTCCTCAAATTGCCTTTATCCTTGTTTGTCTCCCTGTACTGACCGCCAACAGTATCAACTACATCTCCATCAAGCACTCACGCTTCAACCCCCGACTCTTCTATTACATCTTCATCCCGTGCGACGTGGTCAGCTTGATCCTCCAAGCCGTCGGCGGCGCAATGTCGTCCACGTCGAACGGGTCCTCCGAAGCTGGGGTCAACATCGCTTTGGCCGGGTTGGTCCTCCAAGTCGTCACACTCTTCGTCTTCATGTGTTTTGGTGTCGACTACTTCGTCCGCAGTCGCAGTGTCTGGCGATCAGCCCGGATCCCGAAGAAGTTCACCGTCTTCGTGGTTTTCCTGTCGCTAGCAACCATCTTGATCCTTGTGCGTTGCTGCTATCGTGTATACGAGTTGAACCAAGGATATTCGAGGGACAGCGAGGCTTTGAGAGATCAGTCGCTGTTCATCGGGCTTGAGGCTATGTAAGCATCCTTTCTCTCCGACGCTGACCTGAGGTTGAGATGGCTAACATTGCAACAATAGAATGGTTATCCTCTCCGCATATGCATTGGTCGTCGCACATCCTGGACCGGTGTTCCAGACAGGTCAGCGACATGTGGTCGAGGAAGAAGTTGTTGAACAGAAACAGATGGGCAATATTTCCGGGTCTTCAGAATCTTCCGAATTGGCAGGTGGGAGAGTTTGAAAGCTGCAGTGGGCAAGGACGGCATAAGACCTGCAAGATGGAGGTCATGGATATCGTTCTATTATTAGTCATACCAGGGCTTGAGACGGGATTACTGTCAAGAACAATCTGATGATTGATCCATGGAGTCAATGATGAAATATGTAATTGTCTGTCTCAGCATGGTGTAAGCGGGCTACTTAGCTTACATGGGAAACATTGACGCCTTCGTTCCGTCCTATCTGCGAATCACCCAAATTTATGATCTGGACTCATTTGCTGAGGTTAGTTTGCTATGATAATATTTCCGTAAGACTGGCGCAAACTGCGTATCGAACACGGGCCCTCACAAGCGTCGAATCCAATCACGTCGACTCGGTTCCTTTCTCAGACCAAAGGCAAGTTGTCTCTGGTCACGAACATGGCATGGTCCAGACCAAGGTCGAACCGGCTTCCCTAAGCGAATACGACACGGCTGTCCACGCTCATAAACCGAACTCGCGAATCAGCAGAGTCTTAGTCATCAAGGACATGTTTCGCAGCCAATGATAAGTATAGGGCTTGCAGTCACAAGCTGAGGCTGAAGGTAGAGCGGATAAGCTCCAAGATCAACCAAAGATCACATTGTAAGGGACTTTGATGTTCCCCCGTAGCTAGGTAAGTATAAAGATCTCGTGGTGGCTCAGATCAACTCCTCATCACCGCCCCTTTGAGAAACACATACACCCCGTCCCGAAAGTCCAGCTTCACAATCACCCGTTCAAGACATGGCAGCCTCCCAAAGTGAAGTCCTCAAACTCGCAAACGCGTGTCTTTACGTCTTCCACAACCGGGACGAAGCATCTCGCGTCAAGACCACCACAGACATTTTCCACCCCGACATCACCATGTACGAGCATGATCGCGTGACAACGGGGTATGAAGGCCTTGAAAGGCGGATGAAGGAATTGATTGCAGGGAACGAATTCGAGTTCACAGCTGCTTCGGAGCCGGTCGTAAATCATGGTCTTGTGTGCATTGATTGGGCATTTGGGCCGCCTGCGGGAGAGCCGGTGCTGAGGGGAACAGACATCACCTTGAACGAGGATGGGAAGATAAGGAAGCTTTGGGTCAATTTCAAACCATGAGAGCCGTGTTGGAGAGATGGTCATTTGAGGATGCATGTTAAGAGCTTCGACAGTCGCAGAAGTTCCGTGTAGAAGTCACCATAGATTCCCTGGTCTCATTGGGGGCTATTTACGGGTTTCCCACTTCACCAATCTAAACACAGAGACTGCATTGTGCCTGGGAAATCCACGGAAGAAGGTCCAGCAACCATATCCGGGGTTCGGGTGAATGTGAGTGTCTGCAGCGGCCGAGAATTTGAGCAATATCATGACTTTGTGTCACCAGGAAAGATGAGTACAGGATGAGGCGTAAATGTCGATTCATGAATGGAGAGCGAGATGAAATTGTGACGCGCACATTGTTGCATTGTTGTCTCGTTGTGTTGCGGCCGTGGGACCTCGGGGAGACATTGTTCCGGCCTGACTAAAACGGTAACTCTCCCGAGAACATCCATCAGCTGCTCATTCGGACCATCTTTTCATCCATCCCGACCATCCATCCCGAGCATCCATCACACCCAGGGCCACTGAGTTGTCGTATATATCCCAGCTTTGACACAGAATCTCGAACGAAATGGCAACTTTCTCATCACACCAGGCAACGAGTCCCTGCCGACACACGTATAATCGATCATCTTCAGAAACACGATCAGCATGTCCAGCAAAGTCCCCACGACAATGCGAGCCTGGCAATATACCAGCGCCAAACCCCTAGACAACAATCTCCGTCTTAATGCTTCCGCCGCCATACCAACTCCAAAACCCGACCAATATCTCGTACAGGTCATTGCTTGTGCCTCAATCCGATAGATTACAAGCCAGCCGAAATCCCACTCGTCAATCGCCTGGCGATTCGCAAACCAGCCACTCCCGGCCTCGACTTCGCTGGCTATGTGGTCAAAGCTCCCACGGACTCGACACTGAAGCGCGGCCAGCTCGTATTCGGCGCGGCTGGAACATCTCCCTTGGCCGGGGGAGCCCTGGCTGAGTTCGCGATCACCCAGAAGAATCAAATTGTCGCCCTTCCTGACGGCGTCGACCCAATCTCGGCGGCTACGACGCCTGTAGCCAGTCTCACGGCGTACCAAACAATAGTTCCACACGTCAAGCATGGCGACAAGATATTCATCAATGGCGGCTCAGGTGGCACCGGGGTCTTTGGGATTCAGGTCGCGAAGGCTGTGGGCTGCTATGTCACTACAACTTGCTCAACCCCTAATGTTGAACTCTGCAAGAGTCTTGGAGCAGATGAGGTCATCGACTATCGGCAACAAAATGTGCTCGAAGCATTGAAGGCATCCGGGCACAAGTTCGACCACGTCGTGGACAATGTTGGCCATGACATGAACCTGTACTGGAAATGCCACCAGTACACCAAGCCATCAGCCATGTACATCTTCGTCGCAAGTGACCTGTCTTTGGGTTCCATCGCCAACAGTCTGAAGCGGAGGTTTTGGCCCGGTTTTTTAGGTGGAGGAAAACGAAAGGTCTCGGGGTTCTTCACCCAGCCGAAGGTCGACCAATTGGAACGCATAGGGGCATGGATGAAGCAAGGAAAGATCAAGCCTATCATTGACCAGCAGTTCTCATTCGAGCAGGCTCCGAAGGCGTTCGAGAGACTAAAGACCGGACGCGCCAGGGGCAAGATCATTGTTCAAGTTTCCTCAGACACGTCCCGGAAGGCATGGCCTGAGGAGTGATCTTTGACCCGAGTCTGGGGCTTTGGTTTGTATCTGGAGCTTGAAACATTAAGCGGCATTGGAGTTGCGTTGTTATCATGGTTTTCTCTAATATCGCTGTTCCCGCCGACCATTCAGTGCTCATTTCTTGATCATAAGAGGTGTCGAAAGATGCTTCGTTTCCAATGATCGCATCGCTCCTTCGTGGGAAAGTGCTCGCATAAGCAAGAGGCCCTTGGCCCCTTGCGGTGCCATTCTTGGACCGGAGCAGTTCCGACAACGTGGGCGATAAGTCATTTCTTATTTGACCAAGCTTTAGCGAAGCCCTCGGTTGAAGCTACGACGCTGAATGGATGATACTGACGGTCTAGCCGAGAAGACTTGAGTTGTGGGCCTCGGTACAAGGCATGTCTTGTTGACTGTGCAAGCTGGTATCTACCCGTATATGTTCCGTCAGCCAGGAATAAAGGTGGGGAATTCTAGCCCTTTTGCTATCCCCAGTCATCCAAGTCCTCTGAGCGAGCGAACAAACTCACTTACAACCTCAAACTATCCAGCAAGTTGGGTTGACGACAATGTCTGACGCTGCCGACATCAATACCACGAAGTCCACCAGGAAGTGGATATCCAAGATCTTCCGCACGAAATCGGGCTCGGACGCAAGGTCTGACTCTGCCTCTATGGTTGAACCACTCGTCGCTGAATCCGAAGATCCCATCAAGGCCAACATGGCCCACGATCACCACAGCTTCGCCGAACTTATGGAGCAGGCCAAGGCAATGGACCCGGGGGACTTCCGCAAATTTTTGCAGCAGTATCGAGATGAGCAGGAGAAGCAACACCACCAACACGGTGGCGGTATCGCTGGAGGTGGGGACTGGGTCAGCCGTAACGCTCAATACTGAGCATCGGGTCTCAATCGTTTGGAAACAGCAGCTGCAAGGCCTATATGGCGCAGGCTTTGCCTAGGCAATATTACTCGCTGTCCTCTCGAGGCCTTCCCCTTTATCATTCTTCTTGGTCTCTTTCTGCGGGAGTTTCTGCCAGCCCAGCCCAAAGCATACGAAGAAGGCTCCGCAAGTGCCACCGACCGCCAAATACTGCATCGGAGAGTCAACTCTGGCAAGACGAGCTATGCGAGTGAATGGCACTTACAAAGGTATCAACTATGGCATGGTTGTAGGCCTGTAGGACCCCAGGCAGGGCAGCTTTCGTCACGACTGACCTGACCGCCGACGCACCAGCGTCAATGACTCTTTCAGCATCAACGCCTGGGGCATCGTGGTGTAGTGCTGAGCGCAGGCTGCTTGTAAAGATTGTCTCAGCGAGGGCCAGGAAGATTGTACCCCCAAGGTATTGAAAAAAGAACACCTGTGAGGTGGCCATGGCTTGTTCCTTCTTTGGGAGGAAACCCTGAATCGCAGTGAGGGGCTGAAAGAGGACGAGTTAGTGATGAGAGTGGGAGCGACAGTAGTGGCACTGACCATTTGAAAGACTGAGGCACGGCCAGTACCAACGAGGATCTGATATCCAATCCATACTCCCGTGCCAGTTGATGGAGTAAAGGTGGTCATCAAGCCCGAACCGACCGCGGATATCATGCACCCGAAAATAGCCCAAGGGGCACAATATCTCAGAACTTGGACTGTTCACCGGTCAGCTATACCGACGCCGACATTCAAATATTAAACTCACCGAATCTCCCAGCCGCTAGAGCCCCAAAGCTTTGAGCTATGGCTGTTGGCAGAAGGTCCACACCACTCATTGTTGGACTGGCGTCCTTCACCACCTGAAACCAGAGCGGTAAGTAGTATGATAGCGACAGATTTGACGCCATTACAAGGAAATTCGTCGCGCAACCGGCCACCACCAGCTTCTTTCGAATGATCCGTGGAGGTATCATGGCCTTCTCGCCGCGATGAATCTGCCACGCTGCGAAGATGATATATGTGATGAAGGAGCCACAGAACAACCCAATAATCGTGGAAGAATCCCACGCGAACTTATTTCCACCCCAGATCACTGCAAGCAACAACATCGCCGAGGCTGGTGCAAAGAGACCAAATCCGATCAGGTCCAGCTCTGAAGTGACGATATGCTTCCAATTCGACCTTACGGGTTTCTTTTCAGTCTGCTCCTGTATATTGATGGTCATGAGGACGAGAAGAACCACACCAGCAGGAGGCAAATTGATGTAAAAGCCTGTCGACGATCAGCAAATGCAACAGCTGATACCCTTGAATGACCTATGTCGTACACCAACGCCATGAGACGTTCTGTGTCAAGGCACCTCCTATCGTAGGTCCGATAACTTGACCAACCGTAGCTAAAGCCATACCGACTCCAGTGAACACTGCTCAGGAAGAAGTTTGTCAGACACGGTTCTCGCTGACCCTGGAAAGGAGATACTGACTTGGTTTCTGATTTTCTGGTGCGGAGGACGCGATCGTTGTGAAGGCTCCGTTGATCATTCCAGCAGCTCCCACGCCTTGGACCGCTCTCCCACCTATGAGCATGTTCGAAGACGTAGCTGCGCCGGCGATGACTGAGCCGATGGTAAAGATGGACATGAAGGTAACGTATGTATGCTAACAATGTCAGTGAAATCGATCTTGGCCCTGGGATGCTGACGGGTCTACCTTGATTGGGAAATGCGTGTAAATCTTGCCTACAAGTGGTTGCAGGCAACATCTGCGGAGATTATTGAGTGTTCTGGCATCCACGACCCAGGGACAGAAACGTACGTCGAGATCAGGGAGGCGCTGCCATACCACCCGATGTCTTCGAGTGACTTGAAGTGCGATGTAATTCGAGGGATAGCCTGACCGAGAGGGTTAGCAAGGCGTTCGCCCACGGACACCCGTATTTCTGCTCACGGTTGCAACAATCGAGCCGTTCAGAGCCATCAGGAAAACAGAGAAGAACACGGCGCCGAAAAGTACTGTCAGTTCCCAAACCGACATTTGCGGGCCACCCGTGGTTTGCTTCTCCAGCGGAGGTGACGGTTCATCATGGCCGTTTTGCTGAGGGCTCTCTGCATATTCTGATGGCCCGGGCTGTTCTTCTGGCTTTTGTTCGGCTCCCTCGGGCATGGTTGTTGCTGATTGCGTCCGCTCTTTCAGAATGAGTCGTTTTGATATGGACATATTATCTCGCCAGGCTTGGTGTCATTGTTGTGCTTTTAATCAACTGATGAGTGCTCCGTCGGAATGATCTGCAGAGCCGTGTCTTGCCTGGTTAACCAGAAAGGTCTTAAGGCCCTTCCCCCGGCCCGTCTTGATTGGTACAGTGCGGACAGATCGACCGGGACAAAGACCCCTGCAAGTCGAACAATCGCGTGATTAACATGCCTGAACCGGAGTCGGATTCCGTTTCCTCCGTTCGAGACTTGAAAAGGGCACAATCCCCTCCGTCGACACTTGTGCAGACAAACCTTTGCCAGCCTAAATCTTCCAGACCTTTCGCCAACTCATGCTACGGAGCAGGACCATCTGATCCTAGATCCCGAACGCTCTTTGGAAAGTCCCTGATTCAAGGGACATGAATCCACGATGTTCCGTTTGACTCCGCCTAGCGAGCCCGAAGGGCCCCGGGTCCCGAGGGCTTGTGTGCCTTGTGCTCGTGCCAAAGCCAAATGTGAATTCGAGCTAGACGAGAGCATTTGCAACCGGTATGGACAAGCCATATTGGTGTATCTGCTGTTGCTGACCGTAGCTACAAGATGTCGACGACTGAAAAAACCCTGCGCCGGGCAAGTTCCCGGAGCGCATCGACGGAAATCCAGGCCGATATCGTAAGTGCATTCACTCCCTGTAAGCCTGCGGATTCTGGACAGAGAAATTGGCACATCCTGACTGAGAGGTCACCACTGGGACCCGTGTCTTATCCACGGTACTGGCGGCACAAAGCTTGAATCATCAGCAGCTCTCTCGAGCATGCTTGGCTGAACGATGGTGTATTGCGACATGGCTACTTCTTACATTTCGGCCACGCATCGTCCATACGCCTCGAATCATTCTTCTATGAGCTACGAAGTGTCCGGCTCAGACAATCCCACGTTTCTCCGTCCACTGACTCCCAACCAGCTCTCATTCAGGTCGCTGATGCTTGCTCAGAGATGTCGCACGACTAGAGCGCAAACTGGATGGGGTAGCTGCTATACTTGCGGCTTCGAAGCGCGTCGGCAGCTCGCCCCTTCCGAACCAGCTGTCACCCTCAGATTCCACTGTTCTGTCTCCTCCAGACCATGTCGATCAAATCCTCAACGATGAGCATGAAGAGTTGCTTATTCTCAATGCTTTCCGCGAAGACATGAGTCAACATTTCCCCTTTGTGGTCATTCCGGCAGAAATGACGCCCAATGATCTCAAGAAGACCAAACCTTTTCTGTTCATGACCATCATGACAGTGGGTTGTAGGCACGACCTTGAGCGCCAGGCAGTTCTGGCTCAAAGAGTCAGGGAAGTCGTTAGTCGCAGAATGCTTGTCGGTGGCGAGCAGAACCTCGATATCCTGCAAGGCCTTCTGGTCTACCAGGGCTGGTTCGTCCTCTACGTCTCTCCGTGGTGGCAGACGTATGGCTGATATTAGCACAGGCACCACGTTCATTTCCACCTCGGCAGTCAACTATGTAATATGATCCACTTGTCGATGGCGATAGTGAGCGATCTTGGACTCAACAAGAATGTACAACAAATGAGCATGGGCACTTTCGGCACACTAAAATATTTTCGCCCGCCAGAACGGCAGAGTCCCACACGTTCACTTGAGGAGAGAAGGGCTTTACTAGGGACTTTCTATGTGTCTACAATGTATGCCACTGTCGATAAATTTGCGACGAGGACAACCATCAAGGCTAATTGTTCTCCGACTTAGGGTATCGGTGAACGCTCGTGACTTTGAACCTATCAGGTACTCCCTATACGCCGATGAGTGTTGTCAAATCCTTGAAGGACAGGCCGAATATCCTAGCGATAAACATTTGGTCCATCTGATTCGGATCACGCACATGGGTAGCAAGATTGCTCGGACTTTTACCCAGGACGAGTGGGATGCCTGTTCAGGCTTGTCTGCCCCTGTCGGTGCGTGTGTGAGAGCTTTAAACGCAGAGCTGCAAAGTTTGAAGGCAACTTTACCCAGTGGTACACTTTTCACAGGTAAGGACGTGCAGCATCAAATGAGATGCTTCGATTAGATATTTCACCGCCATAACCCCTTTCTCCAGCACAGATCTACAACCACACTGTCGCACTCCCCCACTGATCCTAGGCAGATATACTCTGGATTCACTACTTTTTTGTGGAGATTTTACTTTTCGAAGTTGCAGTGCACGACAGCATTGGTAGTGCTGGCTATAGCGACTTCTCAATGACCCGGCTCAAAATGCTGTTCGCCTGTCTCAACTCGACCAAGTTACTCTTCGAGAGATGGTTCGCCCTACCGACAACTGCCTACTTCAACTTCACCTACTTCCAGTGGAGTCTGATGGGCCACGCCAGTGTCGTTCTCTCCAAGCTATGCCTCTTCAGTGGTGAAGGCTGGGACCCAACTTATGCTAGAGACACATTCGACTTCTGCGCGACAGTGGATGTCGTGATGATGAAGATGAACGAAGCGAAAGCTCTAACTGAGCATTCGGCCGGGCAGATGCGTCGAAATCCGAACATGTTGCCGTGCAGTGTCCCCCAGGTGTTCAAGGAGTTCACCTTAAAGTTACAGCAGTGGAAGGAATTGCATAACTACAGGGCAGCACAGACAAGGCAAGAGCAACAGCCACAGGTATTGTCCTCGACAGGAGCCGATGATCTACCCTCGGCTGCTGCACATGACGAATTTTTGTTCCCAGGCGGGAGCAGCTTAGTCGATTTCCTGGACGACAGCTTTTGGCCGCAGTTTCCTTGAGCGATGTCACAGGAGGAAGTGCGTTGGTGTGAAAGAGCTAGACTCACAACCATAAACAACGACATCATCTTCAATGGGGACGGGTGAACAGCTTCAGTCGAATACCATGTTCCACCGCTGAACTCGCTGTGAGTCCAAATATAACATTACGTGTGCGACAGTGTGCAGTATGCAATGTTCTGTACGGAAAGCATCTTCATCAACGATCACTCATCATACATAATGGCGCAAGCAGTCACCGTTCTATATTCAAGGTGTACCGCAACATGTCCGACAGGAAACCCGATTTAAGCGCCCAAGAAGTTCGCAATCTTCTCGCCAAGTCCTTGTTCCGCTTTCGGTCTTTCAACGCTAGACCCTCCGAAGCCCATGGCGCCAACGATGTTCTCGCCCCTATCACCGAGCTTGCCAGGAGCGTTCTGTGCGACAGTCCCACGACGAATCGTTGTGTCGCCCTGTAGACTTGACACCTTCGAATCGCCGTCCAATCCCAGCGACGGACGATGGTGCGAGTTCAAGGGGTTTGATGCATCCGAGTAGTTGACTGGGTGCTCGGGGATACTGGAGCCACGAGGTTGGGTTGCATCAGCCTGTATGCCGGCAGGAGTGGCGTCAGAAGATGCGCCCAGGGGGTCGTTATTGTTTGAGAAGGTGATGGCGTCGGAGTTTGTGGCTGGGTAGGTTGAGCCAGTGTCTGGCAGGCCGGAGGTGGACATGTTGGGGCTGTTATAACGTGTAGCGTGGTTACGGAAGGAATCTGAAGAATATGCCTGTTCGAAATACTGGAGTATCAGAAACGGTGTGTTAAAGTTGAGGACGACACAGTCCAGTCCCGGGACTTGAGACGTATTTGTATGTCCATTGCCACCTCTTGTGCATTGCACTGTCGTCGTCCGGGTGGTCGTCAATGACCGGGAAATGCAAACGAGGGTCCAAAGGTTAGCGTCATACTTTTGTCGATGTGGTCGATTCGCTACCACGTAATGAGATTTGCGAGATCTGAACCGGTCACGTCACGATTGGGACGGGCAAGACGGGCACAACAGGGCCATTCATTCTCCACCCAGCGAATCGAATGCCCTTTTCCTTTCGAAGGACAACAACTCAGTAGTTAGTGTTGGTCGATCGTAGGAGGTCAACGTGCACGAGACTCGGTCCGTTATTGGCGGAGCATGCCCAAAAATGAAAAGACATGGCGATGGCGATGGCGATGGCGATGCGGTGCCATCTTGATCGAAATAACTCGCACGCAAAGAAAAGAACATCATGGCGACGTGTGAACATCTCGATCGGATCGACACAACTCAAGGTAAGGCAGTAAGGTGATTTCGTTCGAGTAGCAGAATCGGTTTCTCGTAGAATGATCTGGTGTTCATGTCAATGGGGGGCGCCAACGGCCGGGGAGCGAAGCATTTTCTTTCCGTCTGTACGGAAAAAGATTTCGTCTTTGATGGTACGAGTACTAGTAGAGATTTGGGAGTGAAACCGTTCGGTCATCGAGGCGAGGCGAGGCGAGGCGAGGCCGGGCGAGCACTACCCACCTACTGTAGCGAGTACTGTGGTATGCTTCTGTCGCACGGAGTAACTTACATATATGGCGAGATGGTCACGTACCTAGGTATTCAAGTTAGGTAAGGTTTTAACCCACTAACCTGGACCCTTTTAACTCAGGTACCCGAAGTTACTGTAAGGCTTTTGGACCGAGTTCTTTACCTCGGTAGCCCTTGGGACTAGTTGGGCTCTGCTTTAGGTAGCGAGGTAGTTAACCAAAATTGTACCAAAGACTTTTAACGTTGCCATGTACTGTAACTGTGGAGGAGTTTACGTCGCTAGCAAGTTGGCATACTGTACATCAACAAAATCCGAACTAATTGCCATTCACGGTATGATCCTAGAGGGTGAGGGAAGGCCGCTTTAACCTGAGCATTAACTTCAGCCTTTGGCGGAATCAAGCATGCTCTCGACGGTGAGCCACGGCAGCCACCTTGGTCTCGGTCTCGCCCTCGCCCTCGCTCGGCGGCGACCCCGTGATATCGACACCAACTGCCATGAGACGTTCGTCAAGCGCGCGCCGGCGCTCCTCGTCGAGGTGTGAGAGGTCGACGGCAACTTCGTCACCGAATTTTGCAGCAATCTCTTCAAGCGAGAGCCCGTTGGTTTCGGGGAGTCGCCACAAGAATGGAAGGCAGGCCGCCGGAACAATGATGAAGACGAGATAATATCTACGCCTCGTTAGCACAGTCGCGGAGAAGGCCATGTAGAGGGGACAAAGATCTAAAACCAAAACCACCTACTTCCATCCAATGTCGGCGAATGCGGTCGGTGCGACCTCAGTGTAGAGCAGCGTTGACGCAAAAAGACCGGCAATCGAGGTGCCTAGACCGTGGGCTCGTACACCAGTTGGAAAGATTTCGCTGCAGTATACGTAGCTGCTGGCGTCCTGGCTGCCTCCATAAAAGGTCACGAAGAGAAACAGGAACAAGACTCCCACTGCATTGCCGGCCTTGTTGGATGTTCCCGCATAAGTGGCCACCATGGCAGTCTCGATGATCATCATGCAAATGCAGCCGGTCAGACCAAAGGTGATGATGGGGATCCGTCCAAGGCGATCGAGCAGCATGGCATTGATCCAGTTCATAAATGCAGCCCACGAGGTATAGATGGCATAAAGGAGGAGAGGGAGCCACCCGTACAGGCCGAGATTGTTGTACAAGAGGACCTGGTAATTGTTGATGACGAGCACACCAGTCGATTGAGCGGCGCATCTGCCGAGCCGTGTTAGCAGAAACGAAACCCACAAGTCGCGACGAAGATCGAAACGTACTGCACCAGCAGGCCCGCATATATTCGCTTCCGATACGAAGTACGCTTGAGCATGTCCCAGATTCCGTGCACACCAGTCGCATTCTCCAGCTCGATCTGTTTGGAGATTTGGTAGAATTCCTCCTTGGCTGCCAGACCTGATGGGTCATCTGGTCGAGAGTGCAGCTTTTGGAGGATCTCGAGCGCAACTCGCTCTTTGTTCTTTGAAATAAGCCAACGAGGTGATTCGGGCAACCAAGGCGAGCCTATGAGCAGGATCAGGGGCGCTACAATCTGCAGGCTGAGGCATAGTCGCCACTGCACTTGGGGCGCGGCAAAATAGCACCCCAGACCTGTGAATGCGGCCGATCCCTGAAGGCTTGAGTCAGAATCACCACTACACGGGAATGGATTGCAGATGGATACTACTCACATAGCCACAAACAATCAGGACTCCGTGTGAACCTTGGGCCAAAAGTCAGCACAAGATCGAAACGGAAAGTGACCCAGGAAAGGCTGGTTACCCGTCATTCGACCTCTTTGCTTTGCAGGCGACAACTCCGACTATACCACATGTCAGTAGAGTTGCACCTCGCAAGTCCTACCCATCGACTGACCATGTATGCAGGCACGGTAACTTGCATCATGCCGACACCGACGCCATTCAGGAAGCGTCCAACGAGAAACATGGCAACGTGAGCCGCGCCCCCCTGGATCGCTGCCGAGATCACACAGATGGCACAGACTACCTGAATGGACCTGCAGCGGCCATACTTGTTGAGGATCCAGTTGACAATGAGAGCACCAATAATGCCTCCCCCGGCGAACAGACCATTGGCAGCTAGTGGTTCTCATTGTCAGCCGTCTGCAATGCCAGTGAACCTGTTTGCACTTACCGCCGATTATCTCGTTTCCCTTTTTGGCATTTGGTCCCGTGAGAGAAATGTCAAAATAGCTGAAGAATGCGGGCAACCCAAAGACGGAACCGATGATGGATGAATTGTATCCGTACGTGAATGAGCCTAATGCGCTGAAGAAGACGACGTAAAAGTTGTACGTGTTGGCCTTGGCCGAGTGCGAGGCGTCGACCGCGTCCCCTGTGCCATGCTTGAACAGGCCCATGCTGAATAACGAGGCAGGCTCGAGCGGTGGATCCAGATACAAACGATGGAGATCGAACAAGGTACAGATGAACTCGCAGGGCCGATTAGGGGTTTTATATTCCGTCTGCGCTGCCAACTACGAGGCAGCCACGAGGAGAAAGTGGACCCTTCTTGGAGTCGAACAAGGTGAGGTACTTGGCTCGCTTGGGGACGGTCCTCGCAGAGAAGACTAGACGACAATTCTCTGTAGGTCATTACTAACGAGGACCTCGTGTTGTGTTGGAGAACACGGCACACAAGCGGTGAGTATCCAGAAGCGGAACCGTGTCGCACCGGAAGCGATGGCGTACAGCCTGGCGGCTTGCGTGGCATCATGAATGCCGCGATGTGAACCAAGGAAGATGAAGCATGCTTTCGTGATAAGCAAAGAGACAGAGTTTGTGGGGGAATGTCGATGAAGTTGGAGAGCTACACTCTCGAGACACTAGCTCGAGCTCCCCGAGCTGGAGACGTGCCGTGCGTCGTGGAAACAAGCGGGGAATCCGCTGTCATGCTCGATACCAAGAGGCATAAAGCACGAATTAGCGTGTCCAACAAGGCTCACTAGGCAAAACTCCGAACGGTACATGCCTTGGTTCTCGTGGATTAATCCTTCCCAATGCAGATTCAATTTCCATTAACCTCGGGTATCCTGTCGAGGTATGGGCGATACTCGTGCCAACAGTCCAACCTAAGGAGGGGCACTCGAGGGCAATCAACGAGCATCCAGGCCAACTCCGTAACCGATCAACATGGAAGTAGGGATGATGCGGTCTTCCAGAAGTGGAACCTTTCCTGCGATCGTGAAGTCTCTTTCGGATATCCCGTTGGTCCCGGTCGCCACGGCTCACTTCGAAGACATTCATCTCTTTGATCTTGAGCGTGAGTTGGACATCTTGGAGATTTTTCTGCAGCAGACTGCCGGAGAAGGTCGCCGGATCGCCGCTGGAAGATATGTTGTTGGATAGAAGAATGTCGGGACGAAGAGTACGTTGAATATGCCCTTGTTACAATTACCATGAGAATTTCCCGTCAATGCAAAGGGCCTCTCCCCTGCATTAGTATGGACCACCCTGGCAATGCGGTTGAGTTGAGCCGTTGGACCACTCAGGCAATCGCTTTTGGTTTGGAACTTCACCTAAATGCTTGGCCACGATGTTGACTGAAGGCAAGAAAAATAGTGACCCAAAGCCAACCTAGGGACATGCAAAACCAGTGGATATCACAGGTCCCTGCACGACGCATCGCAGAGCCTGCCAAATTGAAAGGGGCAAGGTTCCCATTGCCAGGAACCCCGTCGTAGACATTTGGGTCCTCTGAAGATGGCACTCGTTATGGCGGGCCGTTCAAAAGTATATATGCCAGTCATTCACAATGCCAATGTCATACAATGTCATACAATGTCATAACAATGTACAAAATGCCAATCATGTTATATAACAGAGGTCCGGATGGATATATATATGAGAATAAATATGTTCAACAACTAAACATGAAAAAAAATCCACAGATAAAAATGCTCGCTCACACTAATGCTTTCACCCCGCTGCTTCCGGGGCCCCTTCCCGCCTCGTGCCATGCGACGAAATTTTCTGAATGCTTGGGGGGTATCACGGATCGAAACTCAGGCTGCAAAATTCAGCTCCAGCTCAAACTCTCAAAGAAGCAAGCCGGCAACTGCAACGACCGCGCATACGGCAACGCTCAGCGCCGAGCCGGGTAGTCGTTGCGACGAGGCGGCACCCGTGAATGTGGCAATCGCTGGCGAAACGGGGTTGCTCGAGGTTGAGCCTGAGCTTGTCGACCCAGAACCAGACACGCCGAGCCAGCCGCTGTTGCTGGCTGGGGAGGTCTCGCCTGCTGGTGAGACAACCGATGAGACTGCGAGAGTCTGAGTCTGTTTAACTGTCGATAGCGTTGATGTGGCGGCGACAGGAGCGACTGGTGTAGAGGCCTCAAGCGTTTGCGTTACAGGGGCAGGACGCGTACGGGTGTCGCTGACGACAGGCCCTGTCACGGTGTAGAATGATGCAGTTGCGCTGATTTGAGCGAAGCCGGCCGGGCTGGATTGAACGGGGACAACGGTTTGCGTGACGACGGCGGAAGCTGTGGTGGTCGCTTGTGGGATGGTCAAAGTGACTGTGACCACGGTCTCGGCGCAAGCGGTACACGTGGTGACCGTCGTGGTGAAGCCTCGTGGACAGCCGTTCGGGCCGATGGGCCAGACGAACGGGGTAGGTGTGGCTGAGGCTGGGGCGACGGGCACGCTGGTCGTCAGAGTGAACGGCCTGGTGGTGAATCCTGTTGGGCAGACATCAACGTAGGAAGTCGTCACGACCGTGACCGTATAGTCGGGTCCCACGGTGGCCGAGGCAGAGCTGGTGGTTGTGGTCGTTGTGGTCGTTGGCCAGTCACCCCAGGTCACTGTATATTGACCGCTGAGAACAGTGGTCCAGATCGAGCTCATAGTGGTGTAGCTAATCGGGCTGACGACGGAGGATGAAGTCGTGGTGCTGGCAGTGGTAGTAGTCCACGCCCAGTTGGATGTAGTGGATGTGGTGGTTTCGCTAACTGGGCCGACTTGAGAACTCGAGGTCGTGGTCGTGGTGGCGGTTGAGCTGCTGGATGTGGCGGGCCAAGTCCAAGTGGTAGTGGTAGTGGTAGTGGTTGTCGAGCCACCAATAGGTCCGACTGCTGAGCTTGAGGTGGTTGTGGTTGTGCTCGTGGATGTAGCTGGCCAAGTCCAAGTGCTAGTGGTGGTGGTCGTTGAACCGCCAATAGGTCCGACAGCTGAGCTCGAGGTGGTCGTGGTTGTCGAGGTCGTGCTACTGGACGTGGCTGGCCAAGTCCACGTGCTAGTAGTGCTGGTCGTTGAGCCTCCGATGGGACCGACGGCTGAGCTGGAAGTTGTGGTAGTCGTGGTTGTGGTAGTCGTAGACGTCGTTGAGGTTGTGCTAGTTGTGGTTGTTGGAGCTGCCGGCGTAGTTGTCGTGGTAGTGGTGGTTGGCGCTACTGTCGTGGTGGTGGTTGTGGTCGTCGTCGTTGTCGTCGATGAGGTTGTGGTTGTGGTACTCGAGGTTGTAGTAGTTGTGGTGGTCGTGGTAGTCTGACCAGGGCAAGAAATACCGTTGATAATGTCCTTGATATTTTGAGCATAGCTCTCGCCGTTGATTTGGTTGTTGTTCGAGTACGTGGCCTCCCACAACATGACACCTCCGAAGATTGACGAGTATGAAGTGCCACAGGCATAGGCGGTAATCAGGGATTTAGCCTCGTCCAGATCGAGATAGTCTTGAGAATGCGCCGCAACAGTCGACGCTGGGAGGCCGACGAACAATTTGACATTCTTGTTCTTGGAGTTCTGTTCAAGCCAATTCACCCAGCCATATGAGAGGTCAGTGGTTGTGCTCAATGTCCCCGAAGAGAACAGAGACGCCGCCGAGCAACTGTCCGTGTTATAGTATTGCACAAACCTAGATGTCTGTTAGCCAAACATTGAACCCATAATTCAAAAACTTCAGAGTCCATACACATAGTCAAACTCCGAATTTGTAATAGCGCTACCCAGATGAGCATCTGGTACAATGCACTGTGGCGCACCAGAGATATAAAAGCTCTTTGCATTGTAGGTTGCAAAGTTGACTCTCAGCTGGTTGACCAGATCAGAGTAGTACGAGTCACCGCCAGATTCGATATCCAGATCGAAACCGTCGACGATAACATCTGTGCCAAAAGGTCGAGGGAATGTGGTCTGCGTGGTATCTTGCGGTGGACCATATGCGCCCCAAAGAAAGTCCGCGAACGATTGCGCAGACGCCGTGGAAGCGATGAAGTTGCCAGGACTATCGCCTCCCAGAGAGACAAGGATTTTCTTTCCAGCTGCCTGGCATATGGGAATATCCTCCGCCAGCTGATAACAAGTAGTGAACATCTTCGTCTGGGTGCCATCTGGCGCAATCCAATATGGGCTCCCGCACGCGTTTGCATAGTTCGTTCCGGGATATCCATTGTTGCCGGCCTGATCGGGAAAAGTGTTGACGAAACCAATAGGAATGACATCGATGGCCGAGTCCTGGCAGAAGTCTGCCAATCTGTTCTGGTTCGGTCCTTGTCCCTACACGGAGTCAGCCTCGTCTGATGCGCCTCGATCATACAATTTCTCTTTACCCAGTAGACGGCAAGGTTCAGCCCGGTGGCTCGCTTTGCAGGAACAGATCGTGTCTCGAGGATTGGCGAAGCAAGAGTTGATGAGATGAATGTGGCTGTGGCCAGCAAGCTGGCTGTTAGTCCGGTTGTATGCATGGTTAACGGAATAGTCCAAAAAAGAGTGAATGAGACAAAGACTACAGCAGCAGAACCAAATCAAAAAAGGAGTGACTGGGCTACAAGAGACCCGTTGACGAAAGACTGGACGCGAGCAAAAGCTCGCAGCGCGGTGGTAAGGATCGTGGGCGTGAAAAAGAGAGTGGAAGGGAAAAGAAGGAGGAGAGCAAGACGCACAAGTCAACAGGAGGCCATACTCATGTAGTCAGGTTACAAAGTTGTGGCACGGTCGACTTCTGTCACAACCGACATGGAGCCATGGCACATATCTCCCCACTAACAATCTGGAACAACTCACCGTGTGCCCCGTACCTTCACCGGGTGGAGGCTCAGAAATAGTAGCAAATGGGACTGTCACGACTGTTGATCTCTCATCTTATTGCCCAAGAGCCAAAGCAAGGTACCATCGACCGACAGAAGTGAGGTTGCAACCCTACAGGCTGAAGCAGTCTGGAAAGAATACGGGGCTTACTCATGAAATTCTCAGGGGGGCCATCGCGATGTGTGATCTGAACGCCGCACCGAAAGAGGCTTGAGAAGGCGCACCACACTCAGTACCGTGGTGGTCTGGGAAAGAAGTTTTGCGGTGATAGCGCTGAAAGCGTTGTAGGCGAGGTTCATGGGAAACTGCTTTGTTGTTTGGTTGGTGCGCTTAGATCTTTACCACGCGGGTTTGCGCAAGAGTCAAATCTCAGAACCAGGTTGAGATGGAGCCATGAAGTGGACTTTAGAGAAGGTGATTCGATCAAAAATGACCAGTCGACGCCAGGGGTACCGTTGTTGCCAGATGGGGATTAGGCCGACCCGCTCAGGGGCCACGGCGCTGGATGCTGGGTGGATGCCAACTCGACGCGACCCCAAGTACCCGGACCACAAGCCCAGCCTCAACCTTGCTCATGTCCGCAGACTCGGTACACTCAGAGATCCGTGGCTGCGCTTTCGACAGCCACAAGTGCGGACTGGACTGACTGCAGAAAGCATGGACGCTGAAGGGTCTTGAACAAGGCTGGAGAGTGAGCGAAAGAAGTTGCTTCCAAAGTTCAAAACGCCTTCATCAAGGCCCATGTTTCATCAGGCTGGGAATGTCAAGGCCGGACGAGACCACGGCCCGAAATGATCTGAATTTAACTCCGTACTTTCGCCTGCAATCAGGCTTGCTGCGAAACAGGAACAATCTGCGCGCAAGCAACTGCCGAGTTGCCGAACACTTCATTTCGGTCCAGTGCAAAATCAGGCAAGGCAATAATATCAAATCTTATAGGCATGGCGGCACTGGACTTACTCTGCACGTTTAAGACAGACCTTACGAAGAAGAAACCGTTGTCGTGAAAGCCAGACACGGAAGTATTGCTGGACCGCTGCAAAGAACATCCATCCATGAGTCGCGACAGTCCATGCTCACCACAGGTTGACCCGAAAGAGACGCATCTGTTCACAATTGACGTGGTTGATCAAAATGTACACAGCCTCATAGAAATTGCCTCAGCTGTACAGTAGTACGAGTACCTTGCATATTTTTCTTCCTCGGCCAATATTGTGTGGCAGTATCAACATTGAGGTACTCCATAAGATGATGTAATGGGCTTCCACAAATCTGGAAGCGAAGTCTTGTTTTGTTTATTCGCAGGTTTGGTGGACCTGTTGATCATGTCGATCAACATCAATGTCAGGGGTTCTCAAGATTGCCGAGCTGTGGCTATTGTATAATGTTGGAATGAAATGTTCGAGCATATTCAATTCACTGCGCTGGTACGTTGAGTTCTGCGTAGTTATAATAAGTCGGTCCGATGACCAACCCCTAAGCTCTTGCAGGGCTATCGAGAGGCATGTATTGTTAGGCGCATATGATACATCAGATTCGCAAAATAGGACTGACTGCAACCCTTGTTCTGAGCCTCATCTACATGTAGACAAATGCCAAACCCCAGTGGAATAGACTAGGCACGGTTGAGAAACCGAAGTCATCGCACGCTGGAGCATCAAGTGAGGGTCGGGATTCCAGAGCTGTGAATGATGTTGGAAATTTGAATATGAGCCTCCAACGCCGTCTTCTCTCTCCCTTTCAAGAAGATTCGGCGGGTTGCTTCTCAGCAACAACCGACTCGTGAGCGACATTCTCGCTGCTCGTCTCGCTTGTGACCTCCTTGATCGGTCCGGTGAACCGCCGGCGGGCCCGAACGTAATAATTGACGATGGCGAAGAGCATAACGGCGCCGAATACCGGAGAAGCGTAGTTCATGTTCGTGCCTGTGACTGGTAGGACTGGAGGGAATGGCAGGAAGATGATCAGGAAAAGGCAGAACGCGATCGCTAGCACATTCACGACTAGGCCAAATCTTCCCAGTGTCCAAGGTCCAAAGGCGATTGGGTTGCTCGTGTTGAAGCGGCGCATTGCAAACATGAGTGTCGGAATTGCATAAGAGAAGTAGAATCCGAGCGTCGTTAGAGATATCAAGGCATTGAATGCGGTGGTGGAGCCGATGTTGATCAGTGAGAGCAGAGATACCGCAACAAAGATTGCAACCACGGCGTTCGTCGGACACTTATTCCAAGGCGTAATATGTGAAAAGAATCCCGAGAAAGGCAGGCCTTTGTCTCGAGAGAAGGCCCAAATCAGTCGAGAAACCGACGCCACACAGCCGAACAAATTCATGGTGAAGACGATGATCACGGCGGTCATCATGGCGGTTGCAGCCTTCTGGTTATTGGTCGCCTCGAGGAAGACACCAATAATTGGAAAACCAGTCTCGTTGCCCAGGACGGCATCCGGATCGGTGATAGAGTACAGCACGGCGAGGATATAGGCAAAGCCCGCCGTGCCGTTGATGATAACCGACCAAATCATTGCCCGAGGGATGTTGAGAGGAGCGTTGAAGGCTTCCTCTGACATGTGTATGACAGCATCGACCCCAGCCAAAGCAAATGCCGGGGTCAAAAAGCCCAAGCAGAAGCTGACCCCATCGCTGTCCCAGCCGCCGCCGTTGATAAAAGTACCCCAAACGTCGTGATTGCTGGCTTTGTCGCTGGTTGCCAGGATACCGATCATGACCAGAAAGAAGAACAACACATGCAAGGCACCTCCTAATGTTTCCCACAGCGGTAGTAGCTTTTTGCCGAATGTGTTTCCGATAGTTGCAATGCCGGCAAATGCAATCATGATTAATGTCGCATGCCAGCGTTTCGCCTCGTATCCGGAGTAATTGAGCACAGCAAGGCCTTGTATCATTGATGCGATCAGGAAGCAGACGGAGGCTATACCTGCAACCCATCCAGTAATGGTGACCCAGCCTTGAATGTAGCTGACGAGAGCCCTCCAGCGTAGAGGTGCATGCTCAGCACTCCAGTGATATTGAGCACCAGCTATTGGTGAACTAGTAAAGCCCGTCAGTCATCGTACCTTCAACGTGACCGCATCGATACCTACATGGAGGCCATCTCGGCCATCGATGTTGCAATTGCCAATGTGCCCAGCACGGAGACGATGAATCCGTAGACGACAGAAGCAGGCCCTCCATTGGTGTATGCGCCTGCGAACAAAGCGCTTGTTGCTTCCCAGGTGCACAGAGTGCAAGCCGACATGCCGAGTAGTGCCCAGAAGTTCCATTCTCGCTGTCGCGAAATGTCAGCTGTGCGTTTGACTTATCCGAGATGGTCAAGAATATTTACCTTCAATACTTGTTTCTTCCCTGCTGCCTCGAGAGCAGCAGCATCTGAGCTGTAAACAGTCATCCTGGCAAAGTGGAATCACGAAAGGACAAAACTTTTGGATAGAAGGGGAGGAAGAGAGAGATCGGGAGGAACGGCCTTGCCAGAGGCAGCTGGATAGCGAAGGTAAATATTTGCTTCAGGGAACGAGAACCGCAACATGCATTTGATGTGTCGCATTGAACCGAGACAAAGCGCATCTCAAGCTAGCTTAGGGAGGCAGGAGCGAAGTGACCAAAGCATGCCTGCTCTTTCGACCACTGGGCATGCAGTCCGCTGGCAAGAGTGAGCATGGTCGTGCATGGTACATGATAATTTGTTGCTGTCACACGTTGAGGGTACAACCCCTTTGCGGGGTTCTGGGACGAATATCCTTGTGATAAGGCCTGTCTCCGGGCAGTGTGGCACTTTTTGGGAGACATCTCCGCCAGTAGAATGTCGGGGTGGACGACGCGGATCAACGCCGCATGCCCGTCCCGTTGCAACCGAAGCCCAAAAGTGCCGGGGGCGTGTGCGCTAGGTTGCGCCTCTCCACCATTTTCAAGCCTTTTGCCGGGGGATTGTCCGCCTAGCTCGTGAGCTTGTCAGAGAACCATGGTACTGTAGGTGAACCTCGTTTTGGGCCCAGTTGAACACAAGGATTCTCGCACACTGATAGCATCAACTGGGTTCTTGAAGGCAGCGTTTCTTGACAGCTTCATCAACGCCAGTGGGGACGGCATTCGCGTCCAAACTTCGACAGCCGGGTGCCAAAAGAACCATGATTTTCTGCTTCAGTTGACGTGATCAAGGGTTCGTCGTTTACCTGAAGCAAGAGAAGTGACGCTAACGTGCACTATCCGTTGGTCGTTAACGAGCTTGAGAGCGGCAAGCATGTGTTATTTGACATGAGTAGCGATATGCTTGCTGCCTCACCACCTTCTCGGATGCTCAAGTCGACCTCTGGGTAGAGTAATGACCTGCATCCAAACATTTTAGCGAATACCACCTCCCTAAGGGTTACAGAAGCGAAGATCTCACCGCTTTGGTGAACCCTAGACTCGTCGACTATCGCAAGGACCCCAGCGACAACGTGGCAAACGAAGCTCCTTCGCCATTTATTATCCGTAGTATCATCGATTTTTGTAGATTAAAGATGAATGAGATACTGTCTTCGCCAGACGGGATGACTGGGAGGACTCTAGGGACACGCGCTAGCAGCGTGAATTTGTTGGCTGGCTCAGTAGGAGTAATAGGTGAGTGATGAGCCAACGTCGACCAATCGTGCCTGTTGGTCAGAGCCGTGTGCACAATCCCGGTGACGAAACCTGGTAGAAAATGAGACCAAGGGTGTCATTCGAGCTCCGTTCCGAACATCGAGGACGACAAATCCCATATGGGGCTCTTCAAAGTGTCATGCCCGTGACCCGACATAAGGAACAATGTCAATAACACCTTCGATCCCAATGCTGTGCTGCTTGGACACTCTCATTGAGTGTCATTCATGGCTGTAGGACGCCGGCTGCTCGTGCTCAGTAACTTCTGCCCTTCTCCGATCAAAAGCAACGGATCAGCGAATTTATGTGGTGCGCCAGTAGCTGGAACAGTCTTGAATGTCCTCGAACTGCCCTGCCACGGCTGCCAACGTAGAAAAGAAACCAAAGTAGTAGAAAACAAAGACCGTACGGAGTACGGAGTACAACATGCGTGATATTCTTGAGAGAAATGGGCAGTTCACCGCCTAATGGGCCAACCACTCACCGCCTAGACTTTTAACCCGGCAGTATTTTACAATTTTCTCAGACGCATCACAACTTCACAAGCCAGCCACGGCCAGCCTCAATACCTTCTCACAAAACAAGAGACGTTATCGACGCCATACAGCCAGCAAAATGAGCAGTTCGCTAGAAGACGTCGGCGCTGTTTTCGAATCACTCGGTGACCTCGAGAAGGATTTTGCGCAAGTCGAACTCGATGCTCGTACGGAGCAGTCTGATCGCTCAACCTGCGCTTTGCGCTGACATTTCATTCTAGTCCGAAACAAAGAGTACTCTCTGAAGCCATTGTATACGAAGCGCAAGGCACTGCTCGACCGAGTGCCTGACTTCTGGCCTACGGTATTCGGTAACGGTCCCGAAGAAGTTCAGCAGTTCCTCTCGCCAGACGATCTCGCCCTCATTTCCTGCATCAAGTCGTTTACCGTTGACCGACACCAAATCGAGTCCGCAACGAAAGGTGAACCTCGCAGTCTGCGCTTTACCTTCGAGTTCGCCGAAAATGAGTTCATCGAGGACAAGCAACTGGTGAAAGAATTTGAATACAAGCCCCGAGAAGATGGCCCAGGCAGTCTAGTATCAAAGCCTATCCCAATCAAATGGAAGAACAAAAAGAAGGACTTCACCCATGGTTTGCTCGATGGTGCGGTGGAGCTTCACTCTGCCGAAGAAGCGCTGAAGTTGAAGAACGGCAAGGAACAGGTCGAGCTCGTCGATCGTGAGGCGTTGTGGCAGCACGAGAAGCTGCGCGACAAGATGGTGAAGCTTGATGAAAGCGACGAACATGAACCAAGCTTCTTCAATTGGTTCGGGTTCCGAGGCGCGGTGAACACGGCCGTCCCCAAGAAACCTGCCGACAATGGAGCCAACGGCGCCGACGATGAGGACGATGACGAGGAGGTTGACCAAATGCTGGAAGTCGAAATCTTTCCAGCCGGCGAAGAGGTGGCCATTGTGCTGGCCGAAGAGCTCTGGACAGACGCTATGGATTACTTCAGTAAGTGCTCCTAAAGTGTCTCGTGGTTGTACCTCAAAGACTGACCTTTGTTCCAGTGTCTGCCCAAGACGACTTCCCAGGGGCGGATGAGCTCGATATGGACGATGAAGAGGAAGATGAGGAGGATGCTCCGGAGCTGGTGACCGCCGAGGAAGCCAGACCGAACAAGCGGCAGCGCAAGAACTGAGCTTCTGTTTTCTGTAATGCCTTTTTCGGATATGTCGACATGTACCATCACCAGACGAGACCAAAATTTGTCCACCTCTTTGTGACAGATAGCTGGGTCAAATGATTATCACTCTGTCTTGCTCGTTGTCCGCCATCCATCGCTCTATGGTTGGCCGCGCATGACACAGCCCCTTTCCGTCGCTCTGCGCCTGTAACGTATATGCAGCCATCTCCTTGCTCTGAATACGCCGTCCCTAAGTTTTCTGTTTGACTTCGTTCTCGTCCGGTAGCCCTCCAACGGGGCTCTCTCTTCATAGCACAATAACCAAGATCAACAGTATAATCAAAACCACGATCAAAACCGCAATGCAGCAACTACTCACACTATCCTCGTTCTTGCGGATGACCTCGCCTACCTTCTTCACGCCGACATTCAGCTTCCCACCCACTCTGTCTGCCAGCGTGTCCACCTCATCAAGCATGTGACCCTGCTCTTCCAGCTCCCGGCCCATATCCTCCGCCTGCCCGCGCAGCACGCCGACAGACTGAAACACGCCGTCAAGCTGCTCGTCCTGCTCGGCCATCATGGTCGCTTGTTGCTGCGCTTCAAACTCTCCGTAGGGGTCGTCGTCGTCGCCGTAGCCGCCTTCTTGGTCCTCGAATGCCGCTGGCGCAGGTAACTTCCCGGGGACGCCGCCCGCAATGTGCGTGTCTGCCGTCACGCCTTCCAGCTCGTGGCGCATACCCTCGACTTCATTGCCGACATCTTTGACGAATTGCCGCCGCCGCTGGACCTCGGCGACGTCCAAGCCGAAGCGATACGGGTCAGACTCGACCGCCGACACGGCCTCGAGGAGGTCTGCAAGGTCCGAGGTCAGAGTCTCAAGGTTCGAGCGCAGATCGGCGCGGGATTGCTGGAGTTCGGGCGACGTTGCGGATGTGGAGAGCGTGCGGATGCGCAGGTACGAGGAGAAGAGGTGGCGGGTGGCTTGGAGGGTCGATTGGACGTCTCTGCAGAGCAATGATCAGACATGTCAGCAGTCGCTCTCATGTATAGTAGAGGGCTTAGAAAGAGAATGGGAACGGTACGTTTGGACTTCGAGGAAGGGGTCGTCGGGTTGAGGATTGGCCATGATGTAGTTCTTCCTCGGAAAGGCCGTCTGTAATTTCTAGCCCATGAGACGCCGAAGGTATGTTTCTATTCCATGATTGTTGAGTACAAATTCTAAATGCGCAGAGAAGCTGGATCACAGAGGCGATACAGCGTGGTCAAGCACCAGGTGCAAAGTGTCGCGCGCGTCTCGGCGGCCACGGCCGAGGTTGAAAGTCAACGTTGGCAAGGCCCTTCGGTTAGCAGCTATTCGACCCATAAGGCCCAGCGCAGAGTGAGTAATATACAGTATCATTGCAATACACGACGGTGCGGCAGAGGACGTAGGTACCTAGGCATGAATGTCCTCCTTGACCTTCAAAGCACCGCACCACACCTATGGTCACCCTATGAGCCTGAATCCTTCTCATAAAGTTGCTCATACATCAATTCCCCTCGTCTTCTCCTTCCGTCGGATACAGCACGAAGCTTCTGCACTGCATTCTCCACTTTCTGGTCTACTATCCTCAGATGCAGGCTCAGCTTTTCGCCCAGGTCAGACTTCTTGATAGCATCAAACTTCAGTGCCAAGTTGATAGCATTCTGCATTGGCAAGAATGATTCCAAAACAGCATTGTACAGAGCACGCGTTCGGACATCTTCCTTTATCCCGTCCGCCAGCTGAACAGTGAAGTCTCTCTCTTGCGCAATGGGAAGCATCCTTGCCGCATAGCTTGCGACTTGATCAGCATTGCCACCAGACTCAAGGGCTTTCGCGGCCGCTAGTTCGGTCAATACGCTCAGGACCAACGGATCCATTCTAGGATCGACTTCGTGCTCTTTCAGCTGTTTGCCGTCATGCAGCATGTCTTCGAGGATGCGTGTTACTTTCAAGGCTCTCTGCCATGCGCTTTCGAGCTCTGGGCCAGCGAAGCCGTGATCGGCAGCACGCTTGTGGAAGCCCAGCATCAATTCGAATGTCACACCCTGTTTCTTGAGCGAGAAGCCGGTTTTGTTGGATTTTTCCGCGCAAGCAAGGATGATCCGTTCTTTCCCAATCTCACATGCCTTGCGCGTGATCTTCTGCCAGAAGAAGTGTGGCAGTCTTTGTTTCGACATTTGTAGTCCCTCTAGCCAAGGTCCCAGATTATTCCACACAACATCCTCGTTCTGTTCGCTCAATATGCCGATCATCTTTTTCATGGACTCTCGAACGTTCGGCTTGTCATACGGATCCCGCGGCTGCAATGTGATCTCTTCATCGTCCGACATGGTGACTTTAACGCCCGCATCGTTCGAAAGTGCCTGTTGCCGCGATGGTTTGTAGATGAGCTTTCTGTGATGCTCCGGAAGCGCAGCTGGAATGAAGACTTTCTCGCGCCATGCTAGAAGTAGCTGGTCAAGCTCGCCGTGACTGGTAGGTGTGAAGGAAGGTACCACTACAAGTCCTTTAGTACTGAGGCGTGATGTTGGATATTGAGGGTTGCTAGATACCTTTATGTCTGTTGGGAGTGGTGCTGAACGACCGGGAGGCTTTCGACGCACTCCGTAGGCTCTGTCGACAGCTTCTGCAGACATAAAGCAAAGACTGACCAGCTTGAGCCATTGCTGTTCCGCAGATTTCAGAGTATCGCTGGAGCAGCCTGTCTGACGATACTCTGCGCGAGCACAACTGAGCGGCAACGTTGAAGTTCAAGGTGGGCTCGGAAGATAGCACATCCGTCTGCTCCTTCTCGATATCAAACCTGAAGACCGAGTTGAGACGATGCTTGTGTAAAGTTGAAGGAACAAATCAATGTCCTCGCTAGCATTGAAAAGCTTGTCCTAAAGCGGCATGTTATCAATGCCAAAGTGGGCGGCGCAGTTCAGCCTCGCATTGAAACTGAATGGGCGAAGCTCCGCGACTTCTTTCAAAATGTCAAACTAACAACATTACAAGATGTCGCAATCTATAGCCACGCGCATGTCATCATGCTGCTGGCGGTCGCTCTTCGCCGAACTGCGGCCACATCGCCAGTTCTCCCGGTCACTCGTCACTGTACAGCGAGGTCCCGTCGAAAAACTCGCAATCCCCGAGTCCCTTCCACAGCAGTTTTGGCCGCAACTACCTGAACGATTTAGACCTGGTCGGAGTAAGAAACTATGCTCTCGGTTCTCCTTTTTTGCGGTGCTAATCCTGGAGGAATAGGCAAACGTGAAATAACCATTCACGATGCCCCCGTCTCCGAAGCCGCAATCTGCAAAGACCCCGTCTCCCTCATCGAGCAGCGGCAGCTCGCCCTTCTCGACCCTACAGGCGCACGATCTCGCTTATTCGACAAGACGAACAAAGACCGCGCGATGGTTGGAGACATCCTCCTCGTTACCTTCAAGACGGGCGAACCTGTATCTGGAGTGATATTAGTTATCAAGGGCTCAGGACCGCACAAGTCAGTCCTGCTTCGGAATCAATTAACCGGAGTCGGGATTGAGATGAGCATCAAAGTACACAGCCCGCTGGTGCAAAGTATGGAGGTAGCGCAACGGGCGAAGAAGAGAAAGAGACGTGCAAGACTGTATTACCTGCGCAAGCCGGAGCACGATCCTGGTAGTGTGCAAAAGGTGGTGGACCAGTATTTGAGGCAGAAAGCTATGTTGACAGGTGGGAAACCGACGCGGCAGCAGCAGCATACCGGTCCAAGAGTGAAGAAGGGCAAAAGATGAGGGAAGACGGAATCTTCCTCTTGAAAACTTGATATTTAGCGAGAACAACGGGTCGTGATGCAGGTTTTCCTTCGAAGACGTACGGCAGTCCAGCATTGCCTCTGCTGTGAAAAGCATAGTGTAGAATACGTTATGTGGGGGCAGTTGCTGCCAGATGATACACTGCAAAAGGACCTTGAACAGATTGCAGGAATGGTAACTCTGCATCACAAAAGAAAGCTCACGATTTGGGAAACCCCACAGCCTTGTAGGAATAAATTTTATCTATCCACCTGCCGGCTGTATACCCAGGCACATCATGAAGGACTTTCCCAGTGAGCGTCCAAGAGGCCACTCACAGATAGATTATCTCAGAGCAACAGTAGTGTATGGTCGTCGTCGATCTGTGCTTGGATGTCAAGACTGATCTTCCCACCTACCACCGCCGGTCCTTTGACATTAACCTAAGATGAGAAGTCAGCATCGGCCCAGGGAGACAACTACCAGTACAGGCAGAGCGCGTTGAAAACATACCGTTCCCTTCGGAGAATGAGAGCCCACCACATCCTCATCACCAGCAAGACTCAACTCGATGGAGCTCATTGGTGCGCCCACACAGACTTGCTTGCCCTTGTCACGGTAGTCGAGGATGTTCGTCTGCGCAACGGCCCCTGCGACGAATGGCGTGGTAAGGGCGTACCCAATCCGAGCGTGCAGATGTGTACGCAGGATATGCATAGCCGAGGATGACAGACGAGTGTTGGCTGGCAGAGACGTAGACTGTGGAATGAACATGACTCTCAATTTAGACAAAGCCAACGGTCCGCTGGGGTCGGATGGTAGATTTCCCGCTTGAAGGGTTCTTGTGGACCTCCACTTTGACAAGCCAGCTGGCAGATTGGTCGCGGGGCTCAAGAGGTATTTCTGAACAGTCGCGGGTGCGGCGATCACAATGGTCGGCTTGCTCTGAGCGGTGGCAGCAAGAAGGTCGATTTTGTCGCCGGCAACGGAGTTCAAGGCGATCGAAGCGTTCGAGTATAGTGCTGCTAGAGTCCAGCACAGCGTGTAGCTGTCCGTGAGGCTCGTGGTTGGCAGGAGTGTGTCGGCTGGTGTTAGCTTGTAAGCTCGGACGAGCGTCGCTAGAAGCGCTGCAATGCCTGAGATGAGGTTCTGAAGTACAACATCAGGATGGGGAAGGCCCCAGCAAATATTGCAGTGGAAGACTTACTTCAGAGGTATACTTGACCAGATCATACGTTCCGTTAGGTGCTGGGCAGAAGACTGACACTGGTGGAACTTGAGAGTCTTTGTCCAAGGGTAAGACCTCAGAAGTGGCACTACGGTTGTTCTTTTCTACCAAATCATTCCATGAATTAACAGTGAAGCCATCGGGAGCATCCCCAGACCAGTCCATATGCTGACTGCCCGCCTTAGTGACCCAGATGACGTTCTTGAGGGCTTTGTTGACTGAATGCAGGCCGTCAAGGTCGAGCACACCGGCTTCTGCAATGACATGGTCTGCCGAAGTCTTTGCGAGAAGCGAGTTGAGCTTGTCCTGTGGCAGACCGTACGGAAGCAAGATAGTCGAAAAGCCATAGAATGAACCAGCTGTGGTATCACGTCAGGATAAAGACCAGTTCCACTCGAGCTGCTGGACATACCGAAAATTGCGGACAACATCTCCACCGAATTTGAGAGACACACAGCGACGTTCTGTCCGTTGTTTCGCTTGACATACTGACCAATCGCGTTGATTCCCAGAGTGAGATCCTCAAATTGATGGTCGAGAACTTTCTCACTCCCGAGGACGGTCAGGATCTTGCCTTTCTCGCCTGTTGGTGTGCCGTCTTCTTTGACAGCACCACGGACAGCGACTCTCCATATGTCGCGGAGATCGCCTGGCCGGCCTGAACTCCATCTAGGCGTGCCTGGGTCTTTGACTCCCAGACCCGCACGAAGAGGATAACCATGTGGCATGTCGATGGCTCGATAGACGGCGGACTCACCAGAGTGTCGGATTGGGGCTATCTGTGCCTGTCGGGCGAGAAGGAAGGGATGAGTGTCAGGCTCTCTGCCAGTAAGCAATGGGTAGGTGAGAAAGACCACCAGCAAGAGGACGAGTAGCGTGCTGTAGATGTTCCATGACGAAAAGAACTCCGCTATGGCAGCATCAAGTCTCTCAGCTGTGGTTGCCGTCGACATGTTGGTTATTCTGCGCGTATTGAGTAACTAATTGGGAGAGTAGAGACGTGGGAAGTCTGGAGGAGCATGACAGGGAACCGAAGGTGGAGGAGGCCCCACGTGATAACCCCATCCGAATGTCGTCGAACTTCGTGGCTCGGTGGCTGTTCCCATGGTCACGTGAAAGGCCGTACCAAGTGTCACGTGCAAGGCTGTGAACCCGTCACGAGTGAGCGCCGAGTCGCGATTCTTTTTTCTCTTCTTGGTCAATGTCATTGTCAACTTCAATTCACCTCCAAGTCTCCATGCAACAGTCTATTGGATGCATTAATACTGGGATCACGATGCATTGTCTCTCTTCCTCTTCCTCGATGCCAGATGCCGGTTGGAATGGTTTGACTTCTCGCGGCCTTCGACACGAGCATTCACTTGCACCTTCTCTCAACTCCCACAGTTCGACCATGTGACACTGCTGTGACTACCTACCTACTGATGGGTGAAGAAAATCAGTCATCACACCACCCATCATAGTATCTGGCAGGCTCATATCTCTCCAGCCACATTTTCGGTTTCTGCGGCCTAGAGGTTGCCACTTTCGACCTCGACCCCCTAGCCTGGTATCGCTTCGAAAACCATGGATGTCGTAGTACGTCGCTGACGGATATACGCTCTGTTGGATGGTATCTAAGCATCTTCGAGAGCAAATCCTCCAAATCTTCAGCCTCTTGTCTCAATAGGCGGGCCGGCGGGCGCGTCAGGATGCCGATCTTTCTTCCCACAGCGCCATCGTCGTCTTTAGGGAACCACTCGAGGATTTTCGCTCGTCGCTCGATCAGCGTCATTCGATGCCACTGGTTCAACTTCCCGATATTTCTAATGCGGTGTCTAAGATCAGGTCTTGGCTGAAGCTGGCTTCCTTGTTGTTCTTCGCTTACTGTAGCATGCAGAAGCTCGTCTTCCCGACCACTGTTGTGAGCCTCTTCTTGGGAAACCTTGGCAGAAACATCGTCGTCACCGGCTTCTGCGTCTCCATCTGCCGGCTCCTCGTCCCCGGACTCTTCTCCAACGCCCAGAGCGTTCCACCACTCCACAGGGACTAGTCCGAGGAGCCGGGACATCTGAATCAATAAACCGGCCATCCCTGCTGAATCGTCACGGAAGAGAATCTTTGCAGACCTCATCTCAAAGAAGCAGCATGACAGGCCCCAGATGTCTGCCTGTGGAGTTGGAAAGTCATCAAACCCAATCTCCGGCGCTCCATAATTGAAGTTTGTGCCTACATCCGAGCACTTTGGCGGATTGTCGATAAGATATGCCTCTCCCAGATCGATCATGAGGAGTTCAGGCTTGATCAAGGCGAGATTGGACTGCAGAAGGTCGATTGGCCGGTACACCATTTCTGGTGCGCGTCCGTCTACCGGTGGGAGATCTCGCGGAGGGTCATCGAGACGGCTAACTATTTCGGCAAAATCCAAAGGTTCGTGGAGCTGTACCCTCTCGGCTTGTGGGAGCCCGAATGCATTGTATATGTCTTCCACGCTCCACTCGTTGATGTCTTGGATGCGAAACAAGATGTTGCTTGCGCTCAAGTCGGCAAGAGCAACCTTCGTTGCATGCAAGTGGGCAACACCTTCTGCGACCTGGCGTGCGAGCTTGCGAGCGATGTGTGGCTCGATCTTGGTCTCTGAAGCGTAACCCCTCAATGAAGCTATGCTGGGCCCGAGGACCTCGAATACCAGACACAAATGAGTTCCGTTGGGACCGCTGATGGAGAAGTGGTCGAGAAGTGGTGCAACGTGAGCCGATTCGAAGTCGAGTTGTTGCTGAGCGAGAAATTGATGGATCTGCAGCTCACGAGTTCTGCCGGAGCCATCTGAGGTGAGTATCTTGAGCGCTATGTAACGCTCTTCTTGATTGTCACGGGCCAGCCATATTGTTGCGCTTCCGCCAGAACCGAGTTTGTGAACGACCTTGTATCGATCATTGGAGAAACTGCCGCCGATGAGAACAGGGTGAAGGCCGCCTTCGACGTACATCTCAAGGTCCTCACAGTCGTCCCATGTAGGTACGTATTTGCTCGGCTTCCACATTTCGGAAATATCTGAGTGAGTGAGTTCTGACATGTCGAATCTTGGAAGCGGTGGCCAATGCTGGATGGAGGGAGAACCAATATTCGGGACTTCTCACGATTTATCGCGGTCAGTCTGGGCCGCCATGTTGTCAAGCCTTTGTTCTGTCCCGACGTCTTTGTTCATTGTGGGGTACCTCCCACTCCTGTACTGTTCCCGGTGGCCAATTTGCGACTTTACGGTCTTTGTTCTTCGTCTCCTTGTTCGTTTGAGCTTGACAAAGCCATACGTGTGGATTGTAACAAACATGACCTTGTAGTGTTTACAATGGTCTGTGGACTTACAATGGCCCTGCATTGATCGACCAAGGCGGAAATGACAGCGAGGTTTCTGCTGTATCATGGTTTTCTTACATATATCTGAACATCAGCTTCTGTTTTGCACCCAGAGAGTCTCACTACGCTCGGAGCCACCGAAGTCACTGAGAACACAAGCACAAAGTATCAACATCCTTCAACAAAAACAACATGTCAACACAAGGCCCTTTCCAATGCTGCTGCAGCCCTTCGCTTCCTGGTTCTGATACTACCTCCGATGCTGACTACTACAAGACGAATGGTGTCCTGAATTTCTTGGACATGGTGGTCGACCGTGAACTCACGTTGGACTGCATCCATGGCAGTCAACTACCTCCTAATCAGCATCTTGTGGGCGCTCCAGACCACGACATCTGCGATGAAGTTGATGATCTGGAAGAGGGCGAAATCGGCGAGGAAGACGAGGGTCTAGAAGAGGGCGAAATCCGCGAGGACTTGGAAATGGCCGAGACTACCAGCTCGGAGTCAGCTTATTCTGAACGATCTACGGTGAGCTCGAACGGTTGGCTAGTCTACCTTGAATGGTATGTCAAACCGAAACCCGCGGAGCGAGAGGTTATCGAGGTCACCGCCGCCCAACTGGCAAAAGAATATGCTTGCGACACGGTGTTCATACGTTCAAACATCCACAACACGACTCGCATCCAAACCAGACATGGCCGCAAAACCGTTCTAGCGCCATGGCATTATACTTGTGACTTCAAGATGAGAGAGCGCAAATGGAGGCCGTCGCATGTAAGTATATTGACAGTGCAACTCTACCAGGAGTCAGCTGTTTTACCCCCGTTCTTGATTGGAGCACCTTACTGATGAAATACAGGTCTACACCGACACCCGAGCTGTCCAACGTGCGACCAGATACACGGAGATGGTCACGAAGACTACTGGACTTGCTCGAGGAACATGCAAGAACCCCGATTTCTACGACAAGACGGCATATTCCCATTGCAATGGTGATTGCAGAGCCCGAGCGATGCTACAGGTTTGATCAACATCAGGCAAGTGGTAAGTGAAGAAGGTAGGTGATCATGTAGGTAAGTCATTATTCTTTGTCTTCCCTCCCTCTAATATGCCTCCTCTATCCTGAAGATGTCTTCGGTGTCTCGTGCAAAATTCTTCGTAGAGCCCCATATTCTCGTCCCAGTAAATTGTCCTTCCCAAACTTCCCAACTCTCTCTTCGCCGTTCAAGTGAATGTCTTGCGGAAAGAGACGGCAGACAGCGATTGCATTGCCAGCCTTCGCTAAAAAAATAAAACACATCCTTCATGTTTTGACGTTGAGTCCAACTGTGATGAGAAAGCAGGATGGAAGCAGCTATGACTGAGTGGGCCGGAAAGGAGCACGGATCTTGAGATGACTTTGGTATATTCTAGAAGGGAAAGTAGCGAGTTCGCAGGTTGACAGATATTGCTTAGGTATTGCAGAATATAGTACTTCTATGGAATAGTAAACATGGCCAGAAGTTCAAGATCCTTACCGTCTGTTTTCATTTGCAGTCATTCGCCGTGCCAGACGTTCAGTCCTGCACTACGGTGGTAGCATTGTCTGGAATGAAGATTGCTGGTAACCATACGTGATGATTTACAGCAGCGCCATTCGGAGATAGCGGATAGGACACATACTCGTTGAAAGCCCTGACAGCCGTCTTCGGTCGTTGTCAGGTGAGCTCCAAGAAGGCTGGGAAGTCAGTCCCACAGGAGTCGTCTCTCACGCGTCCACACGGGGCGTGGTGGGAAAGCTGTCGACCATGGAGATCGGCAGTCGACGTCGCTACAGGTACTCCGCAGTGCAGGAAAAAGTCAAGTCAGGTAGACGTCAAGCGAGGGACGCGGTGAGCGGACGGGCGAGGCTGGGGTTGAGGAGAACCAGCACAGACCCTCCCAGCCAATTGAGGCAGACATCATCTCTGGCGTTTGGTCGATTGCCATCACGCCGACCAACTCTTTCAGTTTTGATGACGGCCGAAGATGTTGCAAAAGGGACGATTGCAGTGGCAATTGATGGTTGCAGGCAATTTGCAGCAGGGGACCGGAATGGGTGTTTCATAAAGGAGGAATTCCGAAGTATCGCTGGCCATTGAAAAAGTCGAGATCTGAGCTGCTTCGGAACCCATGTTTCTCCATGACCGAAGCTAACCCTGTTGAGAACTAGCGAGATCACGCTAAGCTCAGTACGCGTCTAATGATTGGCTGCAATTGACTCGTGTCTTTACGAGCTCGTATGCCCCGTGATGCCCCTGGATTCTGGTTCTTTGTCCTCGTCCCATTCACTCGTGTCACTCCATTCATGATTCCACTGCCTCGCCCCTTGGGTTCTTTTCCGCCTGTGCTTCCTCTCCACCACGTTCACCGTTCACGATGGACTGCTTCAGCCTCCTCCCAGGGGCTTTCGAGAATGGACCATCTCAGATCGTCCCTGAGATAGCGCCAACCTACCAGGTATGTACTGGACCAATCCACTGTGGCACAGCTACCCTGCCTCAGCTACCCACCATAGCTCCTACCTCACTTAGCTGAAAGAAGATCTTTAGCATACGGATCACCACCCGTTCATTGCTCGAATCATCTTGCATTTAACACCTCACGTCCATGGAGGCCTTCTCAACGTGACTGAAGCTGTCTTTCAACGCGGTGGACAAAGCTTGTGAATGGCTCAGTGCTCTATGCGCCAGCCGCAGTCTGGATTCAAGCTGGTGCCGAAAGACCTTGTATGTGTGCCAATAGAATGACATGTTTCATATGCCCCTTGCTCACCGCAACCCAACCAGCATTGCCCCGGATGACGTTAGGGGCATCGCTTCACTCGCCTCCCTCTTGGTCTATGGGGCGCATGCTCGACCTCGACCATGGTGTATATAGCTTGCCAGGTCGCTGCATTTCGGCATGTCTTCAAAGCACTCATTCACTCACAACCGTCGCTCTTTCAGACCACCCAACTGTGGCAAGCTAGCCGAACCATTCTTTCGTTCCCTTTGTTGACTCTCACATTGTCTTGCCCGGCGCAGACAATAGGTTCTTTCAGAACACGACTCTCCTTAACAAATCAAGTCAACGACCGCTCCTTTGTGGGAAGCCCAAAGAATCAAGGTATGCTACTATTCGCTGGTTTTCTCTGCTTCACTTCCACTGCTCTGGCTTCACTCTTGCCGCCTCACTGCTTGCCTACGGCGGTTGCTTTGTTCTCGGCAGAACAATAAGTGATTATCAAACGGGCAGTCGGTTCTCTTGGACTGCTGCGTTCCCATCAAGAACCTGCGCCTACCGGTGGCCAGTCTGATTTTCCTCTTCCTACACCCAACAACTACGAATCTCTGGAGATTCATTCCTGCAAACGCACGAAACTACTCCCAAACTGACAAGTGTTACAGCGCAATCTGGTTATTGCTCTGCCCAACACACTCATTCAATCATTGACGTAACACAACAACCCATCAATCTCTGATATCAACCATGGTTTCTGCAATCAAGAAGATGGCTACGGCCAGCGTCCTCTTCCTCGCCGCATCCACCAACGCTCACATGATCATGAAGTCTCCTGTCCCGTATGGCAAGAGCACTCTCAACAACTCTCCACTCGATGGCAGTGGCTCCGACTTTCCCTGCAAACAGCGTTCCGGTGTCTACGATGCGGAAGGTGCTCAGAATGTCGCAGCTATCGGTGAACCACAGACCTTGAGCTTCATCGGACAAGCTACACACGGAGGTGGTTCCTGCCAAGTGAGCTTGACCACCGATCTAGAACCCACCAAAGACTCCAAGTGGAGTGTGATACTGAGTATCGAAGGAGGCTGTCCGTCTAGTTCTGCTGGTAATATTGGCGGTGACCCCAACGGCAGTGGCTCCAGTACTTTTCAGTATACTGTCCCCGAAGGCATCGCTCCAGGCGAATACACTCTTGCTTGGACATGGATCAACAAGGTCGGCAATCGCGAGTTCTACATGAACTGCGCTCCGTTAACTGTCACTGCGGCGAAGAAGAAGCGATACGCCCCAACCCCAAAGATGTCGAAGCGTCAGACCTCATTCCCTGATATGTTTGTCGCGAACCTCGCCTCAATCAATGACTGCACGACACCCGAATCTTTCGATTATGTGTATCCGAACCCTGGTTCCGTGGTCCAATCGGCCGGAAATGGTCCTTATACTACACTTTCCTGTGGAGCTGCTGCAGGCAACAACGCCGCTCAAACCCCAACTGCTACTGGAGCTGCTTCAGTTGCAGCGACTGGCTCAGCTACTGAAAGTTCTTCTGCTGGCGCTACGAGTGCTGCAGGTGGCTATGGCTCTCCAGCCGGTTCCTCAGCAGCTGGCTCGTCTCCTGCCATTTTCGCCACTGGAGCCGCCTCGGCAGCTAGTCCTGCAAGTACCGATGTGGCCTCAGTCATTCCTGTCGGCGCATCCTCAACCGCAGCTCCTGCAGCCACTCCAAGCACCTCGAACAGCAATGGAAATGGCTCAGACTTGGGATCTGCCTCAACCAATACCTCAGCTGCTGGAACTCAAACCGGCCCTTGTACTAATGAGGGTGCGTGGGCTTGCAGTGCGGATGGTGCCAGCTTCCAAAGATGTGCTTCGGGATTATGGTCGACGGTCATGTCCATGGAGGCCGGAATGACATGCACTCCTGGAGTGTCCATGACCTTCTCCCAAGCCGCCGGTAAATCCAAGCGTCACCTCCACAGTCACATGCGACGCCATGCCGAGACGATCGGTGATTCTCTGCACTGAGTCAATTGAACTCAACCTGACACCAAAACCACCATAACGACATCTGTACAGAAACACCGACATGACGAGCTGGACTCGCAGCCCTGACTGGGCAAGCCATTGAAGAGAGTACTCAACTTTCTCTGCTTCTCAAGCTTTTGACGAACTATGGCGCCGATTGTATCAACATGCAAGGATACCTAGGTACTTTCAATTCGAAGATCATTCACGGGATTTATGACAAAAGCGGCGGACAGTACGGCCAAGTGAATGATAAGGATATACCCCCCAAAATTGCATCGGCCCGGCGTTTCGTGGAATCTTGATGGATGATCTGGTGAGGGATTTTCAAGATGATGGAAAGCACATACTAGTGCTATCTAGTGTTTTGGTGGCCCGTTTAACGTGGTTCATGACGAAGCTGTACAAATCTTTCATTAAGTACAAATGAGATAGATGAGACAATCAAAGAAGAATGGGTTGCAAAACTAGTTCATGCCAGTTCCACTGTAATTATACCCCTTTCCGAGGCATAGAAATCGATTCGTCCTTTGTCTGTCTGTTTTCAAAAGCCGTTTTACTGTTCTGCCATCTTGTCGCCTTGTCGTCTTGCTGTTTTGTGTTGTTGCCATTTCGCCGGCTCAAGAAAGACCCAGCTTCTGCTTTTGTTCTGCGAGCCACTCTTTGGCAATGTCCTCATGAGTCGAGAACGTCACGTCGTCTCCAAAACCTTTCAGCCATTGGATGAAGCGCTCCGACATGCCGATGATATGGGACATGCCCGACGTGTCCGGGTGCATGAGGATGGGGAAGACGAAGTCGGCCGAAGCGCATCCCTCGGTGGATTCACTGGCATTGTCCCACAGCCACATGAACTTGTCCTTCCACATCTGCTCGACGACGCGGGTGGAGACGTAGCCCATGCTGTTGGCCAGGTGGGGCAGGTATTGCAGCGGCATCATGTCCTCGTTGTACCAGCCGCAGGGGATCTCGACCAAGGGATGTTGGCCGTTGGCGGGGAACGACTGGGTCGCGATTTCGGTCGGGTGCAGCCACGACGACGCGGGCTGCGAGAAGTCGATGGTCTTGATGGGCGGGTCGTTGGGCGTGAAGTACGGCTGGCTGTCGTGGTGCATGAGCGAGGTGTCGTACAGGAATTCGTGCCGGCGGAGTAATTTCACCGTGGTCTCGCGGATCGTGTACATGGGCGCGCGGTAGCCTCGGGGTTTCTTGCCGCCGCACAGTTTTGTCGCGACGTCGATGCACTTGAGCAGCACGTCCGTTTCTTGTTCTTCCGTCATCTGGTAGATGCCTTCATGCGAGTACCCGTGCAGGCCGATCTCGGCGCCGGACTCGACGACGGCCTGCACGGCCGAGGGGAACGTCTCGATCGTGTGGCCCGGGATGAACCATGTCACTTTGTCGGCGATGCCGCACTTCTTGAGCATGTTGAGGAGCCGGAATGCGCCCACTTGGCCGGCGAAGATGCCCGAGCTGTAATCCGCCATGTTGTTGTCCGGATGGCAGCCCGTGCCCAGCCAGTGTGACACGGCGTCGAAGTCGAACGACAAGGCCACCTTGACACGGCGGCGACGAGAAGATCGCGAGGGTGCCGGTGATATTGTCGCCGGGATTTGTCGAGTGAGGGCACTGCTTCCCGCGGCGGCAGAGACGTCGTCCAAGACTTGGTATTCGCAATCCGTCGGCATGCCCGCGTTGACGGGCGCCATGTCCTGCGGACACGCGCTCATGACGACGATCAGGTCCGTCTGAGCCTGCATCGTCACGTACTGGCCCTTCTCGGAGGTGGGAGGCTTGATGTTCAAGCCGCCGTGGTGGTCGATGGCCACGTTCATGAACAGGTTCAGTGGATCAGGGACCCAGTCGTGCGCGATGGGGAAGTCCGGAAATGTGTCCTTTAACGCAGAATGCATGTTGTCCGTGCAGTTGTCGTGGTACCCGTCGTATCCTTGCATGCGGTATCGCTCGGCGTCGCAGGCCGACCAGATGATGTCGTGCACGCCCTTTGTCGTGTCTTCTGTCAAGACGAGCATGGGCTTCCGCCGAGTGCTGTATAGTTCATCACCCTTTGCGAGCGATACCTTGAGCAAGATGGTCCTGGTATGGACCATGGATAAGAAGTCGTTGGGATCCTTGGGGTTGAAGGCCCAGAAGTCCACCACTTGTTTGCCGTGCGTGTTGATCACCTTGACTTCCTGTCCGGCCTTGACGGGGAAGGCCACCGCTTTGCGTGCTGGTATGATGCCCATTTTTTGGCTTGGTGTGCAGACGTGGGGTTTTCGTCCAGCACTGCTTGGCTTTCCGTCAAAATACTAGTATCGAGCCAGGGAACAGGTGTATGGGTGAGGACGCGATGGCCTTGCTGTTACTGTTTTGGCTGTCCGGTTGCTATTCTTCACTCTCGGATGCACGACGCTGGAGAACTGGTCAGCTTGTCGAGAGATGGAACCCTACGCTTTTATGAATCTCGATGTCCAACACAAGGCCCGCCTCGACCCACTCGAGGCTGCGGCGGACATGACCGCATTGGAAGAGGCTGCCCAGTAAGAAATGTCACACTGGATGTGTGCCCGTCGCCGTCGCCCGTCGCCCGTCAACGTTGTGGAGAGAGAGTCCCCCGATTGTGGGGAGATAAGATCCCATCCATCTCCCAACTTATTCGCGTCGAGGTAAGGACACTACTATTCGTTGATAAAGTCCAGGCTGTTGGGAATGATATTGGTCATCCTGGGGCGGATTGCGCTCTTGAAAAACAGCAGAGGCTCCAGGCCCTTTAGATCATGAAATATGCCAATCAAACACGGACTACTCCGTCGGCCGCTGGACAAGTGGTTGAATCATCGAACACGGTACTGGTGCGTGTGTGAGAAAGAAGAGAAAATGCCGTTCTTACCCCGGCTTAAGCGCGTCGTGCTGGGTAAGAATGAAAGTCTTGATCAATGTATGCTGGCTTCCTCCTAGGCTAGAGAATATAGCTTGACCACTCCAGACTTACCTGGATCTTGTTTGACGCCAAACGCCCGGACTAGCACCGGCAGAGTATTTGGGCCCGACCACTCGTCGAAGAATACGGGGTATTAACGGGAACAACCGAACCCTCCTTTCGAGGAGGACAACCTGGGAAAAACAGCGACAATGGGCTAACAACCCTAGGCAACTCGTGTGTCTCTTGTATATCAAACAATGGTCAGGAGCTGCTCCATGAACGCACCGATCTGGCGTTCTCGGTCGACCAAATGAATCTCCAGAATCCAATGCCGTTTTTGACCTTTCCCGTCAACTCGACTCATCTGTTCCGTATTTCCCTTTGTGATATACAGCGTGATCTTGTCGTTCGGGATGCGCTCATGTGGAAAAGATCCGACCAGATGCCCGGCAATCTGACCGCCAAACTCCCACCCTTCAAGCCGGGCCACTTCGCACGCGATGTCATAGAGTTGTCCTCCTGTCATGTCGGGGTTCTCGTCATAGCGAGCCTTGACCGTGTTCCACACCGGCTCCAACGAGGCATGCAGCCGCTTCTTGACAGGGTCGTCTCCAAGGACGAAGGTGCGTCCGAAGTCCGCTTCCCAGGCCTCGAACACTGGACCTAGATCCACAAAGAGGATGTCGTCGGGCTGTATGATGCGGTCTGGAGGGTTCTCCGCGTACGGCATCAACGTGTTGGGACCACTTCTGACGACGCGTTTGTGCCAATGGGTTCGGACATTGTGCCGTTTCGTCCCAAGCTCGTGGATCTCGTTGCTCAAAGCCTTCTCGCTGACTCCTGGGCGGATCAAGTCTCGCTCGATTTCCTGGAACAGCTGGAAAGCCATGTTCTGCGCATCCAGGAGATGCGTAGCCCGTTCCTGCTCGCTGAGGCTACTAGGGTCGGCTGCCATTGTCGGAGGGTTCCTTTGAGATTTGATGGAAGAGGCCGCAGAAGAAGCCAGAACGTGGTCTGTTTTCCGTACGCTTGAAGGAGTCACCAGCAAGAGGCGAGGCTTCGTGAGCGAAACGTGGAGAAATTTGGGCCGAGGTTGTGAGGTTGTCACCTGTGGCACCGACGTGGGCACCTGCGTGGCCATCACTAACTTAAGGGAGCACCATTACACCATTACCTAGGTAGGCACCTATTAGGCACTCCGGTATGGCTCACTAGGCTCACCAGGCTGGTGAGGCGGGGCTGCGCTAGGCTACTTTACTGTACCCCCGTACCTAAGGTAAGTACTAACTTAAGTGCACGCGGCCTCCCGCATGCCCCCATCATCCGCCGTCCTCCAAAGGTTACAAGGCCGTGCAAGGCACACCGTACTATCGTGGTAGGGAAGAAATGTCCACGGGACAGCGAAAAAGTTGAAATTCAACATCACCAGTGCTAAAAGTGTGCAGTCGCAATTGAAAAATTTTCAAACTGGCGACTACATGCTAAGGTACATAGAGATCATTCTCTGATCAACGGCTCAACGGTCAAACAATCTCGAGGCCACAGTCACCTTTCGCTTATGGTCGTACTCCGTAAATCCCGGCTATGTCTTCCATTCACGCAACCACTTCCGGATACTGAGGTCCGCAAGGAGGCCGGCTGGCTGCCAAATTGCATTGACGGAATAGTCTGACCTCGTTCTCTGCGAATGCACCCACGACGCTGTGCAAGACTCCGTGGTTATTGAACAAGACCAGATCCCCTTCCTCCCAGTCGTGGGCGTAGACAAATTTGGGCGCGATCCCCGGCCGTTGCAAACCGTGCACGATATCGCGGACCTTCGCAAGGTCATCGATCACACTGCCATCTTTCAAGTGTATCTTTCGCACCACGGAGGGGTGAATCTGCAACGCGAATCGACCCGTCACCGGGTTCCGCCATACCATGGGAAGGATTTGGATGTCGCTTTCACGCTCAATGGGCGGGAGGTCCTCGAGTGGAACTTCCTTGCCTTCTGATACCATGCCGAGGCCGTCGGGCCGGGACTTTGTGGTCGAGATCCATACATATGGATGCGGAGCGTATTCGATCTTGGACGTCAAGACAAACTCCTTCTGCTCGAGGCTGAGGTTGTCGAACATGTTGTAGCCCGACACGAAAGCGGTGGTGCCAAGGGGGACGTCGAGAGTATCGCCAGTGCCGTCGTCGTACAAAAGGGTCTGTCTCCGGTTCTTCGGCACCTTTACGGCCAACAGGGACGTGACGAGAGGTGGGTTGAGCTTTCCATAAAGAGCCGCGTCGATGTGCCAGCGATAGAACCGCGTATAGTCCAAGTCCAGCTCATCCGGGATTACGGTTTTGTGGAAGGTTCGGTGGTGAGGATGCCTCAGTTTGATGTCAGTGAGACCCTCATATTCGGGCACGAAGCCGTTTCCGATGACCTGTACTTCAGGCTGATAAGGTATGGTCTTGAGATCAGGATGGAGGATGGAGCGCTTTGCGTCAATGGTCGTGCCGTGCCCGTATGTCATGGCCTCGGGGTCAAAGCGACGGGTGAGTTCGGCTTGATTCTTAGGAGTAAGTTTCCCTTGTGACTTGATGCAGACGACATTGTGTGTATAGAGCGTGTTGCGGAGGACTTGGAAGTCTTCCTCTGATAAATGTGCTAGGTCGATGTTCTGGACCAGAGCGCCCAGTTCCGGATGGGAAGAGTTGACGGGCTGAATAGTGACGCTTGACATGGCGGGTTCCTGTGAGTCGAGTCTTCTGGCTTGCTGCTGTGATCTGTAGGTCAGGGACTTCTGCAATTCTTTTACAAGGTCAGCAACAATCTGCACGAAGGCATGGAATCATGGTAGTCTTTATATTCATCCAAGAGTGAAGTTTGGTCGGACAAAGTATGGCCATCTCTGGCGTACATCCGTGCCAGCTGCGTACATGTAGGGCAGGTTGTCGGAGACTCCCTATCAGACTTCGAAAGCTATCCATCATCCACACACTGGGACCGAAGGATGTTGTGCAATGCAGACTTGCGAACATTGAGGTGTGGAGGCGAAGGGTTTGTTTATTGTGGATCGGGATGTACGACGTCTTTCGGCTGTCTCCGTTATCGAGCAACCTCGATCGATCCTCGGTTTCTGCAGTCAGAATATTCGCAATGCACCATTTTCAAACATGCTGGAAGTCGTCGTGGTACGGGCGACATCTTCCTCTGCTTTGGGTAAGATGATAAAATTGGTTCTTGTTGTACGCAAACTCCGCCTATCACAATATCGAAAGATGGGCTTCGTGACTCGATTGATCGGATCTCCTTCATCATAACGCCACTCTCGTCCTGCTCCATATAACCAACCATATTTGGCACGTAAAATCCTTCTTCAATCGTCATAATGGCCTGGCCTAACCGCACTACTCATAAACGCATCGACGATGTTGGCATACACTTCGACCTCCTTGCCTTTATCTCCAGGTAAGAAGGAATGCCATTTGACTTCGCCGCCTTCGAGCATGGTTGGCGATGCATATGGTGCTTTGTCGGGGCCCAAGTTGTCCCATAGCCGTTCCTGTAACGCAACGCAGTCAGCATTCGTGGTGTCTATTCTGTCCCTACATCCCTCCTTTCCTCATTCCTCATCATACATTCTCCACCCTTCACCCTCGCTCGCCTTTGTCGCTCTCTTCTCACTCTGCCCCTTACCACACAGGACCAGGTCAGCCAGATCATGGAACTCACTTACCAACTGAATCCACAACTTCCGGTTGACGTCCTTACTCAACAACATCGTCTCTGGGTCAAAATACGGCACCGCCGGCAGTCCCAGACGTTTGGCCTGATGACTCAAGTTCGTCCATAGCGTCTCGCACCACACCACTTTGTGGTTGTCGTTCTTAAACGAGGGAGGCGCTGAAATTTTGTTGTGGCGCGACGCTGACGCGATGATCGCAGCCGCGTCTTTTTTTGCAGCAGATGGTGTGGCCATGGTCAATGCAGGCAGAGTTCTGGCCACGGACCTCTCATTCGAAGGCAATGATGTTTGAATGAGTAGCTTGGATCTGAACAAGAGATAAAATCTAAGAAGTGTAGAATTTATGGTCACCTACTGGAACGCACGGAATCCTCGGAGTTGAATGCAGACACGCAGACTCCTGACACCTAGGTGCCTGAGATGTTTTCCTCACACGTGTATGCTTCGCCGTACTCCGAGTACGGTGGCTCATTGACGCCAGTGATGCGACAAACACAGTGGAAAACGGTCACGAACAGACCCCAAGTTGGGTGACAAGATGCATTGAAAATGTTTCGTCGTTCGAGAAATATCTACCTGAAGTAGCTATTCTACAAAGCAACAGTGAAATGGTTTCAACAAACCGCCTTCCACATCAAAAGCTCATTGCTTGCCATCATCCATGATAGTAATTGTCATCAGTCAGCTCATCAAAAGCCCATTTCCGAACTAATCACCAAGCTCCAGCCCGTTTGAAATCATTTGTTCTGTGTGCAGTCATCATTCATGGTGCGCCTGGCACCGTTCACATCGCGAGAAGTCAATAGATAAGGTATGCAGGGTGATTTCCAAGACATGTCAGGTATTGTCTGGATAGCCAAGGAGAGGACCTCGGTTGGTATACCCGCCTGTACCCACGTGGTCTTCAGTGCAGATGTCTTCCGCTGTGGTTATGGGTATGCTTGTGGAGGTGGCGTCTTCTGCGCTCTCCCGTCGGAGTTGCTCCGTTGGACACAGTGACTGTCACAACTTCTTCAACCACCACCATGTGGACTTCAACACCATTGCTCATGTAGGTTGTCGTCATTGTAGTTTGAGCATCCGAGATCGGACTAGCCATGGGAGTAATGACGTTGGAAGTAGTTGGGGAGGTGGATGCTGTAGGTCCTGGTGTCGGATTCGCAGGTGTAGGAGAGACTGTGCTGTTCGCAACTTGCGACGCAGGTGAGGCAGCTCCCGGCATTGTAGCAGGCTCCGGTCCGTACTGAATTTGTATGCCGCCCGGTAGTTCCCGGATGTAGTCGATACGCTCATGTTGAATCGCTTCTGGCATCTCAAGCTTGCATTGTGTAGCATCAGCTGGACTCTGCAGGTTGAACATTGGACAATCCTCCTGCAGACCACTGCTGGTAGGGTTTGTGCAGGCAGTGTTGTTGATGGCTTGTTGCAGAACACCTTCGTCCCACCCGCAGATGAAATCACCATGGTAGCCAAATCCAGTGGGATCGCCATTTGAGAAGACAAATTGTCCTTCAAGACCTTTCAACAAGTTCGTCTGGTAGATGGTCTCGTAGAAGAGAACAGGCAGTCGAACAGGATAGCCCTCTGGGCATTCTCCATATTTGATTTCATACGGATATGCAATGTGTGTTGTGTGATTTTGACTGTCCAAATCTTGGCCATTCCAGCAGGATGGGAACATCAACTCAGCGCGGATACCATCTGTGCAAGTTTCGTCAAGATAGGTTTTGTTTCGCAGGTAATGATATTCCATAGCGCCTTCATTTGGAGAATTGGCGTAGTGTAGGCAATTGAAGCCAACCGCTTTTTCCATCAAGGATTGTTGAGTGCGGTCAGTGTCTTGCCAGTGTGCCATTGGTGGGTCAGGCTGCGGTCCGTAGAAAGCACGCTTGGGCGACATGCCGGCGACCATGCGAAAGTTTTGGGGGAATGCGGTAACCTCTTGACCATAGCCTGCGCCTGGGCCTTCGGTGAAATAGTACCTGTAGTGGTGTCAGAAAATGTGAAGGATGCCAGACAAAGTGAGGCACTTACACAGTCATTCCGCCAGAAGTTGGAACCATTTGAAGAGTGCCGTTGGAATGTTGGAAGTACATGCGAGGAGCCCAGTATGCCGAATGGTCTTGAGTGATGGAGCAGCTGGTACAGTTGGATGCCAAAAGTTCCTCGATGGAAGAGTCAAGTCCGAGATCTGCGTTCCAATGTTAGAAAATGGCCTCGTTTTCTCAATCAGTGACGAACTCACTGGAGGCGCCAAAAGTGACGTGAAGATGCTGGGAAGGCAAACCGGGCGACATGATGGGATCGATGCGGCCGTTCGCGAGTTCGCCAAAGCAGAGGTGACGGAAGAAGGCTTGAGCAGGAAGGACGTAGAGGAGGATCGCGACAAAAGTCATGACCGGCATGGTGGGATTGGTTTTGAGTGCGGCCATAGCGTTCGTCCTGTCGCCCGACAGTATACTGTAGGCCCTTTGTGTTGGTCTATCTTACTGGTATCGTCCTGCGACAGAGGTTTCTTGGTGGTTCTTGATGAATTTGAAGAGATTGGATATCCAGATCGACTGAATGAAAAGGTGTGACAATTGTAATGAGCGAGGGAAAGGAAGGCAGAGGTGTTATGTATGGCTGGATTAAGGAGTGGACTGGGTTGATAAAGACTGAGGAAGCGGTGCGCGTGTGGTGAGGTTGGTCGGATGGAAGAAAACAACTTCTGAGAACTGTCGCGAATTCAGTATCAAGGGTGTTGTCCAGGATGTTGCGCGTACTTACCGCTTAATCTGGGAGCTGCGACTGTATCACTTGGGTTGTTGCGTTCTTGACTGTTGGTCCGGTACAATCTTCTCTCTCTCACTTGCTCTTGACGCCGCACTTCGCACAGTCTTTCTTACAGTGACAAGGCTCGTTTGCAGCATGTGAGGCCTCGCTTCGGACCTTGATCCCGCCTAAACCGAAGGAAGATTCTTCTCTTCACACCGCGTCAATCAATCAATAAGTCTGCAATCTGAGGTGACTTTGTCTGGGTCTCGATATCGGAAGGAGTGTACCAGCCAGCTCGCTTGTTGCAAAAACAGGGCGTTATCGAAGATCCTGCAGGAAATGCATCTGGCACATACGAATAAAGGTCGAACACACTGATGCGCAGACTGGCGACACATGGCAAGACGAGTTGCTAAATTAAATCCCACAAAGCATCATAAAGGAATCGCAGCAGACAATGAAGAACGATACTCAACGCACAAAGATCCACAACGTCTCCTCTGCTCATCTTACACCTGTGGTCTTTTGTTTGCACTCTGTCCCATCAATGGACCTTGCCATGACCAGGCTCAGATCCTGCAGCCATTGCTGGAACCATGGTTGAGCGACCGGATGAAATCTCAATTCCTGCTGGAGGCCTTCTGTGCTCTTCCTCAAGCGAGTCTCCAGAAATATGTCCTGCCTGGAGATGTCAAAACCTTTCTTTGTCGTTGCACGTGTGGCATGGCCTTTCTTTGTCATCATTCCTGCATCTTGCCGTCCACTAATCTCCTTCAGCTGTCCAGGCTCCTGTCGCAGACGGACAAGCACAATCGATTGGTGCACCATCCGCCAGATGACCTCTCACGGTCGATCAAACTGCTTCATTGAGGACCCTCTGTAGATAGCTGAAAGCAGGGAGCTGCATGGGAGCAGCAAATGAGACTGTCCTTTGTACGACGCTGTGCTTTTCCCGCCAGCCAGTCGGATATGCCCAAACAGGGGCTTGCGAGCCGCCTTGCAAATCATGAGGACAAGCAAATCGCTTCCGGATGTTCTGGAGCTTAGGGTCCGGAAATATCTGCAGCAGACGTCGCATTCAGGCGTTGGGAAGGGAGAGATGTTGTCAGGAATTGAGGCAGCCGATTTATTACACCCCTTGGGTGCCCATTGGGTGCCCCTTAACAAAGGACGGCGCTGGCCGACCATTCATGCAGGGGTTGCAGCGCTTACCGATCTGCTCAGGGCTGGGGAGGCTCATACGTCAACCCCATCAGATTTTTATCAGTCCGCCGCTGACCAAAGCTTGCCAGACGGGGAAACGGCAACCCGACTCGGAGAACGTTTACTCCATGTAGGTGGACGCCCGCATTCCTATGAATTTGGGACCACATGTTCTTGACGACCATATTACCAGGCTATGCGCCTTGTTGATGAGGACTTCCTTCGAGGTTTGGGACGTGTGGCCGAGACGCGACACCACTTAGCTTAAGCGTTGCCTTGCCACGGTTCGGGATACCGCGATCTCAGCCCAACGATCAAACTTTTCCACCAAACCAACCACATTTTCTTTTAGATCCGCATATATCATAGGGGGACAATTGTTATGAATGAAGAGCACTAGATCATAGCACGGCTAGGACATTGCACGATCTCCTTCAGACAAGGAAGGGTTTTCCGACAATGAGCAAATATGGACAATGAAGTATCCAGTCTTGAGAAAAGAGGTATAGCATACTATCTCGAGATCTGGCCCTTTACGCTCAGCTGACCTCGGCGTTTAGCTATGACCAACATGGACGAGACGCACGTTCCCGAGGCTCGGGTTCTGATCATCATGACCGGCGGAACAATCTGTATGCAAAAGTCTGCAGATGGACTGATTCCAGCGCGAAATTTCCTAGAGCGATGCATGGCTCCTCGTCCCGAGTTCAACGACGGCAAGACCCATGAGCCGATCGAAGTAGCGTTACACGATGGACCCGACGGTGTGGCCTTGTCGCAAAGTTTAGAAACGCCTACGAGTGTCTACGGGAAACGCGTTAGGTCGGTCCCTCTTTTGCTGCAGATTGCATTGTCGCCCAAGGATTTCCACTTCCGGCCTGCTAAAGAGTGCAAGTGCTGACTCTTGCTTCCAGGTATGCGGTCTTGGAATTTGAAGAGCTTCTTGATTCCTCTTCCATCGACAGCCGGGGATGGTCTCAAATTGCCCAAACCATTTATCGCAACTATAAACTGTTCGATGGGTTTGTCGTGCTTCACGGCACGGACAGCTTAGCCTACACCTGTTCAGCTTTGAGCTTCATGCTGCAGCACTTGGGCAAGCCCGTCATACTCACTGGATCCCAAGTCCCCTTTGCCGAACGCAAGAACGATGCCCTGGATAATCTGCTGGACGCCCTTGACGTGGCAGCTCATTTCATGATTCCCGAAGTATGCCTGTGTTTCAACTCGACCTTGTTCCGCGGCAACCGAACGACGAAGATATCGGCCAGCTCGTTCGACGCCTTTGCCTCGCCCAACCTCCCCCCACTAGCTAGAATTACCGCCGTCGACACCGCTGTGTCATGGAACATGGTGACCAGGCCGACTTCACTCCAAGCATTCAGCATCCAGACGGACCTCGAGATTCATCACGTGGCCTGTTTGCGCATTTTTCCCGGCATCACCGCGAAAATGGTAGATGCTGTACTTCGTACTGAAAACCTCCGTGGTCTAGTCCTTGAGACGTTTGGCACTGGCAATGCCCCGAGTGGCCACGATAACAGACTCTTGCGAGTCATTGCAGACGCTGTCGAGCGAGGTGTTGTCATCGTCAACATCACCCAGTGCTTGACTGGAAGCGTCAGCCCACTTTATGCACCAGGAATGGTCCTCGGGCGTGTCGGCGTGGTGGCGGGAGGTGACATGACCAGTGAAGCCGCATTGACAAAGCTGTCATATCTTCTAGCTTTGCCAGGTGCAACACCCGAATCAGTGGCCAGAGACATGGCGACTTCCATTCGCGGCGAGCTGACTGAGAGTTCACGAACGATCTTCAGTCATCCAACGGGCGAGTTATCGTCGCCGGTTACCCAACTGACGGCTATTGCTTACGCCGTTGCCAGCGGGGATATCGACAAGGTTAAGGATGTGCTTCGGAGCGATAGTCAGCTCATGAATCGTCCCGACTACACTGGAAACACGCCTGTACATCTGGCGGCAACTGGTCCGAGCCTTGCCATCCTCCGGTATCTGTTAGGAATGGGTGCGTCAGTGCATATCCGCAACAACACCAGCAGAACGCCACTTTTTCTGGCAGCCAATGCTGGCTTGGTACCCCATGTGATGCTCCTCCGGCAGGCGGGCGGACATCTCCACCAGGAAGAGCTCCCTACGGCTAGACTGCATGCGAGCCAGAGACCAGAAGTGTGGAAGGTCGCCGGCCTCGGAATCACCCAGCGGTCAGAAGACAAGTGACGTGGATGTCTCAAATTGGAAGCTGGACAGGCGAGGGACCCAGGATACCTCGACGGGATACCAGACATTTCAGCACATGGGCTTCAGCATACAGGCTCAGATGTGGGCATCGACACCAAACTACCACGCACCGCCGCCAGGAATACCATTGGCCGACGTTATTGCATCAAGCAATAAATTCCTTGCAGTTGTGCCTCGTGGCTTCGGCAGCGGAATGTGGTGGTGGAGGTGAGGACCTTGAGCAATCCAATGGTCTGAATCGCCTTCACCACGCGGCCTATGATACCACTGAAACCACAATGTCTATGGGGCCGCGGAGGTGCCCGTACAGAGATCGGCCCTGCCTGGATTGGACGCCTGTGGTGTTGGATGCGTACCCTTTGCGCGCGGTGCGCGCCCTTGGTCCTCGAATTACTTGTATCACTCTACATGACACTGAGACTACTGGACCCTTGCACCCAACCTTGTGTGATCTATCCCGCCACGGCCGCCCGTCGTACTGTTTGAATATTAGAGTCATCATTGACTGCATCAACGGTCATTTGGATGAGGCGCCACTGACGACGATTCCAGATGCTCCCTGGGCCAGTAGTCTAAGCCTAGGGAGGCAGGAACCATACCCAAGGCGACTGGGCTCCCTGGGCTCCCACTGCTTCTTTAGGCTCCCCGCCTTTCAATCAATCACCCCCCGCATTCACCAATGTTCCGACGGAGCCTGGGTTGCAATATGCCGCATTCGGCAGTCATCTATCGTCATTCCCTACTTGCGTTCACGTTGCACAAGTCCGCCAACGAATGTCATTTACTTCGAGGCACCTCTAACGGGTGTCGGAGTAAGAATTCCCTGGTTTGCGTGGATACAGGCGCTTCGGGGGTGCGTGCTGAGGATGGCCCTAGCACCCGGCCGGTACTCGTACCAGCCGTCGACTGCTGGTTACGTAAAGAATAAGCTGCATCAGGTTTGGCGGTGCTGGAGGTCTGAAAAACTCATCGCAGAATTTGCGCAGCCAAGGGTCACTGATGGGACCGAATTACGGCACAGAATCCAGTCCTCACCGTGGTACTCTCTTGCCATTTGTGGTCGCATGATTTTTCGGTGTGCACTCAGCCCGTCAATAACATGGATGGTTCCAATCTTTAGGTATTCGACCACGATGGCGCGATATCTTTCTCATTTGGCTCTTCGATTCTGTCATTTCTTCTAACCTCTGCTGATCTTCCTGGAGAGCCGGTTCAATATCCATTGCTCTTGCACAGTCGGCATTCATCGTGGTGCTCTACACAGTAATCTTGAAGCACTGTGTTTTCTCGCACGTTGGGCCTCAGGGATATATCGTCTATATAAGTTCACGAGGCTCCTTGTCACCACATGACCACTACAAAAAAGACCATTGCCATTGTTAATGGTACTGGTCGCCAGGCGGCTTCGCTGATCCGCGCTGTAGCAGCCGTTGGTTATGCTGTCCGAGCCCAGGTATACTCGTCCGAAGGCTTGGTAGCCGAGGAGCTGGCAGAGTTACCAAATGTCACACTGTTCGAAGGGTCCTTGCTGGATAATCCAGTCTTGGTGGACACGATCTTTCAAGGCGCCCAAGTAGCCTTTATAAACACCAACCCTCTGGCTGGCGATGAGATCAAAATCGGAAAGGCGCTTGCCAATGCGGCCAAAAAGAGGAACATACAGCACTTCATCTACAGCAGCATGCCGGACCATTCAATACACAACCCACTATGGCCTTCGCTTCCCCTGTGGGCTTGCAAATTTACCGTGGAGAACTATATCCGACAACTGGGACTGCCTGCCACTTTTGTCTATGCCGGAATCTACTACAACAATTTCACCAGTCTTCCCTATCCACTCTTCTGTACCGAATTCAGAAACGATGGGACGGTAGAATGGCGCGCACCGTTTCACCCAGACACCAAACTCCCGTGGCTGGATGTGGAGCACGATTTTGGTCCAGCAGTGCTACAGATCATCAAGGATGGACCGAACAGATGGGGGAAGGGACAAAAGTAAGTAAAACACCATCTGCGCTTTCTTCCTCCAAGAAAGCCTGTTCTTTTGAAAGGACACTCGTTTCGAGTGATCTAGCCTGTCGGTATCAGCCAAGGACAACATCAAGAGACCGTGACAAGTCTACAGCGGATGGAAGCTGATTTATCGACACATCTAGGGTCGCACTCGCTTTCGAGAACCTCACGCCAATGCAAGTCTGTGACGCGTTCACTCGAGCACTAAAGCTACCATGCTATTATGTGTACGACCAGCAAATCGAAGTCAAAGTCAGTGTGCCACCTGGTTATCGACAGCAACTGTCGGGGCTCGAAGTGCTCTTTGGCCAGTACAACGCGCCATATTTCCCAGGGCCTGACTTTCAGTACACTGGACGAAGGAAAGGCAGCAACGACACCATCACTGGTCGCAACAGCCAGGACTCACAGCGCGGGAAGCCAGGAAAGCTAACAGACTCGGCTCGCGCGCTTTGGCCCGGCTGGCGCTCGATATCCGAATACTTTGCGACCGCCTTCCTGGTGGAGGAGGAAGCCAACGGCAAGACTTGGATGGTGGATAAGACTCAAAGCACATGATGCTCTCTTCATGCATGACTACGACTTTACGATCTCTTATCTTTGCATTGCAACACGGTATGGTTTGCGGGTTGCCCACACTGCATGGCGTTCTTTCTGGGGGGAACTAGCATAGTATGGACATGGAAAAGCGATCCGGAGGAGCATACTAGGTAGTGATCATCGAGGAATGGGCGTCTTTCGCGGGGAAAGCATCAGCAAGCGAGAGCGGCGTTGTCCTGGGAGCCTCTGAAAAGGACTACGGATGAGATGACTTGGAAGCTATCTCCATGCGCGGCTGGCATATGCGAGTTCCGAAGGGCCGCAAAGATAAGGATGGGCACGTATCAGATTCATAATAATATCATCAAAATGGATCAAGAGGCTTGGATCTAGTTTCACCGCCATGAAGATGGCTGGGTGTCGCATAAGGCCTTGGATTTGATGCGAGATAGCGCTGTTCCCCGCAATATCGGTGACTGCCAGGTGATCTGACATGTGTCTTAACTCTTCGGTGTTTGCTTAGAGCTCGAGGGAGCTATCCGACCTGCCTAAATGGGGGCCACCAGTGGGCACAGCAGGCTCACAAGTGTCCCCTCCGACGGTCACGAGAGCAAATTCCTGGGGGCCCGCAAGCCGAAACCGGAGACCACAGACGAGACAACCCTCGTACATGTACATAGATCGAAAGAGGCGCAATGGAGGCCCTAGAGGCGATGCTTTATCGTCATGTACGACTGTGGAGGATCTCGATCTCCTTAGAGTTGAGAGCCGAGGGAATAAATACCGTACATACCTTAGTATGAGGGATGATCCTGGTCACCAGCGAGGATCATTAATGTACTGTCGTCCTCCAAGACGCCTCCAGGCCGAGGATATATCAAGGTTGGGATCTACACTGTCAAGATTATGCCTTCCTTACATTTATCTGTGATCTCCCAACTCAATACTCCGTACATGTAGTAATGATCAGGATCGCAGCCTTTCCGGCGGATGGCGGATGGCAGATGGGCGTGTACTGGCGACTCCCAGGCACTATACTGTGTAACAGGGTCACCTAATGCCACCGTGTCGGCGCCTGAGACGTCCTCGTCGACGATGCCATTATCACACAACTCTCCACGACCTCCAGATGATGTTCTCAGAGATGCAGACTTGTGAGGTTGTGAGTCCCATATCATCACAGACAAAGGCGCCTCATGCAGTTGAGCTGCTTACGCAAGACTCTCGAAGCCCTCGAGGGCCTCTGTGGATGCTGCCAAGGCTGGTTGACATTTTTCGAGCTTCTCAACATTGGGATTCATCACCCTTACCTACCTGAAGGTTGGCAAATATCACAAATCCAGGGAGGAGTTGCGCTTGCATGCTGTGTCTTCTGTCCCCGGCATAACGGTACTGACTGAACTTGTGAATGTCGATACTCCTTGGTTGATCAAACAGTCCTGTTGAAACCTGTGTCCGTCCCTATTTTCAACACTGCGCAAGAGTGGGGGGGTTATCAAGTTGACACTTTTCAAAGTTTCTCAATCCGAGGTTTCATTTTCATCAGGAAGGAGCTGCAGCTCAGCAACTTTCTCAGGCGAAGGGAAGACACCAGGTCTAGTATCATACGAGTGTGCTGAGGAGCAAGTTCGTTTTCTCTCCGGAAAATGTCAGCAAAAGACGCGGCGACGCCGCGGGTCTTCCTCATACGCCATGGTGAGCCTCCATCTTGGCCGAAGAATCACTTCGCTACCCTCCCCATTGCAGGCGGTGGAATGCTTTTCGACGTTGAATTTTGTATCCAAAATCAGAGTCCTCATGTGTCACTCTGAGAGTCACGGCCACCCCCTACTTACTACTTGACCGCTCCCCTACTTACTACTTGACCTTGCTAACTGAATCTCCTGCAGGCGAAACCGAGTGGTCCAAGAACGGTCGCTACACCGGCGTCACAGACCTCGCCTTGCTACCTGAAGGCGAAGACAAAGTCCGACAGACCGCCTCCGTGACATTCGGCCCAGGCCGTCTGATAGACCCTTCCAAGCTGGGCCTCATCATCTGCAGTCCTCGAAAACGTGCACAACAGACACTGAAGCTCTTCCTCGACCGGATGACATCGACACCCGACGCCGACGCTGGCCGTGTCAAGAGGACAGACCTTGAGTCGAAGACCATCACGACCGAAGACCTAGCGGAATGGGGCTATGGCGATTACGAGGGCCTGCTGACCGATCAGATCCGCGAGCTCCGCCGGTCGCGCGGTCTTGACGCGGCTCGACCGTGGAACGTCATGCGCGATGGCTGCGATGGGCCTGGAGGCGAGTCGCCGGCCGAGGTGATGCAGCGTCTCGACCGGATCATTTCGCGAATCACGTCGCTGCACCAAACCGCGCTGGCAAATGCAAATGGTCAGGCGTGTGACATCGTGCTGTTCGGACACGGGCATATCTTCAGAGCATTCGTCAAGCGCTGGCTGGGGTTCAGCATCGACGCCCCGGTCAAGCTGGATTTCCAGTTCGAGCCCGGAAGCGTGTGCGGCTTGAGCTACGCGAACCGCGACGTCACGGACCGCGTTCTGCTTGCTGGGATGAAACTTCCTGTGCCGCCGACGTCGGCAGAGTAGGACTCGTGATTGGATTGGATTGGATTTTTACTGTAGCACATACAGTACAATACAGTCCTCCGGCTACCTAGGTACCATACCTTTACCCAAACACCACCACCGAAATGAAGTTCATGGGCCTAAAACCCCGACGACAGGATCTGGAGGGCGACTCGATAAGACCTCGCGGACCTCCCCCACTGCCATGTCCATGCTTATTGTGCATACACGAGGTCAGGCACACTTCCTTTTGGCTTGCGGTCTTCCGCCTCTGCTCGTGGAAAAGTTCCTTTGTCGATTCTGGTCCGGCCTGCGACGACCTTACACCCAATGCAGGTCTATCCTATCCTATCCTATCCTATCCTATCCCTGGTTCAACGTGTGCACAGCCAGGAGCGCGCCGCGACTGACAAGAATGCAAGGATGCAAGGATGAGGAGTCTCTCTGGGACGAGCCTTTCGTTCCGATGACACCAGGAAATAAGTGCTAGTATCCATACGGAGATTGGCTTTTCTGAAATGGATTTGGGTCAAGCTTTGTAGGCCAGTTGGGCGGCAAGACAGGTCTCGGCCAGGTGTGAAAGGGTAGCCACTGGCCTAGTGAGCCTTAGCAGCTAGCATTGAGGGCGCTGATGGCAGTACAGCATGACACCGCGGCATGCGGCGGCTGTGACTGGGGGGAACTGAGATTCAAGTTGCGGCCCAAGAGGAGAGGACGCCGTGAACATCCTTCTTCAGCGCATGAATCGCGGAATGAGGTTTGTGCAAGATACGATCTGAGATACACCAGTTCAACATTCGACTCGTGTTTGTCCGTACCAAGGCATGTTTTATGCAATTCTTTTCACCCCCGTAGACTTTGTTAACCTTTCTTATTGGCTGTGTAGTCCCTATGTACATATAACTGTATCACCCTGACATGTGCTGCGAGACTGGATGTGCCATCTTTCAATTGTGAGTTGAGAGTAGTGTTGCTTTCACTGGCCTATCCCTCGATACCCAGCGCTTTGGCGGCAGCAGCGCGTCTCCTGGCGCTGTGCAATGCTCTGCGCATCCTCAGGTTCCCGTGCTCGCTCGCGGCAGCAGCAAGATCTCTCTTCTTCTCCTGCGTGATGAAGAAGCTGGGCTGACCGAAATCCGGTGTGCCGCCTAATGTCGCGAAGATATCGCCAGCGTAGTTCGTGGGCTTGAGGCCCTTTTCGAACGTGCTGTCCCAGCCATCGAGGACGCCCATGACGACCTTGATCCCGGCGCGGTAGATGTTTGTTATGGCCGGCGGGAAACCTCCTTGATTGACGTACAGGAGGTTCTGGATCTCGCTGACGCCCGGAGGAGGGCGATCGAAGTCGGAAGCGGTGCGCATGACCATGACTCGGGAATAGTCTGTCAGGTTCATCTTGGCCGCGCGCATGATGGCTTCGAGAGTGGCGTTGTCTTCTTGCGCTGTGGTGCAGTACACGCCACTCCCGTTGGTCCAGATGTGCGTCGTGTTCTCAAAGGCCTCGGACAGGTGGGTGCCGGAGTAGTACACATCCGAGGTGGCCACGTCGCAGCCCAGGACGCTGGGTGCCTGGGAACCGGCGGTGTATGCGGCTTCCAGGGCGTATTTGGCGCGATAAGCTTGAGCGGCCGCGGTGTCGTTCAGCACGGCCGAGGAAGCCAAGCCGATCGCGACATCTCGAAGGGCCAGGTTCGTCTCGAAGACTTCGGTCCCGTAGATCTCGGCGGGGTACTCGGCTGGGTCGTCCACGTTGAATGGGATGTAGCCCGTGGTGAAGTTGTCGGGAAGGTCGCGATAGTCAAATTCGTACTGCAGCGCCACCTGCACGGCATACCGGGCGAAGGTGACGGAAGCCAGTGTGGCGACTTTGGGGTTGACGCCAGCAATACCGGCCACCATGAAGTAGGATTTGGTGAGGTCAAACTTGGAGCTCAAGACCAAAGCAGACATCGTCGAGGCGGCGTTGATCTCGCTTTCCCCCGTGATGACCTGGCACACATCGCCGTCGGCGGTGCAGTGTACCTCGGGGAACAAGGGTGACAGGCCGGGCAAAGTGATGTTCTGAGCGAGCAGGTCGAATTCATCTATGCCCCACCATACAGCCGCTTCGGGCTCGAACATGCTGATGATCACAAACTTGGGCGCGATGACACCATCACGCTTCGACGCCCCATTCCTTTCCCTCAATGGTGTTGCTGTGCTGATCAGAGGAAAGGTCGTTGCTGCAAGCAGCAGACTTGACAGCTTGTGAGTCCGCATGGCGATGTTGTAGCAATGGCAGGCGCTTCAAACTTGTTCTCACTGTTTGATCACACGAGCAAGAAGGAAGACTATGACATTGCGCGCCGCAGTTTGGGATGAGCCTACCATTTAAGCCAGCATTCGTCTGCGACCTTTGTAGTTCGCTAGGCTCTCCACGCTTTTTTCCAAAGCTACCATGCAACTCCAGAAGCTCGTTTCCTGTTCTTCTGCAAGGTCTGTGCATCAAGACTCTACCCGACCCCATCGGCGTGACCCGAAGGACCACAACAAACACATTTTGGCCATTGGGAATGGTTTGGCTCAGGTCCCGATTGACGGTACCTTGCTTTGATAGCCGAGTCGACGAGTCAAAGAAGCGAAAGGACGATGGTTATTGGAGCTTCACAGCTTCAACTGTCGTTATCTCTACACCAGTGGCGATCCACACTGGGGGTAACTCACGGTAGTACATACCTAAAGGATGGGACAAAAGAAGGATGCGGATCTGCAGTAGTTGCGCAGAGATCCCACGTTGTTATCTCTGACAAGGCTAACACCTGGCCGAATGAGGTATGTTCAGGCCCCAATGGGCCCAGCTAGCTTCCGACCATTGTGCAATGGGTCCGGCACGAATCAAGACTGACGGCTCCGTTAGTCCTGAACATGGTGGTAGCTGCTCATAATAAGTAGGCAAAGGATCCTCCGTACAGAAGTGCACAATCCACGCCAATAAATGGTGTAGACTTGGACTTGAGTGCAGCTGATATTTCCAGGCAGTTGTGCCCCAGAATGCAGCATCTGTAAACATCGGTTTCATGCTTTGATGAGTAGCTTGAAAGAAGACAAACCCTCACAAAGTGTGGTTGATTGACGTGATTGATCCAGTGAAAGAAGCTTGGAAAAGCTCGTCGGTACCTGCGGAGAGAAAGGCTTGGCCCATGCACGATGATGCGCCCATGTCAGTCAAGTTGGACTCGTAGCCGAACGAGAGTCTCGCTTATCACTGCCACTGTTTGCTTCAGCGAGATCAAGATGCCAACGTCGGCTACGGGCAAGATCAAACATTATCGATTCCCAACGACTTTTAGCTCCAAGTGCCACCTTTGCCGAATGCGCCGACATTATATATAAAATACATCAACCATGCGGAAAGCAGGAACATGCTTTCCGTCCGGCTGGCGGAAATCAACCTCAACCCTTGCTGAAACGCCTTGAATCTGGATTCCCTTTTGCTTGCTGTCACCCTGTTGTTTTCTGAGACTGGTTCATGATTGCCTTCCTCCCTCTCATCCCCAGAGCTTTTACTCAAACATCCACCTTTATCGGGTGGGTCAACTCGTGATTCTGGTGGTCTCGAACTTGAACTGCGCGACAAGATGCTTTAAAATCGGAGGGCTTGCGTTCAGCTTCAATTACATTCGCTGCTTGGGCGCCGGAGCAAGAGACGCCTCTGCAATCTTCCCGCGGCAGCGGAAGAGAGTGAGACGCCTATTTGCCCCGGATAAGGTGCAGTACACAGCAGACAGACTTACTCTTCAGCATCGCTCTTGACGTTGGGTGTATCACTCGCTCCACTGTTCAGGCTCTCGACGCCCAAGTTTGTGTCAACGGTCTCGGTCGAGTCGCCGCCTCGCTCAATCGCGCTGAAGCCACCGCCGTTCGCTTGCCTGCCTCGATTGGAGCTGGTGTCTCTCGCGTCGGGAATGCTGCGCTCTTCAATGTGCCACTGTTGGATGGCTCGGATGATGTCCACTGCCAACTGTCCGTTGCGCTGCAGTGCCTTGGCCCAGTGTGCTGGAATCTTGTCGCTGGTGGTCAATTGACGAGCCACTGATGATACCATCATCTCGCGCATTTCATTATCTTCATCCGTCTCCGAGTAGATGAATTGCACCCTTCGGAGGCCAGGGTAAGTGGAAGTGTTGTGGTAGAAGTCCCTGACAACCTCTACGACGTCGGTCCCGAGTTTCTTCATCTCGAATTTCTCGGAGAGCAGGTAGAGTTCAAGAAGGGGACCAATGTCTTTCTCGGTCTTTGGTGGACGTATAGATTTCGAGTACAGCCACCCCACAAGGAGCTCGAACGGGTAGTCGTCCTCATCCGGGAGACCGTATGACTTGTTTCCGCGGGTCTTCTTCTCTTCATTCTTGTCGTCGGCATAAAAGATGGATGCGAAGTAGGGCGAATGGTAGCAGAGAAGTCTTTCGTGGATAGTCCAATGCGTGGACTCGGGACCAACGTATATGTCTACGACCGAGGAGGTGAGGAGCCTTGACTGGTTAGCGAGGCAATTGCGAACAATTCGACGAACTTCCACTTACTCATGAAGAGGCTTTTCCTTCTTCTGCTCCTGGTTCTGAACGGGTTCGTTTTCCATGGCTCAAAGCGGCTTGCGTCGGGATCGGCGCAAATGGTGGTTCCGATGTAGCGCAGTGGTGAAATCTGTCGAACGTACCAAGACGGTGGGTGCGCGACAACGACACAGCAACAGCAAACGGATAATCAGCCTGAAGAAGAGAAAAGAAGACGAGAACGTCGATATAAAAGGGAAACGGACGTCACGAAAGAGCGAGCGACAGGCAGGAAGGGAAGATGGCTGGCGAGTTGAGCATCCTCATTGACCCTTGTACCTTGTCACAGTGATATTTCGACCAGCGAGGAGGAAAAGACGTCAGAGTCAAGCCACATTGGGGCCTCGTCTGAGCGACTGGCGCTGGCGATGACGATCGTAAGTGGACGAAAGACCATCATCGTGGGGATAAGCGGCATGGTCGAGCCAGGATCGAGTAATGATCGAGCAAGGATACGAGGTCGACAAGGACCAGGAAAAGCGGAGGAAGTTCAGAAATGCAGCAATGCGAATGCGACAAAAACCGGTTTTGTGGCGCAGGAAAAACAAAAGCCATCATGGAGCTATCACGTGAGGAGTCCATAGATTTATTCTGCAGAGTATGAGATCCATTAACGCAGCTTATATGGCGGATCATTATACTGTCTGACGATTGTCCCAAAACATGTCAGCGCCTGTACACGATATACTTTCTTTCTCTAATCTATCTCGTCGGGTTTGTCGATTCTACCTACTAACTCGTTACAAATGAGTTTCGACCTCCAGGGGACTACGATCCACGCTCGCGCTGGTGTCAAAGTCAGCGTAGTTGCGCGCGGCAGCCTCGCTTGCCAGTTTCCGATATCCAGGAGCCGGGCCTTGATATCGGAATATCTAGATATCGTTCGATCGCGCTCCAAAGACATGAAGCATAATTGTAGCACTCAGAGTCTACCAGAGAGCTACTTGTGCTCACCATGCGATGTGTCGTCTTTGCCCATTTGGTGCATCACAAACAGCCCCAATAAGTTGATCGTCAACTCGAGGAACCGAAAATGCTCGGGCAAATGATATATAATATGTTGGAGGATAAAAGCTGTAGTAGCCAGGTCGATCTTACCAATATGCTCGAGATGGTAAGTCAGATAACGTCCGATGGACAAGGACCAACAGCAGCTCCGAGGGTCCTCTATTTCTTGCCTCTGGCCTTGCCTTTCGTCTTTTCGCCCTCTTCTTTGGCAAAGCCTCCTGAGACCAGCGCCTCCCGGGCCACAGAGTTGATCAATCTGAATCGATCAGGGCCCAGCTTGACTCCTCCATACCATCGGGTGACGACGACAATCACATTCCAGACATCCATCAACTGCATGAGATGGAGCAGTCTTCCTCCTGCCGCCGACTCACCATCATCGTCAGAATCCTGGATAGTAGTTGCCGTCCCTGTCTGCGCATTTGTGGTCTTTATTCTCCAGGCTGTAATGTTATGAGTTGCCGCGGCAACCTTCTTGTTCGTTGACAGCAAATGGGAAACAGAGTCCATAGCCTCAGGCAACGTCGATACATGGCATGCTCGGGCGATAAAGGTTGATTTGTTGAAAGTCAACGGCTCTGAAAGAGCCCAGGGAGGCGGAGCAATATTTGATGAGGCTGCGTCTGAAATCAGGTCGTGCTCAACGCGTTCAGGTATGATAGGTGAGGCGGACCTATGCGCAACATCTGCGGTGTGATCTTGAGCCGTGCCATAATGGTGCTTTGTATGCTGTTGCTGGAGAAGAGGCCCTGCTTCTTCTACCAGATCGAACAGACACACCTGACCGGGTATCCAAACTCTTCCTAGCACGTCGCGTAGAACGCTTACGGCCACTTCTCCTTCACCTCTTCCACTATCGCCGGTCGACTGCGTGCCAGTGATCGTAGGAGGAGCATTAGTAGGATAGTCGGACGGGAATGAGACGAGGAATGAGAAGGGCAGATCGGGCAGTCGAAGGGCTGCTGTGACTTCTGTGGAGGATACACCCTGCAGAATAAGAGTGTCTGGACTGTAGATCGAATTCAAGGCCTCGAGCTCGTCAGCAAGAGCCGCATTAGAGGTCACCTTCTCATCTTGAGACATGAATGGTTTGGACATTGAAGAGAAAGATGTGGACTCGGCGTCTGCAGCCAACGCTCGGCTGACCTGCCGCAATCAGTGCCCAATGGCTAAGCCCACTAGCCTTCACTAGCCTTCACTAGCCCCTGATTCCTTCACTAACTTGGCCTTTTCTCGCCTTCAGATATCAAGAGAACTTGTATTGTCTCCCGACTGTGCGGCCGTCCGGGTAGATTGGCCGTGACTGGCCCAATTCCGTCACAGCTTCTTCATGGGGGATGATTGCGTTCCCGATCCTGACATCAAGAACCGAGACATCGAGGCTTGCGCGTGCAGGCTCTAGGAGCACAACAGGCATATGCTCTGGAGACCAAACTTCCGCTGCAATCAGACCGGCAAAGTCGTTATAGGCGGCAAAGCATGACCCATTCTTGGAAAGGTAAATCTTGACACTCGCTCGAAATCCGGTGCTTTCTCGTCCGCCCATACGCCAACCGATCTGTGGCCGACAGGGAATCTTCCATACCCGAGGTTGTCGATGATCACATGCTTGTCTTCCCAGCTGAGGATGTCTCTCCATATTTCGCCAGCATGCTTCTGCCCGACGAACATTCGTTTTGACCGTCGGTCCCAACTATTCGTCATCACGACTGCAAGCCCGGCGCCGTTTGACTTGGACTTGTGGCCCAGCCTCGTCCACCCTATGCAGTCTTCCGAATCAAGGTAATCTCTTTGCTGGCCGTAGGCAAAAAGTTTCCTTGCAGCGATTAGTCTAGCCAGCTTCCCACCGCACGCAGGGAGTCGAGGTCGTGGCCCATGATTGCCAAAGACATCGCCCCAGAAAACACAGGGAATTCCCCTTTCACGAAGAAGGATGAGAGCGTATGCTAAAGGGATGAACCACTCTTCCACCGGAGCCGCTAGCGATCGAGTCTCTTGGGTGTCGTGATTGCCCACGAAAGTCTGCAGCACACGCAGCAAGTTGAGTCAGCCAGCCTATATATGATGTCCCATCTCGAAGACCGAAAACTTACCACTGCATGCTTTGGAACTCTCTGGACCAACGAGCCATCAAGCACAGCTTTTAGATCCCATTTTCTGCCCTTGGAGAAATCGCTGAAATTGTACACCAGCTGAACATCGAAGAGATTCATCCGCCCGTGGAACTGTTGTATGACCTTCTCTAATGCTGCGGTATTGGCATCCCAGTACTCCCCAACGAAGAACAAGCTTTTGCCCTTTGGCGCGTTCGTGTCGATATGGCGGATGAGGTCGCGAAGAAAAGCAAGGGAATAATGCTTGATCGCGTCCAAGCGCATACCACCGAGTTCCAGACTCGAAGTGATCCAGGAACTCCAGTTGAAGATGTCCGTCCGCACAGCAGGATGTGAATGGTCGATATCCGCAAACATCCTGTGGCATAGTCTCAAGTCAGCACTGCGCCCTTCCGTCCCATGGGCATTCAAAGGAGCCACAAGCCTTCGATTCCCGAGCGCAAATCGAGAGCATTCTTACAGATAATCATAATTTCCCAACTCCTTGCTCACATCATGAGCCCAATCGCTGCGTTTCCCATCGCCAACGAACTTGAATACCCCATGGTCCTTCTTCCGTGAATCATAATCAACACCAGTGAAGTGCGTCCAATTCCATTCCATGTCGGAGTATCTCGTGCCTCGGCCCGGAAATGTGAACTTGGTCCACGTCTCCAGCTCGTACGGCTTCGACACATGCTTTGTCCGGTCTGCTCTAAGATCAATTTCGAACTGCTCACGCGGTTGAGGGTACAGGACGTACCATGTGGGTCGACCTTAACACCCCAACTCGGCTCCTTCGCGTCGGCGGCAGCCTTGTGGTTCAACACTGCATCCCACAGCACGCCGATGCCGTAGGATCTGGCAGTTTCGCATAGCGCTAGAAGTTGGTCTTTGCTACCCCATTTTGTCCGCGACGAATTGCCATCACTTTTGGCGTCGAATTCGCCCAGATCCCACAGGTCGTAGATTGCGTATCCGTTGTCATGCACGGATTGGGCCTTGCAGCCTGGTGGGAGCCAGATGTGCGTGATCCCCAGGGCTGCGAAGTGCGGTATCAGCGTCGCAAGGAGCGTATAATGGCTCGATCTTGTCTCGGATGGGTTGTCCGATGGCCCCGGGAGATACCATTCGAAGGCTTGGAAGATGGTAGGGTTCTCCGACATGGCTTCTGGATTTCCTGAAAACCTCAGCTTGCGTTGTTTGCATTGAATCAACTAAGGGATATGAGAGGCAAAGCATTGGAATGGGGCTCTGCAATGGGTCTTTGATGGCTTCTGAAACCGTTCCTTCGTGACACGGGGAATTCTTGCCTTCTGCTGCATTGATCCGACCACTGCCACTAAAGGTTCTGGCAAGATAGCTGAGTCGTTGCATTCCGCAAGTTCGATGAGATCCCTAAGGAATGTGCACTGAGGATCGCGTGCCAGCTGCGCCCAGATACCCTTGTGGCTTGAAGACCTCGGCGCCGTCTGAAGTGCAGGCCGCAATTCCGTGTGAGAAGCCAGCCCCGTCATCGATGTCGAGTGCAGATCACTGGGGTTCTTCACCTGCAGACTGAGGCTTTGGATGCAGTGCAGTGATCAAGGAGCGAGAAGAGAAGATTAAATGTCAGTACATGGTTGAGATTTGGAAGAAACGATGATGGACAAGACTCCATGACGAGGGTGAGACAAAGAGATGGTGATCGCCGTCATCGCCAATCAGAAGTAATGAAATAGCACGAGGCTACGAGCACCTGGGTGACGAGGCTGCGTCAACAGCATCTGGGCTCCCCTCCCTGAAGAGGAGGCCCTGCTACCACACAAACTGTCGCCACTGCTGTTTGTCGTCGAATGGCATCTCAGCGCCAACTTACACGATTTACCCATCAGACCGTCGTAGAAGTGTGGCTCCGGTGGCTGCTACAGGTGCCATGATGTGGCCATTGGTAGACGATCTCGCCTAAAGCCGACATCCGAGGCCGAGAGATACGGGTATGACATCGCAAAGACTCTTCGCCTCCAAGGCGCCCAGCAGGCTTCCTCGAGAGTGGTAGCTTCGTGTGGTGTTGTCAGCCGAACTAACGAACGAGGCGCACATGTGCTTATCTACGTCATCTGATTGAATTGATTCGACGTATCGACTTGAGACGTCGACGGTCTTCTGTGGAATGGAAAAAAATGGACATCGTCCTGATCCCGTGTGGTGCTTACCACTGTACTGAGCCATAATGGCCGCAACAATCACCGCCACCCGACGTGTCCTTGTGGTAGGCGGAGGTATGTTCTTGAAAACGGTGTATGAGTGCCAGTCCTGAGAGACCATGCAGGAAATTGTGGACTGGCACTTGCTTTAGGCCTGCAAAAGGTCTGTTCTCGACCAAGAAACGTCAGAGACAGTTGCAGCATCAGGTTAATCGCGAGCTCATTAGGCTAGGATTCCATACACACTCTTCGAGCGAGATGGCGAAGGAGACTTCCTGAACCGATCCAGAGACTGGGGTGAGCCAAGGAGCACATAAGCGCCCATGACCACAGTCATTGACTCAAAGACCAGACATGCTCCTACACTGGGGCGACGAGTATCTGCGAAAGTTGATACCAAAGCGGCTTCACGGGCGCTTGAACGAGGCCACAGTTGATCCGGACTACAACTTCAAGTCCAACGAAAGACTCCCGCAGCTCGACGCTGATACCGGTGAAATCATGCGCTACGTAGAGATGCCACTCCTTACTCGCATGTCCAGGAAGAGGTTGCGCATGTTCTTGATCAGGGAACAAAACCTCAATATCAAGGTAGAAATGGGCAGAAAGATCGCTCCACTGGGCACACTAGCCGTGCTTTTCCACTGACCTCGACTGACCAGTTCGGCAAACGCGTGACAAGAGCCGACCTCGATTCAACTGATGAAGTCTCCCTCGACTTCGAGGACGGCTCACGAGTGCAAGGCGCCTGCATTATCGGTTGTGACGGATCGAGATCTCGAATGCGAGACTTTCTTTGCGGAGCGAAAGCGAAACCGGAACAGGTGGACCTTACCATGATCAACCATGTCGCCAGGTATCCAGCCAAGGTAGCGAAGACGATACGAATGCAGATGCATCACCCGATTGTCCAGCTCGGGTTTTCCAAAGAACAAGTAGCAACGCTTCTGGCAGGTATGTTGTCTCAATGTCCATTTGAGCCCGAGCCATTGTTGACTATCAGCAACTATAGTTGTCGATGCTTCAGACAGAGATCATCCCGAGAATTGGCAATTCCAGACATGCCTCGGATGGTGGGGCCCTCCGTATGCTGATTTTTCTAGCAGATTCTCAAGAACGTTTGAGGTACTACAGAGAAAGAGCTTCCAAACTTTGCGAACCATATCGTACCGCAGCGCTAGCGTTAACAGACAACGAGCTGCTCCCAGTCGACCGGGAACAGCAATGGTCACCGTTTCCATGGGACAACAGAGGAGGCAAAGTTACTCTCGCAGGAGATGCTGACATTCGATGCTTCCTCGTAAGTCCCGAGCTCGAGCGTGTTCGTCGAGTATAAACTGCTGATTCTAACACACACCACCCTAGATCGCGGCCAGGGACTAAAAAATGCTGTCAAGGATGCCAGTGAGCTTGTTGATGCTCTGACAGCGGTATACAAGGGTCAGAAATGCTTGGAAGAAGCGATAGCCAGCTACGAGGCCGAGATGATCCCTCGGGGCGCCAACGAGATTCGGCTGACGCAGCTGGTAGCAGAGAAGAGAAGAGACATGAAGAACAATGATCCCATGATACTGAAGGGTCTGCAGAAAGCGGAATAGGTGAGAACTGCGAACGTTGATAGATACGTATTTATCGACACCCAGTCCAAGACTGTCCAGATACTCGCGAGACTCTACATTACACATTCGTTACCACCATTTTCCTTTCGATAGCATCGCAGATGACTGTTGCAGTTGCTTCAGGCTCACTGACATTAGGACAATGGCCGGTTTCGAGACAGAACAAGTCGAGCTCCCTGGCTTCTTTCTTCAAGAAGTCGATTCTTCCTTGCTGGAACTCTGGCGGCAGTACTTTGTCACCCGCACAGAAAATGTACGACACTGGTATTTGCCGGTAGGCATCGAACACAGCCTTGCCGGCATAGCAAACTCTAGACTGCAGCGACTGTCGGCCTTGCCATGCGAGTGCTTCTTCTAGCGGCAGGTCGGAGAATATCACTTGTGCACCCTTCGGGCCAGCAATTTGGCCTAAGTATTCCCCTTTCTGCCAGGTGCATCATTAGCAGGTGTGATTGTTTCGCCAATGGCCTACACGAACATACCTCGCCCACAGCCTCCATGAAATCTTTAAAATCCAGGTGGGCCGTAAGTTCACCCGCAGTCTGACCCACGCCGGCCACGATGCAGGTCAGGTAGATTATTCGTACGACACCTCCTGCAAGACCCTGCGAGACTCGATCCGTTTTGGCCAGTCCCTGGACTGCATCTGTGGCGACCATGCCACCATAAGAATGGGCGACGACAACCACGTCCCTGCCGGCATTGACCAGAGCCTCGATCTTGTCGTGAAAGAACTTGGCGTCTTCTGCCAACGTTGCCGGCTCCTGAGGAGGCTCTCGGCTGGCCGTCAGCAAGTCGTAAGTGTGTGCGTCGTAACCATTCGAGATAAGTTGTTGGACTAGGCCGTTGTAGAACACCACTCGACAAGCGGCGCCTGGAACCACGATGATAGTCGGATTGGACGCCGCACTCGAACGCTTCTGAGCCATCTCTGGGAGAGTCGGAGGGACAAGGGTTTATGCTGTGGTCTCGACAATTTCCTAAATTTGGTGGTTTCCAGGTGGCTCGCACAGATGAAGTACTTGAAGTTATGGCTGGGCAACCGGACAACACGATGTGTAAACTTCTGCGCGAGCAAACCTTTTATCCTTCCTTGTGTCTTGACTTCCAAAGGGATATTTGTAAGCACAACATTGATTAATGCACTGTGCAGCACCTTGGACGAGTCAATGTCAGAATCAATGTCATAAATTAGGATGAGGAGGGTGGGATGTTCGGCCCTTGCCGTGCTTTGTTTCTCTAGAACACCCGTAACAAACCCAGATTGTACGGACTTGATGACCAATTTGCCATTGGAACCAATAGACCACCCCATATTCTAGTAGTATATACATATATCTAAGCATTACGCTGGTACCAGGCTTTGCCGCCTCCTTGTTCCCTACCACACCCGGGAGACAATTCGTCTAGCCAGTTTCAGTATTGGCCGTTATCATCATAATATTGGTTATCGTCGGGTTGCTGGTCATTTCCTTGCTGTTCTTCATGCCCGCTCCACGGGTCATGCCCACCCTGGTCTCCGTCGTGCTGAGCCATTTCGTGCTGGAGGCCATCTAATTTTGATCCATGATGGTCATGGGGCCGGCTCTGCTCATGGACTTCCTCAAGATAGGAAAGGAGCTTGACCACACGGTCCATGAATCCCTCTACGACGTGCCACACTTCCGGGTCGTGCAATCCTTCCATTTGTTCGTCCTGTATCATGTCCATGATGGCTCGCTCCGCATCGTGAGCATGCTGGGTGATTTCCTTTTCGGCTTGACCATCTCCCCGGTCATATCCGCCGTGACCGCCGTCTTCATCCTGTCCATCATCTTCATAGTAGGCGTTTGCGTCTTGCCCATCCTGTCCATCCTGACAGTCTCCTCCATTGTAGTCGTAATCGTGGTCCATATCGGTTGAACCGTGAGTGGAAACCTGAGAATGATTGTATTTTGAATGCACTAGCAGGGGAAAGTTGAATGTTGTTGGCTTGTTATTGTATCAGGGAAATATCTGGTACTTGCGTGCAGCAACGGACGAGCACCTGTTTGAAAAGAAAGATACGGACTATATAGTGCTTTGGCGCCGTTTCTTCTCTGTCTAGCACGCAAAGTCAGAATGACAATAGATATTGGCCCCCTAGGTCGAGACAACTCGAGCTGCATGTGGAAGGCCTGACAATGCCCTAAATAAGGCCGAAGCTGTGAGAGCGTTAATACATGTGTGGTCACATTGATTAGAGGCACTGCAAGATAGATAGCATGCTGTTCAAGCTACACTTGTCCCGAGTTGGCATCGGGAGCGGGCCATATAGATAAAAAGAAAGCATGAATGGCAGATGAAGAAGCGATACGCCCGCCCCTGTACGGAGGCTAAAAACAAAATGCTACTTTATACCTTCAACAAAGACCCTTAGCCTACCATTGGCTAAGGGACCATCATGGGCTATCTCGCCTCCATCGACGAGATCTGATAGTGCTGACCTCCGCCAATTGAGACGGCCAAGTGGCTCCCTCGGCTCATTTTGGGCACAATCGAAAGTGTTGGCCCCGCCCGGATCTGGTCAAGGCATCCGGAGCCCTCTGGTACTAATAGAAGCACTATAACACCACGTCCGCCTAACAACGTGGGACTATGTATACCACTGCGCCAATACTCGTCTATTTATACTGTATGGGGACGTGTACATCCCTGTGTCCTAGTAAGGAAGCAGTTACACGACAGTTAATATAGGTCGAACAGAAGGCTAGAGCTGCGAGATGGATTTCCTATTCGAACGCCAGTTGCATGATTTCCGGCCGGCTGGTGGCATCAAGGCCTAATCCAGACAACTGGCATGCATGCGACAGTACGGCCCCCAAAGCCAAAGATGTTTGGGTACCCGTCATTTTCGATATCGTATCGTTATGGCCCACGGCCTCGTTCAACGTCTATATAAGATATAGTCCTGATGTGCTTGCAAAAGCTCACGACGCGAATCGGGAAATCTCGACACAACTGACGTATTATTTGCTTCTAATACCCTGCACTCCAGAAACAGGTCTAGGAGTGCCAGTTCTTTTTGCTCAGTATAGGGGGCATTGTCCAATTTAATCAACATGTCGTTTCCGGGAGCAGCCACGAATATGATGCAATCACAAGGTCGGCCGACGTCGGTCCATTCGACGCCTGGCAGAACGACAGGAGGGCAACGTACAAGCGAATCTGCATCTTCAATACACAGCGGGCGAACCGCGCCTCCGGGAATGAATGTACCAGCGCCTCCAGGACCGCCAGCAACGGGTCCACCACCTCCTCCATCATCAGAGCCTCCCCGTACTCCATCATTAGAACCACCCCCTACCCCTTCGGTTGTCGTGCACCCTCCTCCACCGGTAGAGACTTCTGCCGCTCAACCCTCTCCTCCTTCTCCACCATCTCCCGCACCCTATGCTGGCGGGACAGGGAAAGCGCCTGCAACACATTCACCCACGCCCACTGTGTCATCAGGACATACTCCTCCAATTCAGGATCAAGACAACGCCTTCCCGATGACGCCGACCCAGTCTGGTGTACAACAAAGCTACATGCCGCATCACCCAGCATACCAGGCTGGGGAGTCATCAACCGGCGCATATGGAACTTTCCCGCGCCCTCCTTCCAGCGATCACAACGGCCCTCTACCATACAGGCCGGCCAACACCCCAGACGTCCTCGGCTCCGCACCGCCTGTCAGACCCCCTCCGCCCAACCCTCATGCCTCCAATACGCTATGGAGTCGCATATCGGGACGCAATGCAACTCCCATCCCGACTCCACCGCCTGTGGGTGAAAGCGACGCCGATCGAGCCGAGCGATTTCAAAACGACAACATCGAACAGACAAAGAGAAACCACGCACAAGGCCAAACAGGCCTGTATGCGAGCACGGTCTTGGGGTTCGGACTGTTGGGTAAAATGATTCCCGTCAACAATGCGCCATGGGTCCCGACGGGCGGGACGATGGCAGTGCAACCAAACATGACCACAGGGGTACCAATGTCATCATACACCGGCCAGCCAACAAGTGCTGGAGGTCTCCCAGTGATGCCGAGACGATTTAACCCCAACGGGGCTTCCGACTACGACTACACGGCCAACATGTTGCCCGACTATCTGAGACCGACTCAAACCACGGATCCGAACGGCCTGACTCCAGAAGAATTGGCACAGCTTGGTCAACCTAAAGGTCAATTGCTCACCTTCCCGCCACTCGGACAGACCCAGACTCAAAACCAGCAGACCCCAACTCCAGGCCAGCAGCCTACGAGACCAAAGCGCTTCAATGCACGCGAACCGCCGGCACCACCCGCACAAGGTAGTATCGACGATGTGGATCGATTGAAGATGCGGTGAAACGGAGTGCTAAAGGGCCTGGAGGACTGACTGTACCGTAAAGACTGCATATGGTTCAGGACTCACATGGCTTGGGTATCATGAATAACGTGGCGCTGCTTGAGGGCAGAGTAGACTGGCTTTTGGTAGTGGGATGATGTGAAAAGGCGCATCTCGATGGATTCGAGACCAATTAAGCCCCTTATGTATAGCGGTTAATGTGACTAGATTCGAACATTTCAGGAGTTAGGTTGATAGAATAGAAAGATGCGAAGACTTGTGGTCGATTCCCAAAATGCAAACGGCTAAGGTCGTCCGTTGGGGATGCAAATTTCGCACGAGATCATCCAGAAAAGCTACCGGGTGGACTAGTTTTACCTGATTGCCGCTCTTGCGGCTGGCTGCTCAGAATCCCAAGCCTTTTTCAAGCGATCGCAAGCGGTTACGGATACGTGAGAGAACCAAGACGTATCCGGCAAGGCTGTAGAACTCCCCTGTAGACCGCGATGAATGCTCAAACTCCCGGCTATGCAGCTCCGGTATTACAAGCCTGAAGGCCTACTTAGTACTTAGGATGTGGACTTGATTGGATAACGTCCGAGAACCTTCAGATTACAAACTTTCCCTCCACCTGCTTGGAGAGCGTCTCCGTACACAATTTCCAGACCCCAAATCAGGAACTCATACTAGTATAACACTGCGGACATCTGCAGAGTTGTTCCATGACTCGACGCCAATACTCGCTTCGGCAAGGCTCCCCCGATTTAGAACTGGTACTTGAACGTAGGAGCACGGTCAGTGAACTCCTCCGGTGGCACAACAACACCCTGATCCCGAGCCTTTGCCTTCTCAGCTTCTCTTCTCTTGTAGAGCACCCTGATGATGTTGAAGATGATGAACGCGAAGGCAAGACTGCCCAGGGACCACGAATGACCGAGCACATATCTCGGAGCATCGGTCGAAGCGTAGATTTGCCCGGAGATGATACCCCCCAGGTTGGTAAGGGTCAATTGTGTACCTAGGGAAGATGCACTGTTAGCTGAGGTGTCTTCCCAAATGCCGTCAAGGCAGGTTGATGAAGTACTTACCAAGACTGGCTGCTCTCTTCCCATCCGGAGCCACGTTTCCGGACAGCCATGCAATGTTCCCGCCCGTGCAGAGGAAGCAGGCTGTGGCGATGAGGAAAGTCGCGAAATACTGGACGCCCGCTGACACATCGTCCTGTCTGAGTAGGATAGCATAGCCAGCGATGCCGATGGGAGCACACACAACCATGACCCAGAAGCGTTTGTGGTACCTGTCCGAGATGACGGCCCCGATGGCATAGACAATAGCACCCCAGACGTTGGGAGGGATGACAAGGTATTGAGCTTGTTTGGTCGAGTAATGGAATCCGTTCTTGATGATAAGCGGCAAGAATGTACCGAAACCGTAAAGAATGGTGACGACGGCAATCTGGCTGACACCGTGAAGCCAGGTCTTGACGTCCCCAAAGGCAAGCTTGACATCCTTCCACTTGTAATGGCCGTCGCCGCCGCTGTAGGACTCGGACAACTCGGCACGAATGGCCATGATCTTCTTATCCTCGTCGTTGAGGAAGTAGGCAGTCTGATAATTCTTCGGGATGAGGAAAACGCACATCGCAGCCCAGATCAAGGTGATAAGTCCTTCCAGAATGTAGAGCCACCTCCAGCCTGGATAGCCGGCGACCCCATCCATATACAAGATTCCGAACGCAATCAATCCACCGAAAGCACCCGACAAGGCTGAAGCAACTGCATGACGTTAGCAAGAGAGGCTGTTGTCGCCCGGGCACAAATGGCATTTACTGAAGAGATAGGATATTCTTTGTGCCAACTCTTCACGACGGTACCAATTGGCAAGGAGTAATGTCATCGAAGGGAAAAGGCACCTTCAGGCAAACGTTAGTTGTTGGTTCGATAATTGGTAGTCGTTTGACGTACCCTTCGAACCAGCCGAGAATAAGTCTGGTCACACATAGGCCGGCGAAATTGTGTATGAATCCGCAGCACATGCAGACCAATCCCCAGCAAAAGATGATGACCGGAATGACTCTGTGGAACTGGAGACGCTTGACGTAAAAAGACGTTGGAAATTCCGCCAACACGTAGGTGACATAGAAAATGGAAACAGCAGTCTGCGGTTGATCTTGTTAGAGATAGCACTTGTTCTGGAGTCCCACCACTCACATTGAGCTGATTGCCGGTCAATCCAATTTCCTCTGACATGCCTTGAGTCGCTGCGAAGCCGATGTTGCCTCGGTCGAGATAGCTGATCAACATGCACAGCATCATGACAGGAGCGATGTACCAGTCGAGTTTGCGCCTCAAAGCAGCCTCCTTCTGCTGAAAGTCGGCGGCCATGGCGGATCGGCCGTCTTCAACGTACTCCTCGACCTCAGCCTTATACTTCATTTCATCAACAGCTTGATTTGCCATACTGGCTGTTTCTTGGCGATGTCCGTCCATCCTCACAAGGTTGAAATTGATACTCCGGGCCCAACACAGGACGGGGAGTGTGATGAAACCCCTGTTATAGGTTTGTACGCCGAGATTGGGGTACAGATACAAGGATGACAACCACGTGGAGATTCCCCCAGAAGTCTGATTTCCATCCGGCTAGCAAGGGGAGCAGAAGACGGACATCAGTTGATGAAAGGTGGACAGAGATCAGACAACATCAAGTCCAAGTGCTGATACAGTAGGTATGTGATCAGGCGAAACTCCGGTGCCATTGGGGATATGAGAGGGTCGTCGACGATCCATCATAGCCTTTCGACCTTTGTTAGGCCAAGGGCCGCAGGATCTGTGGCTGCATCACCCCCAGTGCTCATTGGTCAATGATATGGGGGAAGCCATGATCGTGGATTGATCGTCCTCTGAAGAGGCATGGTGGCTAGACAAGCTTGTTGGCATTCCTTGTTCGGCATTTGCGCAAGAGTGAATGGGGCATGGCCGTTGCCCAGACTCATGGGTCCATTAGCACCAAGGTAACGGTAATGATGGTTGGTAGACGGTGTGCACACGATGGGTACTGTCCCATTGGCGGAGATTGGGGTATCTCCAATGCTTTTTCTGTGGATAGTCGACCCATTGTATTGGGGAGAGCTTGATTAACTAAGCGACAAGTCAAGCAGCCAGACTCAGAATCATGGCTCTCTGATTCAATGGAGATTGATACTCGTATACGGTCGTAGACATCATCCACGAGCATCGACCAGGAGAGGATTGGCAGCCTTACACTCATGTGTATGGAAGTGGCGCCTGTTCCGTCGTCTGCCGTTCAGTCCGAAGTCGTCTCTCAGCCTCGTCATTGCTTCCCCAATTCTTGTGCTAGGATCGGTGCTGCAACGTTGGATGTGTGCAAACTCAGCTGCGTCGCAATCTCCAATACCTCCATGATCTCTTCGGGTGTACCGCCGTACTTGAGAACGTTCTTCATATGCAATTTCAGGCCTGGGACGTAGAGATGGGTGGCGGCAGCATCAAAAGCACAGTAGACCAGTTCTTTGACCTGCCTTTTGTTAGCTGATGTCCTCAACAACTTACCCAGCGGAACAGCTGACCTTTGGCTCTAAGACACCGCCTCCCTTGCCCGATCCATCAACATCCTTGAGCCAAGGAACAGATGAGAAATCGAGGTACGCCTTGAAAAATTCGGGGTCCAGGGAGAGAAAGTCTTCCCAAAAGGTATGCCAGTAACCTCTGTTCTTGGTAAATTCGGCCTTGAGTTTCTCTCTTTCCGCATCGTACGGTTTCCCCATTGTTGGATGCTTGTCATAAATGCCCTCCTCTTTCATAACTTCTACAAGTAACGGCACACCAATGTTGCACGCATGGATGCCGAGCGTGCCGGTCAACTCGATCACTTCTATGACTTCTGCAGGCGTTGCACCCTCTTTGAGTGCGGCCTTGATATGTTCTTGAATGCCAGGGACGTAGAGGTGGGTCGAAGCAGCATCGACTGCTATGGACATGAGCTGCTGAATCTTAGGGGACAGATGTCGCTTCTTCCGAGGAACGGCTATAAGCTTGACACTCGCATCGAAGAGCTCGGGACTCAGTTGTGCAATGCTCTCCCATGTCTCGTCCCATGGCCCTTCCCCTAACTGCGACACGAACTCCTTCTTGAATTCGGCGGGTGATTTTGAAGGTGGCATTTTGGCTGGTCCTTACGACAGATTTGTCTTCGACAGGGGTCTAGTTATGTCCGCTAGGTTATATCTCTTTTGTCAAACAAAACTACGGGAGTTCTCGCCGCAATGTTAACTTGCGTTGGAGAAGGAGAGTCAACACCTAGGCTAGGACCTTTGCCTTCATTATTGGCCTGACAGGCACCGGCATGGGTAAATGCGGGGTGGGATTCAATTTCCCTTTCTAGGCTCATCACGCCTTGGAACGACCTCCACAATGACCTTGACAGATGGGGTTCTTTCAATGTGGGAGTCCATGAGCATGTCGACGCCAAATCTCGACATGAAGGGTATCGTTTCAGCTCTAGGTCTGACCATCTGACTATATACGGTGACCGGCCGTTGCTGTGCCCTATCACAGGCCTATGATGGAATGCAACAAGGAAAGGAAATCATCCTCCAAAAGGAGCCCACAGACCATAGCGCGCCAACCCCCCTGGACAATGTATGCAAATCCGGCGGAATCTTCATGCCTGAGGTTGTCCAAAGAACCGTGATTGATTCTGCACGTTCTCTTCCCACTCAATGTCATGAGCGAAAATAACTTCGACGCCGTTTGACTCTAACTCTTGGATTCTTTCAATGGTCTGCTCAGCCAACTTCTTGTCGGCATGAATGCAGCATATATGCCCATGGTCGTCCAGCCACTCTCCTATGGCCCTCTCTTTCCGCATAATTCTTCGGTCGTGACAGGCATCTCCTGCCAGATAGACGCTGCTCAAGGGGCCGGTTTTCGCGAGGAGGTTGATATGGCCTGGCAAATGGCCTGGAGCGTCGACGACATACAGACTGCCATCATGGAACAGGTCAAGGACACGTGGTAGGTTGCAGTAAGGTTTCCACTCTTGCTGGAAGTCAGGGCCGTTTGTAGACTCCTGCGATTTCTTCGCCTCCTCATCAACCTCCTCATACGGGTTTGACAGCTGAATTGTTCTGTCTGCTGGTAATAAGTCGGCCTCAAAATATGAGTGACCTCCTCGCAGCGATCCTCCGCCCTGGAGTAGGGCTTGTGCTCCGTTTCCAATCACAAATGTACTCTTGGGGAAGTCTCGAGGCTCTCCGACGTGGTCCCAGTGAACCTGCACGTTACTGTCAGAGCTGAGTGTCGAAGTGGTGGCAATCCAACTTACATGGGAGTATATCACGTAGTCAATGTCTTCCGGATTGAGTCCACCCGCAGCTAGGCTTGCCGTGACGTCTGGAAGGGTAGACAAGGGCTGTCTTGTATCTATGTGTTTCTGAATGGGCTCGATATAGCGTTTTGGATCTCGTCGAAGGCCTAGGTCAAAGACTATCCGGGTCTTTTGGCTGGTCTCTGCATCTTGATGCACTATCAAGAACGACAGAGACGGGACTGTCTTGCGCGCAGTCTCAGAAGCTGGATCGACAAAGAAGCGCTCGGGCAAGGTCAAGTGGCCGGCTTGAAGGGCGTATACTTCAACGACGGCCTCGGATGCGCTCTCAGGGGGCGACGGAGGTGCCTTGTTCGAATAGACGGCAGGCATCACGTCGTCCAGGGTCGCGTAGAGAGGTGAGTATTGTACAATCTCGGCCTGCTTCAAGACATTTCAAGGCCTAGCAGATCCATCCCAAGCAAGAACGGTCCCACTTTACCGCAATCGAAACTTTGGGATAGTTGGGGTAAGGGTCCTACTTAGGCACTGAAGTACTGTGCTCGTAGAGTCGTGAGTCTGGCTTCCCCAAGCGCTCCGATTGCTGGGTTCTGTGCTTGACAGGGGTCCTTAACAGCTAGACTCCTAGAGGGTGAGTACCTGACTCGAATGCAGCCACAAGGTCTGTAGTTCCCTAGCATGGCCGCCTATCTTGCCGTGACACGAGGGAAGAGTAGATCGGATGCAGAGAAGTCTTGGTGGATGAGAATGGTCCGTAGTACGTATAGCTTCATCATTGATACCGGCACCAAACCAGTGAATATCAGGGTAACCCATCCACCTGAGTCTTTTGCTTGCAAGTGGCGAGTCAGACACTCCCGCTGATTATTAATAGTCGGCGTAGACTTCAGTGTAACGTACAGTAAATCTCTAGAAGATATGGAGTAGAAGGAGCAAGTTTTGTCTAGGTATACCACATATACCTCGGTTATGGGCCACTGGGCCAAGATGCTGCCTACGTCTCTCGATGTCGGTGCATTCTGCAGCCAAACAAGCCTAAGAAGACCCCTGTACGCCCCGCAACATGGAACAGCCAATGCCTAACGAGGCCTGGTGGCCGGAGAAGAACGCCCTGTGATCGAAACTGGCCCCGAGGGCCGAGCTCCCTGCATCCTCATTCCACGTTTATCCTTCGACACCATCCCCAGAGATTTCCCCAGAGTTCCATCTCCATCTCGGATGAGGTCGATTTCATCAAGACGCGTTGCGGCAGAAGTCCCAATACTCCACATTGAGAATCACGCAGCCCGTCTCATCCCACATGATTGAGGAAATTGCCAGCGTGGAGCTGAACGGCCAGAATCGAATCGAGAGTCAAGGCCAGGACCAGGATCAGGACGTGGAACCGCCCCCAAAGAAGCCCAAACGATTCCAATGTCACCATTGCCAAAGATTCTTCGCTCGCTTGGAGCACCTTCAACGTCATGAGAGAACGCGTATGGTAGACTTCAAGAATTGAAGCGACTTGTTGCTCACGCGGTACCAGATACTCGAGAAAAGCCCTTCGCCTGCATGCAATGCGACAGCAAATTCACCAGGAGGTAATACATGACGGGCCGAACGGAGTTGATAGATACAACTAACAAAGTCTCAGTGATCTTCTTGTTCGCCATGAAAGACTGAGTCATGATGCAGAGCGATGGGGCAGGAATGGACGAGGAGAAAACCGTGGTAGTGGCAACGGCGCACAGTCGACTTCGTCGCAAAGGCCTCAAGATGCGAATCTCAACACATCGCTCGATAGGACAAACGCATCCAACTTGACCTCTCCCGCGTTCTCGACGTCTCAGAGCCTCATGAATACAAACTTCTTGTCATCCAACACCACTCAAACGACGGCAGCAACCCCAAACAATCATGATCTGTCCTTCGCCACACTCCTCATGGCAGCCGAGCATGCCCAGCCCCAAAACACTCAGTCGCATGCTCATGCTCCCCTCCAGCAACCGAATCACCTCTCAAGCTCCATGTTCTCGGTACAAGACCCGTTCATGACTGATCCGGCCGCGCAATCGTCCATGGAGGGTTCGACGGGTCAGCTAAACGCCCTCGGGGGAATGGGTCTCGGCGGGTTTGACTTTGAAGACTCACTCCAGGATTTGGCAAACTTCATGGACAACGGCGCACTATCATCGTACCACTTCTCCTCCATGATCAGCGCGGAACAACCAATACCCTTTTTCTCCCCAGAGTCGTTGACGCAAGCAGCGGATGTGTTTCCAACAACTGAGCCACGGCCAGTCACCCAACCTGCTCACAACGCGGGCCAACAAGAAGATTCAAGCTCATTCTCTCGGTTTGGATCACGACTGCCGTCCCTTCAACCGGAAGAAAGCCCGGCGGCACCGCAGAACGAACAGGACACTCCGCAGCGGCCCTTACACGACCTCAATTTGGACGACAGGCAGAACGTCGCGGTCAAATTGGCGGAGTTTTCGCATGCTGTCCCCAGCAGCTTTCAACTTCCTTCACGGCTGGCGCTGTCGCGGTATCTGGCCGGCTACGTCAATGGCTTTCACGAGCATCTACCATTCTTACATATACACAGCATCTCGGTCAACAACTGCTCGATAGAGCTCATCCTTGCCATGGCAGCTGTCGGAGCTCAATATTGCTTCGAAGGCCAGAAGGGAGTGGAATTGTTCCACGTCAGCCAGGGCATTGCAATGCAACGAATCCGCCAGCGTGACGCCAGGTTGGCTACATCGCACCGTTCCACTGAAACTCCGTCCTCGGTATATTCATCATCAGGGCAGAGGAAGAACAGCGAGATTTTCCACGTCGAAGAAACCCCCAGAAGTGGCTCGTTGTCCGGATGCCTTGGGCTCCCATCCCAACCTGAAGACTCGACGACGGAAAAAGAAGACCTGATGCAAACCGCTCAAGCATTGCTTCTCCTCATGGCAATGGCGACCTGGGCCAAGCATCGAGAGATTCTCCGCGAAGCCCTCGCCATCCAGAGTGTCCTCGCGACACTTGTGCGGGACGACGGGTTCAAAAGCCCACCAATGTCGGAAAACATCAGCTGGTCAGACTGGATCCGACGCGAAACCAACAAGCGAACCAAGCTCATAGTGTTCTGCTTCTTCAACTTCCACACCATCGTCTACAACATCCCATCTCTGATCCTGGCCTCGGAACTCGACCTCCCTCTCCCTTGCAACGCGTCCGAATTCAAAGCACCAACCGCGGCCAAATGGAAAGAAGTGCATTCTCGCACACCACCCGAGGTCGGCTTACAGACCGCACTGCACCGGCTCTTCTCCCGCACAAGCAACGACGTCAAGACCTACAACTCCTCCCTAGGCAACTACGTGCTTGTCCACGCCATCCTCCAACACATCTTCTTCGTCCGGCACACCTCGCGCTACCGACTCGACCACGACAACGAGCTCCGGTCCGACGACGTCGCGGCCATCGAGCAAGCCCTCCGAAACTGGCAACTGGCCTGGAAACGCAACCCGGAATCGTCCCTGGATCCCATGAACCCCAACGGTCCCGTGACATTTAACTCGACGGCGCTTCTCCGTCTCGCGTACATCAGATTGAACGTCGACCTAGGCCCCGGTCGGGCCCTGGACACGCGCGACCCCGTCCAGATCGCCAACGCCTTCCGCGACAGCCCGTCGGTCAAACGCACGCCGAAACTCGTGCGCGCGGTGCTGCACTCGGCGCACGCGCTCAGCATCCCCGTCAAGATCGGCATCCACCTGGTCGCCCAGACGCAGACCTTCATGTGGTCCATCCAGCACTCGCTGTGTACGCTGGAGTGCGCCTTCCTGCTGAGCAAGTGGCTGGAAGCCCTGAGTCTGCCGAACTCCGGCCCGACCATCACCAACGACGAGCAGAAGATCGCGACCCTGGTCAAGACCATGCTGGACGAGACCGAGTTTGCCATGCCCGTCGACGTGCCGATGGATTCGCCCGCGGCCATGAAGTACCTCAGCGCGGGCGTGTTGAGGGTTTGGGCGCAAGTTTTCCGTGGCGCCCAGACTTGGGCGATTGTCGATGTCATTGGCACGAGTCTGAATATCTATGCTGATATGCTTGAGGCCGGTTGAGCTTCTCTTCGTTCGGAAGGTGAATGGTTTTTGCCTACCTAGTAGCTAGGAAAGGACCATATGGGCTCATTGTCAAGCTGGCAGCGGCGTCGGCCCAAAGCGAGGTCATGAGTTGTGTGTTGCTCTACCCTCTACGAGTACTCGATCGATTTTGCCTTTTCCGGCATGTATTCAGTCTGGTGCAACCAAGCACCTACCAGGCGTACCTATGATACCCAAATAATACGTTACTTAACGCCCCCCCCGAAAGAAGTCCTTCTGAAACGAAGCAAGACCAGATCCACACCACATACGATAGGCTGACTGTTTGCCTATAACCTCTGTAGCTCATGGTCGTAGAACTGATACTAGTGCTAGTACTAGTATTAGACATCTTTTGATTTTTCACCTTCTCTACCCACTGCTACTGGTAGTCGTAGTGTTTATTTATTCCCCTCCGGGTGCCCTCTACCGCCCCTGGTCATTCAACCATTTATACACGACGCGTGCATCCTTGCCCTTATACCTTTCGTCGCTCATGGCCTCCTCGAACGCCCCCAGCGTCGGCTTATCCAGCACGGTCCTTGCGCCGACCATTTCGGCCAAACTGCTGCCCATCTCCAGCACATGTTTACACAGCTCGATCCTGAAGCCGCCCTCGTAGCCGCGACTCGCCGGCGCATTCGCGTGGATCCCGGGCACCGGGTTACTCTGGCTGGTGACCCAGCACTGCCCGCCACTCACATTGATCACGTCGGTCAACAACTTGAGATCCAAGCCCATCTTGGCGCCGATGTTCAGCGCCTCACTGGCCGCCAGCGATGTGATGGCCGAAAGATAGTTGTTAATCACTTTAAACGCCGTGCCCGCGCCGACATCGCCGCAGTGAAAGATGCTGTCCTTCTTGCCCATGTGCTGCAGATAGCTCTTGGCATGCTCAAAGGGCTCCTTGGCCGTCGCGCCGACCATGAACGTCAGCGTGCCGGCCTCGGCGCCCATCGGTCCTCCCGACACGGGGGCATCCACAAAGTCCAGCCTCGCGTCGCCCGAGGACCCGGGTTGGAGTTGGCTTGCGGCGTCCTTGGTCGCCTGCGCGACTTTCAGGATCGTCGCGGTCTCGATCGTCCCGCATTCCATGATCAATTTCCTTTGCGGGTTCGATTTGCTGGCCTCGATCGCCCCTGGGATGATGCCCGTCGACGGGTCGAGGTAGACTTTCTCGACCGCGCTGGCCGTCGGCAGCATCGTGATGACCGTGTTGGCCCGGGACACGGCCTCGCGGCCGTTCGAAATCACCTCGACGGGGCCCTGGCCGGACATCTGGGACTGGAACTTCTGGATCAGCGCGCTCGACACGTCGCAGATCAGAAGAGTGTAGGACGAGTCGAGTTTCGCGCGCAGGTTGACCGCCATCGAATAACCCATGACGCCGATGCCTGTATTTCGTTGTCAGCATGGTAATGGCCTCCTTTTTTTTGGTAGTGTAACGAGATGAAGCAGCAACCAACGCAGCAACTTACCGATGAAGGCAACTGTCTTGTCCTGCGAAGACATCTTGTCGACTCCTTAGCTAGTACCAGTACAACGTTCAGGATATGGATGATGGTTGTGGGCTGTGTCCGTCTTCTCTCTACCCGGGAGCTACTAGTAGCCAGGGTTAAGTCGTATCTTGATTATCCGACAATGATACTAGTATCTCCTCGTAGCCTTGCCACAAATTCCAGGATAGAAACTCAAGAGCGAACAGAGTACTCCGTACCAAAAGGCAATGGAGGTGGCAGTGAGTGGCATACGCCATAACAAAACAGATCTTCGAGCATTTTTCTCCGCATCGGAACTCGGCACCACTCCAATGGCATAACCGTACTCAGTATCGGTCCCTACTACATGGGTCACTGAGTACATCCACTACATCCAAGATGGGCGCGAGGGTAATTTGATGGAGTGGTGAGGACGCCACGCTTTGGTCGACGATGCGGACGATGTGGACGATGTTACCCCAACTCAATGGATCTGAGAGGAGTTGGGGATATGGAGAGAGGCAACAGGAGGGCGACGAGGGGGATCTCGAGGGAATCAAGCCGAGGTTCATCAAAGAATGTGGGAGATGCAAACCCCACCAAACGAACATTAGTGGAGATGGACAAGTTGTGACAAGTCTTTGCCCTTCTTGAAGACCTCCTGAGGCTGTGAAGTTTTCAAGAAGGTCTTCAAGATACTGGAGTGGACGATTGAGAAGGTAGAGCGTGACGATTGTTGACCAAAACGCAGTGGCACAGTGGGTGGCTGGAGATGTCGACCCTCAAGCCAGGTCTACGAAGTACATCGGTTAGATACAGTACTATGATACTTGCTGGATCAGACCCTTAGTCCAAGGTCTGGCAGCAAGAGAAAGAGATCTATATCGTCCCTGGGAAGAATTTATCCGGGTTCTTCTTCCTCCACTCTCCATCATGCGCAACAATAACCTCGACGTGGTTGTCGCCTTCTAGACTAGGCGTCGGTGTCCTCAATAAAGGTCCAATCCGTCTCAAAGTCTCCTTCGCCTGCTCCGTATCGACATGAACCGACCTGAGGCCCCCATGTCCATCATCATAGAGCGCCACGTCTTTCTCGCCTGTCAAGATGCGCGGATCATGACAGCAGTCGCCGCCCAGATAGACCCATTTCTGTGGCCCCGTCTTCGCAAGTAGATTAACATGCCCAAAAAGATGGCCAGGGCTGTCTACAATGTAGACGCTCCCGTCGCCAAAAAAGTCGACCGTGGCAGGGAATCCTGCAAACGGTTTCCACGTATGGCCCGTCTGCTTGCCCGCTGCGGTTGTGCTGCTCTTGGACACGGGAGGTAATTCTGATGTTCGATCCCGCGGCAAGAGATTTGCGTTGAAGATTTCTTGCGGATAATGTGGAGGAGCGCCGTTCTCGAGTAAATGCAGGGTTCCGGATCCGACAACAAACTGCGAGTTGGGGAAGTCGTCTGGCGTGCCTTCGTGGTCCCAGTGGACGTGACTTAGCATGACAATATCGATATCCTTTGCAGGGTCGAGACCCCCAGCTCTGAGGCTGTCCGCACAGTCAGGGTGGAGGATGGTTGGCTGGCGATTGGCGATATGAGCTTGTTGTGCCGGAGGATATTTCGTCAAGTCACGCTTCAGACCCAGATCGAAGACGAACTTGGTGCTCTTTCCATCCTGCGAGGCATGTTGAACCAAGAAGGACAGAGAAGGTACAGTTGCCTTCTTCTCAGGGTCAGCATCTGTAATGAACAATCTTTCCGGCAAGGTCAATTGGCCTGCTTCGAGTGCCGAAACAGTCACGTAGACTTCATCTTTGCCAGCAGAGCCCATCTTCGTTGGCAATCTCCTGAGTGAGTTCTAAGCTTGTGGACGGGCGACTATCTGCAAGGTAACGCTTGGAATGAATGTCATGAGTTGACCATTGAATGAAGTCTTCTCCACAAGATGGAGTAACAACAAAAGGGCTTTTGCTTGCTCATTTGGAGAAAGATGGTGATGCTCAAGTGATCTCCGCAATCACTCACATCAGATCGCCCACCACCACTTCTCCATCAACATGGCGGTGGCATATCGATACAACATCCGTGGCCCTGAAGAAGTGATTGAATGATGCTATGCTGAGGATGTGATATTTTGAGTTCCATAGCGAGACGTATGGTGGCTGGTAAGATATTCGACAGCCCAGAATAGAATAGTTCTTGCTTCATTCTACCAAGTCATAAAAGGAGGATTGCAGGGCGTTTGATAGGTTGTGTAGGGCGGGCTTGTCCCTCCTGGAATGCAAGCTCCCGTGAAATCGATATTCCACGTCGTTAGGTATTGTATACCACTGTGCCAGACCATCAATTCTGAATAGCCAATAATACCAGAATATACACACCATTCGATGCAAACGCGCTGCACAGAAGCAAATAGTCGCGATGCTCGGCATTCGTCCCGCAGTCCGGGGCTCCGTCAAATGTTTTCAGGAGACGATCCTCAGCTTCATGCTATCGTCCGAAAGCAACAGCATCGACTTTCCGTCGCTGTCGACCCAAGAAGCCTCGGGGCTCGCTGCCACCACCAAACCCTCGATTTCGTCCTGACGCAGCAGAGCTCATGCTGGCAAGGCGAAGGTTCTGCTCATGCCAGGCTGAAGCCATAAGTTTAAGCTCTCGCTGCAGGATTGTGTTATGATTTTGTAGGCGCTCAAGTTCGGATTCTTCGTCGGCCAATTCGGACTGTGGCTTGGTCGTCGACGCAACATCGTCCTTCGGTGGTGGCGTGGGCGGAGCGTCTTCCTTCTGCCTCTGAACTTCTTGCTCTCCTTGGTACTTCTTCTGCATGTCTATGATTATCTGATCCTGCTTCTGTACATGGTCGAGCAGGACTTTGTTTTTGTTTCTCTGTCGCTCAATTGACACAATCAATTTCTTCTGTGCACGTAGCGCTGACTCTCTTTCGGATGATGTGCCGGCTTGTGCTTGAGCGCGCATTGCTGACATGATTGCCTTGAGTTCGTCTTCCGAAATCCCTTCACTTTCACTGACAAGCTCGATGCCGAGCCCGGACGCGGAGGTCGTTTCCGTAGGGAGTGTAAGGTCTGTATCCTTTGGTGTGGCAGGAGACACATCGCCATTCAGGAGGGCGGCAGCAAGTCGTGCTTCGGATATCCCGAACTCTGCTTCTTCCCTTTCCAGGTCATCGTTGACTGGACTGAAGGACTTTTCCTTCGTGGCTGGCGTGGTGCCATCCTCATAATCTTGGAGACGACTTTGCAAATCCTCGACCTCCTTTTGCTGCCGAGATAGTTGTTCCACGGTATCCTGGTAGCGTGCCTCAAGTGTGTGATAGTCAAACTCCAGACGCTTCTTCATCTCATTCAATTCATACCTCTCCTGCTCGATGCTCGGCAAGAGTCGCCTGTACTCATCAATCTCCCTCTGTAAATCGCCCGAACTTGCACGAGCAGAATCTGACTGCTTAAGCTGATTCTGCATTTCTGCCACTTTGGCTCGGAGACTTGTGTTGTCCTTTTCGAGATCTTGGCTGGCCTCAAGCTTTTGTCGATACTTTTCGGCTGTGTTGGCTTTCCGTGCTAGCCTGTCCCTTTCAATCTTCATCTCGTCGTAGTCATCTTGTAACTTCTGTGCTTTTTCGGCCTTGATCTTTAGCACCTCATTGGACTTGCGCAACTCTTCAACTTCGGCTTCGGCTTCGAGCACTCGATTTTCGAGTGTAGAGATGATGATATCGTGCTTCGAATCCAGTGGCTGGGTTGAGACACCAGAGCGGCCCGCGAGAACCGCTGTTAGACGTTCACCAGTCTCTTTCAGTTCGTCCTGGACTTGATCGAAGCGTTCTTGCAATTTCTCATAACGTGCATGATGTTCATCCAACTGCTTCTGTAACTCTCTTTTCTCGTGTGCTATTCTTTGATTGTCGGCAATTACCTTGCCCAGTCTTTCCTCCGACTCCAGCACAGTTTCCATCTCCCCAGACCGCCGTGGTGAAGTGGGCATATCATCCTGAGCCGCCAGTATATCGGCATCTTGCAGCTCTGCTTCGTCCGCTGCGCTCTCATCCTGGCCCGCCTCTTGCACGGTCTGCATAATCACTTCCTGGGTCGACTCTGGGAGCTCCTGCATCTGCTTCAAGTATTCGATACGGTCGGCGCAATTGATGGCCGCCACGACGAGGAGTTTGAGGAGCGCGATCGTGTCGGTGAGGGTCGAAGATTGAGCGATAGCTTTGAGGTCGGGTCGACTGTTCGCAAAGGGCACTCTTTGGCCGCATTCTTCCGTGAGGAATATGGAAAGGGCATCGTGAATGTGCTTCAAATTGGTCCATTTGTGTATCCATTGATCTGTGTCCGGATCTTCTGGGAGTTTACCAGGGAAGCTGAAGCGGTCGATCTGTTCTGTAAGGGATCAGACTGTGTCGGTCTACTGCCGACGGGAGAGTCGATACATACGGAGGACCTTCCAAATTACATCCCCATTACTCAGGTCGTCTGCCGTAGAGACAGGCTCTGCGACGGCTAAACTGTTGACCCAGTCGATGAGACCAGCTGCGATGGCTTCCTCGGTCGCCATAAGTGTCGTTGGAGATCAATTTCCGAGTATTTCATAATTAGATGCATACATGAATCTTCCAGAAGCCGGCAAGGATCTTGTGTTGGTCTCAGCTGGATGGTTTCATGGTTTCATGGTTTCAGCATGCGACTCGACCCCAAAGCACGCGTCGTTAGCGGCACGAGTCTCTCTTACAGGCGCGTGGTCGATATGACGTCGGCCAAATCAAATGCTTGGAACAAACAGGCAAGAGTCGCATTCTCATGGATAATTCCAGTCGAGAATAACAGGGCAAGATACGTGTGAATGCCTGAGGTAAATGTATGTTTTTGAAGGATAGCAGATGAAGCACGCTGGAAGGGAACCCTGCATATTTCCAGTACGTAGTCTGACCGATTCAGTTAAAGTTCTATGATAATGTCCTCTCAACTCCCAATCCCTGTGAACGCCAGCGCCTAAACCCCTTTTCATGCATACTAGCTCTCTTGTACAGCAGGCGGCATTGAAGTAGTTGAGTGCTGAGACTGCAGGATGTTTGCTCACCCCAACAAGCTCACTGATCTTTTGCATCTGTTGACCCGTCGATTCGGACAATGACGTCTTCTTCGATATACGGGGCAAATTTCTCAGACATTGTAGAGATCTTATCGAGGGTGGCTTGGGCTACTTTGGCCGCAAATCCCTTGATCAAGGCTGCGCAGATGTCAGTAAACGGGTGTTCTCTAAGGGTAGAGCCATCTTACCGTATTCGTGAGTTATGCTTCCGCCATCTTTCTTGATCTCCTCAATGGCTTTTTCGATGACAGAGGCAGGAGTGTCCTCGGGATATGACACCACGACGGGTTTCTGAGGTGGAGCGACAGCGAGGATGCAAGCCACGAAGGCGAAGAGGAAAGCGATCGAGAGACGCATGGTGTGAATTGCGCGTAGAAAGCAGGTAAGCTGTCAACAACCGGTGGCGCTTGGCTCTTGTCGAGATGAGACGGCGGTGCAGTAGAACAAGTTTCACTCAGTCGCAGGCGTATGCGTATGCGCTTGATTGTTGTGATTTCGGCGAGAGATGTGTGGATTCAGGTTCGAATCGCAGTGTTTCAAGCGCCGTCGTTTCTCAAGAATTTGTAGAGAATGCTCAAAACTGTGGGAAATCTTTGGATTATTTTAGAAGATAAGACTTGCTATTCGTCGTAGATGCGTGAGACACGGTGGAATGATGCTGAGTTCGAGTGTATATAGCCATCGACTCCTCGTGGTCAACGAGATCGTTCCACCCCCTTCCGGGTATCACGTGCCATTTCATTCCCTATGACGACATCAGCAAGTCACGAGTCAGCGAGGCAGCCCGGCAGCCCGCCAGGCAGTGCGGTTCTTCATAAATTCAGGCAAAGGGGTGCTTTGGTAGCTTGTACATATAATGTCAAAACAGATGGTGGAACAGTAATTGGCTGCTTTTGGTGGGCAGAATCATATCATTAGTATATGTTGCGTGCGAAGAGGTAAAAGCCACAGACGGGGCGCCGCACCATCTATCTCCCCTTCCAGCTGTTACTCCGTGTATGGACCATCTTCCCATTCATAATCATAGCAGAAAGGTCCAGCAGTAGTGCTTATTAGATCCTTCATTTGCATCGATGGCCCGAAATAGCCCCAGTCTGGTGTCCAAGAGTCCAAAGTAACGTTGGCACTGGGCGGAACATTGTTCGCCGTCTCGGTGCCATAGATCTGATCCGCAATCTCCGGATGTCGTTTTTGCCATTGGACATAGATGTTGTCCAGCATCGTATGCAAAGGCCACCAAATCGGGTCTTGCACGGACACGAAGATATTGGACTCTGGTGGTCCAACTGAGAAATGCGCACCACCATGAAGCCCAAAGTCAGCGCCGCCAAATGCACCATTGAGTTCGCCGGCAAGGCATGCCTGGTCAGGGCAGTTGATGGCGTCCTCAAGCCTTGTCCAGTTATCGAACTTCTGTGCCACCCAAGAGTTGAGGTCTCGCGTCAGGCAAGATTCGTTCTTCACAAACACTGTCTGAGGAAGTGGCTCGCCTGTGAGCAGAAACAGGGGGTCAATACTCGGCTGCATGGTGATGATGTGGTTCGCAAAGGGCCCGGACGTGACACAACCGCCCCCTGAACCATGAGGCACAGTGAAATTGGGACCGACTTGGTAAGGTCCAGCGTTGAGGTATTCGCCATTGCCGGACATTGAGTATGCATCGCCGTTGAAAATGGGGGTTGAGTCAATGTCGGCCGCCGTAGCTGGCCAATTCCAGTAGAGCATAGGGCCTTTGAAGCCACAGTTTTGTCGCATGTCTTGTTCGAAGAGATGGACAAACATGCGATGCCAGACAAGAAAGAACCCATCGAGGTGCACAACCTGAGTTAGATTGATGTGTACTGTCGCATAGTCGAAATAACGGTTGATGGCACCACTATACTGTGTTTGGCTATATCAGGTTAACAGCTGGCATCTTGCTTTCAAGAAAATACATACTTCAAGTTCGAAGGAAAAGCCATAACGCAATTGATCGCGTCTGTGTATTCTTTTCGTTCTTCTGGCGTAGCCCTATTAAAATCTTTGCGAATTTGCTTGGTTCTGTCGTTACAATGTCCCCAGGATGGTGAGTACGCTTCGGGCGAATGTGGTCCAGGATAGTGCCCTGCTGGTCCAGCAATGACCATCCCAAGGACTGCGAACAGCGTTAAACAGACTGCAGAACGGGCCATCTTGTCGAATCAAGGCAAAAGGTCACAAAGGTAAGATATTGAGTCGAGTCTCTGGAGAAAGTGAAGTCGCGGGAACGAAGGATCTGCGGCACTCCTTATATTCGCGACAAGGAGCTCACATGTATCCTGCATTCTGAACCAAGCTCTGACCGAGGCTCTAATCTCACAACCGGCGAACAGAAGTGCCATCTTCGATACTTTGAGACAATCTGATATGTCGGCGTCATAGACAAAGGCGTGGCTGTGGGTCCCCGGAAAATAAGGCCGAGTCCTTTTGCGTGGGAGTTTGGCAGCTGCGGTCCATTGAAACCACCCTGTGGACACGGCTCATGTCGACTACGACAAGGGCTTCTCAAATGTCGAAGAGTCATGGCAGTCAGCTTACCTGGCATGCCTGGCCACCTGGCTCCAGGACTCGAGCATCCAAGAGGCTAGCAGTCCGACGCTAATGGAACCCATGCGATCTTGTCAGGTGCAAAGCAGTGACTCTCATATTCGGATTGAGTACGCAGGGCAGGCCTAAGAGATCGACATACCACCATACGTACCCGCGCTTTCTGGATGACGGTCGAGTTCTCCAGTATACTCTGTACTCCGTGTAGTGGTTGTCCTAATCGGATGAGGCGACCAACATCGGGTGTCCAGGAACAAGATTCGCACAGGTGCCGAGAAGAGATCGACATTGCTCACTCCTGGTTCGAAATAATTCAGCGAGTCACCGTCAAGGCAACGACCGTTGGGATAGCTTTCAAAAATAGCTTGTGCCTTGGGTAGCGCTTTCCTTTACTTTTGCATAAGTGCCGGAGAAGATCTTACTCTAGCTTGTATGGCAACAGCTGCCATCTCCTGCTAGAAAGAATTAATGCTTTCGCTGCAAGTTCTCCCAGCGAACTTTGTCGTCAAAGGGCCAGGAGTTTGCAACTGCAAGTCTTATCAGATGGTCCGCCTAGTAGTTCGCCCTCTCAACTGGAAATCACCTTGCGAGTGCATCAAGATTTCGCAAGCGTAGAAAGCTGAACAATACAACAACGCGAGAAGAACCTTGGATGATTTGGCTCAGGAAAAGCTACAGTCACGTGGTCGCTGGTTCGGAACAGCATTTTTCCGGATGACAGGAGCAACCTCGTTGAGCTTCGCACTTATGGGCATCCGCGGATGGGGGTTTTTAGGGGGCCGGTACCCTTGTGGCCCCCGGATCAATCAACTACAAGGCGCTCTTGGTGAAGAGAGGGCGATTTCCACTGCCTCCACATGGTGATTTGGGGCATCCGTCTTCAAGCACTACAAACAATATATTTTATTCAGGTACACTATCTTCGTCCGCAGCACTACCAAAGCGTCTAAGCACCCATGCGGGACTGAACATCTACAATGCGCTGCTCGGTAAGTTCATCTGTAGGTACGCTGGCCTCAGCTGGTCCTACTCCCACAGCCCTCGCTCGATGCTCAATTATTTAACAATCCATGGTTATCTCCTTAACAGCCGCACTGATCATTGTGCTGCACTCGCCGCCGTCGTGTGCATGGCTTGAGGGAAAAGCGACCGCCGACGTGGAACGTCGTTGCCGACAAAATACAAAGGCGTGTCTCCGATCTCTTCCATCTTGTCCTCCAGCAAGGTCTCTTGGAGTCACGCATGCCTCGAGGATATAAGAACGGTCGACGGTGCTTCCATTTCAATGGATATCACAAAGGTAGCGTGGTACGAGTTCTCTCCCGCCCCCAGTCTTGATTATCCGTACAAGCTCGGAAAATTGCCACTTCCAATGTCCATCATTCACCCAAACCGCCGGCTTACCTCGACTGACGCATCTTTGATTCTTGCGCTGCTCTCGGAGCCACTGAAGATCCGGCAGTTGGTCCCTCGAATAACGAAAAGCTGCGTTCGTCCGTCATGGCTGAAGACCGAGGAAACGCCTCGATTGCGGAGAAGATTGTTCGTCTGCTTCGTCTACTTTGACTTACCGGGGAACCAACTCCAGATCACCATCGACCATTACTTCATCTGACCACCTTGGCCACCTGACCTCCTACTCCTCCCCACGATATGCATTACAGCTTCGACTATTACTGGACTTTTCTCGCTTCAAATGGCCAGATATATCTATCATGGCTTTGCAACTCTAGCCAGGTACTTGCGTCTCCCAAGATCCCAAAATCTCACTTGCTGCTGTTCCCGAACACTCACTGAAGGGAGGCGGTGCACTCTTGCTATTCTCATTGGTTGACAAGTCAACGGTTTAATATTGACCATGCCAGAACTCAACGTTGGCATCTGTGGCGCGGGCATTGGAGGTCTTGCAGCTGCAATTGCTATCAGCAAAGCTGGTGGAAAGGTCACCGTCCTTGAGGCCGCAGCTGAGCTTGGTGAGATTGGTGCCGGGATTCAGGTACGTTATTCTCTCTTCTGCGAGAATCACTTGGTTTACACCATCGCAGATGACCCCCAATGTGGCTAGACTACTCATCAAATGGGGCGTTGACAAGGTCATTGGAGACGATCTGGTGGAATTTGAGGAGTTAAACATGCGTCGTAGAGACGGCACGCGCGTTGGTTATACGAAGACTATTCCGAATGTCCGAGAGTGAGTTCGATCAACTACCTATCGTTTATGGCGAAAGATAACAGCTACCAGTACCCTTGGTGTGCCATGGTGGCTAGGTCAGTCTCCTCACTGCCCCTGCTCGAGTTCATTGCCAACCGCGACCAGTGCACCGCATGCATTTACACACCGGCCTGGCTGAGGTCGCCCGACGTGAAGGCGTAAACATCGTGACCGACTCCCGGGTGGAAAAGGTCGACTGGACATCCTCCAAGCAAGTTACTGTCACTACAACCAAGGGCAAAACCTGGACGTTCGATCTTCTGGTTGGTGCCGATGGTGTCCGTTCCGCAGTACGCAAAGCTATCATGCCGCATGTCACGCCAAAACCACCAACTGGAAACTGCGCCTACAGGGCCATTGTGCCATATGATCAGATCCGACAAGATCCCGTCGCGAAAGAACTCGCCGAGAAATTGACCATGGAAGTGTGGATGTCTGACAAGGCTTACATTATTTCGTATCCTATCTCGCACGGCACGCAGTTCAACATGGTGCTGAGTCACCATTGCGACCGTCTCGTCGATGATGTCGAAGACATTGACATGGACGAGTTTAGAGAGACTTACAAGGACTTCGATCCGAGGATCAAGAGGATTGTTGATATGGTACCTACGGCTCGTAGGTGGCCATTGCTCGTAACTGGGCCGCTAGAGACGTGGTCCACGCCAGAGAAGAATGTGGTTTTGATGGGGTCGGTTCAAGTCATCCTCCGCGATATCCGGCGTTGCTAATTCTGTGTTAGTGACGCCGCGCATTCCATGGTAAACCACATGGCGCAAGGGGCGGCCACTTCAATGGAAGATGGAGCCTTCTTGGCACGTACCCTCGCCAAACATGTCGAGGGCAAAATTACCCTTCCAGAGGCGATTGAAATATACGAGAAGGGTCGAATGCCGAAGGCATATTTCAAACAACAGGTCTCGTTTTTGAACGGCGCGATTTGGCATCTACCGGACGGGCCACTGCAAGAGGTATGTCCTCTCGTTCTAGCTTTCCTGATAAGGGAAACTGACAATCCCTCGCAGGCCCGTGACAAAGCCATGTCAGCCGAACTCCGTGGCAACCAGTTCATGAGATCACCGAATTTGTACGGTGATCCAGACACAACGCTGAGGTGAGTCTGCTGGTTGAGCCACTGATGTTGGCTACTAACAACATCTAGTGTGTACGGTTACGATGCAGAGCAAGACGCCGACCTTGCCATCAAAGCCCATCTTAACAGACAAGAACCGCGCGATCCGAAGACGGGTGTGACTGACCGCGAGTTAGAACGATTCATGGGCTGGTGGTGGCCCAAAGACAAGGCCGCCCTACAAGCGTCGAAATTATGAGGTACATCGATAGCCCTAGTTAAATACAGGGCAAATGGTACTCAGTCCACCTTGGTCGTCGTCTAGTGAATACCTGCGCGAAGGAGATTGGGTGATGAACAAAGAAAAATATGCCTTTACTGATGTCGCTGTGTTCGGCCAACAATTGGCGTCAAAGGAAATCGGAGAGACAAAACCTCAATAGACGCGGCAGGCCATCTACAGATCCATGTTGTGCCTGCTTCTCCGTTTGAGGAGATAGATCTCAACCCGCGCCTCGACCTTGTCCTGTTGACAGTCTCCATCTCATGCTTCCATCACTGTTGGCAGTCCACAAGCCCTTGAAGCCTGTATGAGACTTGTCACTACTTCTTCACAACTTCTTGTCTTACCGTTGTCGAACTTCTTGAGCCTTTACCAGCCTCTATTCACAGACACACTGCGTCAAATCACGTACCCTCATTGATATTGTGTTCTGGCTCTCATCTGGCTCTCATCTGGCTCTCATCTGGCATGCAATGAACCGACAGAAACAGCATCTCAGCTACTCTTCCGAGTTCGTGGCCATGGACTCGACCAACCTCCTTCCTCAAGAGCACTTCCCTTCGCCCAACGCCAGCGAATGGGAAACCATGACCGATGTGTCTTCAGATACCGAGATGGGCGACGCACCTCGTATTCCTCCATTTCATTCCGACGCTTTGGCTGAGCTGACCCTCCCGACTATGGCATCACACGGCGATGACCTCGTCCCCTCCTCCTCGCCTTATCAATATGCAAACACAGACATCACTCCAGAATCGGTACCTTACCCACTCAGTCCATTGACCAGTCATGATTACAGCCACATCACCTTCTCTCCTCCACCCTCCGCTCCTCCATCGCCTGATCGCAACCACGACCAAGATGCTGGCTCGCCAATCCCACCGATCGCCTACGATTGCGACGCTAAGGATGAAAAAGAACGCTTCCGCCTTCCGCACGTCCGAGTCGAGCGTCACTTGCCTGGGGTGAACGATTTCATGGTTGGTGCTGTGCACCCTTTTGACTCTGACAAAATCGCATCGCCAACGCGACCACGTTCATACCCCTCCTCAACCCCCTTATCTATCGACCCCAACAACATCGAAGCAGGTGAAGATGAAGAGGGCAGAGAAGACTCCAACATTGTCTGCTCCCGCCAACGCAGTGCAGACCTTATGCCTTTTAAAGTCATACGCCTCAGAGACCTATACGAGCGCGAACTTCCGATTGTAGACCTCAGCTGTCTCGATCTCTTGCCGCGCGATTTTGTCACAACGCTCCTAGGAATAGACCGAGCCTGGAACGTTCTGGATGCTTACCAGTCTGAGCGAGAGATGGCAGGTTCCCCAGCGTCCTCCCACGAGCTGGACGAATTCTTTATGATTGAGCTGGCGGCGCGTGGCGGCCACCGCGGCCGGCAACCGGTCGTGTACCCGGAGGATATTTTGCCGTACATTTCGAAACAGATCTATGAAGAATTCAGGAACGAACATGACAGTCTTGCGCAACAGGGTGGAAGATCAGGACTGGCAGTCTTTGATGAGGACTACTGGTCGTACATGGCCGAGCAAGGCGCGATCTGGGACGAAATTGACGCCTGCGAAGCTGACGCTACCGAAGGTGACGATACTGAAGATGACGATGCTAAAGATGACACGGCTGGAGTTGACGTAGCTGAAGCATGATCCTGTCTCAGACCGCGTTCGAGTTGTCTTGACAGCAGAGAGAAGTACCGTTGGGCACATGGAGATGTTGGAGAGCTGAGAGTCGGCGGAACTCAGGATAGCGACGACGAAGTGGCCTCTGAGTACTGGCTGCCTAGCTGATTTCAGCCCGGGCGAACTTGGATACTAGTATTGGCATTGGCACGCCGGACGTGAAGTGTAACATGGGCAGAGAATGTAGCAGCAGCATCTCGGCTTTGCTTTTCATGATCCTGAATGGTGTTCCTCTCCCTTGAGGAACTGTTGGCCGGGCTGGAAATGGCAGGCAATTCGAGGCCCGAAGACATGCTGGTGGATAAGAAGCTGAAACTCGAAACTCGAACAACGATGAGAATTAATTCGTCGAGCACGTTAATTGTCTAAATATGCCGCCGTCATTCAGGTCGCTGGAATTTGAGACCTTTGAGCAATGCCCAACATTCAGCAACGACGAGTCTGTCCAAATAGTCCCGTCAACGAATAGACAACTGGTCTTCTATCTTTTGATGTCTGAGGAAACGGAGGAGCCCGCAAGAATCCAGCACCGCTAATCCGGCAAAGGAAAGTTGAGCCTCTCGACGAGCTACTCGTCGCTGTCGATTTGTCAAAATCCATTCGCCACGACGCTAAGTGAATCTTACCGAATCGACCTTCTTATCTCTTGAAATCGCGTCGCGTGTAATTCCCTTTTCCATGCCTCTTCCACGTTATTGAGAGGTCAACAGCAACCGACGAAGCGTGATCCGCGCAGGCACTTATATCCTCAAATTTCCTATTGAAGATGAGATGTTGACAACCTCACATCACGCCACTGGTTTCGGAAGAAGCTCCATCATGACTGACCCGCATACTGGTCGAGATTATGCCGAAACAACAACTCCGATCCAGAGGCGGCTGTCGAGAATGTCGTCGCATGCATCGTAAATGTTCGGAACAACGACCGAGCTGTGAATATTGTTCGAGCACGGGCAAGCAGTGTTCTTATGACAAAGTCCTAAAATGGGGCGGACGCTCCTTCAAGAAGTCTTGTTTCGGTCAGGTGCTTTCTACTGGAGCCGTGATCAAACAGTCCGAGGAGCGCTCCGGTTCTAATGGTGAGGAATGGGGGCGTGTTCAAGATGTTCGTTGTGCTGACGTGAATTCGCAGCTCCTTACCAGCAGCCCTTTGTCTATGGCCCAGGCGCTGATGATACTGCAACGGGCGCAACCATTCTGGCAGCGACGGATCCTGCACAGATCTCGGGACTTCCAATTTTGACTGGAGCTTCCCACTCGAAGCCGCCTTTATTCAACGGCGATGTCAGTCGTGACCAAGCTGCCTCTAGTCCATCCGACGCCTCTCCTGATGCTGAATCTGCCTACATCCCCAGTCCCTCCGCCCCCACGGTAGCCTCGAACGGCCCCTTAAACGATACCGACCCCGATGTTGATGATGTATCTTGCGATACCACACCAGACGCGGCTAACGTAGACTCGTGTCGAGACCTTGTGCTTGGTGTCACTCCACGAGATACAACAAGCTCGGTCGACCTCGAAGTGAACCTCGACTGGCTGCCATGGCTATCCAAAGTCGACCGCTCGCTACTGAATCACTTCACGTTGACTGTGACGAGCTACTTGTCTCTTCATCAGACCATGCAAAACGACTTTTGCACGGTACTCCTGCCGATGGCCCTCGACACCTCACACGGGACACATCTGCTTTCCGCCATTCTGGGCCTGGCAGCAATTCACCAAATCTCTCTTGGTTCCTACAACGATGAGGCTTATCTTGCACAGCTTCGGTATACCAGTCTTCAACAGCTTCGGCTGCAGAGCATTGGTCACAGCGCAGCGCTGGACGAACAGTCCATTGCGACCGCCCTGACTCTATGTTTGTGCGATATCTTAGCGGGCGGTGAAAAGCCCAAGTCGTGGAGACTGCATCTACAAGGTGCCGCTACAATGATCAGGACGTACTTTTCGAGACATCCGCCTAACTCAGGGAATATTCTGGTCCTCTGGCGATGGTGGAAGTCACTTCAATCATTATCCGTCCTTCTGGGTAATCCCACGCCCGAAGTGAACACAAAATCAACTCTGACTCTGGAACCATCAAACCAGAATCACTACATCGATACCTACGACGGCTTCTCAACGAAATTGCATCCAGTGATCGAGGAGGTTGACATGCTCAATGCCGAAAGTCAAGCTCTTCAGAAACTAGAAACAACGTTGGGCCATGAGGAGTCATCGGTCAAGGTCTTGCGAAATGCGCATTCGACGAGATGCGGCACACTTATTGAGAAGATCAGTGCCATGATGGATGATCCTGTAACTGAACTGGATCCTGCCAGCTCTTCACCCACTCCGTTCGACCCTTCCTCGGATTACTTCTCACTCAACGAAGCTTATCATCTCGCTGTGATGCTGCAAGTCTACCAAAGAGCCATGAACTTGACCATCACAGACACCAGGGTACAAGAAGTGGTGAAAAGAGGAATCAATTGTCTGAGGAGCATCACCTTGTACGGTTTTGCGTCTCCGGGAGTTGCGACGTTGCAACCACTTTTCATCTTTGGATGTGCTGCTCATGAAGAGGAGGACCGCCAGTTTGTCATGGACTGGATTGAGAGAATGAGACGGACCTATTCGCTGCGTAACACGGATTCTGCAAGAGAATTCTTGTTGGAGCTTTGGCAGAGAAGAGACTCTATGGGCTCCATGGGCGCTCAGCTACAGTACCATCAGTTGCTCGGTAGGTTGCTCGCCCGCTCCAAGGTATCGCCTCTAGCTTAGAAGAATACTAACATTGAACAGCTGAAAAAGATTGGGACTTGTCCTTATGGTGATCTTTGGGCTCATACTCCGTTGCAACCGCATCCCGGTCCTGGGAATACTCTCAGGCATCATCCTCTCTCTAGGAGTATGATCGCACCGCTCGCCTTAGTCATCAGCGTGTCCGGTACAGCTTGAGCAAGATACAAACTCGCTCATGAGCACATTATAATCCGACCAATCACGGAAACGGATGCTCGACTGTGACACCCCACCACTACGATCGAGGACCTTAAGGACGAGAGCAGCTGGATGACCCCTCGTCTATGGCTCTCTGATTGACCGAGTCTGTACAACTTCTGCATCTTCCTTCGTTGAGACTGTCCTTTCGTCTTTCATTCAAACGGGAAAAGTGTTTGGAATCTTCCACAAGATGACGGTGGAAAAACATGCTCTACCAAAGCTGCCTTACGCATTGAATGTAAGCGAATCTCTCATTCATCCCCGTCTCCTTGCGGCTACAATCAAGCAGTCTCATGGTTGCTTATGGCAGCATTCAGCGAATGAAGCTCCTTTTGGTCCTGGATGAGGTGGACTAACCGACAATCACTGCAGGCACTTGAACCCTCCATTTCAGGTCAGATCATGGACCTGCACTACAACCGACATCATCAGACTTACATCACGAACCTGAACAACGCCCTCACGACCCACGCCGAAGCATTATCGACCGGGAACCTCATCAAGCAGCTTGAACTGCAGCCTGCCATCAAATTTAACGCTGGAGGACATATCAATCACACGCTGTTCTGGGAAGGGCTAACGCCGGTCTCGAGTGGTGATTCGGACCTCGGCAAGGCGGCTCCCAACTTGCATCAAGCCATTGTTCAGCGCTGGGGGAGCGTGGAGGCGTTCAGGGCTGCATGGGAAGCCACGGCCCTCGGTATCCAGGGTTCTGGATGGGCGTGGCTTGTGAAAAGCCCGGCAAAAGACGGAAGCACCCTCGAGATCACCACATCCAAAGATCAAGATCTCCCAGCAACTGGAAAACTTGCGATCCTGGGTATTGATATGTGGGAGCATGCCTACTACCTGCAGTACTGGAACAACAAGAAGGACTACGTCAACAAGATCTGGGATGTTTTGAACTGGAAAACTGCGGAGAAGAGATACCTTGGAGATGTTCGGGCCATTTACGGAGACCTGGCCGGACTGGCAAGTCGGCTGTAGTTTGAGAAGAGAGAAGGAAAACCTGTTACAACAGCCAAAGGCGGTTCACAAAAGTATGGACGTCTAGGTTTGTTTGATGGTTTTGCTTGATTGTGGCTACTACATAAGGTAGCTACCCGATCAATCCAGTGGTAAGAAAACAAACCGACACCCTGTCAATTTTCTGGGCGACATGATGATGATGATGTCGTCCTCCGTCCACTCTCGCGTTCAACTTCCTTCATTTTCTTCCCCACTAAAAGCTTTCCATCACGTTCCCAGAGACAGACAGCAGAATGAGCGTGACAAATGAATTCTCTTCCTCGTTGGTATCATACGGGCTGTCATTGATTTAATGCTACTCGACCCATTAGCTTCTGTATCATTCTAGAAGACGTTCTGTCCAGAGTGTCCAGAACCTACCCCGCAAGAGGTGCATTTGCAGCCGGGGCCACAGTTGCAGGAGCTGGGGCCGGAACAAGTGCAAGGACCCATGTTGAGAGTTGTTGCGAGTGGTTGAAAATAGAATTTCGGGAGTTATTCTGGCTTGCTTGTAAGGCGTGTCTTTTTGGTGATCTGATGGAATTGGTACTGAGTATGAGTATCAGCCATTCGTTTTGAAGAGATGGACGTACTTATACCTTAACAAGCCCAGGATTTCCCCCCCTAGGTTGCCCCCCACGGTTGAATCCTTGAGACTTTTGTGCGTTTTGCGGACAAATGGCATTTGTGTCTTCACTGTCTTGCACGGACGAGGCCAATCAGTGACTCGGGTTGCAAAACGGTCAAGCACTTGGACACGCCTTGGTAAGACGGCGATGGGCCTACCACAATCGTGCACAATGTGGCATGGTGCGCCATCTTTGCGTTGTTCCTTGGGTGCGGGTCGTTTCCTCCACCAAAACGGACACGGGATGTGCTTTTTGATTGGCTATGCGCAGAACTCGTGCCCACTTAGGGGGGTGTATAAGGCGCACAAAAGCCGCTTGGAGGATCGTGCGGATCAGAAGACAGAAGACAGCGCACAAATATCTCAACTGCAGCAGAACGTCGTTCAGGAAGTGCTGCTTCGAACCATGCCTACGTGCCAGCCTTGGAGAACAGGGTACTCAGGTCTATCTTGTACTGGTCGTGAACCACTTACTAGTACTTCTTTGATGCTTTACTGATCTTTCACTGATTGTCTGCTTCGCGATATGGATGGGAATGGACAGTTGATTTTGTTCTGTCTGATCGGCGCAGAACCCCTGCGAAGGGGATGCGAGAAGATGTTGGGGATGTGGCATGACATGGACAGAGGTCGAGCCACGTCGAGCCACGTTGACTGGCTGGGCCTCTCGATAAGTGAGACCTGGACCACCTAGTGTTACCGTACGAGCAGGAGCAGGAGCAGGAGCAGGAGCAGGAGCATGAGGCATGCCCCGCGACGAGCCGATCCTGGCGGGATGGCCTCGTTCGGCAATTCGGCAGCATTCCATTTTGATTGATGGCTAACAGTAGCCAGCCAGGACGAGCTACGTTCTTATGGCCACGAAAAAGGCATTCGACGCTTTTGTTTTGGGCTGTGTGAGAACGAAGGGTAAGTGCCTAATCAGTTCACCAGGTGTCCTGCACAACTTCTTTCTTGAGAATTGCATACGCGTGCGTGCTACAAAACAAAATGGCGAGGCAGACAACATGCAATACATGGGCCAGGTCAGTCTTTTTCATGTCTACCTAAACACATTAAGAAGAGAACCCTACTGGTTCTCATGGTGTTCTGCGCTGTTCTTGGTGTTGTGTTTCGCGCCCTCCGAAGACTGGTATGCTCTCTGCTCCTCCTCTTGACACAAGTTCTCCTCTCCTCTACGGACCTTGCCGCCCTTTGGCCATTCGAAGAGCCATCTCGCTAAATTAGTAGCGGTGCTGCAATTCCAGCGGCTATGAGGAGGTTTTGTACCAGCACTGGAGCGTTCGTGGCGGCGGCTAGTCCAGATGAGCTTGCAGATGCGCCTGCACCAGACACTGTGCTCGATGCTGAGCCGGTGCTGCTGGCCATGCTTGACGTTGCCGAACCAGACGAGGAACTGGTATCAAAATTGGTATCATTCGTTACCGTTGCCGTCAAACCTGTAACGTTGGTACAACTTGAGCCGACAGTGGTGTTGACACCAGTAACAAAGCTGACTGGAGCGCACTATAAGAAGAGATCAGTACAGACCCTCCTTTTCTGAACAATAGAGCTATGTGTACCTGGTAAAGAATTCCATCGGGACCATGCTGAATCACCTGGACGACACCACTTTTGCCCGCGAAATCAGAGGGCGCTTTGAGGTTGGGCAGACAGAATTGTCCCAGACCGGTCTCTGAGACGACCGGTAGGAGGTTGGTCCAGTTGAATGGAGCTTTTTGGTCAAGGGTGACACGGAAGAGCCAGTCCGCGGCAGGATGAGTGCTCAACATCGAGACTGGGAAGCCATCAACAGGGACACTATCGTCAGATGAGTTGAAGGAAACATCAAAGCCACCACACGGTCCCGTGCCTTCGGTATCGTCGTCAAAGCCCAGCGAGCGAGGATACTGTAGAATGAAGTGTGCCGAAGCGCAGGCGGCCCACAAGGACAAAAGGGTGAGGGAGGATGTGAATTGCATGGCTACTGCAGGTTATGGAAGAACTTTTGGACCTATGATCTGAGTTGCAAATGTCCCCCAAGAAACCACTATACTCGTAGTAGGGTGGGAAGAAGATCTTTCGAAAGGATGCGAAGCTTTGCAGGCCAAGACCGAAGCTATTTCTATCAACCCTTCAAGGAGCTTTGCAGGACATGTCCACTGTCCACAGATGCCACTTCCTGTATTCGGGACTACGGACCATGGTGATGGGAAGAGGATACAAGGGTCGAGCACCGCATCGGTGAGCATCTAAACTTCTAGTGCGGTGAGGCTGCAGGAGGAGTGGATGTGAGCAAGTTTTCACCTCCCGCGACGAGCACGTTTTCGAACCAATGAACAACAGCCATGGGGACTGTCATGCACTCGTGGCTGCTCTCCCTTTCCAATGATAGCTAGCAGATGTCTTCAGATGCTTGCAATGCTTGTACACGACGAGCACGTTTCGTCGCTCCTCAGCGGCAACCCACGCCAGCCGTCGTACTGTGTACAGAGTGCGTCTTCAGTCGGCGTGTCGCCGGCTATCCGGCCCTCGAAGATTAGACTGCGTAGCGAGGCACGTCGCAGCTGCGTCTCAAGGTCTCAAATCATTAGGAGACAAGACCGATTGACTGAGGAAGTCATCTGCTGGTCAGCATCCAAAATCTGTATCTTCAAAAGCATGTCGTCGTCTCAGTGACTTCGAATCACACAGAAAAGCCACAACCCAAACAGCAGACTTCCACGAGAGGAAGCCAATACTCTCAAGATGGATATGTCAGGCATGGGCGGCATGGACATGTCCAGTGCGAGCATGTTCACGCCGACCAACAAGCACATTGCGCATGTGTATTGGTATCTCGTCGCGGCGGTCACTGGTCTGCTCATCCTCCGCCGTGGTATCGACCGGTCCAGAATTCTGGCAGCGTAGGTTGAAACTCTTTTCGATGCTATGCCGCAATGCAGTCTAACATCAAGAAAGCAGGCGAAGAAGCCAACGGCAACCAGGTACCATCCCCTTCCGACCTGATAATATCTTTGCGCAATCCTACGATACCCTCATCACAATCTGCCGGGAGCTCGCATACCCACAGATATGGACATTCACGGGCAGAATAAGCAAATACTTCACTCCGCCTTCGCTTGGGAAATGCCTTCTTCTTTCAGTTTATTGGATGGTCATCCTGACTATGCTGTGGTCAAACACGATCCTCACACCATCGTCTCCAGACTATGCGTACAAATGGGAGATTGTTGGATTTCGTGCAGCCTGGGTGTCAGTCACACAACTGCCCTTGATCTATATCCTATCCGGCAAAGTCAATATCATTGGTATACTTACCGGCATATCCTATGAAAGGCTGAATTGGCTCCACCGCTGGATTGGGAGGACGATATTCTTGACCGTCATTGTGCACTGGTCATTCTTCTTCCGCGAATGGGATATTGCTCATTTCGTCAAATTGGAACTCGATATGATGCCCATGGTCAAATACGGTTTTGGGGCCTGGGCTACTCTGGGATGGATGGTTCTTACAGGGTTCGGATTTTTCCGTGCTGCCAACTACGAGTTATGGTTTCTACAACATCTAGCCGCAGCTATCGTGCTACTGTGGCTGGTTTACACTCACGTCCCATCCTATGCTCGGTACAATGTCTGGTTCTCGATTGGTGTTGTGGTTTTTGATAGATTCGTGAGGACGCTGAGGACAATCTGGTTGAACCTTCCGGCCTTCCGAAGTACCGAGAGTGGCCACTCTCGTCGGAAACCTGGGTATGAAGCAGAAGTCAAATCTCTGTCGTCTGGTTTCATGCTCGTCACCATTCACGATGTCAAGTTCTCTTGGAAACCAGGCCAACATATTTATTTATCCATTCCGCGGGCGGGCATCTTCGAAGCACACCCTTTCACCATTGCCAATGTACCCAGACGCATGCCGGGCCATGACGGACCCGATAAGATCGAATTGTATATCCGAGTTCATTCAGGCTTTACACAGCGTTTGCATCGACGATGTCAGGGTTCAGGAGGCCCAAGGTCCTTTCGATCTTTCCTCAGTGGGCCATGGGGTGTACCGCCGTCAATCGACCGGCTGGAGTCTCTGATACTCTTGGCTTCTGGGAACGGCTCCTCGTTCACTGTCCCAATTTTCCAGCAAGCACTTGCGTCAGCGAGCCATCTTCGACAAATTCGGTTTATTTGGATCGTCCGCCACCCTGACCAGCTGGACTGGTTCAAAGCTCAACTGTTGTCTGCTTGTCGGAACGCGCAACATCGAGACGTTTCGGTCTCCATGCACGTTTTCATAACGGGAGCAGGGGAGAGCAGGCCACTGTCGCCTGCAGAAGATAATGCTCTTCTTCGAAGTTACAATGAGATTGCACCGATAGAGAAAGCCTTCAGTACTGAGAAGAGCAGATCGATCCAAGGCGCAAATTCGGTTCAGACGATGTCAGATGAAGGTCAAGATAAGGAAATTGGCGAGGCAGTCGCGCGATCCTCCTTTGATTCGGCAGATGTACCTGCTCTGAGAATAGGTTACGGGCGGCCAGAGCTGGATCCTCTGATACGCCCTGTGGTTGAAAACGCTTGTGGAGAGACCGGCATCTTCGCCTGTGGCAACAACCGGTTCATGGGTTCAATACGAAATTATGTGGCACGGTTATCTGATGAGAGAGCCGTGCATAAGGGCACCGGTGCACAAGGGTTGTATTTATTCTGTGAGACATATGGCTGGTAGGCATATTGCTGCCGGGGGCAATAACATGAACATCGTCACGTTTGGTCCTCCTGTATCGTTCTGGTTCGCGTATACACCGTGGGCAAGCTCTGCACCAAGTACATGGCGACATATTCCTTGACACGCTGGTGGTGGGTAAAGGAGCAGAGCACGTGGTCCCTCGATGCCACACACCGAGACCACGGCCACATGGCGTAGCTGGCACATGAAAACTGCACCGCATAAGCCTGCTCGTACCTTGCTGGCAGGAGACCTTGCGGTTCGCGTAGTGGTAGCGGTAGGATGCACACTCTACTGTCCCGCTTAGTGCGCCTGCAGCCAAGGCCTCTAGTTAGGTGTAGGCAGGCATCCAGGTGGGAGTGAGCAAGTTTTCAAGCCCGCCACATATCCTGACCGAAGCATCACAAGCCAGTAGGACGTCAAGCTACGGTCCAGCAAGGCCTGGATGGTATCCCCGTCGTCAACATTTACTTGTACTACTCGTAGCACGATCCCCTGAAAAGAACGACGGTGGAGAACTGGGCAACAAGAACACTAGCTCAAGAGGACTGTACTGTGTATGGAGGAGGGAGAGCATAAATACCCAAGCTGAGAAGCACAAGCAAACCCGGAGGTCTATCCAAGCTTTCATATCAAAGCCGTAGTCCTCAGAGAGCACCGCGTCTCCTTTTCTGCCATTTCGGGCAAGCAATTGAGTGACTTCCCCAGCTAGTTAGGACAGGACGATTCTTCGCACAGAATGAAGCGGAACCTCGTCTTTGCCCTCTTCGTCGTGAAGCTCGCTTCCGCCCACTTTGAGCTGCAGTACCCTTACTGGCGTGGAGATTCGTTCCTGCCTCCCGCGTCGCAGTACATTTTCCCATGTACGTCACCACCTCCATTCGTTTGCGTGTGTTGGACTTGAGGGAAAGGAGAAGAAAAGAGAAGAGAAGAAAAGGACTTCGCTTTCGGCGGTTTTTACTTGACCTTTACCAAATACTTACACGTCAGAGAGCTGCAGGCGCAAACGTCAACACGACCGATGAATCGAACAGCAACCGGACTGTATGGCCATTGGACGGCGGGTCCTTGGTCATTGACTTCCACCATCCGTGGACGTATGTGTCGTTCAACCTGGGCTTGGGATCCAACACTTCGACCTTCAACATCCCCCTGAATCCCATGCTGCTGAACGAGACCGGCAACGGAACGATTTGTATCCCCAAGTGGACGTTGCCTGCGGATCTCGGCATCGCGGATGGAGACGAGGCGTCTCTGCAGGTCATCACGATTGGCGATAGTGGGACTGCTTTGTATAATGTACGTCTGTGTCTTCCTGCGTCGAATGATCGCGTGAATGGTACGAGGACTACTAGTACAATGACGGTGACTGACCTCTTGCAAACAGTGTGCAGACATCAAATTCAGCGCAAATGCGACCCTGCTGTCCGGCGATCAGTGTCAAAACTCCAGCAATGTCGATATATACCCGCTTGTCCAGCAGCAGGCGAACGGGTCGGTGGCCGGTGGAGCGACTACGGTTACGGTCACTGCCGGCGGGGCGGCGGCCACCAGCACTTCCACCAGTGGTGCTGCGAGTATCAGAGCGATGGCGGGATCCGAGAATGTTGCTGCTCTGGCTTGGGGCATGTTGGCCGTGTTGACGTTGGTATATGCGACACGTCTATAATGGTATTAGGGAGGTCGGAACGGAATGCCCTGCTGTGGACAATCAGGGACAATGCAATACCACTCTAGGTAGTTGGCTGTAGACGACACGTACATAGAAGTATGCTATGCGCACAGAAATAAAGAGCGCCATTATAGCACAGCCGCAGAGACACTGGGCCAACTGCACGATCTTCGAGACGTACTTGTAAAGCGTGGTCTAGCCTCAGGAGAACCACGTAGTCCTCTGTATTAGCTAAGCACCATCATCTCGACTCAGCCTTTTGCGGGGCATCGCAATCAACCGTCAACATATTTCGTGTCAGAGCCATGGACATGTCCGCATGGTGCCGCCTGGATCGGCATGGATCGTAGGGCGTGGCAGGTCTCGCAGATTAAAAAAAACATTTGAGATTCATTCTCCTCCCTCCTACAGACAAAATAACTTCCTCAAATGCGAGAATAAGGACCAGTGTAAGCGGAGGTCAGCTCGAGAGGACACCAAGAAGACATGGCAAACGTGACAAGCACCATCGTGGCCGATCTAGCCCACAACGTGAATACCACTCCGTTCAAGGATGCTCAAGCGGCCAAGGTCGATGTCACCGAGTTCTACGACACTGCTGCATCGGACCATCAAGCGCAACCAGCCTCAAGTGTCAGCTCCATTCTCCACGCCAAACTCGAACGCAAGCCGGCCACCGTCACCGCCAGCAAGGGCAACTATCTCTACACATCAGACGGCGCCGAAATCTTCGATGCCACCTGTGGTGCCGCAGTCGCATGTATCGGGCACAACGATCCGCGCGTCAAAGACGCCATCGTCAAACAGTTGGACACGGTTGAATACTGCTATGCGCCGTTCTTCGCTACCGACGCCGCCGAGCAAGTTGCGAGCATGCTGACGGACTCCACGGGCGGAGATATGTCCAAGGTTTTCATTGTGAGTTCGGGTACGGTACCGCTCGAAGAAGCTTGCGCTCTCGTGCTCTCGCGCTCCCCTGCCCATATTCATTATACAAGACGCGCCCCAGAAAAAATAAACGCCACACCAGGCCACACCAGGCCACAGTAACGGAACTCTAACGTACGGTATGAGCGCCCAGGCACCGAAGCAGTCGAAGCCGGCCTCAAACTCGCGAGGCAATACTTCACCGAGCTCCTCCCACAGCCTCAGCTCCAGCGGACAAAGTTCATCGCCCGCAGGCAGTCGTACCACGGCAACACACTGGGGTCCTTGTCCGTCGGGTACCACGCGGGCCGCCGCGCGATCTACGAGCCCATTCTCGGTACCAACGTCGCCCACGTCTCGCCGTGATATCCGTACCGCGACATGAAACCCGGCCAGAGCAACGAGGAGTACGTCGCGCAATTGGCGCAGGAACTCGACGATACTTTCCAGTCTCTCGGTCCGGATACAGTCTGCGCGTTCATCGCCGAGACGGTCGCTGGTCTTGTACGTCGTCGTCTTTGCCCACAAACCACCAACCCCCCCCCCCCCCCCCCCCCCCCCCCCCCCCCCCCCCCGGGGGCTCGTCCGCCTTTGACATTCGACGGCCCAACGCATTGAACTGAACTGAAATTGGGAAATATGTCTAGACACTAGGCTGTGTGCCTCCCGTGCCTGGCTACCTTCGAGCCATGAAAGACGTCTGCGACCGGCACGGCGCGCTCTTCATTCTCGACGAAGTCATGTCCGGCATGGGTCGGACGGGCACGATGCACGCCTGGTCCCAAGAATCAGAATCCCCACTAGATACCCCATACGGCGTGGTTGTTCCCGACCTCCAGACCGTCGCCAAAGGCCTGGGTGCCGGGTACGCGCCGATCGGCGCACTGCTGGTGAACAAGCGCGTCGTGGACGTGCTGAGCCATGGCACCGGCGCCTTCGCGCACAGCCAGACATATCAGGGCCACCCTGTTGCGTGCGCGGCGGCGAATCGGGTCCAACAGATCATCCGTGAGGAGAACCTTCTCGAGAACGTCCGCGTCATGGGCGAGAAGCTAGGTAAATCGTTGACAGAAAGGCTGGGAGCGCATAAGAACGTAGGCGACATTCGGGGAAGGGGTCTACTTTGGGGTGTAAGTGCTTTTTCTCTTATTTTTGGACAACCCCTGCCAGTCCTTGTGCCCACTTCCCCCCCTCCCCTCCCCCTTCACTTTCTGTTTTCCTGTTTTTTGTCTTTGTGGTGGCTTTTGCGGTCGTCCTTGTCCCTTGTCTTTTGGTCCATTGACTACCCATCATCCAACGTGTTGCCAGGGGCAGACCTTGATTTTGACTTGGCCCAACTCACGGTGATATAGCTCGAATTCGTCGAGTCCAAATCCACAAAGAAACCCTTCCCACCATCCGACCAGATCGCCGCCAAAATCCACAACACGGGCTTCAAGCCGGACTTTGGCATCTCATTGCTCCCCGGCACGGGCGTCGTGGACGGCCACAGCGGCGACGTCATTGTGCTTGCGCCGGCTTACAACATCACCGCGGCCGATGTCGAGATCATTGTGGACAGAGCGGAAAGGGCGGTGCGTGCCGTTCTAGGCTGAAGTGCTGAAGCGCTGAAGCCTCTCCCTGGCAGGAGATGCTGCCTGTACATCCACACCTTGGTGCTGTATTTAGGCTACTCCCTACTCCGTACGGCACTGTGTAAACGGCAGATATCACAGCGAGGCTAAGGAAATCAGGAGGTGGCTTGACCCAGCAGATATCTGACTTGGCGGAGGTGGATCTGACCTCAATCTCATCTGGCTCAGCTTTGAGCATGTTTATTTGTTTGCACAGACTCGATTCGATAGGGAGCACGAGCATGAGCATGTTTTCTCGCGACTCCTGGCTGCTTTGCTTTGCTCACTACTCACTGCTCAAATTGAGCGTCTAAGCCTGACCTGATTGCGAAATCTGCGCAAAAACATGTCTGTGTCTTTGTCTTTGCCCCCGAAATTCTTCCTCTGCGTTACTGCAATTCGGAGACCATCGTACATCCGTCGTCAATCATACACTCGACATTCATAGTATCCTCGGACTCACTCGGAGACCCGACCATCCTCCACTGATCACATTCCCAGTCGTGAAATACCCTTATACATAACCTCCTTCATATACCGTTTCGATTCCTTGGACACCGAAGCCCCTACTTCATTAGAAGATGCGGTTACATACTGTAGCGAGATGATACCTGCGTCCACTACCCCTCGTATGATGGTGATCGACCTAAACAAGGTGCGTAAGAAAAGAGGCAGAACAAGTGTCAGCGTACAGGCCAGGCCTTTGATATCGCCTCGGTCGAGATTTTCATCCGTCGTGCCTCTTCTTTTCGCCTCCACCGTGTCAACAGCGTTGCACCAGCCTCTGGTTCCACAGCAGTAACATTCCTGGCAATATGGACTTCCTTGCCCTCATTCCAGACATTTTTCAATCCCCGGACCTCATCGAACGGCAGGTTCAGAGTCGAAAGCCACTTGATCTGGCACGGGTTGCTGATATGCTGGAGTTCAGAGCCAGGAGGGTTATTATTAGACTGATAGGCGTTTGCTGATGATGTGAAAGGCGAACCAGGGCCGTATGCAAGAGGTCCACTTGTCGCCAGGTTCTTAAATCTCGTGTCAGGGGATCCGGACGGCGTTACAGGACTCAAAATGTCAGGTGTGCTGTCCTCAGGCGACGATACTTGGAGTTCGGAGACGTGATGCGATGCTTCCCAGATGATCCTTCTCCTTTCGGGCTCGTAGTGGATGGAGCCAAGAGATGCGTCGGACGAGGCGGTCGACAGTGCTCTGGACCTGGATCCTGCCCTGGAATCGGTTTTATAAGACCTCAACTGGAGAGGAGATTGTTGAGCAGAAGCATCTGCGGCACGAGTTTCGTGCGCCGGCGGAGTAGATTCGTCTGCCATTTGGATCTCGGAAGTCATCAGAGCATATCCAAAGAATTCGCCAGATCCGTTGATGGAGAACAGGAAATAAACCTTGCCGGCAGTCTGCAGATGGGGGAAGAGAGTCAGCCCATTCAAGGTCCACAGAAAAAGAGAGACCTCGCAAAGTGGCAGCAGCTACCTACTTGGAAAGCGTGGTTCAATCTCTCCACATGGCGCTTAGGTATATACCACAAGTTCGTGGCCAGACTTTGATAGAGTGCCTCGAGCGAGTAGCTTTTCAGAACGAAGTATTGGTCCTTACCCCGTTGGGATGGATGGGCTTCCGGATATTGATAGAGTTCCTCGACCTTGTGCCACAGGTTTTCGCGACGTTCAGGAGATATCGAAAGGCCCCTATGGTCCGAGGTATTCAGGCCATAACTGACTTTGGTCGACCTCGAAGCGTTGTCCCCTCGGATGCGACAGTCAAGCCGTCTCCCGTCGAAGAGCTCGCTGGCAGCTTTGGCAATTGCAGCAACCCTAGCGGCTTCCGTGCTGAAATTCACGAAAGCATACTTGGCGTCAGGATTGTATGAGATAGTAAGTAGGTCTGCTGGGGCGGCGTCGGCGAAATAGTCCCTGAGACTCATCACAGTGGTGTTCTGAGGAATATTGCCGACCCATAAGGCATGGTCACCCCAGTGTCTGGAACTTCGCCTGCGCTGCCTCGGCACAGTATCTGATGTATATGAAGGTGTTCTTCGAGGTGCACCTGGTGTATAGGTCAGCACAGTTCCGTTTCGTTTTCTTGATGACCATATACTTGTGCGTTTGAAGCCGTCCGAGCCTTCCTGAGACTTGGGACTCGTCATCTTCGGGTAGGAACACGGATCAGAGATGAAGAATGAGAGCTCTGGTGGCCATTGATTGTACAGATCACAGTGTCGTTGGAAGCAGGAATCTCCGAAATATCTGAGCGACGAAGCCTCCCTCATCTTCTAGCATGAGTTGGCAGGTACTATTCATATGTCATCGGGAAGTACGAGGATCGTGTTGCGGTTGCAGAAGAACAGGGCTGCCTTAATCATGCGAATAAAAACGATCCTTGTTCGAGCAAAGGGCCGCATATATCACTGACAAGTCCTCGACCTACCGTTCGATTTTAAAGCACCGTTTCGAGCAATTCAGCACTACCAGAAAGGCCAAGAACTTGCGCTCGAAACGTGCTCAAGTCTGTCGACCAGCAGATTGTCCCTGTCGTCCAGTGAAATTTGCTCAAAGAAGTCTAGACGCGACGACTTGATAGGCCAACTACCATGCCTGGATAAGCGGGATTTCTGTGGTCTGATCCACCCACCGATCGATCGCTGACCCATGGCCCCGTCGTCTTCTTGCTCGAGTCTTTTGCGCACCTTCTTGCCACTATTACCACTCAGAGTAGTGCAATCAGGCGTGACCAGGCACCCAGGCGAGTTCTTGAGCACATCATAAGGGGCCAAGGCTCGGCTTGTCTTGTCCCGTGCAACTGTCCGCGCGGCATGCTTATGCTTCTGTCGGCCGGGGCGATTGAATTGCCTGTAGCTAGGCTGAAGCGGTGCCATCAGGGAACGACTTCGCAATTGACTGTTGTGGCACTTTAATAATGGCCAACGATGTTCTCGGCCACATTGAAGGATCAAATCAGGCGGCGAAGAAAAAGGTGGGACAGTGGTTGTATATCGGTTATCTCAGCCCCGACAACTCCGCGCTATGATTAACCAAGCAGTCGTCTATATGTCGCTTATGGAATTCACCCGGAAGCTGGGAACTCCCCGTCAATATCATCATACCTTGTCGTAGATCGTTTCTGGATTATTCTCGCCTGGAGAATGCTCCATATCCTCCTGCGCGCGCTCCTCCTTCTCTTGTTCCTCGCCCTCTCGAGCTTTCATCTCTTTCAACTCTTTGCAAAACTTGCTGTTATCTCGAATCTTGTCTCCGTACCAGATGAAAGCGAACGGTATCACACACATTGCCATACTCAAAAATCCCAAGACACTGCAAGCCCAAGCAATGCCCAAGGTCAAGAACATGCGATGTGATGCGAGAGGAAGCAAGACACCGAAGGCGCTGCGGCAAGTACTTGCAATCCCTTGAGCACTGGCGGCAAAGGTCTCATATGCATCGGTCAGATAATTCAACAAAGCCATGAAAATCAACATGAAAGCTATGCCAAAGGTGATGCCTGACGCAACAGGAGCTAGCCAAAATGTCTCAGGCTTCGCGCTCCAGCCTATCCAGAACATCGATACCACATATAGCGGACCACCAAGGCAGGCCAGGGGTAGCCGTCGGTATTCCTCTTTCTCGGCCCATTTTGCTTTCTGTTTCTGTGCTTTGGCCAGATACGAGTCCCACCAGAGAAATATTGGAGCCGCAAAAACACTGCCGATACCAATGGGCAGGAAGGCGAGTCCCGCAAGGCCGTATGACCATTTGTAGACTGAATCAGGGCCTTGGAAGATGATCGGGTAGGCTTGGAAATAGATATAAAAGATGCCGTAGGCCAGGGCAAGATATGCGCAGGTGCACATCACAATAACTTCCTGGAACAGCATTCGATATGGACGAGTCATGACCACCGTAAGAACATGTCGAAGGGTCTTCTTCTGTAGGTCAGTTCGTGCGATGATTTCTGGGTCGCCCGTCTCTTTTCGAAGTCTTTTCGCTTTTCGACTTAGTAGGACTGGCGTGTAGCTCTCTGGCATGATGCAGATCAGAGGAATCGTTGCAACAGCGAATAGTGTTCCAACCGCGAACACCCACCGCCATGTAGTATTCTCTGCGATGAAACCTGAGATAGCCGGGGCAAGAACCGGCCCAAAAGTCGTAGCAACCATGAACCAGGCCATTGCTTGCCCCCGTTCCCTTGGATCATTATATATATCCGCATACAGCCCTCCCACGATAGCAATCGGTCCAGATGAACCTACTCCACACAGAAACCGAAAGATCAACAAGGCCGGCCAATTCGGGGCCACGGCACATGCCATACTGAAGACGGTAGCGAACAGAAAAAACCAAAGAATGACTGGCTTTCTGCCATTGTTTTCAGAAAGCGGACCGCAGACGGTAGGCCCAACGACGTAACCTGCGAGGAAACAAGAGATAGGCAGGGGCAGTTGCAGTTCGCCCGTCACATTGAAGTCTTTAGCAATGAAGTCAATCGCGTTGCTCGGTAGAGAAGAGCTCAACGTGCTGTTAACGACAGAGATGATTCCCGTTAAGAAGACAAGCAGCTTTTTCCTTCTGGGCCAATTGTAGGGACTTTCTGGATCATTCGAGCTGAACGATATTATTTTCTTCGGATCTCTTCTGTCCACTTGCACCTCATCATCCGGAGGCTCGCTCGGCGGAGGTGCGTCATCGGTCAGGGTGCGGTCAGAGTAATTGATTTGCTCGGTAGGAAGAGGTGTTGTTTGATTTTCTGTCAACCTCGGGTCAGCCTATGCCTTCGAGGCTGGACCGAAGGGCGACATACCTGATCGAGACTGCACAGTCCGAGAGGGACTGCTGTTTATTGATTCATGGGCCCCATCGTCTTCATCACAACCCATAGTCGAGCCTGCTCAAGGCGAAGAAGCACACGGAGCACAAACGCAAGGTAAGGACGGACAGCAAAAGGTTACTGGATTCCAAAACGAGGAGGAAAGGGGTCTTCAAAGTATCCTACCTGTATATATCTCGTTGAGACAAAAGTCTCCATGTTATGGAGGGGGTCATGCTAGCACCGTTCCAGAGTCAGTGGAAAATCGGTCTGAATGAAGAGCTGCGACTGGCGGGAGGGACGAAGGGACCGCTCTCAGTGCCCGAGGCAGCATGATCAGAAAGGGAAGTACTCCGTAGCTGCATCATTGCCATCAAATGAGAACAAGACTTGAAAACGCCCGTCATCAAAATCGGGTATATCGGCAGCAAAGTGACTGAATTCAGAGAAGCATTTTGACATGGAGAAGGGCGCAGGGAAGAAAAAGTTGGAGTCGGCTATCGACACCAGCTGTGTCCAAACAAGATTACAGATCGAGAAGAGATGGCGCCATTGGTGCGGCAAAGATCTTTCCCGATGTCGAAGTTCTTGGTGCGGAGGAAATGGGGATGATCAATTTACGCCAGAACGAGCTGAGGAATCACAGAATCACAGTGTTATTCGGCTCGAAGGAGCATCTGCAATATGCTACACGACTCCTCTCGACTTATGTGTCCAGAATGATTCCAAGGTCTGGCAACAGCATGTTCTGAGCCCCTTCATATACTCGTACAATGTCATCAATCCTCAGGCCTGTTTCATGAAATTCGCTGCGGTTCAAGGTGCTGTGGTTTCCCTTCCTCCTACAGCCCAGCTCATAATCTGGTGAAGGTGCCTCCATTTGCTGTCTTGTCTCGTGTCCCATCATAAGTGTTGTTTGTGCCAAAGATGCTTTCCAGGCACTTGCCATGAGGATTCGTTCTCGTGCTTTTGTCGAGCCACAGCGCCAGGGCAGCTAGGTGTTTGGACAGGAAGGTTTCGTATGCGTTAATGAATCGCATTCCTTGCTGGGGCATCTACGACCTGGAGTAGCGAGATCAGAAACTTCTGCGAAGCGAGGACGCAGACTGCCAGATCGTTTCATCCAAAGCACACCAGACGCTTGAGCACGCCTCGGGTTTTTGCAGCGTCCAGCTTCCGGTTCATGCGTAGATCAGTGAACCTCTCACCGTTAGGACCGATCAGGAAGTCAAATTCGCTCCGGGGGGGACTCGACGCAGATGCTATCGTAGGCTTCTTCCTACAGTTGGGTGCCGAGGCATAGGCGTGTAGTTTGGTAATAGGGCTGGCCTCCTTGTTTGCGGACAAAGGTACATCGGGTTGGACAGCACCACTGTTCTCATCAATGGCACCCAAGACCGTCTGAGGAGGTGATATCCGTCGCGGCTTTGGAGGATTTGTGCTGTACATGGAAGGTGGAATGAGAATCGGCTTCGATGATGCCGGCGAAGAAGGCGGCGACGGATTTGAGGTTGCGGAATAATAAGTGCTTGTGGAAGAGGTACTCTCAAAGGAATCTGGTGGAGACGGTGTTCGTGAGGATGGAAGGCCGTTGGCCATGTACTTGCGGGATGGCATGGTTGTGTTCGTGCCTGGTGGTTTACACAGGAGGGAGCAGATGCCTCTCTTGGACAGATTTCGAGACTCGCAGCCCGAGATGACACGGTCCGCGAGATCAGGTTGATTGACAATTCATGGTTGCCAACGGTACTAATTTGCAAGGCGGAGAATTTCAAGGTTAGGGAGTCTGTGAATATGCAAGGCACTCAGCAGTCGAAAGTAAAATGGTCGATGCCGTGTCACTGAGGAAGAATAACTCGTACTCCTGAGTCGTAGAAGGCTGGCTGGAACCAGAGTCATCAGCAAAGCTCGGACGCGGAGCCCATTCTCTTTTTATCGCTCCGTTCGTTCGTAGTCCGCACATTTGACGATCTCTTTCCCCTACAAAACCGTTGATCATCGTTTGTCTATTCGCTTGTGAAAGCCACCTTCAGCACATCCAAAAAGACTTCGCTTCGTGATTGGGCTGGGAGATCTCCCACAGGCCAGTAGCTGCAGGGACTACTCGTATTCACCCCGGCGAGTCGGCAAAGGCCCGCTAGAGAAAGCCACTTGGACGATTCCCGCGACATGGTGGCCATAGCTGTCCATCTCGTCATCAATCAAGCTACGTAATACCGCCAGGGGAAGCCCGTCTGCGATCAACACGTACTACGTATGTGGAGTATGAGGAGTTCCGTGGGAGTTTCAACAATGGAGCAGCCTCGGTTGGCTCACATGCAAGATAACATTCTGAGGATGAAGACGTCGTTACCTAGGTCTGTAGCATGGCATCAGAGCACAGAGAAGGATCAATAGTCTTATGACCTGTCGACGATATTCCGAATTCATGCAATATCGTACAGTGGGATGGAATCGAGGGGATGTCGAGACTCCCAACAACCAGAAACCGCCACAGTCACGTGCGCGGTACTCTTTTCAACTTCCATGCTCGGTACAAAGTTGTTCCGAATTCTCCTTACATAAGCAGAGATTCATCTGCGCGTTCTCCGTAGCCCAGCACTAACGCAATGCCTGGGTCGATCACTTATCGCGAAACACCCCCAACTCTTACTGCATGGATGAACGACAACATTCCCCGACGGCAGCCCGACATTAACGCCTTGTCAACCCCCTGCCGCCATCATGGCTCGCCAACGGCGACAGTCGGTCTCATCAGACATGAGTTCACTGCCCGATCAGAACCAGGTACGCTTTGCCCTCACGTCTCCTGTGCTGCCCCCATGATCATCCGCACCCAAACTAACAAATAGTTCAGGAACTAAGCAGCATGTACGACTACCTGGCCAAAGTCGTCCTCCTCGGGCCCTCGGGCACCGGCAAATCCTGCCTGCTACACCGTTTCGTCAAGAACGAATGGCGCGTCCTATCCTCTCAGACCATCGGTGTCGAATTCGCCAGCAAGATCGTGAAATGCGGCACCGCCCCTCACAGGCGCCGCATCAAACTCCAGCTCTGGGACACCGCGGGTACCGAACGTTTCCGGAGCGTGAGCCGCTCGTACTACCGCGGCGCCGCCGGCGCCATCCTAGTCTACGACGTCGCCAGCCTGTCCAGCTTCAACGCCCTACCGACGTTCCTAAGCGATGCGCGCGCGCTGGCGAGCCCGCAATTGACGGTCATCCTGGCCGGGAACAAATCAGATCTTACGGACACGGACACGTCGAAAACACAACCACAACCCATGAACGGCAGCGCAAATGCAGGTCAAGATCAGCAACAACCCACACCCTCGGGGTCCAGCGCCTCAAGTCGACAGTCCTACTTCCCCTACGACTCCGGAGGCACGCCCGGCAGCACGCCTGCTGGAACCACACGCTCGCGCGCCGACTCCCTCCTCCACACGTCCAACAAATGGACCGCCACGACCACCACAGAAGGAAGAGAAGTCCCCTCGGACCTGGCCGCGCGCTGGGCGTCGCAGGTCCGCATCCCCGTGACCATGGAGGTCAGCGCCCTGACGGGCGAGAACGTCGACGAGCTCTTCACACGCCTGGCCCGCATGATTCTGACAAAGATCGAGCTCGGCGAGATCGACCCCGACGACCCGGCCAGCGGCATCCAGTACGGCGACGGCGGGAATTGGGATGCTGGGTCGACCATACGGTCCGGCGCGACGGCTGATGAGGGCGGGACTCTTCGGAGGAGGCGGAAACGAGGCACGGGTAGGAATGGGATATTGGGCGGCCTGAGTGAGTGGGAGGATGTGTTCCGGCGGCCGCCCTCGAGAGCGGGAGGGAGGTGTTGTTGACACGATGACCACAAGGGCATGATCAAGAGCGTAATGACTGCATGACCAGCACTTGAGCCTTTACTTAGACTTTGGTTTTTGGGACTGGGAACGGCGAGCAGGCGGGAGTCAGGCGGACACCAGATGGCAGTCTCTTGTACAGACACTTCCCCGGAGGCCCCAACTTACTATGCATCGAGTGTGCTGGTTCACATGGTGCAGATAATGTTTAATAACTTGATTTGTCGAGATAGGATTGTGGAGATGGGTATACTTTGTTTTTCAGGCTCTGCGCTTTTGAAGTCTGTCTCATGCACCACCGACTTCTACATCCATCGGCACCGCCGATCCCAAGTCGGTATCAGTGCCCTGTTCGCGTTCAAACCTCGCGCCAATCTTCTCACATACCTCGATGAACTCCGCCTGCTTCTGCAGGTTCTGCGCTGCGCTCAGGGCCTTGATTATGACCGCCTGATTCCTCTCCGTCGTTGCAGCGCGAAAACTCCTCACCAGAAAGTCCGAGAGCATATTCACGTTCCAGTCATCAGGAACATCTTGCAGTACGGCCAACGGGTCAAAATACGTTGCAAATTTGCCCACTAAGTGGCTCGTGCGCTCTAGACAGTCTTCGCTGTCCTCGATGGCAAGGAATTCGTGGAACAAGAAGTTGAACAGCTCCTCCTGCACATTTCGCGGCGGAAGAGCGCTGACGTCGATGGTCTGCGCAGACGCGGGCGCTGGACCTCCAAAGTAGCAGTATCGAATCGCCGTGTCGAAGTCACCTAGGCCATGTGTGAGGAGTTTCAGGGCTTGTTTATGCCGGCCTTGCCGTGCGTCGAGGATAATCGACTCCGAGACCAGATACTCCGAAAAAGGCGCCATGCGTTCCAAGACCATTGGGACCGAATAAGTCAGGTCTTTGCCCGCCGTGCCAGTAGACGCAACATAGGCGCCGCTACCAAGTAGTTGGAGAAGTCGTAAGCGTGACTGCCACCACGGCTCGTCTGGAGCATTCAGATTGATGAAGTCGAGATATGTCGGCTTGGGAGGTTCAAGTGCGCGATAGGTTGAGTAGCTCTCTGCAAGTGATGCTCGAGCGGACTCGGACTTTTCAAGCACAGTCAGGACGGAATCTAGATAGTAGCCGATCAAATCGTCCGCGTATCGATCAACGCCTTTTCCGAAGACCAAGTGCTCGAGGTACTGCTGTACTGCTCCAGGCGCGTGCTCTTTCAGTAGAGAGACAACTTGTTGAGGGTTGAATTTGACCCTGGCGGTGTCGTCGGTGAAAATCTGTACGGCTAGGTGAGGGTTGCGCTGGGCTAGCCACAAAGCGTATTCTTCAACAAGCTCGACATCTCTGATAATGGTCAGATACCGTCGAAGTTGCGTTTGTACATGTTCCGTGTTTGAATCGTAGTCGACGTCTTTTTCGCCTTCGATAATCCGCCTCCAGGTGTTGAGCACATCGCGAGCTTGCTTCTTGCTCTGGTATAATCGGCTGAGGACGAAAAGTCTATTATACCTCTCCAACAGAAGTACTGCCCGCTCGAAATCGCCTTTCCAGTGATCCACGATGTTATTGAGCTTAGCCTTGACTGATTTCTGTGCCGGGCTGTCCGCTGGGAGCGCTTGGTCCAAGTAGAGAAGGACGTGGAGGAGCGCGCCATCGACGGAATCGAAGACATACTTCTCGTCTGTTATGCTGCCATATCCTCTTTTCTCTTGCCACAACATCAGAAAATGACGCATCATCATCCAGAACTCGGTTGGTGCATCCTCAAAGTTTAAGATTGGCGTGCGGAAATCGCTGAGTAAATCCGCCATGCCTTGATGAAGCCAGATACCTTCAGGCCCATACAACACTTCGGACGAAAGAGGAGGCGCCAGCAGTAGGACTATTCGTGGGTCAAGGCCCCCATCATGCAGGGTGTTCTCGACAGCTCTGTATGTATCATCCAACCCAGAACCCGCGGAAAGTTGAGTTTCCAAATACAGAAACAGCAAGAGACTGGCTTTTTGCCTGACGTAGTTCAGTGTCAGGAATTCGGTCTCATCCTTTGGTTCACGACCATGGATACTGGCTAGAAATCCGAATACCTGGCTTGGCTTCACAATCGCCGGGTCCTCGTCAGCAACGTACTGCATCAGTCGATACTCAAGTTGTGCAATCAAAGGGTTCTGTAATATCATGAACAAATCCTTGCCATGCCAAAGCACATTCCTAGAGAACGCTTGTCCGAACCGCCTAGCGAGTTTGGTCTCTTCCTCGGCACGTTTGTTGATCAATTCAATGGAGGCTTCTGCAGGCGTATTCACTGTCTGGCTGTCGAATAGTGCCCTTTCTTGCTCTAATTGTTCAACCGCCGACTGGGTTCTTGGGTCACTGTCCCCGATCGAGCTCTGGAAAGCTAGGCCTTGGGAACCGATAGACAGTGGGACAAGCTGAAGAAGCTCAGCAGCGGTCTTGAATGAGTACGAGTGGGAGCTCAATGTATGATGCAAGCCAGCACGAGGAGATTCAACTGTACCAGACGGAAGCACCACCAAAGTTCGTGGATGACTTATCTCCGACGCATTTTCGATTTTCTGGATCTCTAGTCGGCGTTCACTGGCATTTGCAGTAGGCCGTAGAAGGGCAACGATAATCTTGTGTTCCTCGTCCGAGATGGGAGGGCCGTCTTTTTCGGGCACCCAGAAATTGTCAACAAGGAGATCCTCCGGGTAAGTCTCGAACTCAATGGTACCCCGGACTACGTCACCGTCCAAGTTAACAAACATGCCTACGCCTGGTTCCGTTTTACCAGTCCCAGTTGTTAGCATGAATTCGCTTGGAAAGGGTGAGAGTATATGAGGCTTGAGCCGAGGCTGAGCTCGTCGCGAGCTGCCGCCGGCTGTCTTTCCTGGGAGCACTTCTGTCGAAGCACGGGGACGGGCTTTTTGTTCAGTTCCATCTCTGCCAGTATCGGAACTAGGTGGTATCGGAGCAGGCGATGGGGTTGAGTCGAGGCCGCCGTAGTCTGGAATGGGCGGCTTGAGTCGAGAATCTTGTGAAGTATCCCGCCTACCGTCGCGCTGGCTCAGGAGGCTTCCCATACTCGTGCTCCGTCCATGGTTGCTTATCTCGGGCGGAGGAGGAGGACACACCGGAGATTTACGGCCATCGTCTGGAGTCTCGTCGTCCTCGAGTGGTAGGGAGGAGATGGGAAACAGCGGTATTTTCTGGTGGTGCTCGACCTCCACTAGAGCATAGCTTTCGTCATCTGCGACGCAGGCGATGGTCTCCCTTCTGCTCGATCTCAGACACCGTGGGTATTCAATGCTGTTCTTGATGGGTCTCAGTTTATCGCCGATTCGGACGAGCAGGATCCTCTTCGCAGTTGCAATCATCACCACCAGCCCTTCTGGGTTGTTCTTGTCGTCATTCTCATCAATGCCACCGATCCATTGCACGCCAGTCGGTTCCCTGTTAGGGAACGCGGGACTGAATTCGGGTAGAGAATAGAAGGATACGATACCATTGCAAAGGACGCAGGCTTTCAATGGTCCCGGGAGTACAAGGATTTGCTGCACACCAGGTGCGTCGGGAGAACCTGCAGACGCAGCATGACCGCTAGGCTGTAGTCTGGAGGCGAGGATGAAGGTTGGAGGAGCATCATCGTCTTCTTGACCCGAGGGTATTGAGACTAGATGCAGGATTTCCGCTGCAGAGGTGCCGATATACAAATTGTTGTCTGAGGAACGGTAAGCGCCTGACGCAGGACAACAGCCACGACCTACGTACTCCAATATTCCGCGCAGGTTATGGACACCTGCGTCTCCCCATCTTCAGTGGTGAGAGGGATATCGTCCAACACCTTGCGGAGAACATATGGACCTGATTCGGGAGGGTTCAGGCGTCGACGCTTCGTAGGCCGGCCATCTTGTTGTGAGGAAACTTCCATTGCTGGCATGCTGTTCCGTGGAGCTCAAACATCACGGTGATGCCCGTCCATCTCTAGATAGACTAGTCATATTCGACCAGAGCAGCGGTTGAAGAGCTAGGACTTGGAGAGGATCTTCATGCTTCTAAGTGTTGAAGGCGTTATTGTGGAGGATTACCTAAGTAGCGTAAAGCCCGGTGCAGCCTCATGGCTCCGGGCGCTTTTGGCCATCTTTCCACTTGACGCGTACCCCTAGGCTCTCAATGCATATGCCTCGTTCCAGAGCATAGTTTTGGCAAGTCGGTACCTGATTCTTGCTGTTATGATCGCTGGTGTTTGCCATCCAAGGAGCAGTGATGGACGCCTTGGCTCTATCGGAGGCCAATGTCCCTAGGTCGGAGCCCGCAGCCAGCGACAATGGCGTCGAGGAGAACTCCCCTCGCCATGGCGAAAACAAGTTCCAGAAAGCAATAGCAGCATGGCGGAGTATGTCCCTGCCTACCCACCGTTGACGATGAGCTAATCCTCCTCAGACATCGATCTCTCGTCGTTGATGCCCCAACTCGATTCCACTGCCTCAGAGATTGTCGCTCAGCAAAGAGATGCATTGCTCGAACGGAAAGAACTGGCTCAAAAGACGAAGGACTTCCGGAAGCTGGAAGATTCTGCAAAACTGACAGAGTACAAGTCTTTATTGAAATGTTTGCAATCCCACGATCAGGGTCTCGATGAGTGCTGACCATCTCCAGCCTACCAGACCTTCATTGACCTGATCACCGGCCACGGCAAGACATCCTCCTCCGCATTCCTCCAACTATATCAGCCTCTGTCCGAAGCGCCCGATCCTTTCCCTCTGTTGGAGGCCTCGGTCGACTCCCTGGTCGCCTCTGAAGACACCGTCCCTCGACTCACCGCCGAGAATCAACAACTGTTAGCTAGAGTCAATAAACTAAGCATACAGCTAGAAGAAACCGAGAAGAAACTACAAGATGAGAGCAACGCAAGGCGAGATGCAGAAGCTGGCTCGGGATCTCGGATACAGGAGATTGAAGCGAAATGGGAGAAAGTCCTGGAAGAGAAGCAGAATAACTGGGGTGCAAAAGAGCGAGCGCTCGAGGACAAAGTTGAGAACCAAGAGAGACTGCTGAAAGAACTGAAAGCGAATTATGAGGTTTCTCAGAGGCTGCAAGATGGGTCAGCTGAACTGGCATCGTCCAAGGCTGCTTCTGCTGAACTGGAAATGATACACTCAGAGCTCGAGAAGACGAGTGCTCGTCTTGCAGAGGTCGAAGCCAGAAATGAGCAACTGCGAATGGATCTTGCCCGCGCGACATCGCAAGACAAAGCGAATTATGACATTGAGGACGATCCAGCGTTCTTGCGGCTTCAGTCCGAGAACTCTTCGCTCCTTCGAAAAATCGAGTCTGTACGGTTTGAGAGAGAAGCCGAGAAACGAAACTGGGAGGATAAGCTCCGTCAAGCAGAAAGGCAACGATCACAATTGTCCAGCGAAAACGACGAACTGCGAACGAAGATCGGTAAATGGTCCGACTACGAGGACCTCAAGCGCGAACTTGGTACACTCCGGTCAATCGAGTTGTCGGTTGAAGACGACGATGACGCTGATGAAGCTGGCGTGAACGGGTCGGCGGACTCTGGCGGCAAGCAATCTCTAGAACGGCTGCTACTGGCACGCAACAAGAAATTGAGCAATGAGCTGACTCTACTTCGAGTGTCGCATCAAGACCTGCAGCGTCAACTCGAGGATCTTCAAGAAGAACTCTCCCAAACCAACGCCGAGCTAGAAAAGTCTCAGAAACTCTCTTCGACGTTAGAAAACGACCTGCTGCGGATGCAAGAGGAGGCTTCGAATGTGCTCCCGTCATCTGGAATGTCTGTGGCTGGCACCTATGTGTCTCGCCATCCAACAGGCTCTTTACGCAGAGGAAGGGCATCACCGACGTCGTCAATAATTTCAGGTTATGAAATGCAACCTCGGACAAATACCCTGGAGTCACTGCGAGCAGGAGAACCAGTTGGTGGAGGTTCGGGTATATTGCCCATGATTCAAGCCCAGCGAGACCGATTTAAGCAAAAGAATCAGCAGCTGGAGGAAGAGCTCTCGAAAACATATGCCACTGTCACTTCACTACGACAAGAGGTTGCATCTCTGCAAAGGGATAATCTCAATCTGTACGAAAAGTCAAGGTACGTGTCAGCGTACAGTCGCGGACCAACCACGACATCCTCATCCTCATATGGTGCAACACCTGGCCATACGTCTGTACAAATCTCAGATGATACAACAACAGATCGGTGGAAGTCGCAATATGAGGCAAATATTTCACCTTTTGCGGCTTTTAGAGGCCGAGAAACTGCTCGTGCTTACAAGCGCATGAGTCTTCCCGAGCGTGTCATATTCTCCCTGACCAGAATCGTACTTGCTACAAGGGCATCACGCAATCTGTTCGCGGCGTACTGTCTGGCACTCCACGTATTGGTTTTCCTAATGTTATATTGGATGGGCACGGCAGATGTCGACCGTGCTGCTGTTCACTTAGGAGGAGCTGCAGCAGTAGTTGGTGGCGCAGGAAACAGCGCTCCTGACTCCCCTGGCGCAGAATGGCGTCAGGAGGAGTTTGGATGATCATGTCCGACTGACTGCACGATTGCCCATACTTGCGCTGTGCATATACCCAATATCATGTTCATTACTCTGTACCCTCCCTTGTTTCACCGTGCTCCTAGCTCCGGGCTGACAACGGATTCGAGAGTGTTCTTCTCTTAAGGGCATCCAAAGTATCTCCTTCAAAATAACTGTGTTCGTGCAACTCATTCAGGAGCAACTGTTCTCTGAGAGTGCCGAAGGATTCAGCGTTCGTCGCACCATGGAGAGCCCGGCGGCCTCAGAATACCCTGGCAAGTCCCCTTGCCCGAGACTGATAAATGTCAATTGGGAGCGGAAGTCAAGCCAAAGAACGTGGCCAAGTGTATATGCATGTATACGGGGAGTTCGATCCCGTGAACTAGTTCCTAGGGCTAGATGTGCGCTTTTCTTTCCCTCATGGAAAGCGGCTGTTTCAGGATTGAACAAGGGCTAGTGACGCATATTGCAGTATAGTTCACACACATTGACGGTAAACCGAACCATGTCGGGCGCACAGCTTTCTCTGTTGGCGCATTCTGCAGTCCTGGCAATCCATCCGGCGCGGTGCTGACTATAACCCCTAAAAAACACTCCTGCGCCCGGAGGCGATGCCTATGATATGGTGGGTTTGATCCTTCGATGCCTTGATATTGGGGATTTGATATCTGGGCAGAGGCGGCTGAGACATGGCAGTGAGATGATCTCATAAGGAGGATTGTCGAAGCCGGAATCAGGAGGCTCTGCGTCTATGGGTGTTCAAGTACTTACCCTACCAGTATTCGAAATATCCGCGTCCACAACGGTATAGCTGGATAGCCTGCGTGAGATTGGCCGGGACTGTTGGGAGGCCTGACCTGCCTACCGAAGCACTCTCCTGTCTTACCGGCAAGGCTCGTGGTGAGAGACATGGTTCGAGGATAAGCCACTCCGCACAACGCCCAACATGGTAAGCATCGAATGCATCAATCCGTGACCCCCGGAGTAAACGCCGACCTCCGCGAACAAGACCTGTCACGTCCGCTCTTTCTGCGCCTCTGCATCCTGGCATCCTGCGCGTTCAATGGCCGGTAAGCTGAGAAGGCAGCAATGTTCACTCTCTCAAGATATACCTTCCAAGATGTGTAAGCGCTGCAGTATGGCCATCTCCTGGCCTCAGCTTCTCCTCGGCCTTCGTGGAGGCCTGGACTCGTCTGGTCTAAGATGGGTCGATTGGCTCTCCTTTACCGAAATTTCTGAAACCAACGAGATGGTGAACCTTCCCCAAACCTGCCTCTCCCCTCATGCCGCTGACTTCTCTAACACCCGGTCCTCGCTTGATATGCACGTCATGCGTTGGTGCCGTCGAGGACTGCGAGATTCCTCAACTGTGGGTGGCTGGAAAGCAGTTGGAGGGCGCCTATGAAACAGCCAAAGAAAGCCGATAGGATGCAGGAGGAGCAGCCACCTTCGCCGCTAAGGAGCCATCAAGGGCCATTTGCAGATCTCCATGTCTAGAAAATGTCTGAGTCTGAGTGGCTGGCGTCGAACAGCCTAACCGTGGTTGACCAAGACGCATGCAAGCCTCTTGAAGGAATTACCGCCAGCGCCAATACACGTCTTCTATTTCTGTACAACCCTCGTCGTTCAGCAAACGGACGGCAAATCTCCCCTTGCCGCCTCGTGCTGCCTGCATGCAAGCATGCCAGCCTCCACCTTCGGTAACGGCCCAATAACAAATGCTGACGGCCTAAGATAGCAACAACTGTCTTCTGCAATCCTCTCTGACAAGATGACAACCATCCTATCCTTGGCCAGCATTGCAGTCCGCTTTAGAAGGGCATATATGTCGGCGGCTGGTCTCCCAGAAAGTCAGTTCTTCCCTATATTCTCATATACTGACTATCCTTTTCAACGCGTTGAACTCTCTCGTTCGATCTTCCATTAGTATCTACATTTCCTTTACTGTCAAGAGATCTGCCGGCCAGACTACTCAGCTATCTAATCACTACTGTTAATAATTGCTGCTGTCTGTCCCTGTCGACATGAAGTACCTGTTATCGCTCGCCTGCCTGGCAACCTCCATATTGGCGGCGCCAGCACCTCCGCAAGGCACGTTTGAATGGACTCCCACGTTGGCGGGATACATGGATGTCGTCTTCCAGTATATTCAGCAAGCCAAAGCCGGGGGGGCGTCACCCACATGCGATCTCTCAAAGGCTGCCATGCCTGTTGCGCCCACACCACTACCGGCACCGTCTGGCCTGACACTTGAGCATGTGGCCTTAGGGAGAGGGGTGCAGGTAAGCTTGCTGCTCCGTCCCACACGCGGTTCCTTCACTGACGCAAGCAACAGAACTATACCTGTCCCAACGCCACAGCGACGCCAGCCGCGGTCGGGGCAGTTGCACGTTTCTACAACGTATCGTGTGTAGCATCTGACTGGGCCGATCTTCTTCCGATCATGCCCAACCTAGCTCTGCAATATCCCCTGCCGTCTGATCCCAATGCTCCACTGGAACCATCAAACCTCGCTCTGTCGACTCACCACTTCTTCTCAAACACTACCACACCAGTCTTCGCGTTCGACGCTCCTACATCTCCCGATCTCGGGACTATTTTCGCCCAGAAGACCAGCTCTTCGGATGCTCCAGCGAATGCGGTCGTTGGAGCCAACGGCCAAGGACATGGTGCAGTGGGCTGGCTGTACCTGACCTCTCGAGCAGATACAGTCGGCGACATCAAGGCTGTTTACCGATTGGACACTGCTGGAGGAAACCCGCCAGCAACATGTCAGGGCCAGCCTTCGGCGTTCAGTGTTGATTATGCGGCAGTTTATTGGTTCTACAAATGAGTTGCGGCTTACAAGTCGCAGTGAACAGGCGTTTGGGCGGGGGCTTTTGCTGGGAGATTTTCTCAAAATTCACTCTAGATTCTTGATGGGCCAATATACGTACTTCGAGTAATGTAAGGCTATGGTAGTACATAGGCGCATAGTGTAGCTCCGTATGTTTTCAACAATGACATATTTCAACCTTGAAGGCCGACCCGAGTGACTTACACTTCGTTAACCATGTGAAGCCTCGGAATTGACCCAACGATGCCCTGCATGATTGACTGTGACTGTGGCTGTGCCTGTCTAGGACCCCTTGACGACCTCAGGTAAACCTCATTCCGGGGACTGTCAGATTAGTCCTGGGCGGATCGGTGATACATTTCTCCGCAAGGCTGTCATAGGTGGAATCCATAGCTTGCCAAGGAAAATCCCCGTGATCCAAAAGTGGAATTAAACTTCCACGAGGACCGTTGAACCGTTCAACTTCATTTCCATTTCTTCAACGCACTGTCCTGTAAAATCATAATACGCTCTTCAACGGCCATCTCTACCAGTCACTGCGTACCCCTGTCTGAGTCTCGCCACCCAGCTGCACTGACCATCTCCAGAGCGATGACCACGCAATATCAAGGAGGTGACGCAGGTTCCAATCGCGAAAACCAGCGATCACTTTTGCTAGCCACGCTGGCTTTACTGACCCGTCCAGCCCTGGAAAGTAAGGTATGTTCGATGCATGGCTGTCCAGCTTCTAGTGTAGGCCGCGACTCGTGGGTGAGAATTTACTGCCGACTTTCACTGTCTGCTGTCTCTGAGACACAATGCATCTTCAGGTGAGGTGCTTTCACACACCCACACACCTTTCCGCTCAGAACTGGTCCCTCTCGCCCAAGTTCTCCTTATCCTCTATATCCCATACGCACACAAATACATATATACACATGTTTTCTGCATACTTGCTCATTCCTTTACCCCTTTACCATTTCGAGACAGAACTTCATGGAAACTTGTGGTCAACCATCCGATGTCTTGATCCGAAGTTCGGGCCTACGGTCGTTGTGGTAAAGCTACGGTCCTCGTGGGTCCGTCATTCAGGCATGACTAACACGGATCGCTGTTGATTGAGAAGTACGCTGCATGCCTTCGACAGTGCTCCTCCAGGCTGTGGCCCCCGTGGTCCTCGAAATCGCATTTGGTTCTGTTGCTTCATAGTTGAGTGGGGAGTGATGCCAGTTGTACAGGTGGCAGCTTGACCACTTGCTGCATCCAATGTACAGGAGCTTGACGCGAAATCAATGGCTCTCGTCACGAAGAGACGACAGCAGTGGGTCTATGACTCCTGATCGAGGTGGCTGTGCGGTCAACCACAATACCTCCGCCATTGAGGCGTGCACAAGGTTCTCGATGGTTTGGTGCACACCATCATCCTCTCCCCCTCATTCATCTTCGGAGGGACATCTCTGTCATCGTTGAAGCTTCAGGCGAAGACGATGGAGTCCCTGAGCCGATGGCCGGAGAACACGCCTCTTGAAACCCCATATATCTGGCCATTTTCCCTCCATTGAAGTTTTCCTCTCCTGCACCAGATTCTTTCCATTATTTGACAGACTGACATGATATTCGCCTGCAAGATTTCGATCTAGCTAGCAATCTCAATCATTCTATCATTCACGAGACACATTCCCCCTGATACACACACTTTTTCCCTCTCATTCCATCATTCTCATCATCACACTTGTGCTCAAAATGGCAGGAATCTGGTGCCCAGAGATCCGCACGCTCCAGGCCGAATACAAGCCAGCCACAGACCGTGTCCTCGCATGGATCAAGAATTTGTCCAACATTCCCAAATCCGAGGTCACTTCGGTGAACTATCATATCACACTGGCGAACAGGCTCGTCCAAAACGGCACCCAAATGCCTGAGGACATCCTCCAAGACCTGTACAAGGGCATCGACCGCCGGCAACAAGCTGCAGATTCTTTAGCCAAGCTTGGAAGGGCTGACCACGGTCATTACCACATGATCAAGACCCTCCAGCAGATATTGCACTTGTTCTGCCCACCGTCTCGACCGACAACACCAGAGCCAGTGGTGCAGCAGCCGGCAGTTGCATTGCCGAGCGTGCCATCTCCTCAGGGGTGTGTGCGACCTCCTTCACCAGTTGAAGGATGGGGCTATCCTGTTTATCAGAGGCCACCGCCACCACCACCTGTTTTCTATCCTGGCGTACACCCAAGCTATGGCAACCCGATGCCATTTGTTCAATTTGTTGCTCAACCACAAAACGGCGATCAGGCTGGTCCGTGGGGCTTCTCGTGGTGACTCCTGATGCGCCAACAAAATCACCAAAAAAATCGAGAATTACAAAATCTACAAAAAACATTTGCTTTTTCTTGTGGGTGTGCGTCAGGATACGGATATCTCGGACACAGTATGTGTTGGGAGTCCTTCACTTTCATTGGGAACAAGATCAACAGGATCTGGAGGAGGGAGGAGGATCACATGTGTTCTGCAGGCCACTGGAGGAGATTTTGGGCGGGAAGGTCCAAAGACCAGGAGGACATCATCAACAATCAGGCTCGCAAGACATATCATTGGAGCCAACGAGCACTGCAACTGCATAACAAGCACCAGTGCACATCGACATCATCATCATCATCATTGTCATTGTCATTATCATCAACCAACTCCACGTCCAACAGCATGTCATTGGCTAGACATCCTTTGGCACTGAAGTCTACATCTGCAACCATCAAGTCGACGGCACTGCAACAATCAAATCAAGAAGACTGCAATAAGTCGAGCACATTGCAACAATAACCCAACACCTCTGCAGCCAAACGACACTGCAGCACTCGAGTCAGCACATGCGGCTCTCGGATCAATCAACCCCGCAAATCAAGTCAACAGCACTGCACAATCAAGTCAATAGCGCTGCAACAATCGCGTCAACACTTCTGCACCAATAAGTCAGGCAACACTGCACTCAAGTCAATCAACACTGCAGCACTCAAGTCACTCAACACTGCAGCACTCAAGTCAATCAAACACTGCAGCACTCAAGTCACTCAACACTGCAGCACTCAAGTCAATCAAACACTGCAGCACTCAAGTCACTCAAC